AACTTTGCCAGTTTTCCTGCAGAACAACGTCATGAAGCCTCCAGAAATTCGTCTGCACTGAGATGACCTTGCCTAAAGAGGCCGCAAAGGATCTGAACTCGCCGAGTTTTGACACATCCGAGTTGAAGAGGGTTTGAAGTTTGGCGGTCAGCTCGGGGTCGGCGTTGGATGCAGAGTCGATTCCAGAAGAGATGCCGTTGGTCTTGGAGACGCCTGACGCAGCTTCCGCGGGAGTCGGATGGGCCTTGACATGGGCAGATCTTGGATGTTGACGGTCTATTGTGGCAGGTGAGATAGGTGGGGATGCAGAGTCCGATCGAGACCGGCCTTGCGTTGCTGGCTCTGCGTCTGATAGCTGTGATCCAAAGCCAGGTGGAGGTCGCAATCGCCGTACTCCGTCAGAAGGTGCAGGCGCGGGTGCAGGTACCGCTTGTGGTAGGAGTATTGGCTGAGGAGGAACCGATGCGTCGGCTGACCCTCTTGATTCTCCCCCGTTTCTGCGATTTGGACCATCAGATGGCCGGCCATCCGCACGGCCATCACTCCGCCCACCTCTTTTGTCCCTTCTGCTCGATCGGCGACCATGATCGCTATCCCAACCCCTCGATGCATATGTGAAATTGACCTCAATTTGTTGCCCTTTTGCTCTTGCTTTCTGGTCACGGTGAACCTCGAGCTATTTTCACCATTGAGACTGATTAGGGAGATCAAGGAGAGACACGGCATCCCAGCCATGTGCTCAAACCCACCTCATGTGCTTTCAAATCTATATCGGAATCAAATACCACAAATTTCTTTTCCAAGCATTCCGGGTGGTAGCATGGAAAATGATCGTTTTGGAAATGCACTTCCTGATGTGACAAAGTTAACACATGCCAAAGTAACAGCTGCAAAGACCTTAAACAAGGCCAAGATTATAAGCATTACCATTTCGGCATAGTTCTGATAATACTGATTCCTGATTCCATTCCTCTGACAAAGGAAGCATTGCTCGTGTTTTTCGCGACAATGTTCATACAATTCGTCCTGACTATAGAAGTGAATTTTGCAAAAGCCGCATTGTGGATGTCCTTTAAACGAAGGATCGTCTGGATCCCCTAACTTGTTATGTCGATCGAGGGTCGCGCGTGTGTAGAGTGTATGCTCATGTGTGAATAGCTTTTTATGCCGGGTGCAGAGTTCGCTTATAGGAAAGATGTGCCTGTGAGCATCGGAAGACTCTGAATCTACGCTCCATACAACATACCACATCAGCATTCCGTGAGCCTTTCTGACGTGATCCTTAAGCTCTCGCCATCCACCAGCACACGCAACATCACATCCAGGGTCGGGGCAATTAAAACGCAACAGAATCATGACGTCCTCGTAAATCTCAGGTTCATCAAAGTAGATTTTCAGCTTCTTATCATGAGCAGGCATCGCTCGTAGATCAAAATCTTGAAAAACCGTATCGCCATCTTTGGTATATACTACTTCTGCAAGCTCCGTCTATGCAAGAGTATAAATTAGTCGTCGTTAGATTAGACCATTCGAAACACATTAAGTTGTCTATCACATACCTTGCAAAGCGCACACGTTCGCTGCTTATAGAGTGCGCGCAACCGCAATGAGCAGAGGTGACACACTCTGTGATTGCACTCCCCGACTGCGTACCATGTCACAGCGTCCGCACAAATGAAGCACAATTCTTCCTCCTCACGTGCTGCACCTTGAGTGGTTGCGACTGCATTTCCGTTGACAACGGCAGGAGCGACAGCCGGCATAAGTCCTGGGGGCAGTATCGCTGAGGGAGGTGCGGAATGGCTCACTGCCTGCGTCGGGTTAAACTCTGAGAGTGGAACAAACTTCTTCTTGTTGCCCTTTCCCTTCCGGTTCCCACTGTTGGCGCTGGTCATGATCTTGTACAAGATTCTACTTTCTCCAATGATCTCAGAAAAGTCTAAATATCCCCAAAAGACCAACGACGACTATTGCCACAGAGATCTTCAGTCCACGGCCACACCACGTTGAGGGATTGCAAGCTTGAAAGGTGGGGGAGAAAGCGAGTCGCTTCTGCAGTCATAACGTGACTGGGCCACACCTCGTGCACAGCCACAATTGGTGAGAATTTCTTGATCAGCAACGCAACAGCAGCTTTTGTTCGGGATTTAACGGCGAGATCGCAACGTTGCGCACATTATGGCAAGTGTTGCACGAGTCTACACGAACGCTTGTACGGAGAGAGCACAAGACTACTGGGATTATGACAATTTGCTCCTGCAGTGGAAGTAAGTCCTGCTTTGAGCCTGCACATGGACTTTCTGAACTGATCCACAAATCTTCAGTGCTCAGGATAACTATGAGATTGTTAGGAAGGTGGGGCGAGGAAAGTACTCGGAGGTCTTTGAAGGAGTGAACGTGGCAAATGACCAAAAATGCTGCATCAAAGTCTTGAAACCCGTCAAGAAGAGAAAGATAAAGCGAGAGATCAAGATTCTCCAAAACCTCGCTGGCGGGCCAAATATCATTGGTCTCCTCGACATTGTACGGGATCCTCAATCGAAAACTCCCGCACTCATTTTCGAACACATCAACAACATTGATTTCAAAGTTCTCTACCCCAAATTGACAGACCATGAAGTCCGATATTACATATTCGAGTTGCTCAAAGCCTTGGATTTCTGTCACTCGCGAGGAATTATGCATCGGGACGTCAAACCTCATAACGTGATGATTGATCATGAGAAGAAGCAATTGAGGCTGATTGACTGGGGACTGGCGGAGTTTTATCACCCGGGAGCAGAGTATAATGTCAGAGTCGCGTCGAGGTACTTCAAAGGACCAGAACTTTTGGTGGATTTTCAAGAGTACGACTACTCTCTGGACATGTGGAGTTTGGGTTGCATGTTTGCGAGCATGGTACGCTGCGTATTTTGCGTGTCAAAATGAGCGGCTGTTAATGACCTCTTCCTTTGTAGATATACCGAAAGGAGCCCTTCTTCCACGGACATGACAATTATGATCAGCTCGTGAAAATCGCCAAAGTTTTGGGAACAGAAGAGCTATTTGCCTACTTGGAAAAGTACAATATTCGACTGGATTCTCGATTTGACACTATTCTCGGAAGGTAAGCTCCGACAACATAACGGGACATTTTTCAAATTTCGAACTCTGATTAACCTGTTCGAATGTAACTAGATACCCACGCAAGTCATGGAGGCGATTTGTAACTGCCGAAAATGAACGATATATATCGGATGAGGCGCTTGACTTTTTGGACAAGCTCCTGCGATACGACCACCAAGAACGATTGACACCGCAAGAAGCCATGATGCATCCTTATTTTGACCCTGTACGGCCAAAGGATTTCAAGCCAGGGGAGCTAAATGCATAGGGATACGCGAGATTTGTATAGCCTAATTATCTTTTGTATGCGTACGGACGCTGCGGCACAGGATTTTTGGCGATGGTCTAGGATACGTATTTCTTGGTGATAGGAGGAACTGTAATTATATTCGAATAAATGCCGCTATCACAGAGGAGGAGATTGTTATCGGTTGTTTCTTGTCAATTTTGATGACGGCGAAAGGAGTCTGACTGGTGTTCAAAATTGACTTTGCATGTCAGCTGCAAGCGACGGGTAAGAACGTGGAAAGGACAGAGTATTCCAGTGAATTAGGGAGGTTACCTTGACTGGTACCAATTGGACATTGATGCGGAGGTATGAGAAAGGCCGACTGCCAGCGGATTTGGATGAAATCGGGTGCACAGACACTGTCCATCCTACGGATCCCGATGGCAGCGACATAAGCGGATGGTGGGCATAAAGTTACAGCGTCAGAAGTCATTAGATATCGCCATGAGAGGGACGCATTCACTTTCAAACTTTTCCATTTGCCAAAATGCTGTTTTATTCATGTGGAACAGCTACCTCTAGTGGCCGGCTTCAATTTTTATCTCAGAGGTGTGGGGTGTCGTTTTGGACGCTGTTTTTCCTTTGATGCTAGCATTGGACGCCTGCTAGACAACCACGACCTATTGACATTGTTGTATTATGATCTTGAATTACGCATAGACATATCACGGAATGCAGGGTCGTTTCTACAATAGCTGGTGGTATAAATAATTACCAAACAGCACCGCATAAGCGCATGGAACCTCAATAACATGGCGGTATCCGATGGAATTGATCCTGGGGTGGACTAAACCTAATCAGTACATCTTATTGATAGGTCGTAGCTCCTTTGTACTGTAGCAGTCGATAAGCTAGGTCAAGCATATGAGCCTTCCTATTCTGCGACCCTCTTCCAAGCCGTATATATCGCGCATGATCGATGTGCCGAAAAGACATCAAAAACGATAATTGATGAGAACAGCATGCTCTAGCGAATCAGAGTCTGATGCAGAGGTGTGAGGTGGTGCCTTCTATAGTCTGGTTGTCGTACTGTGCTGGGAGCTCCTTAGCAGAGGATGAAATCTGCATGACATCGGATGTGGGGAATCCTGAACGCACTGCGGCTGAAGAGCAGAAATTTAATGTTTACAACAACATGATTGAGTCGATGTAGGTGGGAAACAACCTCATCGTAAGAAATTGAATATCATAATTTGTGTACAAATAAAAATCAAGTCTGATCCTATGTCTTTCTTCTCTTCTTCTTCCCCTTTTCTGCCAAGCGTTTTTGCGCTCGCACCTCCTTCTTCATACGTGGATCCACCATTTTATAGCGACCCTTGACACCCTTTGGTCTACCTTTATTGGCTCTGTTGATTCCTTTTGCCACCACAACGGAAACCTTTTTCTTCTCTTGCTTCGCCTTTGCCTTCTTCATCATTTTTGAAACTTGGGTCAGCTTTGCCTTCTCGGTCATTTCACCCCCCTCGTCCTCCATGACGTTTGCCGCCTTCTTTTGCATCTTTTCTAATCGGCGCGCAGTTCGCATTTGTTTACGGAATTTGGCTTCGGCGACCTTTTTGATGGGGCGCGCGTCTAAAGCACGCATGCGTTGGCGGATGATTTGGACAGCTTCTTTTGTGACGGGGAGAGTGGGTTTGTTGTGTCGGGATTCTTCTTCCACGAACCTATCCAGGAAAGGGTCAGTACAGGAAGTTCAGTCGGTGAGTGAAGGGATGCTCTTACTAACCATGACGGAACACCATCTGGATCGTTGAAAGCGTATCGGTTGAATCCTTCGTCGATTAGGTCCCTTTTATCAGACTTCCGAATCATTCTCTGGGCAAGGGTATATGCTTCCGCTGTGGTGATGGCAAAATCGTCTGCCACAACAAATATCGGTCAGCTCAGCTTCCAGTCCCAGGCGCATTGAGATACCATGCACTCACCATTTGGTCCGTCTTTCTCATCCAGTCCCAAGGGTACCACTTCGAACCCTTTCTTTTCAATGTCGTTTTCGTCATCGTCATCCTTCCTGCCTTTGGATTTTGTACGTCGTGTTGGGATGTCATCTTCGTCACTGCTGTCGTCACTCCAGGTGCTTGCCAATTCCTGCGCAAACAGCCCGTCCTTCTGTTTACTCTCCTTCCCCTTCACTGGTTTACCATTGGGCTGCTCCAAAGTTTTGAATAGCGGATTGTCGAAGAACACTTTTGCTCGTTTTGACAGTTTGCCAGTATCTATCGCTCCATTGACGTCCTCTTCTTCAACGTTCCCATTGTCCATTTCGCTTCCCGCTTTGCGCTTCTTGCCTCCTGAGACTCCGGTGGCTTCTTCATCCAATTCACTATCATCTTCACTGTCGTCACTGCTATCGTCGCTCGCATCACCATCCACATCTCCAACTTGTCGTTTCCGCTTCTTGTCAAACTCAATTCCGTACCACTCCTCAAACGCCTGCGCGCCTTCCTTCTGCTTTTTCACTTTGGCGCTCGGATCGCGCTCGAGCCGCCGCTCACGGAATTGTTCGTAAAGGCCATCGATTTCGCTTTCGAGATTGTTGATCTTTTGTTCAATCTCGTCATCTGTATCAAATGTTTCATCATCGTCATCATTTGCCTCGTTGTCTTCATCTGCTTCCTCATCGTCGCTACTGAGTACCGCTTCCTTTTGCGTGTCCGTAACAATTGGCTTCGCATTTTTCACACCATCCGTAGACAGGCCGTTCAATCGGAACAGACCTTCATCATGCCCGTCTCCCAATCCCATGCCCCCTGCCTCACTCGCTTCCAGCCCAATCTCATCTGGCGTTCCCATGCCTAGGCGCATCTTAATCAATTGCTTTGCTTTTCGCTCGCGTGCTTTACGGAGTGCCCGCTTGCGGGTGGCAGCAACTGATTTAGCTTCGGCATCAAGTGATTCCAGTAAGTCCTCTTCACCATTTTCCTCCTTGTCCCCTGTGTCAGCCTTCCGCTCTTCCTTCTTCTTCTCCAGCCCAAGATCCAAACGAATCGACTCTCTCCATTTCAAAAGGTCCTTGAAATCCTTTTTACCCAAAACTTTCAAATCCTCACAGCACATCTTAAGTTCTTTTGTTGTCAGTGGATGTTCCGCCAGGGTTTTGCCAAAATCATCCTGGTCAAATCGCAAGGCATTCGATTGGGTGAGCACCCCAAGGAAGTCTGGCCCCCGCACGAAATCGGAAATACTGCTAGCAACGTGAAGTGTGTAGTCACCATCCGCATAACCAGATCGATGTCTCCGACGCTTTTCGGGATGAAACAAGTCATTCAACATGGCACCTTGTCGCTCTTTTCTCTTCTTATCATCCATCTCCTCTTCTGGCACATCATCTACTTCCTTGAAAACGTATTTTGGATCGAGTAATCGTGGGTCGACCTTTTTGGGTGCTTTGAATTCGCGGCAAACAACAAAGATCTCAGCAGAGACGTTACGTGATGACGCTGGCTTTGTCGCTTCGACCTTGTCGAAAAACTGATTGAATACCCAAATAAGCTTGTTGTAATCCTTCGAGCGAAAGACTTTGGTAACGAAACATCCTCCCGCCATCAGGAATTCTGTGGCTAGTTTTAGAGACGCCAGAACGAGTTCGGATTGTGTGAAGGCATCTTGGAGCCAAGATGTACCAACGTTGGGAGCACCATCGTGAAGGAAGCTGCGAAAGAAAAGATGCTCGTTAGCATTGCTTGGAAAGAAATGATGCACTCCGCTTTCCCAAGGCCGCATCATAGATAATGGACAGGCAACTCACACATCCGCCTTCCACGTCTTGAGTTCCCGTTTCAATGTCATTCTACACTTTTGCGTGGTGATGTCCTCAACGTGGGTAATGACACCAGGTATAGGTTTAATCGCTGCTAAATCCAGACCGATAATAATATTCGGCTTCGGCATGTACTTTGCTGCCACCTGCAACCAACCACCGGGAGCCGCGCAGAGATCCACCAAGCATTTCGACCGTTCCAAAAAATTGTACTTTTTGTTCAGTTGAATGAGCTTAAAGGCTGAACGGGCACGATAACCCTGCTCCTTGGCCATATGATAGTACTTGTCGAGACGCCCCTTGGCATACTTCTTCTTGACACCCATGGCGGTGGTTTATGTGCGGGGTATTGGAAGAGAAATGTGTTTGTGCCTAGACCTTCGGGCGACGACAATAATGTGACGACTGGCAAGTCACGGTCGTTTGCGATATCCACCCACAATACCGCACTCCAGAGGACGAGAAAACTTGACGGGGTGAAAGCAATATCTAAATTCGTTGGACATGCACTAAGGAAGTTGTCCAAAAAAAATCAAAACTGGTACGTAAGCGGTGACTGCAACATACGTACTTGTTTCATTCTCATATTTAAAAAATTGGCTGGTTCCATGGTGTAGCGGTTAGCACTCAGGACTCTGAATCCTGCGACCCGAGTTCGATTCTCGGTGGGACCTTTACGATTCCGGAATCTCTTTTTGATAACGTTGGGAACTTTTGTTGACGGATGGGCAGTTGATCTACATTATTACAGACGTTGCTCTTTCGTCCTTGTGAAAATGGAAAGGACGTTGCAAATCAAACAATGCAGCTAGTAAATGTGTCGTAGATCTGCCACCCATTGCAACAATTGTATTACTTCATCAAATGGCACAGCTCTGTTACGTTTCCGTTGAAGCATGAACTGGCTCCAGTTCCTGTCACATTTTGAACAACATCATTCAAATGTGACAGTCCGGCAAGGAGAAAAGCAGCACTAAATGTCTTCCTCGAACCTTACGAGCGACATGTTACGACCACGAAAGAAGCCCAAGCTTGATAGCCCCCCAGAAGAGCCCGATGTTGCACGACTTTTACAAAAGCTTGCTCTCTATCGAGAAGTGCAAGAACGCCTCAATGTATTGTCTTGTCACTCACCCACAACCCTCCGCCGTCTCTCTGCGTACCTTCGATATGATCTCGAGCGACTGGACTTAAACTTGAGCCGCTCCAAGAAGATGCATGACACTCTGGACTTGCTATTTACAGTGACGAGGGCACTGGCTTGTACGAGAGTTTACGAAGAGGATGTCGCGGAAGTTGGGAAGCAGAAGGCAGAAGTGAGGGCCACAAGTGGGATGATGCTACACATGTTGGAAGTGAAACACGATATCGGCGTGCAAACGGGTGCCTTGCGAATATTAGCCAACTTAATCAACCCGTCCAAAAGCCTCAAAATCCGAAACCCTGCATACGGGACACCGGAGATGGCTGCGTTGATGGGGAAATGGATCTCCCGCGATAAAAATGGTCGTCTGGTAAAGATGCTGGTCGCGACAGTTGGGCTGGATGCGAGAGAATGTCGGTTTTACGCTTTAAAATGTCTAGTAGGACTTGCAAAGTTCTTTGACCAGGAACTAATTGTCGCGCTGGAAGATGTCAATCTTCGACCTTTCTTAACGGTATTAGAAGAGGTCGGATGCCAAACTGCAACAGAGAAAACATCCGATAGTTTGTTGGGCAGGATCGACGATGTTTACGTCCTCTGTATGACTCTGGTGAGCGAGCTGCTACAGAAGGGATGGTCGCAATTCTTTGCTTCCCTCGATCCAGCTTTCATCCCCGGGCTCCTCAAGGCCGTGCGCTCCGTGGCCCCTTCCTCTGTTCCCGATCTCAACCCTGATGATGAAAGCAGTGTGCCGGGCATTGTTGAGACGCCAGACTCAACTATCAAGTTTTTACAGCACGCTATAAAAACCCTCCATCTGATTTGTAAAAGACAGCCGGAGATGTCTCTAGACCTGCTTGACCTCGACGATGTTCACTCTCTCATACTCATAAATAAATCGCTTGCATATATACAACGCTCTCTTCCATCGAATGCGAAGGCGTCGCTCGGAACCCTTGAAACATTACGAAGCCTTGTTCAGGTTAACCTCCTTATTTCTCGACGTCGAACAAAACCCTGCTTAAACATAATGGCCGAGTTTCGGTCCGAAATGATCAAAGTGGCAATAGGTTTTGGTATGATTCTGGCGAGAACGAATCATGTTTCGATCCTCCGCACATCCCTCCTCCAACCGATTCTCGAGTTATTTCTTTGTAACCTTCCTCAATGTCCAAGGACGCTTCAAACAGCCATTGACGCACAATTGCCATTGATGCTTGTCAAATGGTGGAATGCGATGTCGAAGCCGCAGTATTTGGAGAGCCCACACGGAGCGAAAGTTACCTCGAAACTCAAGGGCAGCATCCTGAAAGTTTTGACGTATGTCTTGAACGATGCGAATGGGTTGCAGACTTACTCCAAAATGGACAAAGAGGTTGTGATTGAATTTCACCGGAATCTCAGTCTGAACGTGCGACGACTCCTCTCGGGAACGGAACAACAACAGGAAGATACCACTGAAGCAGAGTCGGACCCAGATACAATAGACATATATCCATCAATAGGTGTTCGCTCTCTCCGGTTATTCTCGGTCCTATTCATCAATAAGTTGTGCCGGCTGTTATTGACAGATCAAGGAGTTCTGGCAGATTTCATTGATGGTGCATATATACCCAATATTCTGGGCCTGCGGAAGAGTGGTTGGAGCGATCGAAGTGAGGTCACCCGGTTGTTGTTTACCGTTCTGGAACGTGCTGCAACGGATTCGAATGTGCGATTCAAAATGCGGGATGGAGAGTTCTGGAGTAGGGACGAGGGTGGCGGACCAGCGACGGAACGACGATCATCTTTCACTCTAATACACTTCCTGCTAATACTAGTTGTCGCTGCTGGTGGGTTGCTTTACCGCGCCGACCACTCCGATTCTAATCGAACCCCTAAACCACTTGATACGAACATCCCTCACATCTTGCAGCGCGCTATGGTTTTCCTTTCGGATAACTACGGTCTTGATACCTCTGTGAGCATGATACTCTGCAACTGTCCTTTGGTAACTTTTGACAAACTGGTGGATCTTATTCCCGCTGAGTGGGTGCAAAGACGACAAAGTGGTGATTTCATCAGCGTTTTGCCAGTCGTGTTGTGGGTAATCGAGAGGAGCGGTGCAGCGTCTCAACCGGCACCACCCGAGCTTGAGCTAGAACTCGATCCGCATAATGGCAGCTCGAGCGAACACGTCTTGGTGACATCGCTCTATGAATCTGCGGCGCATTTTCTTGAAACCCTTTTAAATACTCCTAACTGCCGCTCCCAGCTTCTCACGCCTCCCACACTTCACGTTCTTTCCTCATCCCTTGCCAATCACCCCATCCCATCACTACTTCGGATACTCTCGCGCCTTTTAATATCAGAGGAGTCGCTGGAGCCGCTGGTCACGACGTTCGGCACGTCATCAGCGCTTGAACCCCTCCTGGAGAGGGACGACATTCTGATTGCGATTCAAGCGTCTATGAGATCGCAAAAGGGTGTAGTGCGCCGCTTGCTAAAGTTCTGGGCATATTTTGCTGACGATTTCGACATGCGCCTGACGGTGGCAGTGGCGATAGGATGGTGGATGGGTGAGCGGTTGATATTCTGCGTGGTGGAGGAAGACACGGAGGTTGGGCGGCAGGTTGCGAGGGAAATTTTGGAACGCTTCTTTGAGACGATGTTGGATTGCCATGCGAAGGAAGATGATGCAGTGACGAGTCGAAGTCGCGTGGGTAAGGTTTTAAAGTACCTGGGATGGGCGTTGCGCCAAAGGGGCCGGAATCCGCTTCGCAGCTGGATTAAAGGCGTTGAGGTGTCCTGGCCTCGCATAAGTACCATGCAGCAGATGCTTCAATATGGCGATTCTGTCTCTGTTTTTCATGGTGACGACGACGATGTGGTAACATGGAACCTGCCCGATGATCCCACCGCATGCGGACCTCTGACATTTTCGCGAAAGACGCTTTCAACGCTCTCTGCACCTCTTCAAGTTCTCCTCTACGGATCCTACAAGGAGACCATTGAAAAAGTAGTTACGATCCGCGATGTGAAGTATCCAGTATGGAAGCTATTTTTGGCATACTGTGAAGTGATTTCCAATAGGGTTCCGGAGAGATACACCCCAGTGGATATTGGATTGTGTGATACAGAAATGCTTGAAACCCTACTGTCCTTGTATCAATTGGCAGACAAGTTCTTAGTCGACGACCTGCGACAAGTGTGCCAAGAGGTGTGCGTTTTCTGGTGCCGTGCTGCTGTTGAAAAGGGGGATGCGGAGATTGTCGGACGTCTTTGGCAATGGATAAGGATGATTGACTTTGGGGAAGAGGAATGGCGAACCAGGATGGAAAAAATCAGTTTCTGGGGCTTGTGTTGCTGTGCTGGAGAAGTTGGACGAGGACAAGGATGAACATTGTAAATAGAACACGTAGCTAAGCTTTTAGCCACACTACACGACATTCCAATCCAGCACCAGGACTTCAGATCCGATTCAATCCAGGCCCTGCAAGTTGATCGATTGCTTGGACGAGACCCTCACCTGCTACTTCAACTCCCGAAATGCTCGACCCACACCAGCAGGCACCACCACCGACAATACCATCGTGGGGAGATCAGCATGGGGGAATCTTTGAAACCCCTTATTATTACACTCTCTCAGATCTTGCAGCGCATGCCAAGCGCACAGGTTTTTCAGAGGAAGAAGAAGTGGAAGCCATGCAAAGGGCGACCAGAGTGCTCCGGAGAGTATATCGACGTTTGAAAATGTACGTAGTCGAATGGAAGTGCAACTGTACTTGTTATTTTTAGCCAACAGTTTCTTCAAGTCCAGCCAAGACGTTCGCCACTTCGTCGTACCTTCTGCACCGCTTCTACGCCGTCTGGCCCCGCAAAAGCCCTTACTACACTGACGAGGAAGTTTGTTTGGCCTGCATAGATATGGCATGTAAATTGGAGGAAACACCCATTGGCATGTCACAGTTGGCGCAGTACGTTTTATGTGAGAGTCGAGGTGTGAGAATGACTGAGAGTGTGAGTAATCGATTGGTTGGCAGTCTTATAGTGATTTGGTTGGACAACTATATTCATGGTGTATTACACTTCAATCTGGCTAGGAGGCTAAAACAGCGATGGAAGGCAAACTTGCTCCACATCAGCAGAAGCTTCTCGAAGCGGTTCAGTTCGATACGAACATCGTTCATCCGTTTTCAAGTTGTGCGAAATTTGTCAAGCAGCTTTTTGGTATAGTACGCTTTCTTTGTCCAAGTCCTCTTATATACCTTACTTTCCTTTGACACTCTTCAAGTCACAGCTGTAGATACCCGGAAGAAAACTGCGCCAGTAAACCTATATCAGCGTGCTTCTTCCATCATCCTCGACAGTTATTCGATACCACTCTGCATCCAATTTCCCCCGCACGTTATTGCCATGGCATCATTGTACCTAGCCTCAAAGTTCTGGTCGGAATTTCCAGCCGTTCAAAGCGAATTTGTTGAGAGCTTGTGCTGTAGGATGGAGGAAATTGAAGGCAAGTCTTTGAGGTTCGCCAGTTTCGCGGATCGATATTATTCCGCACAAGTTAGCATACCAACGCATCATATTTGTTTAGACGCTGCAATTCAATTGCTTGAAATGTATCTTAGAGCTCCAAATCCTGAAAGCTCTCCGACCCTATATAAACGCTTGCTGGATGAGCTTCAAGAACGTGTGAAGAGTAGGCCACCTTCATTGTATACGAGTCCCGCGACTCCCGGAGCCGGTAAGTAACAAATCTACGATGACTAGTATACCGCGCTTGTTTGACGACCTTGATTTCTTTCTTGTTCTCCAGATGCGTATTCTACCAACAGCTACCCGACTTATTCTCCCCACTCTCCACATTCGTACTCCTCCTACTACGGTCCAGCCTCCAGCGCGAGTACGCCGACTGAGGAACGGTACGCAGGGCACAAACGACGGCGAACCGAAGAGGATGATTCCGGAAGACGACAAAGGGACAAAGACAGGGAGCGCGATCGGGAGAGAGAGAGAGATAGGGATAGAGACAGAGAAAGAGAGCGGGACAGGGACTGGGATCGAGAACGAGACCGAGAAAGAGACCGGGATAGGGATAGGGAGAGAGACAGAGAAAGAGAGCGGGACAGGGACTGGGATCGAGAACGAGACCGAGAAAGACACCGGGATAGGGATAGGATGAGGGATAGAGACCGAGACCGAGATCGGGGTTATAGGGAGTATGAGGGAAGTCGACGACGCGGATGGAAGGGCTGAGTTGCCATTATATATAGCTGGCGTCGTTCCGAACAACACAGCACCTTCGTCGTGCACTACTTCACATGAGTACCTGGAAAATCTCAGATGCTACAGTTACCCCCGCTGCTTAGCTTACACTGGTTTGATGAGATCCAAACGAACTCACACTCTCAATGATTATGTCAAAGGTGATGAGTCACTATGTATGAGTTTCTCGAACTGCTTGCAAGGATATTGTGGGACGATGTACCAGATTGTCGGTACTAGGGCTTAGTAATCCTGCGAAGGATTCCATGGGCATGGGAGATGTGATGCAGGAAAATCAGTCGTGCTTTCCCCCGCATTCCCATATTTACTGGCAACAAGTAACAATGCACTCTGAAGTACTCGTCCTAGATACAGTGAACTTGGGTGACAAACGGCAACGGACGACAGCTCCACAGCATGTAGCCGACGAACCCACGATTGATCATATTGTGCTCGAAACACCAACAGACGAACAGAGCGATCCCTTTTCTCTTGCAAGCCGGGTTGTTTCTCCAGAGCGCATCACGGATCTCCGCAGACGAAATCAATCTATCGGTAACAAACGGGTTGCAGCGTTCTACCAAGAGCAGAACGATGAAATCCGACGTCTTCTCTCTCCAATTGATGGCTCGCCATCTTCCGACGACGATGAGCACAAGTCCTCTTCAAAACAGTCCAAGAATTTTCGCCTGCAATTAGCCATTCAAGGGTCATTTGCTGCAAATGTACTTCTTTCTGGGTTGCAGCTTTATGCCGCGATATCCAGCGGATCTATGTCGCTGTTTGCGACAATGGCCGATTCCCTCTTCGATCCGCTTTCGAATTTGATTTTAAATTTGGCACACCAAACGAGTGTCAAGTGGGATGTGGACAAATACCCCTCTGGGAAGGCCAGAATGGAAACGATTGGAAACGTGGTGTATAGCTTTTTGATGGGGACGGTATCAATTGTGCTCATTGTCGAATCTGTACGAACAATTGCTCAGCATAGTGGAGAAGAGCTGTTTGAATTTAATGTCCCTGCCGTCGTTTCCGTAGGGGTCGCTTTCGGTAAAGCGTCCCATGACGCTCCTCTTTTCTTTTGCTGTGACGCTTACCGTAGCATTTCCATTCCACCAGGTGTAAAATTCCTCCTCTTCCTATACTGTTTTTCTTTGCGCTCCGACTCTCAGGTTCGCATGCTCTGGGAAGACCATCGGAATGACTTGTTTGTCAATGCTTTTGGGATAATGACGAGTGTGGCTGGAGGGAAATTGAAGTGGTGGATTGACCCGGTCGGCGCTATTGTGATTTCGGCGGTAATTTTAGCATTGTGGACCAGAACCGCGTATGGTAGGTTGTTCGATGACATATATGTTGTTTTTAGTGTTTGTGGAGAACGGTCCTTAGTTCTTACGATGGCTCATTGTGTTTCCAGAACAACTTCAACAACTTGCGGGAGTTTCTGCAAGTCCAGAGTTCATTCGCTTTGTTACATACAAAGCAATGACATTTGACCCTCTTATACAAAAAATTGATACCTGTCGGGCATACTACTCTGGCCCAGTATGTTGTAATTCGATTCTCATGCTCTAGGTGGTGCTAACACAGACCGCGCAGAAAATCATCGTGGAGGTGGACATCGTCATGGACCCTTCCACCCCTCTTTGGAAAACTCATGATGTTGGCGAGGCTCTTCAAATGGCTTTGGAGAAGTTGGACAATGTGGAGAGAGCATATGTTCACGTGGATCACGAAACGGACCATAAGCCGGTAAGTGGTGGGGAGTGTATCGCTCTATGCGGTCTTTTTCTGACCTTGCTTCGGTGCGCTTAGGAGCACAAAAGTGCTTGAGAAATGCTCTTTAATTATCATTCAAAATGCGGTTGGATTATCAGAGATACACTACTGATGAGCGGACTGTATTATATTATGCCGACAGTGCAGACACTGCTGTACATGATACCGCTTCCGGGAGAAGTGACTAGCAGATGGGGCTATGATTACATAGGACCGTTTCAAATAGCCTTGTGGCGATGGGATAGATGGTTACGTTCGGATGATCGAAGACTGTTTACATTGAAGTAACTCTCTGTTCGGCGACGTCATTGGACTCCAGTTGGGGATCCAGTGCTCTGCAGCCTCCTATCTCTTTCAAGACTCAGCCTCCAACTACAACCCTTTAAGTCGTAAGGTGAGGTTCCTCCCGTCCGGCTCCTGTCCCAATTTCTATTTCGATGGGGCCTCAAGTCCTAGATCAGCATTAGCCGCCTCCCACCGCTTCCGTGATTCCTTTGAGCTTTTCAGACTCCGTCTTTTACGCCTCACATACTATATCAAAAGATAATCCGAGTAGACCGGCCTCCCATATCAGAAAGTTGTTGAGGTTATTCATGGTCACAAAGGACTAACCTCTCGCCGTAGACATGCTTCAAATTCGTCTTTGAGTGTGTCACATCGCCCTCGAAGGCGGCCCCAAAGGTTCTCGTTATCCACGCAGGCGCGAAACCTGCTGGAAACGTCCTCACAGGCTTCCGGAAGAGTCATGAAGATGTTGGTACATGCCAGCAGAGAGATCGGATGGGGAGGCTATTTCATGGCGAAACCATGGCAACTCATTGGGGCACAGCACTGCCATGTGGATGGAACCGTGGTCGAACGCACGAACCAGCACACAGCGGAGAAAACGACAGTCAAATCTTGCAAGATGTGTAGATCATGACGTTCTTCCAACTTGTAGCCGTGCTGACAATCTTCTGGGGACTTTTGCACTATTCAACACGTCATTGGCTGCTGCAGTCTTCTACCTCCCGTCCACATCGGCATCCCAGCTTCCTCCCAACCACGGCCTTCAACAACCAACGGAGTACGAGCTATACCCGAACGTTTGGCCACTTGCGTGTCACAACTACTTCCCTTAATTACTTCTTTGCATCTCTCTATTCGCGGGTTTCACCACAGTGGTGGAAACAATGGTTTGCCCTTGGGACGGTGGTGGGAATGGTGTGCATGGTGGCCGGACTTGGAGTAGTTGCCCATGGAGTGCTGAACTTTTTACTCAAGTTTTGGGCTGAGAAAGTAAAACACGATGAAGACTTCTTAGCGGATTTCAGAGGGAATAGCTCAATGGTGTACTCAACGGGGGCAATGTTGACAACTGTTACTGGGGGCGACGCCTTGGTATCTTTGGTAAGTAGCTCGACGAATACTGATCACATACAAATGCTGTGTGTCCAAACAGAGGGTAACTGGCAACGTTTGTCATCAGATACCCGGAGTCAATTTGCCAATATCTTCTCTTGGATATTACCTTTTTGCCCTGCTTTTCGCCGGTATTGTGCATGAGCTGGGCCACGCTCTTGCAGCAGTGCTGTAAGTAAGTTTGCTCGTCTGCTGACGATTCAAGGATCATGGGCCCTAAACATCCTTTTGCATCTGATCATCATACGTGCAGCTACCGAGTCCCAATTCAATCTTCAGGCTTGTTTCTGACCGTTCTCTATCCTGGCGCCTTTGTCGAGCTGCACGATCCCACTCTGAGCCTTCTAGGGCCACCGGAAAGGCTGAGCATCATCTGCGCCGGCGTATGGCACAACACCGTTCTGGCAATTTTCACCCTTTTCGCTATATATACTCTCCCATTGTGGATGGGGTGGGGTTACACGCAATTTGATCATGGCGTCGTGGTACTGAACATCATGAACCACTCGCCACTGGTCGGACATCTGTGGGTGGGAAGCCAAATTGTCAGTGTAAACGGGGCGGATATCAACGATGGCATTCGAGGATGGGAACAACTTCTTTGGAATCAAGTAGTAGTTGAAAGAGATACAGGAGGATGGTGTATTCCACATTCATCGATTGATGGTGAGTCGCACAGAGGAAGTCATCTGGTGTGCTCACAGGACTTGGAATAACCTCCTGCTTTTTGTGCTCCTTCAAGCCGAAGCCCTTACGTGCTGCGATATTACTCCATCAAACCCTCTCGGCCCACCCAATGTCTCTTCTCAATGTTTCACCTCGCAGAATGGCACGAAATCCTGTCTTTACCTCAACAATGTCATGCGCGCTTACCAGTCTTGTAATGTAACGCAAGATTGCCAAAAGAGTGTGACGGGCGATTCGATTCCAGCTCAAAGAGCAATGTGTATGCGTCCGTATATTCTGAACCGCTTCATTCGAATCTTGCGGATCGGTGTCAGAGAAGGCGGAGAGGTGCGAGATGTAATCTACTTGGGAGATCCTAGAGAGGTCTGGGAAGAAGGTAACGACATGCTGTCCAGTTGCAGGCTTACTATATGTGATTTAATTGAGTTGACTTTTCGCTGTTAGTCAGAGTTGGATCGCTCCAACCGCGGGCATGGTTCCTTCCTGTCGTCCTTCCATACATGATGGAACGTCTTTTGCAGTAGGTGCACATCTCTATTTGATGCACCCCATTCTCACTTCCTAATCGAGAGTCTAGTTTCATATTTTCAATATCGGTTGCTCTAGCCGTTTTCAACATGGTGCCTGTCTTTAAGCTGGATGGACATCACGCGCTCATTGCATTACTCGACTGGATATGGGCGAAGAGCAAAAATAGAGAGCGGGGAAAGATTGTTGTACGTAGGTGGATTGAGGTAGCGAGTACGGTGGGATTAGGTATACTGATGGTGGACGGGCTTCGGGCGGCAATAACCGGCTGATTAATCTAAAGACAGGGAGCTGCTACGCATTCACCCTTTCGACGAAGAAGATAGACCCAACTACGGGATTACACAATTATCATAATTACTACCACACAAAATCTGACATTTGCCAGCAACCGCACATGTTTATTCCTTTCCGGCTCCGCTCTCTTTCTGCTTCCTCCTCAATTTCACGTCAAAGTTATACACTCTTGCTGTGTTCACCTCCATCGTCGTAATCTGATCCCTCAAAAATTCTAGATCCTCATCCACCTGTTCTAAACTCGTTTTCGCGCTGTCGAGTTTACTTTGCAACAAGTCCTTTGCTTCCGCTGTCGAGTATTCCAACATGACATTTGCCCCGAGCCAGAGATTAACGGTTTTGGTTTTTGATGGGTTTATTTTGGCTTTGGCCCATAAGGTGTCGTTCAGCTCATAGTGCGTTTCGAGTGGTGTTGATGAATCCTTCCCAATAGGACGCAACAAAGACACGTATCAGCACATGCAGATATCTACTGGGTAAATCACAAACCCACCTGGTTGGAAATCAGAAATTGCACCATCTCTAGAGTTTTCTTTATCTCGGGAATTTTGGTCTCAAGGCTCTTTTTCCGTTGCAAAAGGTGGATTTCCATGTACTTGTACTTGCTTTTGCAAATGTAAGATCAATATACATCGTTGCAAGGCTGTTATGTTGCTACGAAGTTGACTCACGAAATCATTTCCTGGAACTTGCGCAAGGTGGTCTCAACCTCTCCTACGGTCGTGTACTCTTCCACCTTATCCTATATTTGAGGCAATCGGGAAGCTGAGAATAAATCCCTGGTATCATTGCGATTTCGAAATATAATACCCACCACAAAGGGAGCTTTCGGGATGCCCCGCGCATTGGATTCGACTTGTGCCATATTCTTTTTATAATGTGTGCTGGAGTGAAGGTGATCTGCACGATGTTTGGGACTTCCAGTCGCCGCGTTGCTCACTTGTGTGCTTCCAACCAGGAGACGGTTCTTTACATTCCAGGGACATTTCATAACACATTGTGGCTTAGCCCCGCAGCTTACTCACGCGGGACGATCACGATGACAGTAAACGACTTGTGGGTGCCTTCCCATCTTGTCACAATGTACCTCCGTTGCTTGCTTCTTGCGTTCCTTCCACTAGCTTTGGGAGCCTCTCCTCAGGAGTATTTTGGCGAACCTTCGCGTACTTCTCCGTTAGCAGCATGTCCACCACTTCCACCACGCGCCAGTCCACCAGACAGTGTGTACGACTTGCGAGTATGAACGTCCTTCATTCCACATTCTGGTGACTACGTTCCTAGTGACGAGTACTGATATTTAATGTGTAGGTTGACGATATTAAAGTAATCGCTGCCTTGGGTGATAGGTATGGCTCCAGAGCCGTCTTTCCTGTCAGAGTGGCCTCTGTATTTTTGACATGGTACAAGCATAACGGCAGGATTAGGGGCTAAAGGGATCGTTCGAGGTGACCCACCGTCTTTTGAGAATACTATGGAAGATCGAGGAGTACGTTATCCTATCACGCAGGGCCGTCAAATTTGACAATACGTAAACAATACACTAATGGTGCTGCTAGGTTTCCTTTTCCATGGGCGGCGACCCAGCTGCATTGACCCTCCCTAACCTAATTCAGCATTATCGCCGGGATCTTGTTGGGGCCAGTACGGGAAGTCATTTGGCGGAAATATGGTATGACAGGGCAAATGACGCACTTTAGCAATTGGCGCAAATCTCATGCTGATCATCAGCTACGGACCGTGGTGCCCACCATTTCAATACCGTCCATCTGACAATATGAATGCCGCGCAGTCTGGGGCAATGACTTCCAATCTAGAGTATGAGTTGACATACCTCATAACCCGTCTTCGTACGGACCAGGCAGTTGACTTTGAAAATGATTTCAAGGTGAGATGGAGTCTGACGTCAATGCCATTGAAGCGTTACCCTGTCCTGACTTTGTAATCCAAGCTCATAACAATATTCATCGGGAATAACGACGCCTGTTTCGGTTGTGAGCCCTTCTCAGGTCACACATATTTGTCACCTGAACTTTTCGAAATGGCAATTCGTGCATTATTGGAAAAGATACGTTTCAATGTGCCACGAGCGGTGGTGAATCTCATGATGGGCTTCAATGTCTCTCAAGTATGGGATCTGACCCACGACGATCCTTATTGCAGCAAACTGAGGAACTCGGGGCTTGTCTTCGAATGGTAAGATGAATTCCTGCGTGTCTTTGGTAGACAAACGAAATATTGACGAAGTCCCTCAGCACATGTGCATTTCTTTCTCCCATCCTACGGACGTTGATGGACACATTAATCCAGTCCTATAACGATCGTCTTGCTAGCATTATGAAATCCTATCAAAACAGACAGGATCCAGGATTCGCAGTGATAGTCGATCCGCTATTGAAGAATATCCGCATACAGGATTGGACTTTGGAACATCTAAGTAATGTGGATTGTTTCCATCCAGCGGTGCAAGCGCATGAGGTGTTAGCCAAAGGAGTATGGTATAATTTGTTTCGCAGCAGCGAAGATAAACTCAACGTGGTCGCCCCAGACGACGAATTACCTATTTGGTGTCCGACAAATGAGTCGAGAATTATGATGACATGACGCAAAATATATGAAATAATTGTCGATATTTACAAATTAAATGATGATCCCCTAAACCCTTCGGATTCCTCGCGCAGAACCGAAACCAAACCAGCCCCGTCGCTCCGGATCTGACATCGTGAAGATGGGTCTATTGTCTGTTACAATAACTCTTTTCGAGCCGCCATGCTGTGCAATATCCACAAGGAGGAGTTGGTAATCCCATCGAGAGGTTTCCTTATTCTGGACCATTTCCACATGTACTGTCCCAGATGACTTTGCTCCTTTAATGTAGAATTTCATAAGCAGGGTTTTCCCTGAAGTCGGATCTTCCACTATGTGATGGCTGAACGTTATACCAGTCAGCATGGCATTCTTGGGTACCTCAGGTCGAGAAAGTCACAAACCTTAGCGATTTTCCTCTCCGTCCACCCTCATCAGCCAATCCAGTCATGGGTATCCCCACAAGTTTCTGTACTTCTTCGCTGTTCATAACTCGTTCCAAGGCATCATCGTACACCTTCCAAGCATCGGTTTGATCGACGAGTTCAAGGCCTATGGAGTAGATTGCTGTGCCAATCACACCTAGCCCAACGATAATGACACCGGTATAACCTAGGGTTTGCAGGGCATGGGCAACTGCAGAGTTGGCGGTATAGTTTGGTGAGCGGATGGTAGTCAGAATTATGTATGACATCCACTGGTACCTCGCTCACTAAGTCGCATCTCAGCCCATGGCACCTGTTCCCTTCTAGGTCTCTTTGTACGTGACTCGGTTCTTGGACGCTCGCTTGTCGATTCTTGCTTTGCACTGGTGGAGGCATAAATGCGGCGGGGGCGACAAGAAGTGTCTTGTTTATTCGGCAAATGGAGGATCGCTGATAGATATCTGACAGCTGGCGGGTTTGTGCGGTGGGTTAAATGGCGGATTATTGGCATGATTTCCACTGATCTATGAAATGCTGAAGGGAAACAAGCAAACTCAAGTGGGTGACCACTGTTGCCATGGTATCACATCATCTCTGAAATGCTTCACGAGATATCCAACAATGATGGATGAGATTTCCAGCTAGCGGACACACAATCGCTATTTAATGACACTACCGACTGGTGTAAAACTTCATGGGATCTGGTTCCCATTTTGGCTTGACATTATTTCGCTTCACAGCACCTCTTATTAGCAGAGTTTATCATTAATCGGACAAGTGTGAGTGCAGCGCATTTCTGACGCTGCCGACGTCAATCCTAAGAGTATGCTGGAACATGTAACCCAATCCCTTGTGATATTAATGAAATCAGGCCACCTTGGCGCACACCTCAGCCTTCTCGCTCAACAATGTGCACTCGATTATTCCCTTGCATTTAACTAGTTATGTTGTTAGCAAGTCACTCGTACTCTTTTGGTACTGCTGGTCAACAGCCCTTGAGATCCGAGCATTTACTGATCGGCAAAGGCTAACCGCGGATGGTGCACGGTCACGTTAATATCACAAAAGTTGTCATAGCCCGCAGATGTGCTCAAATTTCAGGAGAGAAGATGGTATGAAAATGAGGCGGCAGGTTTCTCTCAGCACTAGTTTAGCGGCGGAAACTCCACTTAATTGAGTCAAGATGATCCATTCACAAGCCCTTCCGCTCCATTGTTGAAGGCAGTCAAATTACAAACGCCTAAAGTTCGTAAGAGTCGGTCGCTTCGGTAGTCGGCTGCCGTAACCACGATGATGTTTGCCATTGGCATCCGCTGGTGTAGAGGTGACCTCCGCTGTAATTGTAATATATCGAGCACCTGCAACGCGTAGCTAAGCAAGGAAGTAAGCCATTCGCTCGGCACTGTAGCATGATTCTCGTGATAACACTAGGAGAGCGGACTCCTGTGCCCGCTGATATCATCGATATGTTTACCAAAAATGTCCCGAGAGTGCCAAGTGCCACCAGTCTCATTCTCACGACCACGCTTTTCGCTGGTAGACCGCCGAATATTGGATAACAGCTCTATTGCTTTTGATTGAGTCCAAAAAGTTTACTGCACGCATCAACGACTACAGTGCGCCAAGGTCTATTGAAAGTTTTCATGGCTGAACATCTAAAAGCCCTTGGGCAAGATTTCGATCCAATAGCCGTCAGGATCCGTGACAAACGCAATGTTTTTCATTCGTCCTTGAGAGGCCAATCATACCGTCAAAAACAATTCAGTAGATGCCAGTAATGAACCATACTCTTACCGTCATTAGGCTTCTTGAGGAAGTCTACACCCTGCTCTTCCAACCGCGCGCATGCCGCGTCCACATCATCCACAATTACACCAATGTGGCCATAGCCCTTGGGTTCAGAGTTACCAGTATGATAGCCCTCGAACGAATCGTCCGTTTCGGTCCCCCAATTGCTTTGAAGAGAATGGTTAAACACTAGAGGTTTGGCAAAATGACCGTGAATACATACTGGGTCAATTCCAATACACCTGGTCGAGAGAATGCGTATTTTCTACGTTCCTCAAACGAAGCCTCTTGGATGCTCTTGGGAACACCGTAGGCGAGGAAATAGAGTGAGAACTTTGCCTCCTCAAAATCAATCTTCACGATGAGGCTGGCAGATAGATGTTCGTGAGCTACGATAGTAACTTGCAAATGAGGTCACAGCTAACCTTTACCTCATTCCAAGCTTTTGTGTATAGAAATCCACAGATGCTTTGGGATCCTTCACTCTATACATCGTATGGTTGAACTAAATACAGGAATACACTCTTTGAGATCTAGCTGAACTTTTGCGGTGAACGGCAGTACGGTATTCATTTTGACAAGCACGTTCAAGATGGAGACGTACGTCTCTGCGTCGACGCAGTCCTCCCTAAATTAAATGCGTCACATACCTCGTATGTTGAGGGATCGGTCGCCATGTTGGTATTGCCTCAAGGATGGATGTGATGGGTGCGATGCTTTTGATCTTTGGACCTGGGAGAATTTGGGGAAACGTCATCAATGTATGACGCATACTGACTCACTTGAAACTTTTGAGTTGGATTTCGTAAGCAGAGGAGCCTTGTCTTTGTGAGCAGGAAAGCAACCTTGACAAGAAAGGCCCCAGGAGCTAACGACAGCCAGTGTACCTTGTGTGTCCCCGATCCCTTCTCATGGCGGTGGAGGTGCCGAGGCATGATGCTTTGTATCTCCAAAGAGATAGACCTGAGTGGAAACACCCGATTCCAGAGAATATGGAGGTGGAAGGCGAACCAGTTGATGACGCTTTGCCACAGGAAGGCCGACGAACGCAGTTTTCCGAACGAATTATGAGTCCCGATAATCCCAAGCTGACCGAAACGACCATCTCCGATAGTGACGTTAGCGTCGAAAACGAATCACTATCAAATTCCAAACGCAAGCAACCCTGGTGTCCAGACGGCTCTAGCAAGCGTTTATGTACTGACAGAAGCAGTATCTCCTCCTCACCCATCAAGCACTTGTGTCCTTTCGAAGGCTGCAATAGAGTTTTCACGAAATCGTCCAAACTGACTCGGCACCAAGTGTCTCATACAAATGAGGTACCCTTTTTGCATATGGGCGAAGACGTGGCATCGTATTCTTAATACCTACCTATTTTAGCGCACATTTGTATGCCCACATCCAGGTTGTGACAAAACATATTTGCGAGCTGACCATCTCGCTCGCCACGCTCTTACCCATGCACCTACACCCGAATTCCAAAAGCCCTTCAAATGTGATCACCCTGATTGCGGTCGAGCATTTGCAAGTCGCTATCATTTGAACAGACATATCAAGCTTCACGAGACACCACGGCCATATAAGGTGGGGATGGGGTGATTGCGACCTGGGGCTGAGAGGGTAGCTTTTCGACTGACAGCAGTGGCACAGTGCAGCTTTGGAAATTGCACGGACTCCTTCGCAAAGCATTCTCAGCTACGACGGCATATGTGCACGCACACTGGACAGAAGGCATTCCCATGTCCAGCATGTGACAAAAGCTTCTCAACGTCCCAAAAGCTGAAACAGCACCTTCGCCTACATTCGAGTAAGTGAACTGCATGCTGGTCAGTTGGCACACTAACTTATCCTTAGATTATAAGCAAATCCGAGATATCAATGCACGATCTGTAACACAACCTGCCCTAAATGGTCTCTCCTTCAGGCTCATATGAAAGAAGCGCATAAACCTGTCTGTGACATTTGCCATAAAACCTTTTCGAGACGAGACGTTTTGAAAAATCATATGAAAATACATGCGGTGGACAGGGAATTGTGGGCTTGCGAGTGGGACGGTTGCGGGAAAGTCTTCACTAGCGTGAGTGAATTGAGGTTGCTAACTACCGTACCTTGGAGGGCTCACAGGTGAACGTCAATCCGTCCATCAGGCCAAAATTCGCGCGATACACGTTCGATCTACACACGAAAAAGTCAAAGCCTTTCTGTGCAACCACGATGGATGCGGAGCCGAGTTCGCACATAAACACCTTTTAGTTCGACATCGCCGCTTACATGAGACTTCCCCAACTGTGAGGAAGAAACGCTCAGACGCCATTCCTCCTCCTACTCTTCTTGAGCACCTAACAGGTCACAATTACGCTGGTGTTGAAACTGGACGGTCAAAACCATGTCCTATAGTGGGATGTCGCTTTGCGTTCAGGCGGCAGTACGATCTAGACCGACATATAAGGAGCGTGCATAGACGTATTGACGAAGCTGATGTAATTGACAAGGTAGTGATGATGGATGGAGATTCAGCGGCGAAATGCACGGATGATAAACTTCTGTGGTCTATGGGGAGTGAGAAAGGAGAAAGGGAACCGACGCGAAGGAAAAGTATGCGAACAGCAGAGAAGATGGAAGGGTTCTACGATGAAGCAGAGCTATGGTCGGATTCTGACGAAGAGTTTAGACCAGAGATTAGCGACAGCGAGGTGGGAGATGAGGATGACGATTAGGATTAGAAGCTTAGGCAGAATGCATCGTGTACCCCACACGTGAGAGTAGTCGAGAATAAGAGCTACGCTAGAATCGCTACAGCAGTGTGTATTATGAAGCGCTGCCAATGCAACTGTAGCCACAAGATCTTGAAGATCTACGATCGTCGCTTTTTGTGGAAGATTGCAGAGGCAGTAGGGGAGGACTATGTGAACCCCGTCATCTGTCAACTGGTGAACGCCCGATGTGCTACAGAACTTTCTTCCTTTCTCCACGCTTAGGTGATCTATTAGTTCAGCTTGACAAGAAGCTAATTGAATAGATTCAAACAGGTCACGGGTAGGGACATGTACCATGCACTCTGTCATGCGGTGTCCCACTTGCAATAATACGTTTTACTTAATTGTCCTACAGGCAACAGCAACTAGCCTATCCGGCAAGACCAAAGATGGTTTTTTTTGCATCAAAGGGTTTTTAAATGCTCAATGAAAAAATTTGTAACTCTCCGCCACGCAAGATTAACGAGATCCTTGTCAAATCCACCTTCGTAGCCAAGCTCCTTGCGTTGCTGAAGCGACCACGGAAGATCATTCATGAAAGCGTGCTAGGGAACAGATATGGAAATTAAATTGAATGTTTCCGACACCTCATTGGAAAGGCAACAGAGTATACTAGAGACTCACCCCTTGGCCCGGGTAGAAAAAGACGCTTGCCTCCAATTTGTGGAATCCTTCCGCATGTCTTCCACCATGCTGCCTGATCACCTCCTCCCATTTCCTTTGCACGGCACGAGCGGTCTCGGGATCGCTAAATCCTTTTTTGTTATCCTTTTCCCCAATATGTAGTTGGACGGGCGTGTAGAGTGGAATGGGAGTAATGTCGATGAGAGACAAAGGAGGAATCCCGTAAAATGAAACGCATGCTGAAATTGTTGGTGGGTGTATGCTTTTATGCAGCTGTGGCTTGAAATTTCGGGTTTATTTACCATTAAGTGGTCCGGGATTCTTGGTGGGCCCAATGCTGGCGGCTAGAGCGAGAGACAGAGCCCCACCCATGCTAGACGAGGAGGACTATTAGCATTGAATGCGGCTGTTGAGTCAAGTATGTTACGCACCAAAATCCTATTGAACCAATTTTTCTGCTCAAGAAAAGTCATTCGTACAAAGTCTTGCATTTTTTGCAGTGTACAGCCGTGGGAACTGTACCTTTTACCATCCTTTCTCAAATCCTTGACCAATTTCGATAGCTCATCTATGGCTCCGGGCCAATCCAATTCGTCTCTTAGATGTGCCGCTTCCTGACAATCATTTTCGAGTATTCACCACATAGCATTGACGATGGATCACAAAACGACGTAGTATCTCTTACAGCGGCGTCGAGTGCTTGCTTCCCCCGATACAGATCAGGAACAATTGCGATTGCTCCAGTATCATTTGCAAGGTGTTGCGCGTGTGCTTTTATTTGCTCGTTGATGCCCCACCATTCCTTGCAGGACCAATGTATGTTAACAAAAGCAGTAAAGATATCGTCCCCTCCGCTGCATATAAAGAAGCACAATCGCAAGTCCTTACCTGCAAGACAATAATAACTGGTTCAGGAACAAAAGAGCCTTCTGTATTGAGGTCGTGCTCGACTTCTCCTTGTGGTTGAAACTCGAGAACGGGAAGTGACGACTTGTGCAAACGGGAACCGGCCGAAAACCAGCGTCCCTTTAGTGCTGGGTTTAGCAGAGGAGCGCGAGCGTGGAGGCCACGAAGGACTCTGAAGGGAGTTTGTAGGAAAGGCATGTCAGGCTACAAGCTTCTGTTGGGGGAGTATTCAGATGAAAAGGTCTAAAGTTGAAGGACCAAGGCGAGCATGACTCATATCACGTCACGCGTTGTCGACACCAGCCAGTGCGAACAAGTAGCCAAGAAAACTGTTGTTGGATTCCAGAGGGAGCAACATAGTGCGGAGCCGATGGGTATTGGCACTAGTACAAAGATTCCAACCAATTTAATCATAATTTTACTCGATTTAGACTCATGAACTATGGTTTGATCCAAAAGATCCTATATAAGTTGTCGTGCCCATTTTCCCAGGCTTTCATCTTTTTCCACAGATATCATCAATGCCACCAAAAAAGAAGCAAAAACTCGAAAAACTCGACAAACCTACTTGCTTACATACCTATAACAAGACTTCCTTTGCAAAAGCTTTCCTGCCAAACTACCACCAACGGCTTCTAGATTACATCGCCATCATCCATGAACTCGCTTCCCACGCTCTCAAATTCTACATCCTATCTGCACCATCCTTTCCCACGGTAGATCAAGATACAATCGAAGCGATTCTCTATCTTCTCAACAAAGGAGAGGCTTGGCATCCAAGAAAGGAAGCAAAGAAGGCATGGCGGGATTGTTTGCTGCCATATGTTTAACGGTACTGCCAAATCGTCGGCTTCGTTCACCCAAATCTACGAGGCGAGCAGCAATCAGTCAATTACCTGACAGCAAGTATGATGACAAACCTGAAGGTCAACGTTCAAGAGCATTTCATGCAGATGCTCCTTCGGTATATCAATCTGCGGCTCGACGTGAAGGGACAGAAGCAGCGACTGCCACTGAAAAGCGATGCGCGGAAAGCTTTCTTTACTCGACTACGCTACTTAAAGTCAGTTTTTCTTTTTGATACTGTACCTGAGTTGCTGGATTTAACACCATTGGAGAGCGAGGTTCTTGAAGAGATTTGGTCGCTCGATCTGCCTTTTCTTGTTGACAATCCACTCGCCTTCGCAGTTGTCGTGGATCCAATGTCCTTTTTCCCTGCTTACTGTCGGTTGTCAAGCCTATATGAAAAGCATGGATTTCGACGGTTCAGTGCAATCCCACTTCGCCGCTCCCTCATCCAAAGCCACATTCGTATCGACACGGTTATTCTGCACCAGCATATCCTCTGCATCACCCGCCAAGAAGCAGAAGCCGTAGCGAAGGTCGATTTATGGTTGCGCGTCTGTAATCTGCAGAACAAGGCTTTTAGATCTCGTCATGGAATGTGTTTTGAAGGCTCGATCACGACGGACGGAACCTCGATGTCTGTATACCTAAAGCACCCAGACGCAGACAAGTATGGAAAGCGCGGAGCGAGAAAGTCAGCAAAGACTCTAGAAGCTGAGGTGAAGGCAGTATATGTGGAGAACAACTTGCCTGCTTGTCGAGCAGCAGAAAATGTCATCGTTATCGACCCAAACAAGCGCGACATTCTCTACTGCCAAGACAGCAATGGTACGACGTTCCGCTACACCGCCAATCAACGCTGCAAGGAGACAGGTAGCCGCCGAATTGCAAAGAGACGAGAAGCAATGAAAGCCGGCGGCATTGACCTCATAGAATCACGTATCCCAAGCCACAAGACGATGAACCTCATGGACTTTACTCGCTACCTTCTCGTTCGTCGCGCAGATTCGGATCGTCGCAAGGAATTCTACTCCCACCCTGCCCACACACGGTGGAAGTGGCATGCATTTATAAACCGTCAGAAGAGTGAATCGAACCTCATATCCAACTTGCGCAACAAGTTTGGGAACTTTACCATTGTGATGGGAGATTGGAGCGATGCCGGTCGAACTGCGAGATTTCAGACCTCATCCAAGACAAAAGGCTGGCGCACCCTCTTTAAGCGCAACCGCATTGATTGTTTCCTTCTCGACGAGTACAAGACCTCATCTGTCTGCCCTCACTGTTCCTCTGACGTTGAAAAAGGTTTCAAAACACGACCTCATTCAAGACCTTATCGACGACGAGAAGGCAAGATTGAAAAAGTCCACGGATTGCTGGGTTGTACCAACCCTAACTGTTTGCAGCAAGCCTGGACGATGCGCTACTGGAATCGAGATACGCTGTCAACCTGCAATATGGTAACGATCGTGCAATCAATGTTGGATGGACACGGTAGACCAGAGGTGTTCAGCAGGAGGAGTGTTCCAGCTGTAGCGTAGCGTAGATTGGTTAGATTAGGTTTTCCGAGCCGGTTGTCGCGCGGTTCAATCCCTGGTGCGGGTGCTAGTGCCAATACCCATCGGCTCCGCACTACATATGAAGAGGGCAGGCAAAATAACTACTGTTCGGTAACACTCCTACTTCTACATTACGTGTTCACTAAAATTAAAACAGCCTTCCGGACCAGCCGGTGGACTGCTACTTACGCACCCAAGACCCATTTTCCAATGAACGCATCGAATCCCATATCATTGACAACAATATCACCATACAACTCTCGTAACTCTAGACTTGTAAAGCTCTCCAAGGCTGCTCTGTGTCTTGATGTAGATACAGAAGGTCTCGGCGTTGACAGCTTTGAGTACGCGCAATCATCACTATCTTCCACATCCGAGCTTGGCTCCGCAAGCCGTAGGACAGAACCCTTGAGCTCGCTGAATCGATGAACGGATCGAGCATACTCCACTGCGGCCTGAAATGTTGCAAAGAGGTTTAGATCAAAAGCTGTTCATCAACCATTTGGAGGAAAACCATACCTCGGGGGTCAAGTCTCTGACAGAAACATTTCCCACTGATGCCTGACCAAAGCTGTCCACACTGATATTGTTTGTCACCCACCAGCGGGGTAAGTGGCTATTTTTACGACGAATCCAAAGGGTTTTCCACCCGCCATCGGTGTCCTCTCCACCGGTTTCAGTCTTTCCTCGACGAATGGAGAAGATCCTTTCAATGGGACTGACGCCAGAGTTTCCTCGTCCATTTGCTCGTAATCTCGTCAATGGCCTCACTGGAGCCACCGACTCCCGTTTTTGACGTGGTCCATCATCATCCGCTACTCGGGCAACATTGCGAACGCTGTTTTGCTTGAGCCAGCGGACCGGAGCGGAAAAGACTCGTTTAATCTTTCCCCAATTGATCAACGTTTTGCGATTTGCCTTTTGCTGTTGCTCCTCCCCATACTTAAAATCTCGGGGGATCGTAGAATGTCTATGGGATTGGCTGAGCGTCGTGCCGCCAGCGGCAGGGGCGGAAGCACCTTCAGCGACCGCTACCCAATTACGAGCAGTCCATAGAGCTTCCTCCAGTAGAACTTCTACTGGTGTCACTGTTGAGGGACAGGACTCCCTTGTTGGGGTTAACGGCTGAGGACTATCCCGGTTGGGTGCGTAATTCTCTAGCCATGCATCAGAGTCAAGAAACGGAATCTCCAGTGGTATGCGAGGCAAGGACGGAAGGACATATTTGTTGTAACCGGTGACTTCATATAGTTCAGGTTTTGTGTCATTCTGTAGAGGTGTCCGATTCGGAAGTTCAGGCGGCGATTCATTAGGTATGTTCAACTCCATGGTCGTGAATCTGGAGTCCACAGAAAGATGAGCCATGTACGTTCGTGCAGTCAGCAAGGACGATTCCGTTTGTGCTGTCTGAATGCCTTTATCCACTTTATCTATATGGTCTGCATTCTCGACAGTACTGGCTGCAGCAAGCTTTTTTGCTGCTGGGTCGGTAGTACTGAAGTTTGTGGCGTCTTCTTTGGCGCTGTCGTTTTCGATATCAGTATTTGATGGTGGTCTCGACGCTTCGACATGCTCAGAGTCTTTCCTTAGTAGGTGAACTGGTAGCAGAGGCGTCTGATCTTTCGCAAAAATTGCCGCATGAATCACACTATCGTCGGGCAGTAGTAACTCTTCCTGCTCCATGTCTAATTCAGATGCTATAGCCGTCGTTTCTTCCGGTGCAGGATCGACCAGGGGCGCATGTCTGTTACGCTTATGATCAGAATGCCTACGAGTAAGAGTCACCGGCATGCTGTCGACGTTAACTGCATCTAAGAGATATGAGATAGAGTCATCAGTTAAGCAGTACATGAAGCACTTACCAGGAAGCGACGCGTCTTGTTCCGCACTTGCTATCATTATCCCATGGGTTTTTATGGAAGATTGAAGCTCTTCAACGACTGGTGCCCCATATTCATCTAGCACATCACACGCAGTCAAGAACGAATCTGCGGGACTCGTGCCATAAGGGAGCACGTCCAAGTCCTTAGCACACTGCTGGAGGTGCAGCGCTTTATCAGAAATAATATCCTGCTCAGTGCCTGGGTATTGGATATTTTCATTGACATGAGTCCTCTCGGTGGAGGTTGTGGAAAGTATGGTCACATCAGCCGCGGAATTGGTACCGTAGGAGGATTGGCCTTGAGCAACTCGAGTAAGCACACGGGAGGACTACACAGTCTTGAATGACGTTCACGAAACTTACTTGATCGCAACCAGGTGACGTCCGTGTCAATATGCAGTCCTTTTTTATTAACCACATTGACAGGACTGTCGCCAATATAAACAATGCCTTCTTGAAATTCATGATCCTCTTCTACGTCGACGGGATCATTTGAGAGCTCCAACTTGGAGTCTTTTCTGGTGGCCAGCATCGTAGTTGCCATTCTGAGCTGCCCAGTGAGGAAACAGGTGGTGTGATTAAAGCCGTGTGATTTCCCAAGCAGCTGCGCCCTTTTGTGCTAACAAACTCAGGTTGGCGCTTCACGTTGAGCTCGCTTGTAAATTTACAAAATGATATGGAATTGAGCATGCAAAATATGAGTTGCAACACCTTCGTGGTCTTACCTGTCACAGCACGACCTTCAAAGGCAGGACACGATATTATAAGGTTTCACGTGCGACTGGAGCCGCGAAATCTGCATGAACGGAACTGCTGCTACCAGCTATGTATTGTTTAACAGGGGTTCCAAAGTTAGCCTTGGTGTTTTCGTCAAGGATTGCTGTTCTCCCGTGCGGTTCTTACCTGGTCTCTCGCTCTCACAATTCCAACAACTTGCCACACAATGCTCACAATGCACTTGGACCTTGCCTTATATCCCAAGGCTAGTTCCTCAACTTTAAACCCTAGTGCTATGCTATGGACGACGCTATGGTTTAAAAAACGGCTTTGCTAGATGGGTTAAAAAAGCAGATGGGAAGAAGCAAGGGCCATTTTCACCCTTACGAAGGGGTTAGGTCATTTGGCCCAATGTAGGTAAATGTAGTGCTTAGCATATGACATAGCTGACCACAAAGCCACGAATGGACGTCAACTGTTGATCAACTCGCTGCAAAAGAACTGAGCAGAAATATATGCGCCCAACCACCGTGCGAGATGGCACGGAAAAACGTCAAGAACAGCCATAGTCTTTAGGTAAGTGATATTCATCGCAAGAGGAGTGTAAAGCTTATATTCAAACTTGTTGTTGTTGCAAGATGGCCAGGAACTGTTAGTCTCGGACGACGAATTACGCTTCCTTGGCCGGAACCGACTTGTCATTGATACCCAGTAGCTCAACCTCAAATAGAGATGCATGTTACAAGAGCGAACGCAACGACGAGATATAAAGATGCAGCCCTTACCTCAAAATTCAGCGTGGCCAAAGGCGGGATCGGTCCGACGCGGCGTGTTCCGTACCCAGCTTGGTGTGATATGACCAGCTTGGCACGCTCGCCAAGCGACATTGTAGGAACACTTTCTTCCCATCCTTGAATGATGTCATTATAGTCAGCATACCTGAACGATGCTTAACAGTTTCAGCATGCATACCTGGGATTACTCTGCCTACACCGATCTGGATCTTAATAGGGTCATTGCGATCCCATGAACTGTCAAACTTTGTTCCATCATCGAGCTAGATCAGACTGTCTTTAGAACCTGCTGCGACATGAGTCTGTGATCTCTCCATACTCACAGTCCCGGTATCTAAAGGATGGACGAATAGGATTTTGTGTAAATTGCATGAGGTAGACAAACAACTACCGGTGTTATGCACTTACAATGGATTGTAACAGTGTCGCCCTAACATGAGCATTCATTAATGAGCTGCTTCGTTTTCATAGGACGATCTAGAGGCCTACCTTTTGTGGATACGTCTTACCGTCTCCCTCTGCCAGTATTTCCTTTGTCCAGTACTTACTATAGTCCTCTGCTGGTGGACTGTCGTTTCGTGGTGGCTCACTTAATCCGGCTTTCGGTGCAACGAAATACAATGCTAATATAACGGCAAATGCGCCAGTCACCAGCCAAAACATGCGCCTATACGCGCCTGCCTTATTCTTGTCTTTGGCAGAATGCGTCCTGGGGATCTTGGGACGTGTTGGTTTAGGGGAGGTCATCGTTTCCTTGTAATCGTGTGTTGACAGTTCCTAACAAGAGATCGACTAAATGTCCAGCGGTTTCCGGCCTATCTGTAGTGGCGTAGAACTTGCATTGCGCGATGTTAACCAGTCGATAAAGGTGATATATTTATGGACCCACGTCGCTGGCGCTTCGACGTGAGGATGCAAAGCACTGGAGGGCATCGACCTGATTCAACTGCTGCCAAAAAAACGTCTTTGACAGAGACGACTTACCGCATGGACAGAGGCATGGGGCGACGATAAGAGTCCTACATGCTGCCTGGGGTTCCTTTGACAGCCAGACCGACACTCTTTCTATAGCCCGATCAAGGAATTCAAAGGACCACCAGTTGGGGCACGCCGGGCTTCTACTTTGTGGTCTTTGCCAGTTCAAATGGATTCACAACAACAAACCTCGGGAGGCACACCTGCTGGTAATGCCGCGCCACGCTTTAGTCTTCCTGCCGCCGGCCCTCGTCCAAACAAGATAGAACGGCGTCTTTCGCCATTGAACCCGCTTGCAGCATCTCCCTCCGGACTTGCCCCAACCTCTCACCCGCTCCCTGCAAAGTCTCTGCATCGTTCAGAGTTTTTAGATCCGCTTGCTGCTAATAAAACCGTTGTCGCATCGCCACCAACCTGCGGATCGTTTTTGTCTACCTCCGAACCTCCTCCCATTCCCACTAAATCGAAGCGTCGGACCTTATCTAACATTACAGCAAGCCTGCGAAAGCTAACCAAGAGTTTTTCTGAGAGTGATGCCCCCGAAAGAGAGACGAATCCATCCTCACCTGTGTCACCAGTCCAGTCCAAACCTCTCCCAGTACCCCCCTCAATGCAATTGCGAAGGACAAGTCGCTCCTCAGCTACATCGGAGAACAGTGACACTGACAGCTCAGTTTCACCAAAACCTGTTAGTCCCAGTAGTTCTGGAACCTCTCCGGTTCACATACCATCCCGGCCGAGGAAAGGATCGTTGTTGGAACATAACGCATGGGGTGGAAGCCTACCTTCCATGTCGTCCTCTAGTCCAAACCGGCCTCTCTTATTCCAACGATATGGGTATGCTAACGACAATAGCGGGAATAGTGACATAGTGACCGATCCATGTCCAGCACGATCTGTAGGCTCAATAATGCAACCTCTCTTTCCTCAGGAAGATGGAGGATTTGAGGAAGGAGAATGGGATGATCCGACAACAATGGTTCCGAAACACTTGCTGATGACCACGGGGTCTCTGCCAGATCTGCCACGTTGGTCCCGTCAAGCTCTATTGCAGCACCCTCAGCGATCTGACTCTTCAGGATCATCTAGCGTGGTATCGCCTCATGGTCAAAGTGTGCATGTACTGAGTACTGCCACCATGGACAGTAAGAAACCCGTTGGAAAAGGCAGGCATCAAAGTTTTAATTTCGGGGTCAAGCCCCTTCATGTCGAAGGTGAAGGGACAGCCTCTACCTCTGTACCGCCAATGACTGCGGTGGGACGACCCGGTCGTGCACGAGCAAATTCCGGTGCTCCTAATCTGGCATCACTCGAAAGGAACAGGGAAACTGAGGTCCGCTCACAAGGCAGTGAAGTGCGCTCATCCAGTGTTTTTAGTGCGTCGGACGTGGATGCTCTCCATGCGCTATTGGATAGATCGCGACAAGTTAAAAATTATCGATGGAAGACGTCAGAACCCGTTGCCGTATGGACTTCCTGGACGGAATACACAACCCAGAGTACATTCCATCCAATCCTTCCGCCGCGCAAAGAATCGCGAGCATCCATGTTTGATTCACCATTGCTACAACCCCTCTCTACAGATGTACGTTCCCCAAGTCCAATGTTTTCGCTGGACGACGATGACGCTCCGGATGATGATGGCGCATCTGTCGGCTCGGGATCCACAACAACCTCCCGACGCTCTCGCCCAGAGTCTCCATTCTTTGCTACTGTTCTTGGCAAGAAGAGGTTGAGCCGCTCTGGAAACCCATTATCAATAAAAACTAGTACGCCAGGTCAAAAGCAATCTTCGGACGTCCGATCCCCATCTTCTTCGCCACGAGGAACCGGAGCAGAGTCGCCGATCGTCAGTAGCAATACCTCCCAGCAGGCTGCCGAGGGCCCCACAATGACACGATCACTCAGCGACGGAGATTTGTCCGAATATCTGAAAGGCTACAGTGAAATGAAGAACTCGTTGCGAATAGCGAAAACTACATGCAATGCCCAAATCCAACGCATTATTGCCGAATTGCATGCTTTCGTGGAAGGAAGTTTGGAGTATCACGATCGAGCGCCACCACCACTGTCCTTGAATCCTTTCGATAGTGCCAGAGCAAGAGCGGCGTCAACTACGGCGCTGTTTGGACCGGACAAAGAGAAAGGAAAAGGTTCGCTTATGCACGCACTATCCGAAGGAAACTTGTCCCAATCCTCTGGTGATTGGGATCGTAATACGTCAAACGCCCAACTTGACTCACAGACATCTTGGGCGTCGGATTTGTCTATAGCTGCCGATGAGGATGCAAAGGAGCCGCCGTTATTGAAGGCTGTCACTGAACTGATCGCTATTGCGCAACATATTCTCGAGATGGATTTGGCGCAACTCATGACCCCTGGCGCCTGTCGGGACGCAATCTCTCGAATGATGGCTTTACGGGCGCTCTGGAGCAGGAACCCCGATTGGGGATGTGGTGAATATGTCATTCGTATGTTGATGGCATTTGCGGACGTGGCGCGAATGGTTGAAAGTTTAGAAGAGGATACGAGAATGTGGACGTACGTTGCTGCCGGGTCCGTGGCATCTCAAGGGGGACAGCTGGCAGTGACTCAATCACAGATCCAGCCTCGGTCGACATCCAGACCAGGATCGGGAAGCCGACACATGCGCCCCCCGCTTCTTCGACGCGAGTCACTTTCATCTGGGCTTGGACTCGAATCGAGTGGTGGCGAGGAAGAGGATGGATACCAATCATTCACCGACAGTGGAGCAGAAGCTAGTGATAGCACGAAGGGGTCCTTAAACCGTCGGCCAAGTGGACGGGGAAGAAGTATCAAACCACCGGCTCCTCTCCAACATCAATTTTCACAACCGCAACTGGTGCGACCTCAGGAAAATTGGACTCTGACTGAACTTCGAGCAGCTGCCGGGGAAGCACAAAGTGTGAACGTGATGATGGAACTCGGATTTGACGGGAGACTGTTGTATGTATCTCCTGTGGTGAAAATGGTTTTCGGATACGATGTGGAGGAAATGGTAAATGAACTCGATAACTCTCCTCAAAACGGTACACTCCCCTTTCTTCCCCCCGAAAGCTCAGATGCGAATGTTTTCAAAGAGGCCACCGCAATGCTTCAACAAGATGAGAAGGCGGCCATTGAAGTTACATACCGTGCGCGGCGAAAGGATGGGCGATGGCTGGAGATGGAGGGTAAAGGAATGGTAAACTTTGACCGCACTACCGGGCAGAAGCGGAGTACGATTTGGGTTACACGACCTGTGGCCTTACTTGGAGAGGAGTGGGATGACGTTGCGGAGAGTAGTGAAGATGGAGAAGAAAGATTGGGCGGAGAAGAACATCAGCAGAGTCCCGTCGGGATTCACATTGCCAGTATCGACACTGATCGTAATAGCCCCGTAAGAATTCGAAGTTCACCAGTTTCCTCGCCATCAGTTACAGTCGAGCCCCCAACTCCGCTCTCCAGTAACAACATGTTAAATGCACTTCCGTCTCTTGATCTGGTTCTCTGCAATATATGCGAGCGCTCAGTGCCAGCGGTTCTTTTCGAAGAACATACTGAATCCTGCAGCGAAGTACATCGGATTGAAATGGATCTGATGTTGGTGAATGACGAGTTGCGAGACGCTAAAACCCAGTGCTTGGAGCGAATCAGAGTACTTGAGCTGGAGATGACGGGAGATGGCGAGGATGAATGCGAACGGAGACTGTATGAAGAGTATGCGAAGCGATTGCTTGGCATCACGCATTCCGTATTAAACGTGATCGAGGATATCCTTGCAATTCCCATACCTGATGCCGTGGATGATGTGTGCGATGATCTGGAAGGAGGGGACAGTGGTCAAGAGGATGGGGAAGATGACCGCGTGCTGCTGCGAAATCGAAGTCATCTTATGTTGACCTCGCATGAGTCAAGCTTACGACGGCGTTCAAGCGTCACATCCCGCATGCAACAACTTGTGAACTGGAAACCACCGGCAGAGTCTGAATTCTACCCACCGGAAGTTCCTTCGACGTCCACACTCTCGGCGCTAAAAGCTCTGGACTATCTTCACACAGACACTAACACTCCACCTGCAATTGATACGGCGATGGTGGGCCTTGGACTGGGTATTTACCACCTTGCTACTGACGTTGAGTCGCTTGTCAAATCCAAGTGTGAGGGTTGCGAGAGAATGAGAAGCGTTGTTGGGCGATATAGGGAATTGGCCGTAGAGGAGGAAGCGATCAAGGTTGAGATTGGGGTGCAGACAGGTACCATCGCCGTTGACGAACGTGATCCCGGAGGGACAGAAGTTGGTGGAGTGTTTGTGCGCGAAGTTGAGAGTGGAAGTGATGCGGATGAGAAAGGGAAGAACAATAGCCGGAGCACAAATAAGCGTGCGGATGGGCGCCCGTCGAGTGGCGCTCGCTCACCTGGATCTAAACGAAAAGACCGGCGAAAGGGACGTCGAAAAAAAGGCAGCGGAAAGGCCGTGGGTAGCCCTGAAGCGCTGAACATTGACACCCATAAGCACGCCCGTAGTGCCAGTCCCCGCCCGAGAATGGTGGTGAACAAAAATAAAACGTTGCAAGTCGAGTTGATATCCTCACCGATGATTAGCTCGCCGAGGTTAGGGAGATCAGGCTCGTCTTATTTCGCATCAAGTTTAAATCAGGCGGCTCCGGTGGGCACGTCCATGGGATCGTCTCCATTTAGTGGACAAGCTTCGGGAACGGTGGGGAATCTGACACCTTCGAGTAGTGCTGCTGGTGGTCCTGGCACACCCCCCTCAGCCAATGCAGCCATTCAGCGCTCTGTGCCAAGTATCAAAGACTTTGACATTATCAAACCGATATCCAAAGGTGCATTCGGTTCAGTTTACCTAGCCAAGAAACGCCTGACTGGAGACTATTACGCTATCAAAGTCCTCAAAAAGGCTGACATGGTGGCTAAGAATCAAGTGATGAATATCAAAGCGGAACGGATGATTTTAACACAATTGGACAGCCCGTTTGTTGTTAAACTGTACTTTTCGTTTCAAAGCCGAGACAATCTTTATCTTGTGATGGAATATCTGAACGGAGGTGATTGTGCTGCTCTCATCAAAGCTGTGGGATGTTTGGATGAGAAGTGGGCTGGGCAATACATTGCGGAGGTGGTTTTGGGATTGGAGTTTTTGCACAGCAGAGGGATTGTTCATCGGTGGGTGTGATGTTGTGGCCGATCGAGCCAAGGATTACACTCTAACACATCTTCTTTAGGGATTTGAAACCGGACAACCTTTTGATTGATCAAGATGGTCACGTAAAATTGACCGACTTTGGTCTCTCTAGGGTCGGATTTCTTGGTCGTCGTGCGCGAGATTCGTTCTTGAACCCTTCATCAAATTCCTCATCCAACAACACAAACGCCCCCGGCAGTCCGATAATTGGTGCTGTCCCTACCTACCCAATTTCCACTACCACCCCTACGACACCAACTTTCTCACCATCTTCACCATTCAAACTGGGGGAACATCTGTATGGGGTCTCATCTCCGTATGCGCTGGGACGGCATAGTCGACGGAGCAGTGTCGCTAGTAATGGCAGTATGGGAAGTGAGAGAGATGAGATTGGAAGTTCTGGTAAGGTTTTTGTGGGTACACCCGATTATTTGGCTCCGGAAAGTATTTTGGGCTTAGGGCAGGGAACCAGTGTTGATTGGGTATGTTTTGCGCCCTTCTGTTGAAATGAGTCCTTTCGTTTTTTTGCTGATCTTGCGTTTTGATTGTCGCAGTGGGCTCTCGGTGTAATTTTTTACGAATTTCTCTTCGGGATTCCCCCTTTCCACGCTGCAACACCGTCGCAAGTCTTTGAGAATATTCTTACCCGCCGTATCGACTGGCACGAAGACGACTTCGAGCTATCCCCAGAAGCACGCTGTTTGATGGAAAGTCTAATGTGCACCGACATAGAGTCTCGTTTGGGAACCAAAGGTGCCTATGAAGTGAAACGACATGCCTTTTTCCGCGAAATGGATTGGTCCACCGTCATGAAGGAGGAGGCATCATTCGTCCCCAATACGAAGGGAATGGAGGACACAGATTACTTTGATGATCGAGGCATTTTGGAAGCGGGTATGGATGTGGATGAGGATGAGGAGCACAAGGAACCCGCGTTGCATAGTGAGAAGGAAACTGTGAGGCATGAGCATTTGGAGGTTCATGAAGCGGCCGATAACGCCGCTGCGACTCCTCCACGCTCCGAAGGGAAGAGTACATCGCATGTCCGGCAGGCGTCTCTCTCTTCGCTTCCTACGGATCGAGACACAGGATTGACAGAATCTGCTCCTGATTTTGGAGAGTTTGTTTATAAGAACTTGCCCTTATTGGAGAAAGCCAACAACGACTTGGTCCGCAGGTTACGATCCGAGTCCCTGAGTGGCAGTGTCGGGGATGTTGGGAGATCGAGACATCGCTCTTTGCCTGCGGGTGCGGCCAATCTGGCTGGCTTCAGGTCCCTTGCCACATTAACGAGTTCACCAGCACCTTCGCCTGCGACCCTATCTCCGCCAACCGGGCCTCTGTTAGCACCTAAAGGTCGACTTCGAAATCTTTCCTTCAGCGAAGCCCTCCCTCCTCCTGCACCGTATTTGTATCATCCTCCAATGCCCAGTCCGCCGCTTACTACAGCGGCTGGCGACACACCTAAAATTTCGAAAGTTCGCCTTGAGGAACACGAGCTGCAGTCACGGAGGAATTCACTGCCCAGCAGGCTCAGGGCAAGCAGTTTTGGAACTGGTGCTGGCAATACTGCGGCGAATTCTGGTGGTACTGTAGACACCACCCACCCAGGAGAGTATTTGCAAAATGCAAAAGAGCAGTTGATGAAGGACAAGAATGTACCACCATTATCCTCTAACGTGTCGTCATCGTCCTTGTTACCATCCCATCGGCAACTGGATGTTCTCATTGCTGATGATAACCCCGTCTCGTTGCGGATTCTGGAAAAGATGTTGAGCATGCTCGGTTGTCGATGTGTGATTGTACGGAATGGGGCGGAAGCCATTCGATGTGCCCTTGGTGAAGTCAAGTTTGACGTTATATTTATGGATATTCGGATGCCTATAGGTATATTTCAAAAGGAATGCTCGGTTATATGCTGTTGATTGCGAAACTAATGAGCGTCCTATAGTGGATGGCGAAACTGCCTCGCGCATGATCAAGTCCACAAACAACGTTAACCAAACTACACCAATCGTGGCCATCACTGCCTATGAGCAGACCTTTCAGTTGAGTCAGGGGTTCGACGATACCATGTCCAAACCTGTTACAAAGGATGTGCTGTGGAAGATCTTGGTTGCGATAGAGGGGCGTCGGGAAGCGAGTATTATATGACAATGATTCTCATGTGGGTTGCGATGATTTCGACCCATTCGTACACAGGATTGGCTTGTTTTGTTTTTTTCTTTTGTAGACTTTGCTTTGATTTGTATGATAGTTTTCCCCTTTTATTTTCGTCATGTGTAAAGATGACCTTGTATACCCCAGATCTTGTCCATCTTGTTCAAAAAGAGTGCTGATATTGTGGTCTATAGTATACATGAAATATCCACCAGATCGCCTAATCTTCCCAATCCATTGGTACGACGGGTGGTTCAGCAGCTATGGGGCCAGACCGCACTGGTCCCAGCTGCTGCGACTGATATGCCGCTGCAATATATAAGGAAGCAGCAAACGTCATAATTCCAGCAGTAAGGGATGTGGCGGCTGTTGGAATAGTTCCCATCGGCTGTTTGTAAGTGAGATATGAAATACAAGATAAGAGACGGCGATCACGCTAGTGACTAACGAACGACAACGTACCGTAAACATCTTAACACCGATAAACAAGGCAACAGAATGAACGATGGCTAACGGAAACGTCACTTCGAGACCAGATCCGACGAAAATGGTCAGGCCAACATGCAATAGGGTGGAGCCAAAGCTCGCAACAACTTCCGACCACGGAGAAACCTCAAAGGCGGTGCGTCCTTCCATAATCGCCAACTGATTTTTGGCAAATATTGCACGTTCGTCTTGGCGATAGTAGAGGTTCATCTGTAAAAATATTCATACGCTGTCAGTGCGTACGTCTGTTTGCAGTAGAACGTGTATCTGAACCTTACTCGAGCTGCCAACCGTCCAACAGAGCCAAGGCATTCCGCTGCCGCCCAACCGAGACCCACTGAATACGCCATCCCATATGTCGCACCGCCAGGCCATCTATGTAACAGTACCCCTCTGACAATCTCTTCACAAATTCCAGAAGCCAAAGTCACTAGCGTTCCACCTCCCACAGCATTTGGGTTGACTTTTTTCTCGAGAAACTGAAAAGGAAGGCGAAGGCTCAGTGCAATGTACCAGCCTACTGCACCATAAAGAACGTATTTGAGAACTAATGGAAAGGTTAATACATAGGTGCTGGGCAGTAGGCGGAAGAGAATGGAAGGGAGGACGAGGGAGAATGCAAAGAATGGGAAAGCCAGACGAGAGGATTTCTGGAGCTGGGATGCCGTCTGCGGATCTGGGATAACGCCCTGTCGAAGAGATGTCGATGGAGCGGTTTGGGTCCCCACCGGTGGGCTTGGAGGCGACGACGATTTCGTTTGACGGCGAGACATGTTGGCCTCGTAGTTATTGTACGAGCGATCTACAATTGAGTTTGGTCCGCCTCTCGGTTTTGCATGACTGTGCAGTAATGAAGACGGCATTGTGCACAGTCACGAAGCTATCTCAATCGTAAAATTCATCTATAGCTTGTTGAAGTTATCTTTTCCTGCTAGTTCTTGTCATGAGATGATGGAATGTGGAAGCTTATGCCAGGGCTATTATGCAGAATATTTTGGCTTGCGGCAGCTTTGTTTGTTAATACGCCGCAGGTTAACTCTCAGGTCGATAGGAATATGAGTGAATACTACTTGTTCCGTTTGTACAAACAAGGAACAAAGCTTTTCAAGAGCTTTCCGTTGCGTTTCCTGAGAACAACAACCCGCGAGCAGAGACAGACTAAAATCAAATATATTCACCAATCTCGCTGGTCATTGATTTGGTTGCCCAAGGGAGGTATTGAGAAACTGTTTTTGTTGCATTATAGTCTTTCGTTGCGCTATCAATTGCAGGTGAAGGAGAGAAGGATAGGTCAATACGACTTACGGCTGATTTGGCACGGAACATTGATAACGAAAGCAGTGGGGTGTGGTTCCGTAACCTTGTCTATCGTACTCTCTCGAATAAGAAGTAGAATGCTGCTCAAGATCTAAAATGTACCTATCCACTCGCTCCCAACATAATACTAGTCAAAGTTGTCGAATACCTTCCTCTGCTTGCCCTCAACTGTAAAACAGTAGTCGCAAATGGGCCATATAAGGATTACCTGTGTGTTTGTGGCCCGGATTGTTGCGTTCATTCAACGAATTTTGATCGTGCATTGTGCTGTGCAGCCATTTTAGCGTCGTTTTCAATCATACCTTGCAGTGAAATAGCAGAAAAATTATGCTGACTTTTATACTGTCAGACTCTCAAAGCGTTGGGAACCCTCGACTGGGCTGCTATCGTCCCAAAGAACGGCCATATTATTTCAAAGCAATATCTGTCTCCCATTTCAAACCTGTTTTATTGGGAATTGATGGGCCAGGCGCAAAGGATTTGAGATTCCCTTGTAGGATGCTTGGAGCGAGACACTTCTAGTCCCACCAGTGGTGACTTGTCACTGTCACCTCCTCATTCTCCATCTCAACAACAGGTCATGTCGAGCCCACTAACGATCAGCATCACTACCTATGCCGACACCGTTGTTCGGGGGTTCTTTGCGAGTGTGTGGTCAACCATCTCCATAATTCTGGGACTAGAACTCTTTCAAAAGACAACCGGTCCGCTAAATCATTCTCGTCTTCCTCTTCGCCACGATCTGCAAAGAGTTTTTAAAGTAGGCGCCAGTACACTACCGTATACACAACCCTCAGTCTCGACTTTATGAACACAATTTCCCAGTTCATCATGCAGATTACAATTCTTGAAATCAACATGATAAAAGTTCGGGCTTTACCAAAACAAGATTGGGTCAAGTCGTTATCCGGATGTTTTTGTTGGCAGAAGCGAGTTTAACTCTGACTGGACAGTCCTAGTCAGTGCAGAGGAAGATTGGTCCTTTTTACTCGAACATGTCGAGTACACTCCTCGCACTTTGTCGAAGTGGATTCACTGGGTTGGAAATTATTCTCGACATTGGACTTATTCTTTGGCTGGCTGACAATCAACCGCAGCGATAGTCAGTAACACAACATCAGTTTTCAACCGTGATTTCAACCATTATCGTTCCGAACGTCATCATGTTTATCTTCGCTTGCCCAGTAACGGCGAGCCCTCCTAGTTGGGTGCTGTACCGAACAATTACGTCCAACTCGTTGGAAACTGGTTGATTTATTTTCAGTCGCTTGCTTTTGTGTACGACGTGTACACATTCGAAAGTGAAACGGCAAGCGAGAGAAATACCAATATGTTGGCGAAGCAGAATGCTTTTCAACTAGAAAGAATGAACCGAGGGTAGTCCAATCGTTCACGATTTCGAAAAATGTTGAAAATGGAGTTTGATTCAGTTGCATACATTGGTGACCGCTTAGATCAATGGAATATGTGTTCTTCGTTTCTGTATTGGTACCTTATGCTTTGTACAGTCCGAGTGGATGCCTGTCATTAGGCAGAAAATGTAAGGTTGCTTAAAAGGAAATTCTACCACCAAATTATATGATGTATTTCTCAAATCATTCTTGACTCTTAAATGTTGAACTATTATCGATGGTGACGGTACATAGTAGTACAGAGCTCCATTGTTTATAACGGTGCACTGTTGATACCCTAGACTTCTTGATTTATTGTCGATTTAGCTTCCATGAGTTAGTTCCTTGATATCTGGGACTTGCACACAAAGATGACAAAATAAAAGTCAAATTGCTGCAGGACGTTCTATCGTGAACCTGTTTCCAGGGATTTCCCTTGCCCTTTCAGTGAATTATCCATTTTTATCCCATATTGTACCCTGAGGGCCATCCGATCATCTCAGACAAATAATACGAAATGTGATCCCCACACCCTAGGACGAGCGTCTTACTGGTGAGCGCATTCGGGACGATGTCCTTGAATAAACGAGTCCTTTTCAACACCGTGGTTAATCGTTACCTCTGCTCAGTCTGTTGAAGGTTTCTTTGTAATAACTGCCATGTCAACCTGCAGCCAGTTCAACGATAGGCAATGATGTGATTCTGAACTACTATCCAGTTCGAACCATAAAATAAACATCACTCGCAACTTTGGACTTGGATCTGTGACTTTCCGCAGTTTACGTGGTTTTCCAACATTTTTTTTTTTTCACTTGACCCAACCTCACTCAATTGCAATGTAAATGCTTGCTTTGGGTGCGTCCAGCTGCAGCCAGAGGATCATTATTCAAAATCATCACTAAAACCACCCGCTTGGCGGGGAGGACGAGAAGCAGACGAGGATCCATCGGAACCCCACTTACCAGCCCTGCACTGTGCCCTGTACATTGACTGGGCGACAGTTCTTTGAGTGTTTATCATGAACCCTGACGGGATTGCGATGGTGGCCCCTAGAAAATTTCTAAAGCCATTAGCTAATGAATTGCGTGCACTTACGTCGTGTTTTGAAAAAGAAGACTGTTGCAAGCGTTCATGATTGCAGCTGCAACAAGAGCATTCCGGTGAATTGAGCCAGCGCTGCGTAATCTGTACTGGGTGACCTACTTTACCACCAGATCCAAATTTCTAGGCGATTGATTGAACACCTATCCACATATTTTTTGATGGTCGGAGAGCAAAGGTTTGATGCAAAGCTCAACCTACAAAAAGTGCATTCTGGTCCATTCCGGTAAATTGAGTCAACCATTGTATAAAGCTGTACTTGGTAACCTACCTTACCACCAGATCAAAAGCTCCTGCCAATTGTTCATCCACTTTGAAATTTTTGATGGACGGAGAGAGAAGACTTGACGACGGCTTCCGAGCCTGAACCTACAACAAGCTCATTCCGGTAAATTAAGACAATGTAGTGCAAGCGGTTTTCGTTGAGATACGTTTACCACACGAAGGCAGCAGTCATAGGTATCGAGCCAATGATTGCAAGTGTATGCACTTTCAGACTGTCCAAGAGAAAAGACGGCTTAGAGCGTCCATGGCTTAACCTACAGCAAAAGATGTCTGATGAATTAAGACAACAGCCGTTTTTGTTGAGATACGTTTACCACGCAAAGACAGCGTCCGAAGATATATGCACTTTTCATGAGGTCTGAGAGAAAAGAGGGGCTAGAGCGTCCATGGCTTAACCTGCAACAAAAGATGTCCGGTGAATTGAGACAACGTCGGGCAAGCTATCCTTATTGTTTTCCTTTACTTGTTTTCCTTTATTACAATCATGAGAGCGTTCAAAAGTGTTTACACTCGAGCTAGAGTCGATGACAGAGCCGTACACTGTTTCAATGGCCTATATACAGGGATGAGCACGTACTCCCCGTTAGTGTATCAAGGATACTGAAGGACTTGGTACCTCTTACTGCTTTTCCGCCCTCGTTTGGCCGCCGTACGCGCGTCTTTCCGTCATAATTGCAACCTGCCGCCTCTTCTGCAACGAGCAACGTCTAACCTTGCTTGGGTACATTCAAGGAACCTTCCTCGAACGCCATACAACTTACAGGTAATCAAGCACGTACTCAAAGTACCTGCACCCCTTGCATTGGTATCTGATGATAGTAAATGTTCGGTCCTATGCGAAAGGGAAACCGTATGAGTCAAAAGTTCAACTGAAAAAAAAATCAATCATATCCTATCTTCATACATAGGATAAACAGCATCTAACGGCTGTTGTCAGTCCTGAAAATGCCCATTCTCTGCCTTCTTACACCCGCCAGCTCAACATGTATGCATAGGTCATGGTGCGTATGTGCGCAGAAACTTGTCGTGTAGCTAATATTACCTAGTATTGTACATACCTTAATTGATATGTTAAGCGTTGTTGTCCACCTTAAAGTTCCTCGTCAAGATGCAAGCAACATTCCGCTTCAAACTTGGATGTAAACCCCAAAGACGGGGATGATCCTAAAATAAAAACCAAGGTAAATTTTTGTCCCAGGTTTAACCCCCTAGATGTACGTTCCCAAAACACAATTAGCAATTCCCTCGTACCGCGCGCTATTAAATAAAGAAGGAATCCATGAACCGAATCACATGCTTTCCACTTTATATCTTCGAAAGTATAAAGACCTGCTTGTTTTCAAGAGTTTAATAACCTTGAGAAACGATATGCACAAATGTAATACTTGCTATTTATTCGCAACCTCTGGACAGTCCTTGACATGGACTGTGAATAATCGCCACTTCAAGTGAGAGGTGATTCACTTCTTATTTCTTTAACTCACCGTTGACATTCGTCACGAAAGTGAGATGAACTCTAGAAGAAAAGTTACTTGTATATAGCTCGAAGAGTGGGACCTGTCCCGAATAGTCAACAATAGGGCCAAAGAAACTAAATCATGAAAAGGGATGCTGATCCCCTTTTTCGTCATATTCACATTAAGCGCCTGGGTTCAAATAATTGACACAGGCCGGTCATACAAACCAAAACTAGATACATATCGCATACTGTGGACGTAGGTCCTGCTACCACTACTGCTGCACGTCCGTTAACTGTGTTAGGTGAAGTGTCAGACGCTATGAAGAAATGACTCGGTGACCTGACTTTTTTGTTGCAGGGTGTGACTTGCCGTACCGTAAAGCTGCCTTATCCTCTTCATGTAACAGTATCGACAGAACCTAATCGATTTGCTAAAAGTGATCGGATGATACCAGCAAATTTCTCCCCGCATCGCACTGGTTTCTCTACGACATCGTTCATGCCTAATGAAAGGTATAAAGCGACCTCGTGTGGGCGTGCATTTGATGTGATGGCGACGATGGGAACTGACGAATTGAATTCCAATATTGTTGGAGGCGTTTCAATGGGTATAGTAAGTGTAGGACTGCTTAATGCTCTTGGTCGATATGGAGGTGGCGCCGACAAAGGCGATTCCATATCTGACTGCGGTGATGATGTGATCGTGGGAACGATAGGGAGACTGTAACTTCGATGCTCGCCAACGATAAAATCTGGGATACTGTGCATCGGCGATCTGCCACGAATAAAAAGACAAGTTGTGCATCCGTCAAGCACCGGCATAACTACAACAGGCAATTCTCCTCAGCATTAGCTTCACGAACTTTTACAAACCACTTTTGCATTAAATCGAACATTGATAAATCAACGTACCGATGTCGAGAAGTATGAGGTCAAACAGCGATGTCGAAAGAGCATGAAGTAACTCCAGCCCATTTTCAAACATGTCTGCCGACGAGACAGTATATCCAAGATGTTTGTACACTAGCTTCTGTAAAGCGAAATGCACCATTCATCAGCTTAGGGAAATGCTCACATAGTAGCGCTCAACATGAATTGCATTATCAAAGGAACTTTTTGAAAAAAATGCGGTTTTGCGAGTTTTTTGTAGACAACAACTTTTGTCCGTTCTTTGGGCGCTGCATGCCCTTTGGATACAATTCCAATACTTACTGCTAATATTTTGGCGTTAATGGGGTTGTCATCGACGATAGCTATGCGGGGTGTGGGTTTTTTTGCGGTAGAAACCGCGACGGGATTTTTGGGGGCGTCGTGTGGGCTGTCAGGGGAGGCGGACGTCCTGGCCTCTTTCATGACACGGATAGATAAAAAATCCTTTAGGCTTTCATCACCTAATAATGCTTCAAAGACCGACGACAAAAAAAGCTTTCGTATGCAAGCTATCTGTTATTCTAGAAAACAACGTCAACGACTAGAAGTGCGACAAAAAAAAAACAGCCAACGTCCGGGGACCAGGTCGTTCAACAAATGAATCTAGTGCCTTTGTGGGTCTCTGCGAGGTCTAGAAGTGAGCGTTCCAGAGTCCTGGGTCATGGATGCTGATCCTGTAAAGGAACATTGCACCGAGTTACCAACAACCAAAAGTTCCCATTTATGGGTTTACATTAAGGTAGAGGATGATCCATGATATTCTGGTTATATCCGATCGCATGGTCCGGAATCTCGGCCCGTGAGATGTGACTCTTTTGGATAGAGTGGGATGGATGGAATGCATGGCCATATGATTTAATAACCTTTTGAGATATCAAAGTTGCTCCAGATCTTGTTTGGACAAGCGGATGTATTGGCTGGGGTGTATCCACAGCTTGTTTATAAAGGTTTAGAGTTGCTCAGCAGATCACCCTGTCCACATGTTACAGCCACAGCGAAAAACAGATATGGAACAAATATACCGGTATTTACAAAATGTCTATCTACACACAGAAATTGCTATTTTTCTCGTAGTTTCCCCAAAGATCGAGGTTCTGGGGCACGAACCTCAGCCATCTTTTGATTCTCCCTTTCAAATGCTGCTGGTGGAGGTGTTGGTGATACAGGCGTAACTGACTCGTCTACCACCCAATCGTCAAACGTTCCCTTAACGCCGACTTGTTGTAAATGCTCAGCATCCAACACTCGGTTCGGTCGTCGGACGTGCGGTGGGGAAAGCGTAAAAGACGCCGATTGGTTGTACTCCCGACGTAGGGCGAGAATGAACAAAATGAAAATGTTGTAACGGATTGCCGTTACTAGGGCGGTTATTCCGCTACGGTAGTTCACCGCAAAATTCGATGTGATGGTGAAGGTGCAGTGTAAGAGGGTTTCAGCGCACAGATACAAAAAACCTGTGGTGAAAAAACGTGTAAAGAGTGATACACCTTGCCGGTTCTGCCGCAACATGGGAAGGTAATAATTCACGACGAAATCTTAAACAAAAAACATTGGGTTCAGATTTCCGGGATTGCAAATAAAATACAATAACATATACTCACAAGTCGACAAATAAAAGGCAGTTACAGCTTGCACGACACTCAAAAAAGTGAACATTTTCTCCGCGCCTGGGGACTCATTCTTCGTGACGCTCTCATACACCCAAAATATATAGTTTGCTCCAGCAGCGAGCGACTCCAATCCCAGCCAAATGAGAGTAGCAATTCGCAGCCGTCGTTCAAAGGCCGTGATTATGGAGAAACGAAGGTACAAGACCCAATTGAAAACCTCGTAACTGAACATGAAGCATCCTACTCCGACTCCGATCGTGAGGATGGGACTGTTTGGTGCCGCCTGAATTTTTGGTAGCATAGTGCAGAGTACACCCACTAGGTACGTGCCGATGCACGCACCAACAAGGATCCTGAGCGATGATTGCTTTTTTCGTAGTACCAGCAACCACATCAAGACATTCATCGTTAACATGGCCACAGCAGAAGCGCGGAGTATCAGGTCCACCACTGCTTTCAATGCGAACAACGGAGTGCTATCGGCCATTGTCGGACTGGATTGATTGACGGTCTGGTTTGCCACGGGGAAGGCTTGGCCAGAAATTGTGGTAGGCGGAGCAGCCATCAGAGATGCCATCGTTTCGTGTGTGCTTGTTCCGCGGCGACGAGACAATCGCCACCTTACGCCCTCTATAGCGAGAAAGTCTCCAGTAATTCACGTCGTTACCGGGAGGTTATTGTTCTATCGCTTTTAGTGGTCCCTGTACATTCTGGTGCCTTCCGGTCTCCGGGGATACTGAGATGGGTATCTGGGGTGCCACCTTCTGCTTTTATGCAATCATTCCGCTCTAGGCTAGCTATTCTTTAGTCAACATGAGACCGTCGGAACTGTTTAAAAAAAATCCAGTTCTTGTTACTTGTTTTACGCCTATCCGGAACCTTCCATATTGGGATTTAAATCCAAAATCGAGACCTATGTGAGTTGCATGAAGAACAGATGAAACTAATATCTGACACCAAACACACTTTTTTATTTTTGTATCTTTCATGACGGCATTTGGTTCCCAACATCGGGAAATTCTAGGAGCTATCCTGTTGCAAACGCCGTTAAACGTTCATGTATAACAAAGGGTCGATCACGGAGACGGAGACAGCGAGCATGTCGTTCACTCCGGTTCTTTCCGGTTTGCTCTAAAAAGAGGATCGAGTCACATTAAGTATTTACTGCTAACATGTCATGGTCATTGCGTACATGCGGCACAAACATTATGGATATGGTGATCTTCCATTCACGGCACTAAATGTCCTCAGACAGAGAAGGATCAGAGTCAGACTCCACTTCAGCTCACAGTGTTACTATGCCGTCGCGGCAAAGTCCTCTGTATGAAAACTACAGCGTCTATTCTCCCCGCGGTGCCTTAATGTTTCGTTGTTCACGGTTGGTACACTCACAAGCATTCCTGAACAAGGCACTCTTGGTAACCGTTTACTTTGAAAAGGAAGAAAGTAGAATGGTACCTCAATCGAAAGCTTGCGATATCCTTGAATGAATCACGCACAGTCATACAGTTGACGTTTGAGCCCAAAGGAAACGGGAGAGTCGGCGAAGGGGAGGAATATTATCTAGAAGACCGAGAAAACATTTGCGTCGGATGTGGAGGGCAAGTGCGGTTGACGTCGCATCATATTGGTAAGAGTTACTGTCCGAGCTCGCTTTTTGGCTACGATGGTATTTAAAGCAGGACAGTACCTTTTCAATATAGAAAGTTCATGCCACTTGAAATAAAATCGCATGCTTCGCACGATATTGTCCTTCTCTGCAACCGCTGCCATGATGCATACGAAAGCAAGGCTCTGAGTGTAAAGAAGGAATATGCAAAGAAATACGATATCCCACTCGAAGGACGTGGATACATCCCTCATCCACAACACCGGCGGTTGCACGCAGCTGCCAAAGCACTTTTACTCAAAGATAACAAAATACCCGCATGGAGATTGAAAGAATTGGAAAGCCAGATTCGTGAATTCTTTGGGGTCGACGGGAGTATTGATGATGAGGTTCTCAAACAAGCGCTGGGGCTCCCTTTACTGAGCAGATCGGATGACTTTGAAGAGCATGGGGAGGTTGTTGTCCGAAAAATGTCCGAAAACGAGCTGGAAGAGTTTATACGGATGTGGAGGAAACATTTTGTGGAACACGTCAAGCCCCAATCTTTGAGTGCAATGTGGCGAGTAGAAGATCCCGTAAGAAATCGAGGTCCGTCGTATCTTTCATTCCCGTGATCTCAATACGTAGTGCGGCCCAACCCTCGCTAACTACAATCGTTGTAGCATCTGCGACGGTAACGTTAGTGTCGACAATGACGTAGGAGGGGAACACATACACATGCTATGGTGAATCGGTGATCGGCCAAAATCTCGATCGCTATGGAGATACGATCTCCAGCCTGTACGTTTCCGCGTAGATTAAAAAGAAAGCCGCCAGATACTGAAATAGAATTTTCCTGGCTCCAAGTAATATGTAATTTTCGGAGCGTCCCGAGTGTCTGCTTCAGTTGTACAGCGATCTTATGTAGTGTATATTCTACCAATGTCTTTTGGGAGCTCCCGGACGCCCGAGTGTCTATGAAATTGTGTGAAGCAACGTCCAATAAATGCAGACACGTTTTTATGCATGATAAAAATTAGTTGATTATGACTCCAAGTAAGCGCACATTAGGTGAGCTGAGTACTTCCGCTCACTGGCGAATACGCCATCCTTCAGGCCAATTCGTCAAGCAGGTAGCATGCAAAAAAAGTCCCTGTGTCTCAAAGCGATCGACTGTGTTCAGGTCGACTTTGTTGGCGCAGTATATCGGAAAGGCTGTCGATGACTCTGCATGCATACTATATGATGATATATGAATACAAGTAAAATTGGATGCAATTGACGTAACCTGGATGTTAGGATATTTCAGGCCCACGGGTTGCAGGGATAACGAGTCCAGAGTAGTGCGAATGCGCAGCAGGGTCCACCGTGGCTGAATCGGCAATAAATGAGCGGATGCGAAAAACTAAAGAAAATCAGCATTTACCAATCATGGAACGGCGACCATGGATAATGGAAAAAGAAAAATACAAAAGCAAACTTGAGTACCGTGCGATCGATCACCCATGGCAAATTGGAACTGGACGGTAGTAATGCGACTATTGCAATCGTGGACAGCTCTTTGTCATCTGTTTCGGTCATCGGGAAGCAGGGCCAGTACGGAGGTACTACTCACCTTATCAGATGCTGCAGGCATCGATTACCGTAAATCGAGCCATTGGTATCGCTTGTTACGAAAGCCTGGTAATCATGCACGCGCCTTTAATTTGAAGCTATTTTTGTCAGGGATAGTTTCCCGCCTCTCGGAAGCTGGAGTATCCGACGAGTCACCATCAGGTCGTTCACGCTTTCCGACTTTTCATTGGTACAAATGAGTAAAAGGCTGAGGGGGGAGTTTGCTACAAAACCTACTTTTCAGACTTGCCGATATAGGTGGATTGACAAATACAAAAAGTCCTAATCCGAATAAGGATTAGAATTCTCGAAAAGAAATTTGGGAGTGCGTGCTCTATACTTTTACGCTCCAGGTTCCGATCCCTCCAAGTTTTAGTAATTCAATGTCCTCCCGTGGCTCAAAATCCACGGGCGTTCGCTTCATCCTGCGAAAATCCGGTAAATGGAAACGATCTTGACATAATACCAAATCCCAATCCAGGGAAATTGATTGTACCACTGTCATGCAGGAGGCGAAAAACGGATCGGAGGGTCAACGGAGACTGGTAAGCCACGAGATTCTTTTACCCGAATCCAGCGACACAAAAGTGACAAGAAAGACAATATTTGTTGTGTGTAGAGTATCCTTTGGGTTCCCTTACGGCATGCTAGACCGTTGGATTGATAACCCGCTTGATTTGAGGTAACGCGCCGCCCCTTCATTTTCCCCATCCACGGCGCTGACGTTGCAGGGCATCGTGGCCTTTTTTTTGAATGAGTAAGAAAGGTGGGCAAGCCGGGAAGCGGTCGACACTCGTGATGAAGTCCCCCAACACACAAGCAAGGGCCACTTGCCGTGCTCATCTCTCTTTCGGCTTTTTTTTATTTTCCCTTTTTCTGCACACACATTCCATCTTCAGGAGATCTAAAAGGCATGTGTTGTGACAATTGAAACGGGAAATGCATCATGTGTGGTGATACGCTCTTTTTTTTTGAGATGTTTTCGCCCTGAGCTTCCGAGCGTCAAAGGAAAAAAAAAAACAAGTACACAAATTGTTGAACATTACCAGCGCACGCACGCTCGGCTACTATATAATGCGTGTTTAATCTACTCCCCCCTTCCTTCGCTCTGCCCCCAAAAACCGACCCCACAAAACACACACGCACGCGCAATTCCGGGGAGGTTTTGATTGGAAAAACCTCTGTCTTTTTTTTTAATCCGCACTGCCATTGCTGCCATTTGCCTCTTTCCTCGCGTCTCTACCAGCAACCCGTTATAACATTTCACCGGAAAAGTCATTTCCCTGGCATTTTGTGAGCCCCTCATGCAAGCACATCGACACGACTTTCCGCTGTACGCTCCTTCCAAAATAATGCCTTGCCCCGACGAATTTGAAGACTTTTTCGGATCCTTGCCCAACGATTACGTGATGGACGACCTCAATATGGCTTATTCTCAGCCTTCTTTCGATCCTGAGCTCTTGATGCACACTATCCCACTGACGTTGCCCACCATGTCATCATCGGGTTATGTCCCATCCCCCGCTCTCTCCACCACATCCCTGTACGTCAACGCATCTATAACCTTACCGCAGCAATATACTTGCCAGCCTCTGCCATCAAGCATGATATTTTCCAACAGCTTTCCGTCTCCTCCAAATCCTCCAAGTGATCATGAACGCATTCTATCGCCGTGCACCATGTACGACGCGGTTGACAGCCCCCCGTCACCAGCCAGCGATGCCAGCGGCGGTATGCCAGATATCCCACTTTATGCAGAAACCGCGTCAGACCCGAAAAAGCTGGGCATTGCCGGCGCCCCTCCCCCGCGAGGAAGGAGCAAAAAGACGTTTCCCTGTACAGTTTGTGGAAGGAGATTCACGCGGAACTATAACTTGAGAGAGGTGTGTTTCTCCCTAATCAAGGGAAACTCTTGTCATGGACGACGATGACTCTGGTGGACGACCTCTTGTTTGTGCTGGCTTGTTAACGCTTGGCTCCATCATAGCACATGCAAGTCCATGACTCTGTCCGTGTTCGTCGTTTCCATTGCACAGAATGTCCTCGCTCTTGTAAGTTTCACTTGCATTACTGCATATGCTCTTTTTCATATCCTCATGCTTTTTTCCATTCACTAGATTTCCGTAGTGCCGACCTCTCTCGTCACCGGAAATCCCAGCACACACCACCCATCCTCCTCTGCATTTGCGGTGCTGCATTCCGCCGTACCAGTCAAGCACGCAAGCACCAAAGTGAGTGCGTGCGAGCACTTGTGGCGAGAGATCAGTCTGATCTTCCAAATTGAAAGTCAGCACCATTCACGGACGATGTCGGGCTGGGCTGTAAATAGTGGACCTCTCACACACACATGTTTGTTTATCCTTGTTAGCCAAACCCCATCTCTCTTTTCTGTATATACCGTGCCCATGTGTTCATAGCGGGGTTTTGGAGAGTTTTTGTAGTGTGATCCCTTAATAATGATTTCCCTTTCATTCTTTGTATTGAGTCCAATGCAGCGGAACGGCGTACCCGCCAGATGCTGTACACATAGAGTATGGGCGGGAATTTCACAAAAAAGCCCGGGCCCGGGTTCACGTTTTGGTGAATACCCGCCATTGCAAGCAAAGAAACAAATAAAAAACAAACAAGGCAAGCGTCCCAATCGATGTACATAGCATGAGATCACTGTAGTATGACGACAATCTCCTCACTCTTTGCGAGATCAACAGGTAATCTCCCGTGCTTATCCTTCACCATAGCCACCCCTCTCGAGATCTGAAGCATTCTTCTGAGAATGTTTACATCCCCAACGCAAGCGGCTACATGCCATGGTGTTCGCCCGTCATTATCTGCCATATCAGCTAGTGCGTCATAAGAGAGAAGGAGGTCAACCGTCGGAAAGTTACGGGAAAGAATTGCTTTATGAAGTGGCTGTATTGAAAGAGGCATTTGGATGCGTGCTATCAAGCAGATATTCAAAGGGAAATGTAGCACGTACTGTCGCCCCAATCTCGTGCGTTTTCGCATTTGGGTCTCCTCCGCTTTCGAGAATGACTCTGCAAACATCGACATGTCCCTGACGGGCCGCATAGTGCTTTTTGGAACCAGATTCAATCTTTCACTATTGTGTATGCCCACGTTGAGCACACTCTTGCCTACCAGGGCCGTGTATCCTGCACGATCTCGTTCATCAGGACAACATTTCAAAAGCCATTTCCTGACCTTTGCCACATCTCCACGTTGAGCACAGCCATGAATTGACCGTTCAAAGTCGAGCTCTGTGAGGGACTGTGTGTACAGCGTCGAGAGTGTATGGTTACAGTTGGAGTTGCAATGCTGATGGCTCATGCGATGGAGAATGTTGCGCGAACAAGCCCGAACACTGACTCACCGTGACTTGACTCAAATTGGGGCAATTAGGGATGAGCCACGTCCAGATACGAATTGTTCATGAACGTGCGTCGTTGCGCAAATGCAAAATGCATTCATAATAAGCAATTGTACGTTGATGAGGGGGGGGATGACTGAAGGAGGGAAGATCAGCAGACTTTAACATCTTATTAGTAAGGTCAAGATTGCATGATAAGGTATCCCATCTTCAAACTCAATTATCCGCGGGTGAAAACGCTGCCAAGCCTTTCTCCCTTGCATTCAGCAGGAGCCAACAGGAGCCAGCAGGAGCCTGCCTCATGCAGGGTGTTCCCGCCCTAGGCCATCCCTCAACGGCTGACGGATTCGCTCCAAGGTGAGACGAATTCGACTTTGATCTCATATGAACCTGTATCCTGCAGATAAACCGGATGTTGAAGGCAGGAGGGTCTCCCAAGTACAAAGAGTGGCGAAAAGCAAAATACCGCCAGTTACAGATTTCAATTATTATGAGGACGTTACACTTCCACAGGGTACACGTTATAGTTGAGCAGTAACCGCCCCCTCTGCCGCCTTTTTATTTACCAAGACGGTCCTATACCTCACTAACCCTTTCGTCAACCTGTCAAACGAAGTGTCCAATGCCTGTGCGCTCATCTCATCTTCCTCAATAACAGGCTTGATTCCATGTCGATTCGCAAACTGCAACATTTTGCACATGGCCCCCCTTGACGCAACCAGGCTGCCCATAAATCGAATATTCCTCAAAATAAAGACAGTGTGATCGCGTATCTCCAATTCTTTCTTATCGTCCTGCGCACCAACAGTGCAAAAGATGCCGGTGGGCTTCAGCAGTGAGAAATAATAATCATAGTCGAGGGAGGCGGACACGGTGTTAATAATGAAGTCAAGTTTGCCGAGTGATCCAGTGGTTTGAGGTGTGCAGAACTCGTGCGCTCCCATTTTGAGTGCTTCGTCCTTTTTATTGTCCCGTGAACTGAAAGCGACAACGTGGCATCCCCACGCTCTCGCGAATTGCAGTCCTAAATGCCCAAGTCCACCAATTCCAATGACACCAACTCTAGCGGTTGGACTAACATTGTTTTCAAACAAACAGTTGAACATGGTGGCTCTAAGGACGTATAGAAAGTTCGATTAGTGTCTAGTGAAAGGGAACATCGCAAGCCATCTTCTGACGTACCCAGCACACAAAAGAGGAGCCGCATACTTGGGTTCCAAACCTTGAGGGACGGGATAGAGGAACCTGGCATCCCACACCGTCTTCTCGGCAAATCCAAATAATTTGCCTTCTGGAAAGATCTTGCGCTTTGGACAAAAGATCTCAGAACCTTTCAAACAAAGCTCGCACTTTAAGCAGGCAGATCGGAGATAGCCAAATCCAACCACATCTCCAATCTTGACGGTGATGCCAACAACTCCGTCGGCCTCTGTGGTCTGCTCTGAATCTACTTTGGCTTGTGGGCCGAGATCAAGCACTCGGCCAACAACTTCGTGTCCAGGAACAATGCCTTCGATGCCAAAACTGTACATGTCCGTGTGACAGATACTACAGGCCAAGACCTCAATAAGGGCATCATTGGGCCCCAACGGCGGAAGTTCCACAGTCGATTTCACAAAGTGGGGCGTCGGACTAGTCGTATGGACGTATGCGGTCGTCGTAATGGCAGACATCTTTGAAACTACAGTCCAAGAAGGCAAAGAGAAGCAAAGATACAAAGGGGAGGAGCTTTTGATGATGTCTTTACGTAAGGCTGAATTTTCATGCGAGTGTTAAAGGGAGTGTTGGGGGCTGGATGCTCCGTAAATGGATTTGTTGGGGGTCGGAAGCTCCGTGAATGGATATCTTGTCGGGCTTGGGGTGAGGATCCCAGTATCCGTGTTCACTATTATTGAGTTTTTCGGACACTGTGTGGGGTGGTGAATATCGCGATAAGGCGATCCAAAAAATTGTGGAGAGTTCGCTTGCATGGTGTGGCGTGGGGGTTGGGCTTACCCTTTGTTTTTTGTTTTTTTTTTGACACTGCAGGATCGGCGCGACTGAGTAGAATCCTCAATTTTCTTGGACATGCTATGGGATAAACTTGGAAACGATTGATTGACAATACTACAAGTACTTGTGTCAGCGGTTACTACATGTTGGAGATCCTGGCGAAATATATCGTCAAAGTCCTTCAATAGCCAACTGATGGGACCGGCAGTGACAGTACCATTAGAGTTGGGCCTTCACTTTCTGACTTCCGACTGCGCCCAACAACACCCTGTAGAGCAAATAACAAATACAGAACCCCCATTTGGCCCATTAAAAGCGGCCAGTCTTCGAAAATGTCTCATTGTATCGTGCAGATGCAGAGTTATTTGTATTCTGAGCCCCACGTGAGGTTGACATCCTGACACTTGATGACAGTAACAAAGTACCAAGTACTACCTACCGCCGCAGAACGTCCGATATCAAGTACCAGTAGGACGCTACCGATTAGACTTAACCTTAACCGAAGACGTATCTCAATCATTCAGTTCGTAAGGGTCAAATATATCCTTTTCACATTGCATGTACAGTAACCAAAAAAAAAAAAAACTATTTACAAGAAATGTTTGCTACCTGCTACCATTATTCCCTCCATTCCCTCCACATTTCACTTGCTTCCTTGACCAACTCTGGCAAACCCGTCAATGCCGCGACTTCAAACAATCCCAACGCGGGGACAAAACTCTTGACCATGTCCACGTCCTTGATTTCAGCAAACTCGCTACAGACGCCTTTCAGCGTCCTTGTTTGCAGATCCCATAAATGAATTTCCTGAATACTATGCATGCTCCCACCAAACTGAATCAGCAGTGCTTTGTCCGCATGCCACAAGTGAGCAAAGGCACGCTCCCATTGACCACCGTGTTGCACCAGTAGCTTCAAGAGCGTTCTTCGGGGTCCTGGCTCCCAGGTGTTGTCCACAAGGGCACGCCCCAGTGCTTCGTGAATGGTTTTTGACGTTCGGAGTAGCCTGTCAAAGTGTTGCTGCAAGACAGATTGGGGGCTAGGAAGGTGCGCATGTAGGGTATAACACGTCTTGTGCAATGAGGCGAGTGTTGATAGCGGTGCGTGGTGCGCAATGTTCAGTACTAACTCCAATGGTAATGTCGTTGACGTTGTCATACTGTCTCGTCGTCTGGCTGAAAGTTCCTGGTGAAATGGGGTTTGGAAAGGAGACCTGGAAGAAAAAGGGCGGAGTTAAGACATTAGTCAAACTTTGTATTGACTCGGTGGGTGATACATCTAAGATGACTGTGCCACATCATATGACCAAACAAGGAGTTTATTAGTCGTAATCCTGGTGGGAGGTCCAGACGCCGAATGGCTCCGCGTTTTTCTCCAAGCTGCTCGAAGATGATCGTTGGTTCCGGGTGGAGAGCATGGAGAAGCAAGAATTTATTCAAGGCTATGCGATAATCTTTCTGCAACATGCACATGCCTTTCATGTGGCGATGAGGCCCGAGCGAGCAGACGCCTTCAGCACTTTTGACATGTGGTTGGTTGGTGGGTTGACTGTGGTGGGTGTGCATGACTACTGAGAGGTAGCACACACAGAACAGTCCATTTTCCATGGAGCTTCCCTTCACGGCACTCTCCCATTGTCGTTTCTTTCAAACCTCAAACCGGATGTTGGCCAATAACCGCTACAAGTCGTACTCGCCTGTGCGTCAAAACACGACCGGTGCCCAATCGATCACGAGCCAAGCATCTGGTTTTCTTCTAGTCATGTCTATAGTACAAAGGGTATCACTGCTTTCCTATTCTTGGGGTACTTTTCCCCAAAAGTTCGTCGATACCACTTATTTGTTTGGACGGCCCTGGGAACCAAATTCGCCAGCGTCCACACCCAAAATCCCACTGCGGCCGTCTCACCATCCATAAAAAGTGCGTATCCCGTCCATTCAACAATCTCTCCAAAGTAATTGGCGCATGAAACGAACCGATGCATATTCTCCTCTGGTATGAAATACTTTCTCCCGTTCGACAGTGTTACACTCCCCTGCTGGCATGGCACCTTTTGCCGTCGCAACCTCATCAATTCGTTGTCCGATATGATGTTCACGTACATTCCCCACAAAAATAATGCGATACCACAACACAAGGACGCTCTTTTGTCATACTCCCATATTGATCGTTCTGCATATTTCCGTGCCACAGCTCCATTCCACGTCCCATTTACCAAATTGAACAAAATGGCCGCAAGAACGATCTCAATGCGAGTGGGACTCATGTGGGGTGCCCTGTACGTATATACAAATACTCGATTGAAGTAATGCAACGTCCAGCATATGCACGCGACGGTTCCAAGTGAGAACAGTTTAATGTCCGCTTGTCGCTGTACTTGCTCAGGATCCGAAAAGAAGGATAGCAGAAAGCATATTGGACTAACTAATTCTTGAATGAACCAGCCTGCTTTGCCTGGCACCGTAAGTGTATATCGATTCGTTGCGTGGAATCTTCCTACAAAGATTTTTGTGTGTCAATGGGCAAGCTGACGCCCGCCTGTACTGGGTTCTACAACTGTACCATATGATGCGGGCTGCAAAAAGAGATAGGCTGATATGATCAAGGCAGTGGTAAACCACGCGGTTTCCCATGAGGAGGTTGGAATGAGAACTTTCATCGTCAATGCTAGCAATCGCAAATACACAGAGAGTGATCCACATTCTGCTGGGAGGTTTCCATGCCAACAAGACATGGTTGGGCAAGGATCGCGCAATTTGGCGGCAAGTGAAGGCAGAGTGTCAATTACCAGGACCGGGGACCTCCAAATGACCAAACCAAAAAGACCTAGCATCTGTCATTCGTAGTTTATTAAGCACTTACGCAAAGATTCAAAAGCATGTCATCGTCATCGACAGGAACCCCGGGAGCTCCAAAATACATTGATGCAGAAGTACTCGCCTCTCTCGTTCGTGATCCCACAAAGACTCCCGGAAAGGACTATGTTGTAGTTGATGTTCGTGGGGAAGACTTTGGGGTTGGTTGACCACGGCAAGATGCCGGATAAAAGCTGGTCTGCGTGCTTGAGAATACTTGAACCTAACAAACTGAAACGCTCATGCTATTTTCCTTAGTTCGGCAACATTCCAGGCGCCGTAAACATACCAAGCCATGAATTCTTAGACCGTCCTCGCGATTTTGTCGAACCACTCAACTCAGTGCCGAAAGTCATATTCCACTGCGCACTGTCACAGGGTGAGTTTCTGTAGTTGCAGCAGTCATATATCTGTGGGGATTGTAACGTTCAGAACATTCAACCTAGTCCGAGGTCCAAAGTGTGCGAACCACTATCAACAAGTCTCGGCTGTGGTGCGTGGCCAGCAGGAAGCTGCTAAAGAAGGTGAAGGAGCCCCGCAGGAGATTCTGATTTTACGTGGTGGGTTCCAGAACTGGCAGAATTTATATGCCAAGGAGAGCGATTTGGTCGAAAACTACAATGCGCAGTTTTGGAAAGAGGAGCTGTAATAAGTTATGATATATGTATAATGAGGCTGCAAAAGACAGGCAAACCCTGAGGCTTTGCAAAGTCTCTGTGTCGCGGCTTGTACTGCATCGCGGCGCTCAACGTCGCCATGATTAGCCTGAGAGATGTGCTAGATATTCTTGAGAGTTATGATAATAGAGGTCGCTCCTCTAAGACGTTGCAAATATGATCGAATGAAACTGTCTCGTCATCCCATCTATTGATACTTCAGAGGGGGCTTGGTCCCGAAAAGTTATGCTGCTTACGCGAAATGGAACAAACGTGAGCAGAAATTCCAGAAATTGTCAACGGGGTCTTGGATCCAAGTATTCGGTAACGAGGACAACGACGTCATTGACCCGCAGTGGTGGATTGGCAAAAGACACCAGAGACCGAGATTCGGGGGAAGAGACATCCGATTTTGCTTTTTAGGTTATTACGCGATTTGTACAAAGAAACGACGTAATTCACGACGTAGTTAGCCCCGAGTTGTAGAGAGAGAAGCTTCCGCGGGCGACCCAGGTTCCTAGTTTTCGGGAATGAGTTCAATTAGGATTTTAAAGTGCTTATGCGTGTTACCTGAAATGGCGGAGACAATTTTCCGAAATGTCAACCGGTCCGCGGTCCAAGCACTGGAAACATGCTAATCCAGTGTGAATGTCCCTCGCATGATCTCCCTACGAGTACTGAGTCGGTGGTGAAGACAAGACAGCACTAGTACGCAGGATTGCAAAACACACAATGGTCAAACTCACGAGAAAGAATTGCTATGTGATTTTGAGATCGAGTACTTTCGTCGAGTCTTATATCATCACGGAACGTATCGATAGAACAATGAATGTATTTCCGCAACTGCGATGACCGAAAGAACGAAAGACAATTCGCTTGACAACTTTCCATCCAAGTTATGGTTAATAACACGGACACGTCTAGAAAACCACATCAAAACTACATCACTCTGTCTCTCTGGTAACTCATCTGTAGGCTTCGGCCTACTTCTTTCGGACTGTTTGTTCTCGCGCCGTCCATGCCCTGGTGTACTCTTTACTGAACGGAACTTGGCGCTACCAAGGTCCATCCGTTTCACGGAAGGACATCTCGACCTTGGACGCGTCGGCAAAAGTCGACGATGGGTCGACGATGTCTTGGTTTGGAAGGAGGCATTTTTGCAGTGTTCCTCTGTACAAGAAAATCGTCAATCACTCTGATATCAAAGTCCCACTTGTGTAATCTCGGGTTGCCTTCATCTGCTTCTTCTGGGTGACGAAGTTTCACTCTAATCTGATGCGCCGAATGAACCTTTGGACGGATATCATGAGCGGTCGCTGACTGGTAGCCCTTGACCGAGTGACTCTTGTATAGAGAGGTAGAAGTCTTTGTTCTACCAGCAGGAGGCTGCGATCCCAACATCATTCCGTGCCATGGACGAATATCCGCTATCAGCGATGACTCCTCAGCAGATCTGTTGAATCGCTGGAATGGCTGGTGTCGAAAGCACTCCCGAGATAGCGGACGAATCACTGGAAACGGCGGCGGAATTCCCGTACATGTCTTGTCCACATGCAGTGGTACGGGATACTGTGCTCATGCACCGGTCAAAGAGCAAGTAGCTTTTCGAGACACAAGCTCAAGACTGACAGCAGAAACCTGAAAATACGGCGTATAGCGGCGAACAGAAGACTCGGCGCGTTTTTACTCTACGTGATGGAAACACGACGCGCAACATGAGAATACTAGTTGCGAATGGGTTTTTGAGCAGCCAACATACTACGAACGACACTCCCATCTCTGGCTCAACGAGGATAGCGGATGAGCCGAGTGCGAGCCAGTTTAAAATGCGCAGTAGCGATGAAGGAGTGGGTAGACCGGATGGTGGTCCTCTCCGCGCGAACCGACTCAGTATATCACTCTTCTATATGCGCACTAGAACCATGCCCATATGTATTCGAGAATGAAGGTCATTGTGCATCTCCGAAATAAGAACATTCCATAACCCCGCATGGATGACGTGTTGTTCTGAACTACACATCGTAAAAACTTTAAAATCTTCCTCCGAAGAATATCCCCTTGTTTCCATAACCTTAATGCACCCGATTTTGTGGACCAGACCAGTCCTCCGAGCCGAGCGGCCTTCCGCAAGGTCAGGGGGTTGGCCCCTCTCCGAGGTGTCCACATTCCATATTCTCGGAGCGATGACATCGAATTCATAACCTTAATCCACGCGCGCGGGCGGTTGGCCGCTCTCCGAGTTGTCGACAGTATTCCATATTCTCGGAGCGATGACATTGAATTCATAATTTTAATCTACACGTGCGGGCGGTTGGCCGCTCTCCGAGTTGTCTACAGCATTCCATATTCCCGGAGCGATGACATCGAATTCATCTGCACGCATGCCCACGCGCGGGCGGTTGGCCCCTCCGAATTGTCCACATTCCGTGACTTCGAATTCATCTGCACGCCTCTCCGAGTTGTCGACCATATTCCATATTCCCGGAGCGATGACATCGAATTCATATCCTTAATCCACGCGCGCGGGGCGCTCCGAGTTGTCGATGGTATTCCATATTCCCGGATCGATGACATCGAGATCATAACCTTAATCTACGCGGTTCTTCATATCCCCTTAATGGACCCCAGTTTGTGGGCCCTTACCCGAATCAAAATGTCCTACATTGCCGGTCCAACCGTTGAAAATTAAGCTTCCGCGGCCATCCATATTCCCGGGTCAATGACGTTGTTGTTTGCCGAATAAATCTCGGAGCACCAAAGAGAATTATTCCACATTCAAGTCGAATCCCGTAGCATGTACACACTCCGTACATCGTGTCACTATACACGCGAACGGGCTCGTCAGTGATTGGCTACGTTTACACCCGGAACGATTCTTGGTGTACTCGCCAATTAGTTTTCCTTTCAATGCCAAGTAGGAGAGAATTATAGAAAGTTTTTCCGCCGCACTCGGGAAGTAAAAACCCTAGGGGAACATTCATCTGCAGAATCAAGAGCGGTGCATCAAAGCCCATCACATATATTGCGGAAACGAGCGATGTACGTGATTCTTCGATTAATCGTACAACACAGCGTCTGTATGCAATTTCTTTGTCGATATGTCACCCAATTCTGACCAGAGCTCCATCTCCCAGTACAACGATGGCAAGAGGCTCGTTTCGGGATCGAGGAATGCCGGTCGTGAGACCGTACCCTTGCCGATGCACTTCCATGCAAGGCGAGGAGCCAATCGCGGTGTGAATCTGGCAAAAAATATGCGCCTTTGCGCAGTTGCCAATAGCAGTCAGGAGTGATGACTTTCTCTCATAAAATGGCGCAACCGTTGTCCCATCTCCCCATCATTGTCTCGCTCACCCATCTTCAAATCGCTCGGGAACAGCGGTTTTTGCCTTCTCTCTTGACGTAACACTTACGCTTGACTGTCAGCCCTAAAATGGGAGCGTCCCATTCCTCCTTCATCTACTGCAATGGGTGTCTGCGAATTGAGAAACCGGTAAAGTTGGGCAGTTTGTGCTAGAGTTGATGGGCGAACCATGGGTCAAGCTTCCCATGGGATCGGAGGAGAATACCTTAAGAACTTTAATTTGTCACACCTGGAGATTTGCACCAATGATGCTTACCGTCCGTGTCTCGGGGTAAGGATACACGATGCTACGGTAGGTGTCCTCACATCCCATTGAATTGCTGCTCGTTTTTGGTGGAAGATGCCATTGCATTGGCCTATGGCAAGGAAGCATTGATCCGCAAAGCCTTTCGTAAAATCGATCATCAATTCCTACGATGGCGCTGTGTATGAAGTCAAACCTTTGGAAACATCTTTGCTGAAAAGAGTGTCGATACGCTTACTGCCAGAGATGCCGGAGAGTTTGAGCTTATTGTATTGTCCAAACGGGAGAAAATGAAATTGCTGAAACGGAGGCTGAAGAGGACTAAACTTGAATCTGGCGACTCTAATTACAGAAAATAGCATTGTTTGGAAAATGATCATTTTATGGACGAGACAAGGAAGTTTGCTCAATTTCGGGGATATTTTTGGAGCTATGTCCCATGGAGTCTGCCTTCAGTAGGACGATGAACATAACCTCACTGCAGACGAGATAGTGAGTATGAGATTAGATAATGGGATTTGCTGCGCCGTTTCATCCATCTCCTACTGCGATCGGCAAAGTTTATCATTTGGGGTCATAAGTTCGAGGACGAGATGCACCCGAATCAAGTCCCCGAATTTGGGCCGCTTCCGCCTTTGTTTTAGGTGAGTGCTCAAGTGAAAAGATATTCGAGGGCAATTGGACGTGGCGTCAGCGTTTGTACATTCTTGTCACACAGCCATACGCAAGTAGGACTGACCTGCTATATCGCCGCTAACGATAGCGCTAAAGATAGCGCTAAAATGAACATGAGGAATCTGCGGGAGGTGATCATGTATGGAACCGGACGATGGGACGATCCGAGTGGAACTTGTCGACAATGTCGAGTTATTGACGTCAGAGCTTAAACTTTAAAATCCTAATCGCAATCGATTCCACAATTCGAACATTCCATAGTGCGGGTCAATGATGTCTGTTAACCTTAATAACCTTAAACAACCCGAGTTTATGGTTTCGTGAACTCAACTGCGATGGTCTTTGATCCGGTGTGATGGATCGGAGATACCGGCGTTCTGGAAAGTAACGGTCGCGATCTGATCCACAAACTGGGGTGCATTTAGAGTTATATTATTCGCCAAAGAGCGACGTCATTGACCCGGGAATATGGAATCAGGGTTACGGCGTTGTGAAAGCCTCGCTTCAAGCTTTGGACCAGCCCACAAACATGGCTTGCGACGTTCATTGAATCGGTAAGCTCGACTTGTTAAGAAGCTGTGCTGTCCATGTATGCTTTTGCACGATCTATTGGCACTGTAACAATGCATATTAGTTGCAGGCAGGGTGTGTGAGAAAGTGTGGGGATGCGCAGCCGAATATGAACAGCACAGTGGATGTTGAGTAAAGTGAGTGCGCGCCTCTGTGAACATGACGTTCATCTAATCTGTCGACTACAAGATGTCACTCTGATGCAGCTTCACCAATACTCATCTCTGGCTCGCCCGAACTCCATTAATACCTTGTTGAGAACAGACCAAGCCTCTAGGTTCTTTCCGCCGGATACCCTTATGTACGCGAACCCTGTTCCTTTCCTCTCAAATCTGCACGCTGTGTACCCATCTCCCTCTGTCTACGATGCTTCAACACATCTGCCTCAACCCTCTCCGCTCGGAAGTCTCACCGCTGCCGGTGATGCCAGTCCTTACGCTTATCTCCAGTATATAGAACGGCATGTTGATGATATGATTCCTTTGGCTCCAACGATGCGACACCACGAGGAGGATGAAACCGAGACAAAGCGACAGAGGAAAGATTCAGTGTCAATTTTGGCTGCGGGAGCAGATTCCCTTCCACCAGATACCACCGATGGGTCATTACTCGGTCTTCCGAGTCCACATGACCTGGTTATTCAAGGATAGGACTAGAATAGTGACCGCACTATGTCTCTCCCAGGACAGTAATAATTGAGTGGCGGTATCGCAACATCCAATACACCCACACTCGCACCCGCACGCACCTATGACAGTGCATAGGCTATAAACCTTTACCAGATATACAACTCATCTGCTACTTCTATTAGCATCGGTAAAGCCGTATCCGGCTGCATGACTTGGATATTATGGAGGAATCATGATATGAGAGTGCACGTTGCTCGCGCTCGGGATCGGTCCGTCTCTTCTTGAACGCCTTCGATGACCGTGTTGTACACCCTTTGACTTTTTTGAATTCGTTCCAGTCGAAAATGGAGCAGCTCATTTATCGTCTGTAGGCCTTCCGTTTGCCAACAAGCTATCTTTTGTTTGTTAGCCAGTTTTCTCAGTCAGTTCCTCAATCCTTTTCTTATCTCGACCCAGAAAGCTCGATCGGATTTAGCCAATGTGAAACACAGTTGAGCCCGTTCGAAGCTTCTGATATTGCATTTTCAAGCAGTTGTAGCAAGTTACGGGCCGCTGTCGGTCAAGTTATACGGTAAACATGTGCAGTCGGATGTCTATGACCTAGCTTGACCTAGGTTACCAGTAAACTTAACCAAAGCAATCAACTCATCCTTAGTCAACAAGGAATAGATCGATAGAATATACATGGCGCTAATACTGTGAAGCTGACGAAATAGGATACTAGTTGCTAACTTTCTATAAGATGCTCAATTCCTTCCCTAAAATAAATTGTTGTCGGTAGTTGTTTTCAGACGGCCCTATGGACCAAATTTTGTACAATCTGTTTAATGATTCTAACGGATCGAATGACATCGTCCTTCTTTACAAACTCCTTTTCTGAATGCGCCACTAGAATTGATCCCGGTCCAAACAAGAGGGGTTTTTGTGTTCCTTTCAGGTATGGAATATCTTTCGATTCGAATGAGTAAATTGCTAAAGGTCGACGGAGGACACAAAGTTCTCACCAGTAAAATATCTCGCAACAAACTTTTCCACACCATCCACGTCTACAGTTTCACATCTAACAGGGTTTTGCATCCCTCTGATAGTGAGAGTGACATGCACACCATCTGTACGAGGTTGCTCAACGATGGTCCGTAGTTGGGCAGCAACCTGTTCTGCATTCGTCGAGACACGGAAAGATATATCCGCTCGTGCATCTTCGGGGATGACATTGGCTGCAACTCCTCCGGATATCTGGCCGAGATTCAGAGTAGTGGCGCCCAAAACGGGATCACTTGGCCATTCCTTTTCAGTGTGTGACCGTCAGCAACTTTGGATAATGACAGTAGACTGTATTTCTATGATCAGCTTACCGTATGCTGCAAATCGTGCAATATATCCACTAAAGCAGCGATAGCTGATTTACCCCGTTCTGGATATCCACTGTGTCCCGCTTGACCTTTCACGACAATGTCCGCTTTGATCATCCCCTTGTGACCTTCTGCTATCATCATTTCAGTGGGTTCCCCGACAAGAAGATATTGAGCATTGATATTAAGGGAATTGGCAGCTATCATTCCAATGTGATTCGTCTCTTCGCCTACGACATAGAGAAGCCTGAGTGATATGGTTTAGTCCATAAGTTCGGGCTACAAATTGGTATACGAATTGACACATACCCAACATCCTCTTCAGCTATCTTTCCCTCCTCAATCAAATCTTCGACTGCACAAATCTGTGCGGCGACACTTGCTTTTGCATCACAGCTTCCGCGCCCGTATAGGTTTTCGTCATCCTCACTCAACTCAATGTGCGGAGGGACAGTATCGACATGCGAGTTCAATAGTACTTTAACATTTGTCCGGATATTGTCAGTTTCGGGCTTGGAGCGATATGCATAAATATTATGTCTGACAGGTGAAGAGTCGGGGATCGGCTGCAGATGCACATGCCAGCCCTGCTGCGTCAGGTACGTCTTGAGAAAGTCTACCACAGACTGCTCTTGGAGAGTGGTAGACCGTATCGATATAAGAGATCGCAGGAGGGTGAGGACTTTGCTTTGAGATGGCATGGAAGTCTCTGTTGACTGAGCGCCCATTTTCGACCATCAACTTCAACTCAACAAGATGGCGGGGAAGATCTTCGAGGAGCATCGCCGACAATACTCTCACGTGACCGACTCTCCCATTTAGCCATTTTAGGGCGGGATGCTGCCTAGGATGTGATGTTTATCTTGATATCTACACTAGACGTTATTGCTGTTCCATGCCCACGGCTTTAACACAAAGCGACAACCGACAATATGCATTCATGATACAGGTAACCTAGACCTATTCTAACAATGGATCGTAACTAGAGTGTACGGTGACACTCTGGGCCTTAATGAGCATTCAACATCAACAGTAAACTTTGAGCATCGGTTCTCGCACCACCTATCTCCTGCATGACCACACAAACCGCCGCCTGATGACCACAATAAAACTCAATCTGACCAAGAGTATTTCAATACGATGATGTACAATACGAGGGTTGCTTGATATGCTTGCTCGTATTGTTTGGATACATCTTGTCACAATCGTTACCCGATGAATGACTGCAATAAACTGTTTAGCGACGGGACAGTAAACGTATTTGTTCAATTCCCTTGTAGAACCCTGGAGTGTTTACAAACGTTCATCTGTTTGTGTTTTGTACATCTTGATTGGGATGCCATCTATTGTCCGTATGGAAATGTCACCCATAGCCGAGAATCTACCCAACAATACTAAACTTTATTTGTCAGGCAAATACGGTAAATGAACTTGGGAGTCAAGACCTTTTCGATCGGGAAATACAATCAAAGTATGTAGCTTCCGGGACTTTTAGTCCTTTGATGCAAGCCGACTGGATTAGAATACTTGGTAGTCCGGCTTGAGCCCACTCAATCACTTTACGATGATTGTACAGAGACAAAACATCCAAATTCCAGATCTCTGATTGATCTTTGTTACAGTAAAGACATATTCTAAATGCCAATGGACCTTGCGGAGACTTGATCTCTGATGACAAGGACAAGTAATCAAATTGCCCACTGTCAATGTTGGAAGACATTTGAACCGGCCTATCTTGTCAACAAAAAAGCTGACAGATGCTGCAACATTTTGCATCCTGCGGGATTTGAACTCTCCAACAAGCTACCACTCCACCACCGTTCACCAATGGGGCAGCCCAAGATGCAGATTGCAATGCATTGATTCAATCAAATGCGCACAGTGACGTATCAGTCACGATAGCAGTGTGATTGGAATTTGATTGCAGTGTGCCAAAAAAAGGTGCCCTTTGGTTAACTGTGGTTGAATGGTAACTGCTTACTAAGATGAATTAGTTACGGCACAATACTTTTGCCGATATCTGGACATTTCACGTAATCAAAAAGCGCGTCCGAAAGCTACGCGTTTGACTGCGCAGTGGCCAGCCAGCTCTACGACGTTTTCGCACTGGTTTTGACTTGAGTTTTCACACATTGACAATAATAAATTGACACAGATCCTCTGGGATATGCATGGCGTACATTCGCACTTATGTTAGTGTTCAAAAAAAATCATGCACATATCATGAATGTTTTGCTGGCAGCTGTCCCATCTACAGCGCAGCATCCCATACGAACGGTCATGTCTCCAAACGTATCTTGCAACGAGCCCAATGCGAACCTTTCGTTTGAGAGGAACAAAATACCTCATCATGACCAGACTCATCACCAGACGACCGTCGTTGAGCCAATCAGCGTTCGTTCATGCGAGTCCTCGTTCGTCACAAGAACGACGACGGTGATGGTGTGATATCGTTCTTGAGCCAATCAGAGTGCAGAACGATTGCGTATTGTCGCAGAAAGACATTGTTGGGCCAATCAGAGTGCAGAATGATTGCGTATTCTCGTCGTTGAGCCAATCAGAATGCACAACGATTGCGAATCGTCACCCGCCGTCGTCGTTGAGCCAATCAGAATACGTCCATGCGAACGGCTGTCGTCATTCAAGAAGGTTCGTTCAAGTGATATCCTTCTTTGAGCCAATCAGAATGCAAAAACGTAAGCGCTTCCATCATAAAAGAATCCAAAGGAGAAGGAAAAGAACGCGTTCGTAGTGTGAAATTGGGCAATATTACCTTCTCCGTGTTCTTTTAATTGGCCCCCCTCGGGCCATCTGCTGCGCGTAACGCGTTTCCGCTGGGGGAATGGGGAATTATGGGGGGGATTCCCCCCAAGCATAAAAGGACGACCCATTCCCGCATCCCCCGGCTCTTTTTCCTTTGTATCCCTCTTCGTGCCCCTACCGACTTTCACTCCTCAGACACGTCTGTTGGGTGGTATTGGATGTTTTGTCTCGTACAATCATCTTAAATGCATGTGACTTTCCTGGGTGATTTAGCGATCCACGGCGTCGTGCCAGCAACGTTGTGGTGAGCGGTCATTTGGGGGGTTGGGTCGAGCGACACCCTGAGTCGACAACAGTGAGCTTGGTTCCGTATGCTCCTGTGCAACCCGGCTAGGTCCCGGAGCTGAGGGCCCCGCTTCGTGCCGCGTTCTCTAATAAGACCACCTACGAGGAACCTTGTGGGTAACAACGGGCAGGTGCTCGGTCAAAGTCTTCCGACCGCAAGCGAGGTTGACGCAACCCTTGGGGTGTTGCTCTTGGGGCATTCAAGGGAAAGAGCAACACGGCCTACACGACAACGACGACATCGCGAAAATGGCAACGGGGCGGTACGCGGACCCCCATCGTTTCGGAACGCTAGGTTCGGCTTCTGTCGGGCTCATCCGGAGCGAGCGAAGGCGAGGGTCGCACGGGTCCCCTGTTCCTTGAGTTCAGGATGGCCGCGTGCTCCCGATCAACGCATTGTGCTGCGTCGAGGAGCGGCACAGCGATGCCCGCGTCCTGTCACGCCCGTTCTGGTGAGGATCTTGGTTTTCTATTCGACCTTGTCTTGTATCTCTTCTGATCACTTTTTTTTTCATAGGGCCGACTTATCTGACCAGTCCTGGTAAGCATCTTGCTTTCTCTTTTCTTTTTTTACTTCATTCATACTAATCATTCTTTTGCTTTTATAGTCGGAGCGACACCAATGGGCCGCCCCATCCAGGCGCTAAACTGGTAGCTGTGTATTCGGACCAAGGCCGAGGATTCCGCGGTCTCCGTTTCTCTCCGGTGTACGTCGGTGGCGATGAGTGAGCGTGCTTAACCTGGCTCCTGAGCATCAAAGCCGGTCGTGGTGTAATCCGGGCAGCGGGTTGAACCGGTTCTCGGTCAACTTGGTTGATACTGGGGGCTATACGGTCAGGTGGGCTAGCTGCAAAGTGAGCAGCTAGCCAAATCCTTCCCGGGTGGGCACTTGCGCTTGAGCCTGATCAACTCAGGCGCAAGCGGCTCACCGAATATTGGTTGGTGCGAGGGCTTGTGTTGGTTGTTGGCTTGTTGGTTCTGAGGGCGTCACTGTACATACTTGGTTGGTGCGAGGGCTTGTGTTGGTTGTTGGCTTTTGAGCTGCGAACTTGGTGATCCCAAGGTCCTGGCTAGCGAGGTTCAATTCCTTGCTTTCTTGTAAATACTTGTTGGTCGTTGGCTTGTGTTGGTTGTTGGCTTGTGTTGGTTGTTGGCTTGTGTTGGTTCTGAGGGCTTCACTGTACATATTTGGTTGGTCGTTGGCTTGTGTTGGTGCGAGGGCTTGTGTTGGGTGCTGGCTTGTGAGCTGCGAACTTGGCGATCCCAAGGTCCTGGCTAGTGAGGTTCAACTCCTTACACCCGGCGTTGTGGGGTCCGATCCCCCATTTCGCCACTGCTACATACAAAAACACAGAGGAGTGCCAAATTGGTTGGCTTTAGGGGTTCGACTCCCCGCTTCCTTTTTTATAATCTGCTCGAGACTCTTACGACGACGACGACGACGAAATGCAAAACTCGAACTCTTACGGCGAGCAAGTCTCGAATCAGTCGATCTGGCGATGCCGGAAAAGTCTTCGCAACAGCGATTTTGGTCAGCGGCAAGAGATTGAAAACGGCGACGATCAAGAAGAGCAGATGGTCCATCTACTTTGCTTCAGTGCCAGTTTCGAGTATTTCACGACAGCTGAAAGGAACGTGAGGTTCAAGCATTTCGCTCAAGCATTTCGAAACGACGTAGAATTCTCGGCTACGACCATCTTGGAGAACAATGGAGAGTACTAAAAACGCAGTTGAAGCAGTTGGCTCGTACACGTTTCAAACTGGCATTGTGGAAAGGCAAACTGTCTACGACAACTCTAAAAGGACGAGGTGTTCAAGCATTTCGAAAGTGAAATAACGCGCATTTGCTACGACAACTTTCAAGGTCCGACGTGGAAAGTCCTTCATATCGCTCAAGTGTTTTCGTCAGTTGCATATCCGTCAGTGGCATATCCAACGGCAATTGTGAAGACGGGAAGGTTGGAGCAAGTAGATAGTGGCATATCTGGGTCAAACGGAACACTCTTTGCATTTCAAATGATTGATATGCAAGGACGGTTCACCAAAGCATGTCGAAGTACAAGCATTTCGAACCGACATTGCAAACAATTGCTACGACATCAAAGGACGGTCCAAGTATTTTCATATCGGCCAGGCGCTTCAACGGTTGCAAAATACCGCTAGTCTACAAATAATTATCAAGGACGTACGATCGGAAGCAAAATCACAACATCAGCTCACCTTCAGTACCGATAACCGAGCCATTTTTTGTTCCGCAACGAAATCATGTACAAAAAGAGGGAGTAAGGTCTACCTAGTACTTTCCGATAGCATCGCTGAGACGGACGTTCAAGCATGTTAAAGTGGTAACCGGTATTTTGTTGACAAGAACTCTCGACGTCGGAGATTTTCATGCGTTTCGAAAGGTGACATGTGCGGACGGATAGTGTTCATGCTGGCATTCTTATGTCGGCTCGATAACCCGGCTATGATCGTGCTAGGCTGGTTCAAAAGGTTGCATTTTTGTAACTTTATATAGCGACGAACCCTACATGGCGCTGAGGATAAAAGCGTTGATCGTCAGTTGTCGAGGGTTTTGTGGGAAAAGAGGTGGTAAATGGTATCTTGAAAGTCTACGACTTTGCTTGTCATTGGAAGCAATTGGCGAGTAATAAAAATATAATTTGGCAAAGGTGGGCGGACAGTCAATAGATGGTAACAGATTATCATAATACAAATATACAAACAGATCGACCCCGACAAAGTCATAACAACTACCATATTTTTTTTTCATCATTCCGCTACAAGTTTGCTCAGAATGAGTCCAACTAGGACATACAAAAAACTGCCATAAGGGGAATCTACACATATACAATACAAAAAAAAAAAATCCAAAATGTTCATAGACCGATAACGATCATCAGAGTCGTGAGTCCAGCGACAGCCAATCCTGTCATCAAAGACGTTCCAACACGGTCAACCGAGGACTTTGAGCCAGGTGCAGGTGTCTGCGTCGAGCCCGGGGTCGTCGTTGCGGAGGTAGATGGTGGTTGGGGTGTACCGGTAGGTACCGACGCTGGAGGATTCAGACTAATAGGATCATTCAAGCCTCGTTCGACGACTTTAAATTCCCGAAGGGAGACGGTCCAGTAGTTCCATTGTCCATCCGGTAATTTGACATCTCCTCTCGCAGCGAATTTCCAGGTCGCATTAGGCTTCAAGAGTGCGTCCACTTGTTCTTTGGTCGTACCGGGTGCGGCTCCTACTGTCCAGTTTGCGCCAAAGCGGGTTGCACTGCCAATGTCTGGGATGTGTTCCGCGAGGCCAATGTCGGTGTAGAGGGTTTGGAGGGCAGAAGTGGCTTGATTGGGTGTAGGAGGAGGGCCGTAGGTTAGGTAGAATTTGTGTGTCGGAACTGGGTCCATGATGCCAAAATCGATAGCGATGAGATAGTTGGTGCCAATGGTATACTGGTCTTCAGCGAGGAAGACTGGATCGGCTTTGGCTGAAAAATAATGTGCCCCAGTGTCAAAGAGCAGCTTCAAAAACCGTCCAAGGACACGCACCCATTGAGACGAAACATACCCAGCGGTGTAGCTAGCAACGCCATCGCTACCAGGATTGAGTAATGCATGGTATCGGAAATGTGTTGCGAAAGAGTAGGGTACTGGTGAATGCAGCAGTCACAACAAAAAACAGGTCAATGAGGCAGGCCCGTCCTCAAGCTCAAAAACGGTTTGCTTTTTGTAGAAGGAATTTCCTTTTCACTTGGCCTTGTAACCAGTTCTGATTTGAATACGAAAATTGCGCCTCGCCCCCCAAAATCTCACAATATCGCAAAATCCCATTTTTGCAATCTTGATCGGCTTTATGGATTAGACCCAAAAAGAAAACGCTTATCACTTTTTTTTCTTTCTTCCATTGTTGCGCGGGGGCGGGGGGAACCCCCGAGTCAATCTCAACCCACCCCAACAACTGAATTCCCTGATCATCCATCGAACTTTTGCTCAACAGCCCTTTTGGCACACCTTTCACACTTGCACACTCTGCAATGTGACTATGCCGCCCCATTTTGTCCATTTTAGGCAGTATATAACGCGCAGTTTATCACACTGTTGAAAGCGCAGACGGTTGGACGGGGGTTGCTGTGGGCTGTGTGCGATGCTTTGTGACGTTTTCCTTGATCAGCTCTTGTTCGAGGTCAGCCGCACGATTGGCTTTTGATCGCTGCTGTTGTTTCTTTCTGGTAATGCGAACGGGGGTGGGTATTCGAGCAATTGCCCACACTCTGTGGCCCCGCTGTAGGTGTCTCTTGTCTCCCAACTTTTTGGGATCGGTCATGAATCAGACGTAATATCAATATGGTTTGGCGGAATCAAACATTGCAAAATACCGTCGGGTCATTTCAAAACCTATCAAAGCAAACAAGTCGTTTTTTTTTTCAGACCCATTGTCACTGATAGTCACAAGAGTTGAACACAACCATGGACGCCAAGTGATGCATTACCATAACATGTTTACAAAAACATTTTTATGAAAACAAGGTCTGCAAGAGTCTACCTTTGTCATCTATTCCGCAGATTCTTATATTTGATACTCGGATTACATCTTGTAATGTACCGCATCGAACCCGATACGTATATATAAGTCCATAGATGCCATGTCGAATAAAAAAAACAAAAAAGTTTTGAAATGAAGAGGAAAAGATCCAAATCCCGAAAAGCTTTCATTATCCCAAAAAGACGTCCAACCAGAGTTATGATATTATACTACAACTACTCGAGAAGGCAAACATGTTTCATTCATGTTTTGTTTGAACGCCTTTTGTTTTCTCCATTTCCCTACACGATGCTTCAATCCGTTTAAACCTGTCATCTATGCCCAAGGCCTCCACATCTGCCACAACAGCGTCGACGGGTCCATTCGCGAGGATAGCCCGCATCCATCGCTCATCATCGCCAGTGTAGAGCCAATATAAAAGTTCAGGGAAGATGGAAGGACAGGTGACGCGGATGGAGAGGAGGGGGAAGGATGGCGAGGTGGTTGGTGATGGGTAGGTTTCAATACGAGGTTTACGGGTGGGAGTTGTTGAGAGGGATTGCCATTTGTATGGGATCGGACTTGGGGCTTTGGTTTTTTGGGTGGTGGGCGAGGAGGAGGAGGAGGAGGAGGAGGAGGAGGAAGGTTTGGACGCAAACATGGTTGTAAAGGCTTTGGATTGGGAAGTGAGGGCCAAATCGTGGATCCAGTAAAACTGATCCTGAGGGGTTACGGTGTCCCAAGTGGTCTTGTCGAGCTTGATATCGCACATTACTCGTAGGACGCAGGACGCATGATGAGGATTGTTGAATAGCTTGGGACCCATAGCGTGGATCTTGTCAACGATATACGAGATGGGGAGTGTCACGCCAGATTCCTCAATAGAAATGTACGAAAGAGTGTCGTCGGTCAATGAGGTGTCCTTGATTACGGGATCCTCCAATCGCTCGGCTTCGGATAAAGACTTGTGGTAGATGATGATGGGCATTCGCGCAAAAAAGGAATTGGGATATGCGGGCGGGCAAAAGGTGGGTCAATCAGGTTACTATTTTCAAAAGCGGGTATGTGGGTCAATTCGTTCGTTCTTCGTTCAAACTAGGTTCGTAAAGTGCGGAAGAAGAAGGAGGGGGGGAAACAAAAAGGTCCAAGTACATATATCTTGGTTTTTTTTAAAGCGGGAGAATTGGGAGGGCCGACCTTGGCACAACAATTAGGGTAATGCTTTGCAAATGAGAAAAGGCAAATTGCTGAGGGCTCAGGTTCTTGTTAAGTGCTATATAAGTGATTTCGTCACGTTGGGCACTTTTTTGTCCCCTATTCATGTACAAAGGAGACAGTCCTCAAATCAACTCAACCCATTGCAACAACATACACACACACACACACAAGCAACATACACACAACGGAGTCTCCTATTCAGTTTGAATAAATTCAAGGGCAAAGGTGTTTTTAAATAAAAGTAATGAAGCATATTAAAATAAAAAAGAAAAACACAATAGCATGGTGCAGAGAATGTATCAACAGAATAACAAGGGGCTCGGCGGAGGGCGTTTCCAAAGAATGTACCCAAAATCTTGGCTATTCACAGATACGAGTACAAAAAAAAGCAATTACCTAGCACCTAGGCAATTGGGATAATCAAAAGGTCTCCCATAGGAAATGTATCCGTTACCGCCAACACGAATAGCATAATGGGTATTATACTAGAATTACTAGAATTGTTGGATAGCTAAAAGTAATGGGTTTTGGAAAATAAAAAAACAAGGGGGGGCCACCTTTGGAGACACATTCACGCCTCTGTCGCCCGTTGCCCTTTTTCATGTCCTTTTGGGTGTTGTATGTGCCTTTTGAAAGCGTTGCGGGGGTGACAAATAAGAAAGGACGTTTATAGGCCCATTCCGGTCCTCGTTCACAAACTAAAGGGCACCCAGGTATCTTCCAGTTTGTTCTTCCGTTCAATTGCGGACAAAAGTAGGAATATTCAAACAAAATGAAAGGCGGGCCGGGCCTATCGTATAGTTTTGTTTCTTTCAACCAAAAACGGCATTTAGCTATTCACAACAAACGGTAGACGTTGGGGGGTAAGCTACGCGTTTTTCGAATACCTGACCCCCATATTCATTGGGCCTTCTTTGGGGACCCACATCGGCCCATGACGGAGGACGCCCAGGGCTTGACCTTGTTCCTTTAAATGAGGAACTCCCATCGCAAAAGAACCCTGCTCGGAAGTGGCTAGTGTTGAAGTCACCATACCAAAGAACAATAGAAAAAAAAAAGTACCAATAACAAAAACAAGGTTGTGCGCACATCTATGGTTAAAGTGAATGTTACTTTGTTTTTTTTTTTTTTGTATTGAAAGTATTCCATGGTCATTGTTTTTGTCCGTTCTTGGATTCATCGACTGTATATATTGGTAAATTGGGGATGTTTGTGTGTGGTGCCCATTGACTGTGTGTTTTTCCTTTGCCCGATCTTTTTGATGGTCAGCACCCAAATGCCAAAAGGTTTAACAACGGTAAGATTGACCAGCCAAACAAAAAAAAAAGGTTTCTGGCCATGTCTTACTTGGTTTATTGCCAGCATTTTTTATAGGAATTGGCCCAGCTTTTGTTTTCCTGATATCTGAAAACAATCAACAGCCCAGTCCAAAAAAGCCATATACAAAAACCGCAGCTCTTCCAGGACCAGTTACGGTGGAATACACACACCCAACTCGTAACTGATCAAACACACTTGTCCACCCAATGGCTCATCTGGAGTATGGTAATAGTAAATGGCTAAAAGAATAGGAAACCGACCAATGTAATCTAAATATAGGATACCACTCCAAGAGCCTCGCTGCCATATATAGAACATGACCAACATATCTGGATGTTAAATGGGGGCGCTGATTGTAAGGTTTTTGTGTGAGATATGACGAGCAACACACAAACCACAGGATACCGGTTTTTTTATTGTTGAATTGCTGACCACGCCGTTCAGGATTTTCGTAGTGTTTCCCTCCTCCCCCCTCGTGGTTGTATTTTCTTTTTGTTTTTTGTGGAGTATACGTTAATCGATGCGCGTTGGAGGACTTGCGTTAACGGTATTGGGATTCGCTGCATCATGTCGAGCAGGTAAGAAAACCAAATCACTATGCACACCAAAAAACCGATAAAAAACCATTTTCAAAAACAAAACTCATCGTCTTTAACAATACTCATCTTGTCCATTATATCCCTTCTTTTTTATGAAAAATATTATAGACTGTTGCTACACGAGCACACCCACAACAACCCAAGACCAATCTCTCGTCAACTTGACAGTCTACTGGTCCCAAGCCTCTTTAACGGCCTATCACTATAATGTCAAGGTCCAGTTCCCTGTATCCAATGTCATGAATGCTGCCCAACCGTTTCGGGCACCAGTTGGGACGGTGGTGTGCGAAAAGGAGGGTGAGAATGCTTGGGGGTGTACATCAAGGGATGCCAAAGGTGAGTTTTGTTTTGTTTTGAAAAAAAAAGTATGTGGAAATGTGGTTTTTTGAAAGGTTTGTTTTTTGGTTGGTTTATAGTGTTTTCAGCGCAATTCAATATGGCATTAACGGCGGCCCAAACGGGATCCCCATCAACAACCATAAGAATCGGAGACGAGAATGGAGAGTACACACTCTGTACACTCTCACCATGGTGTGAACTCCCTTCCGATAATACAAGCAACAATGATGATATCAATTACGGCCCATTCGGACACCACCCAAAATGGTTTGCCATTATTCTAGCAGGAGCCGGTGGACTCGCATTAGGTGCCATTGTATTCGGTGTCCTCTACTACCGAAACCATCGATCCCATATCGGGACAGAAGTCTCTCTCGCCCGACGACATGAAGAACAACATGGTCCGAGTCAAGAAGCGAAAATAAAACGAGTACCAACGGTCCGACAAGCGAGATCTGGTCGGGATTTTGCGGGGTCGGGTACCCTTTTGGGTGGATTGCCTGGGAATGAATCTACCGAGACGTTGATTTCTGGACGGGGGACTTTGGTGGGTGGTATGTTGTATCAAGCAAGTGTGGAACCGGTCAAAGGGGACGGATTGGAACGATCAAAAAGTATCCGATCGGTTCATGATACCCGATCCGTCGCCCATGATACGTCGTTGATGAGACAGAAATCAACTCGATCGGTACGAGATGGAATCATACCAATCCCATCATCCATACCACCACCACCACCACCACCACAACAGCCAACAACAACATCACCTGCACATGGACATAAAACATCTCGAACAGTTAAACGCCAAGGAACTATTCTCCATCCCGAAACGTTATTCGAACCCCCTTCACATCCATATCGAACACGATCGAAATCTATACGAGAACCACGACAAGTGCGCGAACCAGGACTGGATGGATATGTCACGGATAACACGCCAAGTAGAACCCGATCAAAATCGGCGCATAGAGAACAAGAACAGGGGTTCGTAGCCTCCGCTCGGCGTCGACGGTCAACCAAAACTCAACAAGGACAAGGTCGTATGGATGGACCTTGTGATGAAGGCTTGTCGCATGTTCCTAAACGAGACGCTAAATGGGAACCTAAATGGGAGAATGGGAGAACGAGAGCCTTGTCGAGAGCAGGACCGGTCCGCGAGACGGAACAGGGGTGGTAAAAACCTAAAGTTTTGCATAAAAACACAAGAAAAAGAAAGAAAGAGTATGGAAAAGTAGCAATAGACTGTTTTCTTTGATACAATTTTGAAAAAGATTGAATAGGGTGTACGTGAACAATACCAATTATCTCAACATTCTTGAACAACTGCACAAATCTTCAAACCAAAAAAGCCCCAACAAAAGCCCCAACACCCGCCCCAGTAACAGCTCCCAACCCCAACCCAACAGCACCCTCCTCAGCACTGCCAGCAATATCAACATGGGTATAACAAACCGGTGATGAAGAATCCAAGCCATGTTCAACAACACCAGAAGCAACAGATAGGAATGCAGCAGGGAATTGATGGCCTCGGTTGGTTTGTGTGGAGGCTTTGTCGTTGGCTTGGATGACGTCTTCGGTGGGCGATGAGGCGGAAATAAACTAGAAGAAGTGTTTTAAAAAAGATTTTGGTTGGGGGGGAAATGGGGGGGGGGGGGGAGTACCTCAAAATCTTCACGTCGCAAAGTCGATTTCTCAAACCCATCTCCAAAGACATGTCCTGCTCTACACAGTCGACCCGCAATATCCTCTTCACGTGCAGGGCCATTATCTAATGCGATGCCGTAGGGTCCTACAGCGCGTACGGCGTGCCCTGTGAGGGTTGCGACGGTGAAGAGGCGGGAAGAAGGGCGTTGGAGGGCGATGTCTTTGGCTTCGCAAAGGAGATCGGCCATGACCATTCGGCCTTCGGCGTCTGTGTTGCTAAGAGGGGGTGTTGGCATTTCTTTTAGGAAAATAAAAAAGAGGGGAGAGGAAAAGCTTACCCAACAAGAACTGTTATAAAAAAGATGAACCATTCAGAAACACAGCCGTAAATATCAAACACGAAAAGAATACGGGCATACCTCGAACACCATGTCTAGAAACAATAATCTCATCACTGACATACCCATCCGCTCCAACACTATTCCTCACAAACCCTAACGCACACCAAACACCAATATCCGGTCTCAAAGACGCAACAGTTTTCATAAACCCCGCACAAGCAGCCGCTCCACATTTATCTCTCGACATGCCGCGCATGATACCGCCGGCTTTAATGTCCAAACCCCCTGTATCGTACGTGACGCCCTTACCGACTAGAAAGAGGTTTTCACGGGCAGAGGGGGGTGAGTATGTGAGGTGGACGACTGCGGGGTGGTGGCGGGGGACGGAGAGGGAGGCGCGTGCGACGGCGTGGAGGAGGGGGTAAGATGTCCGAATGGTCTCCACGTCAGTGAGAACAGAAACTTGAACATCGGTCCCCTTGAAAACTTGTTGAATGTATTCAGCACATTTCAACGGCGTCATTCGTTCCGGGTCTGCACCGCCAATATCCTTTGCCACCCGTCTCCCCTCCTCAACAGCCACAGCAAACCGAATGGCTTCATGTACACCTTGATCCCCTTCAACACACACACCAATCTCATCAACCACTTCAGCCTCTTGTCCCATCTTGCTAAAATGTTCACGAGCCTGAAGAGGGACATAGGCCTCTGCCAAAACACCCAACAAAGCAACTTCCAAAAACCTCTTGAAATCCCTCTTGATCCTTTCAGAATTATTTAAAGGAGACGGGATATACAGGATGGGTTTCTTGATTCCCGCCGCTCGCGCACGAGCCAACCCTTTTCGAGCCGCATCCGCGAACCGACGCACATCATCCACATCACCGTGTATGGATCCCGTTGGGGAGAGTACGAGACGCGAGCCGGGGGCTGTTGGTGTCGTGTGGAATGTGACGGTTTTTTGAGCGGAGGCGTCTAGAGAGTGTATGGAAGTCATTAGCGATGCGAGGGGTTGGAGGATGGGACTGGATGCCCGCAGGGATGGGTCAGTGAACAGCACGACGAGACCGTCGTAGGTTGTGGTTTTGGCATTGAGGGCTTGGGTGAGGGGTTCACCGGTCAGAGGGACAAGACGAGGAATGCCCATTATGTTCGAGTATCTTACTGGCGATTGGCGAGTTTGAAAAAAAGAAAGGAAAATGGTTGAGCACGGTCAAAACCATGGGTGTTCATGATCGTAGGTTTACGTTGGAGTCTTGTTGGTATGGCAACAATATCATTCCTCTAATTTCGTCCACCAAGCAAAACACTTGTAAAGAATAAGAGATATGCATATCCAGCAAACGAAATAAGACTAAATCCATCACAGCATTGAAAGCATGAACGAATAGCCACTAGCACGTTAAAAAAGCCAAAAAAGCACTAGTTTCCATATTCGCCTTTTTATATCCCATCATATATACGCTCACGCAGGACAAGCATCCCTTCATGTAACCATCAAAACAAACGAAAAACATAAAGGACATGTAACCCATGGATAGTACATATGGACATTGGACGATGACTTTGCAAGTATTTAAATAAAGAAACACACAAATCTAGCAACCTCTGTATAATCCATCGGGATTGAGCTACCTATGAAGCCAATGAAAACATGAGCTCTTGACAGGAATCCTTCACCAAAGAAATACCATACCCCATTCATAACTACGGCTGCATGCAAAACGCTCTTCCTACGAATTCTCTCAAATGTCATGAACATCCAACACACTTTTGTAAACTCTTAAATTGCCTAATGCCGAGAAAACCTCATCCTAGGTTAATTCCATTAGAGTCCTGCCAAACTCATCAATCAAGGCAATAAAAACATAAACTTTAACCAACGGAAAGTCTATCCAAAAGCAAAAAGAATACCATAACTATAGCTGCACGCTTGAAATTCCTCTCTTTCAAATGTCATAGCATCCACATTATCTTCACTCAAAATGGCGTTTATTTACTTTTATATTATTGTGGCCGCACGGCAACTCTGTTCACTTTCCTCGTTTGAATCTCATTTCTCACAATGTCATATCCTATACTTACGTTTAGTTTCCAAAGCCAAAGGAAATTCCTGTCATAAACATCTACACTTGGTCTCCACCTGAACGACCATTATCCTACATATCCCAAAAAGTTCAAAAAAAAACCAATATATTGTACACACAACCATTTTTTTGTGTTTCTTTACAAATTACAAAACATCCCATCCTCCCTCTCCCACAGCACAAACAAGTCCCGACTTCCATTTTCCCATTCGCGTAGATGTAACCTATACGATTGAGTCTTCAATAATCCAAAAACAACCCTAGATTTTCTTTTTTGTACATTTTCATTTTGTTGGGCTGCGGAGAGAGGGACACACTCATTGTACCCCCAATATCCATTCCGATCGTAAGTGCACCGATTCGGGTAGAACGTTGAACGAGTTTTTCAAAATGTCGGTAGATGAATCTAAGCATGAGCTTTCCGCCTCATAAACAACCTACTATGCTCCAAATCTAATTCAAACACCCCCTTTTTCCTAGGTTCACCCACAGCAGTATGTCGTTTCTGTGGAGCAGGTGAATAAGGAACGACGCCTCCTCGGACTGTTCCAATGGGTTCCGGTACCGTTTCCCCCTCGGCAATGGATTGATAGACTGCAAACGGAGCGCCCAGCATTTCCTTTGTAATACCGTCCGGGATGGGATGGGGGGTTTTGATGCGGTGGTAGGGTGTGGGCGGGGACGCGGCGGGGGCGGCTGTAGGGGGTGTATGAAGGGTCGGTAGGGCCGGCCAGGAAGGATATGTGCGTTTAGAAGGGTGGGAAAAGGTTTCGCCTTTCATCCATGGATGAGCAAGGAATTGGTCAATCGTGTAGCGCTTGGCGGGGTCCACTTCGAGGAGGTGGCAAATCACGTCCTTGGCTTCGGCGGAAATGTCGTCCCACCAAGGGGATAGGAATGCGAATTGGCCATTCGCGACTTTTTCAGTAAGGCCTCGAGGATCGTCGTCAAAGAACGGGGGAAAGCCAGAGAGGAGGGTGTATAACACGCAGCCGAGGGCCCACATGTCAACACCCTTGGAGTAACGTTGATCGCGGAGGATTTCGGGGGCAGTGTACCCAACGGTTCCGCAAGGCGTTTTGGTCGTGGCGTCGAATACAACTTTGGAGAGACCGAAATCGGCGATTTTGACGAGTCCGATTCCGGCGCCGCCTATACCGGGGACATAATCGTCTTGTACATGTTCATCTCCCGTTTTGCGGATCGTGCGGATGGGGTTGGGTGGTATGGGTTCAAAAAGGAGGTTTTCCAATTTAATGTCCCGGTGCACGACGCCGCGTTCTTGGTGGAGGTACCGGAGGGCGTCACCGACTTGTTTCACAATGTGTCTGCAGATGGATTCGCTAAAGCAGACTTGGCTGACGAGTTGATGAAAGATTTCGCCCCCGGATGCGAGTTCGAGGACGAGGGCGTAGTGGAGGGGGGTTTCGTGAAAGTCGACAAGGCGGATAATGTTTGGATGGGAGAGACGGCGAAGGAGGGATGTTTCACGGAGGACATTGTTGCGCTGGGACGAACCGAGAGTTTTCGCATGAGACCTCCCAAAGCATCTCGTCAAGTACAGAACAAAGCTTACCTGCTGCTCATTCAACTGATGTTTGGCAACGAGTTTGAGTGCGACCAAATAATTTGTTTTGGTATCAATTGCTTTGTACACGATACTAAATGCGCCCCTATCAAACGAGAAGGAGAAAAACAGGGTGAGCAATATTGTCACTTTAATTGACGCACACAATCGGTGACGCTCTCAAGCGCCATGCGTCTTGCTCCCTGCCCGCATGCCCCCCATGACGAGCGTTAACGGTGAGCGCTAGCGAGTCATGTCCCAAACTCCAAAAACTAACCCAAGCCCAACTCGAACGCAAAAGCGAACGCAAAGACCAACCCGAACCCGGGCACGAACACGGGCCCGAAGCCGAACACGAACCCTAACCCAAACGCTAAACTAACGGAACCTAATCCAAACTCTAACCCAAAACCCTAAACGTAAACGACACTTACTCTCCCATTTTATCTACAAGCCGATAGCGATTCATGTAAGGATAAGCGGCCACAACGGGCTTTTCCCAATCCGCCTTGCTGGCGACATGAACATAGTCTCGAACTTCAGCAGTCTTTTCCACGACGCTAGTTTCATCCCAGCGGATCCCTTTTTGCCGTTCCTTGCGCGATTGTTCCTTGCGAGTCTGTTTAACGTGTCGTTCATCAATGTCTTTTGGGGGTCTAGCGAGCTCAGAGTCCATCTCTTTTGGCAGTGCCTTCTTTACGAGTTCAGAGTCTAGTAGAGAGGAGCGTTTCTTTTTCCGCCTTGTCTTTGTCGTTGTTGTTGTCGTTGACGATGAAGGTGCTTGACGTGACGAACTGTGAGTCGAGAGGGAGAGGGAGGATAAAATGTGTGAAAACCAGCTCTTGTCCTCGTCGTCCTTGTGTTTTGGAGAAGGAGTGGTCGAGTTTGAGACGGACGAAGAAGAAGAAGACGAGGACGGGGAATCCGAGGGGGAAGGCGTCAAAGAAGAAGAAGAAGAAGAATAAGAATCCTCTGGTAAAGGAACCGTGTGAGGAGTGTGCTTGTGGTGGAGAGGTGAGTCTACTCTGGTGCTGTTGTTTGTCGAATGGGCAAGATCGCCTGGCTCTTGGGGGGCAGACGAAGAAGAAGGACGAAGAAAAGAAAGCAAGTTGGATGCCATTCAAAAATAACGAGTCCCGTATTAAAAAAGTTACAAGGAAAGAAAAAAAAAAAAAAGATGATGATGATGAAGAACTGCAAGGTTGAAATCGTGTATTTATAAATAAAAAGTGTGAAATGGTCATGATGACATCAAAAGGATATTTCCAATGACGATAATCATGTGATATATCATGTGACTATGGCTGTGAAAGGTCATGTGATGCATTATGTAATTGCTTACGATGGTTGGATAACGTAATCAGTGTGAGGGAGACAAGTGTGAAATGCTTGCATTCTTTGCAGGGAGAGAATCAACAAGAGAAGACAAAGATGAGAGAGAGAGACAAATCCATTTCATTCTCATAGGAGAGACTCATAGGAGAGATATTCACTTTTGTAATTGGGAATTTCTTTTTTATGCGAGTGTTAAAAGGAGTCTTGTTGGAATGTTGGTGGTGATTTTCAAACGAGTTTGGATTATTCCCTCCATCTGCCCATGTTCATTTGTATTGTGTTTTGGATCAACTCGATCTCTTTAAACTCGCTTCACACTCCCTTCACACTCCCTTCACACTCCCCCTTCACACACAAAATGTCCATTCTTTACAGTCGTATATTCATTCATTCATTCAATCCCTCTTGCTCTATCGCTCTCCATTTTCTATTCACACTCTTTATTCACGCCCCACTCTTTCCTTTTAAGCTTGATCTTGATTATATCCCACTTTTATCCATCACACATTCTGCAAATAGACCCCTCCCTTTGTCCCGTACGCCTCTCGCGCGTATGGCACAGTCATGCACAATTTATCAATTATAGGATTAGGTTCTTTATAGTGGCACAGTCATACTATTTATTCATATATATATACGCTGTTTGGTTTTTTCTTCTTTCTCGTTTTGTTGGTTTTTGGAGATTTCATTCACTTGTTCAAGGGCATTGTCGTTTTGCGGATTCATTTATCATGGCTGTTGATCAAGGTGAGTGCCTATTGACGCGAAAGAGAGAGAGGGAGGGAGGAGAGAGAACGCGCGCGTGGACCAAACAAGAATTCAAACATGCACAATGCTCACCTACTGTTTGTTTTCACGCTCCCCTCATCTCGCGCAACTAGGACCTCGCCAATTCACCTGGGAAGAGATTGAGAAATCCATTCCTCCCTCAGGGACGCGCCCCACGCACCTAAAGGCTCCCGCCTACATGGTCATCAACAACAAGGTGTATGACCTCTCCACTGGCTTCTTTTCCTGGCATCCCGGAGGCGCCGTTGCATTTTCCCAATTGGGCAGAGACGCATCCGGTGCATTCCAAGTCTTTCACCGTGACCACACCCACGAGATTCTCGCCAATTTCTATGCCGGCGATTTAGCTCCCTCTGAAATCAAAAAAGATTCCGGGTTCGCGCAAGACGTTCAGCAATTGTTGTGCTTGATTGAAAAGAATGGGTGGCTCGTGTCGTCAAAGGCGTGGTATGCCGTCAATATGCTCGGCACACTCTCCATGGCTCTCGTTGCCGCGTATTTGGTTTTATACCACGGCCAGTCTCTTGTAGCCGTTTGCGTTTCAGCCTCCCTCTTGGCCCTCTTTTGGCAACAATGCGGCTGGCTCTCGCACGATGTTCTCCACAACCAACTCTTTGAAAGCCATTTCTTGAACGACGCTGTGGGTTACTTTTTCGGTAATGTCTGCCAAGGCTTTTCCGTCTCGTGGTGGAAACACAAGCACTGCACGCACCACTCGGTTCCCAACGTTCATTCCGGCGACCCCGACATTGATACCCTCCCCTTTCTCGCTTGGTCTGAACACGCCCTTGAAGGCTTTAGCGATGTGTCGGATGCAACGCTGGCCAAATTCCTCGTCACGTACCAACCCATCTTGTACTTTCCCTTATTGTGCTTTGCGAGGTTGAATTGGGCCCTTTCGAGTTTGATGTGGGCGTTGGCGCCAGGTGTCTTTCCGCTTCGACAAGGGGTGGAAGTTGGGACGTTGGTTTTGCATTGGGCGTGGTATTTGGGGTTGGCGTCGAGGTTGGGGATGGGGTATGCGCTGCTTTGGATGGGCTTGTCCCAAGCCGTTTGTGGTGTGCTTTTGGCTGCCGTCTTTTCCGTCAATCATGTGAGTACAAACAAACGAACACACGAGCGTCCAGCGAGTGTGTGCGTAGCAAGTCTGTTGCGTGCAAAGCGTGTTGGTTTTTTCTTGCGAGTTTTTCGTGTGCAAGAGCGTTGCGTTTTGTTTGATCGAGTTTTCGTGTTGCACGATTGTATTCGCTCAAGTGCTCAAGTGTGTGCAGCAGTGTGTACCCAAAGAGTGCAACGACTGTTGGCATTCTGTTTTGACTCTTGGCTATCGCCACCAACACTCTGCCCACACACAACCCTTTCAAAAGTACTCGATCACAACCGCACTCACACGTTTTCTCATTTTACAGAACGGCATGCCAATCTACACCCCATCCGAAACAACCTCTCTAAACTTTTACGCCCTCTCCATCCTAACCGCCCGCAACGTCTCACCCACCCTCTTTACAAACTGGTTTACGGGCGGCCTAAACCACCAAATCGAACACCACATGTTCCCCATGGTTCCTCGACACCATTTACCCCAACTCGTCCCATACGTTAAAGACTTGTGCAAGAAACATGGGATTGAGTATTGTGTTATGGGGTTGGGTGAAGGGTTGGGTCAAGTGGTTGGGAGGTTGGGACATGTTGCGGGATTGGTTCGGAAAATGCATTTACAATAATGCTTTTTTTTGGTGGTGGGTTATAGAAATACTTGATGTTTTCTGATATAAACTCGAATCAAAAAAAAATGGGGTGCTTGTATTATCGAAAACATACAAAAGAAAACCATTTGCAAAAAAAGTTCCTCGCATTATAAAACTGTGTTTTTGTTTATACCCCACACAACCATCCTATTCCTATACTCCCAAAAAAAAAAAGGCGCCCATTTGCAAAACGCAACAAAAAAAACCATTCCAAATCATTCAATAAGACTAATGAGTTCCTTGACATACTAAACAACAAATCCCCATTAGCAAACAAAAAACACTCTCAAAACACCCTTTCAAACTCTTGATCTCACCTTTGCAATCTCATAAGAACTACTCGCCAACCTCTGCTTCAAACTCTTTGACCCCGGCTCAGAAACCATACTCTTACCCAACTCCTCCAACCGAACATTCGCCGCACTCAAATCCGATAAAATACCTTCACCTCTCGACCGGAATTCCATTGCAGATGGTTTGGACAAGGTGGATTGAGAGACGGTGACGAGGTTGTCTACTATAGAGGTAATCCCGGAAACGGTGGCGGAAAAGTCGGGGGTGAGGGTACTGGTTTGTCGCATGGCGATGAGGAGGGTTTGGATGGCTTGCACGATTTGGTCAGTTTGTTTTTCGAGGAAAATCTTGAGATGTACTGGTTTTAGAAAAGTGATTCGTTACCCAGAAAATGTTTTTTTTTCGCATACACACCTTTAATTCATCAATCTCAAAACTCTCTGGTCGAACCCTCTCCTCCCCCCTCTTCAACCTCAAACATTTAACCAACTCCACAATCGTCGACGTCAATTGCGTAGCAGCCCCATCCAACACCCCAACATTCGCACTCCCCAAACTCGTCGCATGGACTTTGGCCGCATTCATTAAATTATTGAGTGCACCCGCTAATTGGTTCTTTGTGTCTGCCAGTTGGTCCCGTTCGCTGTCGGTTAGAGACGATGAGGTGGATTCAAAGGTTTCAGTGTCTTCGGTAATGTTTTTGCAGGCTATTACGATGGCTTTCATGGCTACTAGGACGCTGGTGGGTACATCCGAGCTACGACCAACAAAGATGCATTTTAGCATAACCCTCTCGAGTAGTATACAGTACGCTTGGAAGGACATACCGAGCAGCACGCAAAAGATCATCCACAGCACTTTGGTACGCCGTCACCCGACTCCGATCAATCACCCCATCATCATCTCCAAGATCATCTCGATTGAAATCAATATTGGGCGTATCCCTCGGTCCTAAAAGCAGCATGTCACATCTCACCCGCCATCCAAATCAAAAAACACAATCTGTTACATACCACTTGCACCTTCTTCCCCTCGGTATCGAGCCAGCTACAAAAGAAAAAGGTCATCAAGTAAACACATTGACGCAAGACACATTTGGAACACACCTCATCCCGTAACTGCTTAATAACACCCTTATCCCGCTCCCGCTCCGCAACCAACTCTTCATTTTTTCGAGACAAGGATTTGATTTCATCCAATAAGTTTGTCGCCTCCGATCGAATATCATTTGCAATCTACCATCCAAAACAAGAATGATCAAAAAACACACAAAAAATACACAATACACATCGAGTATGGACCTGTTGCTGATTATTATAATCATCTTGAAGCGACTCGAAATCTTCCTTTAGCTTTGTGTACTTTGCATCAAGGGTTTCTAGTTTTGCGGCTTGTTCGGCGTTGATCTGCGAATACAATGAGCATCTTCCCACTCGCACTGTTTGACACTTGTAACATGAATACCTTGTGTTGAACACCCAGCTTATCTTCTAGGTCAGCTACCCTGTCTTTGCTCTTCAATGTTTCCTATAAAAACAACGTCAAGGATGCAAAAGAGTAATACCAAAAATTAAAGGGCACGTACTGCGAGTTCGAGTTCAAGTTGTTTGACACGGGCTTGCATGCCTTCGTACTCTTTCTTCAATTTTTCAACATCAGCAGATCCAGCAGCGTCCTAAAAAAAGTCATTAATTAAAATTCACAAATACAAACCAAAAATTCCAAGAAAACCACACAAAACTTACATAACCCCCTTTGGGACTCGTCAACATACTCCCCAAATCCGCCATCAAATTATCCAACGACGTAAAATTGACAGCTCCAATCTCTGCACTCTTTGGTCCATTCGCAGGAGCCGACAACGCCTTCCCTTCATACGGCTGCGAATACTGTGTCTCATACATTTGGGTATTGGCATATGGCACGGCGCTGGTGACTTGCACCGTCTTGGGTTCAGGAGATAACGATAATTGTGGACCATTGGTGATTGGTGCGGATGCAATGCGATCTGGAGATTCGAGGGTCCCGTATTTGGCATTATAGTCTTCTACGATGGTTGGGAAACGGCGTTCGATTTCGTAGTATACGTCGCTGGCGAGGTCTTTGAAGCGGGAACTGGGGAGGGTGGCGAGTTTTTGGCGGGCTTGGTTGCGTTTGGGGTGAAAGTCGTCTCGGACGGGAAGAAAGGGGACTAAATATCCAATGGGGTTTAGGTTTTTGTCATAAATATCTCTAACCTGTCTATTCGTCAAAGCTCACCCTCTTTTGAATCCAACTGCCTTCGATTCATCTCATCAAACACATCTGTGGACAGCTCTGTAAACTGCTGTTTAGTTAGCCTCGTCAACTTTTCTCGTGCTGACGTCCGCTGATTGCTCTGATTCCCCGACGCCCGCTGACTTTGGAGGTATGCGGACAGGTATGACCGTAGTCGTTCGTAATGCGTACTAGCGATATCCATGACCTGTATAGTATCTCTCCCATTAGAGTCTCAAATACTCGACCTTTTTGTCCGAAATGCCAAACTTACTTGATCCTGTGACATGATGTTGGGGTGATAGGGAATAGTATTCTCGTAATGGCCCAATGTTCGGACGGAAATGCGGGGTATGAAAAAGTCTCACACTATGGGATATATGGCGGTTTTCTTTGTAAATTGTTTCGCAAGAGGTATCAACCGTAATGTGTTCTATAAAAGAGTTCTTCCCAAAGGACGGCCAAAAAGATGGTGATGGCCGCGCAAAGAAAAAAACTGGTTTTTGGCGGCCGGCCGCGTCCAAGACCCAAGTTACGATTTTCAACCCGTTCGTTTTATCGCCTTGTCGTCGTCGTCGTCGTCGCTTGCAACTCTAGTTGTCCTTACTAAAGCCCGCTTCCTCCAAACCCTCTATAAGAAAAAGCCCCGCTCGAAAGGCAAAAAAAAAAAACTAATGGGCCAAAAGGGCTTTTCGTCCGCTTCCCGCGGTTGGAAGTAGTTATTGATTTTTGGTAACAACCGCTAGTCATGTGATATTGATTATGGAAGGATTTCATTCTTTGCCTTTTGGCTTTTAGTTTTCTTGTAGGTGATGCATGGCGATGGAGAAGTGTGCTGACGGTTCGGTTGCATGCTTGTTTTTGTGTTGTTGTTGTTGAAGGGCTGCTTGAGCTCATTGCATTGGATTGGAAACAATGTCCATTTGCGCGATAGCAGGCCCATCTGAACGCTTCACACTCTACAAGCACACTTGGCCCCATGTAACACTTGATAACTTTTTGCTCGTTCATTCCATGTAAACCCATTGGCATATATCTGGGAATGAACCACCCATATATCAACTCAAAACTCTAGCATCCATACCGATTTGGTGCATACTCTGGCAACTTGCAAACTAGTGGTTAAAATAGACCCTAACATGACCCCATTGGACACACGATCAACTGTATCCATTGTCCGCCCACATTTCAAAAAATCCCAACTAGAACAGTTACTTGATCATATCCACCTGAAATATAGGTTTCTCATCATAAACATTTCTAGTGCGTATCTGTTCCACTTTTGTATTTTTCTACTGTCCTTTCCAAAAAACCCAAGCAATGGGCCACGGCACCAGCAAGCCCGTCAAGGCTAGCACACCACCTCCTCCACAACCTCCACAAGATCCCCGCCCAGGCCGCACCGTCCTCTCCACAGACCCCCCACAAAAGCCCAAGCAGTACGTTTCTGACGGACCACCTGGATTCTTACCCTACGATGATAGAGAGGAAGAAGAACAAGAACGTGCGAACCGAGACCGCAAGGAACGAGAACGCTTGGAACGGGAACGTTTGGAACGAGAGCAAGTAGACAAGGATCGACTGGATAGAGCACGTAGGGATAAAGAACATTCAGAACGGAACAGAGAAAAAGACAAGAATGTTATGCCACCCTCCCGAACTCCTCATCTTGCTGGTAAAAGTCACCGTTCTCCACTATTTTATCGCAGGAAAAGTCCAATGCACTGCCCCCACACTAACTACTTGTCTCTTTTTTTGTTAGATTCTACCACATTTATACCCCTCTCCCCAACACCCCGCCATACCCACACCGACACAAAACCCAAATTCGATAAAGAAAAATTCAAAAAAGCAAATAAAGATCCCGTATGTCCATTTCCTTTCAAATTCCTTCGAGTGTTTGCCTATACTTATATTTTGTCGATAGCCTCCACAACAGGAAACAACCACAATACCTCACCGTGACCCACTCTTTTTGGATGAAAGTGATGAGGATTTCATGGCAGAGATTTTACGGGAAACGGATTTTGTCGCCTTGGATCGAGCTCGAGGTGTTGTCTAACCTTGTTTTTGTTTCTTGTTATTATAAAAACAGAAAGTTGAAATGGTGCTCTAGTTATGCATGTCCCAAAAACACAAAATGCTTTTTGTATTGCGATTTTTTTATGTTGCAAAATGTCAAAAACAAAATATTTTTGTTTCTTAATGAGTTCGATGCCGACGGGTATGATACCTCGCCTCCCGATTATCTACTCCAGCATTCGGCTGCAATTTATGATCCAAATGCAAATTCCGTTCATGTTCCTATTACAAACTCACATCAACTCGTTCGAAACATGTACTTTAAATGGGGCAATGTCTTACATGATGTTTGGCCTCTTCGGCAGCGGGAGGTCCTCGTCCATATTCCGCCAAGGAGGCCACAGCGGGGTCGCGTTCGATACCCAGTTCAGAGAGACGGGGTGGGTCGGGTTCGAGAGGGACGCCCGGTGCGCGGGGGGGAGCGGGGACTTCGAATTCGCGGAGGCTTTTGTGGGTCATTTTTGTGTGATATGGGTGGGTTTTGGAAAACGATCCAAAGGTTTATAAACTGGGAGCAACAAAGGTACGTGATGCTGCTTTTGTCATTTTTATTACGTATCGCTTGGAGCAAGTGTGTGCGTAAAAAAGCTTAACATTTAGGGTTCTTTGTAACAATAGGCTTCAATAGGATTATCACAATCGAGTAACGCCTTACATCGCAACAAACTCTTCCAAATCCACATCCATAAAATACCCAGTTCCATCTGGCCTCATTCGCAGCTCAATAGGTTCACTACTTAAAGCACATTCTACCCACCGTCGCACGTCATTCACACGCACTTGTTCTCCCCCAACGCCATCCCACCCACACCCAAGTAACCTCCTCCACAACGGATTGATACCCCCATCTTCAGTCCCGACCGCATGTCCAGATTCCACAAGAACGTACACGCCTCCACAACCAACAGTTTGAACGAGCGCCAAAAAGGGATTCAACGGCTTTTGACCAATCGTGAAATGGACGGACTGAACGGCCCCTTGGATCGGATGTGTAAGTGCTGGAAGGGTACAACCATTCCGCCGCAAAAAGGACTGGTCTAGCCCCTCGCTGTGCGCGAGTATATACCGGGTAGCGACTTGACATGCAGCACGATGCGCAAGCACACTTTCATGGATATTGTGGGGGTAACTCAAATCAACCGTCATCACCAAGGATAAAAGCGAAGACGACACGGTTGATTCAGTGTTCAGATCGCGTAACACACATGCATCCATAACCGCCTGCCATCCATTCGACAACGCATCATCAAAAGGCAAGGTCGCAATAATCTCACCAGTATGTACGACAACAATATACGACACGGGCTGATTCCAATCCAATCCCGATTCCCCGCCGTCTCGATCCTTACCTTCCAAACTCGACTGAACAGTCCGTGACCAAACCCTCGCAAAATCCCTACACAAAACTCTCACCTTCTCCACAACCGGCATCCCCAACACAACCCCCCGAGTCCTCGTCCCACCCGCCTGTCTCAAAAACAGGGCAACCCAAACCCGTCGTGCAATATCCAACTCATCTGGATGATTATTGCATTTGAGCATATTGACGTGCAACCCGCAAAACACATCCTTTAAACACGTTCTTGAATGCATGTATAGCTTTCCGATCCAGCTGGCACCATGCCACTGAACCTTTTGGGCAAAATCGAGATATCGATACACGTACCACCCCTTGTACGAGCACTTGCAACCGTCATCAGAGATGATCTCTGCAGTTCGACTACCCGGAAAATGCCTGTACAAATATCGTGAATCTCATTAACCCGTAGTATCGGTCAACTCAAATATACCTCTTGGACAGCATTCCCCAGGATGATGAGGCTTTTGTAATTAGCCATCACGAATCGACACATGATATGATCTACACCTGATGTCCACTCACCAGCCAAACGCCAGAGCTTTGATACCCGCTCGCATCGTGCAAGAGTCGCAGCATCTGTTCGTGAGAGAGCCAATGCAAGGTCCCGTACCATTCTTTTTTGCGCGCCTTCAGGAAATGATATACGAGGAAACTCTGTTGGGACGGGACCTTTTGCACTGGGTGCGTTGATCCATGGTTTTGGTATTGAAATTGCGCAATGCGGCGGTGCATCCTTTGTGGGTGATGGTGATGGTGTTAACGGTTTAAATGTACCACTCAATAGTATTCCACGCTTCTTGTTGTCAGACGAGGTCGAACCAGGGGGTGTCAGAATGGGGGAAGATACGAGCGGCTTGGTATGTGAGGTGTTGCAGGGCAGAGTTTGTCCTGTGATTGTAGTAGATTTCGGTTTCAGCAATTGACCGAGTCGACGTATTTTCGTTAGACCGCTCTTGTCGCTCATTGGAGGTATCCTTGTGGTTTCCGGTCCACGGCTTTCGCTTTTCGTAATATTAGAGATCTTTGGCGCGGCCCTGATGATGTTCTTTTCCTTGTCACTTGATTTACCACTTAATGGAGCGGCTTTCCTGACGATCCCAACCTTTGATTTCCCTCCTCCTTTCACTGGTTTGACCGTTGGTTTCAATGCAGCAGGTTGTGTAGTCGTGAGAGGCGTGAGCTCGTTTGTTTTCCGTGGTGGTTGCACGGTTTCTGTTGTAGCGGGCACTACTGGCCTAGGTGCTACACTACCCTTTGAGGTCCCCAAAAACGGTAGACATTGGGTGAGCTGTGATTTTGCGGGATTTCCAGTTTCGCCAGTCGTACTTCGGGCGAGACCGGCTTCATTATGAAAGGGTCGCAAGCTGCTTTCTGATTTCTGCGGTTGGGCAATAGTATCTGATTTGGTCTGGACGTCTACTTTGAAAGCACTGGGTTTTATCGCAGGTAGTCGGGGGACGGTCTCTGGCTGACTAGACGTGCCCACATCGAGTATCATCCGCTCATCTGGTGACGGTCCGACAGTGGTATCTGACTGACTCGGTGCCCCTTCCACGGCGGCGCCAGTTAGAACACCAGGCGACACGGCAAAAGGATTGACTGCCGGTATTGTCGGTTCGGTATTCAGAGCCTGTTCCTTAGGAGTCGGCAACTCGACCACCTCCGTCAAAACATCCTCATCGTCTCCTTTTTTGGCCATTCTCTTCTTTCCACTCCCCTTCCCATCTCCATTCTTCCTTTTCTTTGTAACCTGTTTTGCATTCTCCCCCGTACATATACTCGCGAGACTCGGAACCGCGTTACCCGACGCAAAGTGAGCTTCCAAACGCGCAATAAGGTCCGCCTTTTTCCCACCAACTGTAAGTCCATACTCTCTGCAGCGAGCTTTGAGGATGGGAATGGTGAGTTTGGCCAGTGGTATGGGTTCAGTAGATGACATGCTGTGCTTCTTGATGTGGGAATGCTGAAGGTGCAATTGTCCTATTTTGTGGGATAGCGTAAGCAAACTGGGTGGATCTCCGTTCGAGTTGACATTTTACTTGTGCACGTTAGATTCGTATATGGAGAGGACCTGTTCATCGTATCATCTGAAATAAAAGCTTTTTTCATTCATATCTTGCTCAGAAGATACAATAAACAACCATTTACTCTTTAATTGCAAGACGCCATTCATTGGCCAAATAGTAGAATCACTAAAAGTCATTATCATCTTCCTCGCTCCCTTCATCCATACCCAGCCGCTCATCATCCCCAAAATCCACTCCCTCCCCTTCTTCGTACTCCTCATCCTCCTCCTCTTCTTCATCTTCCTCTTCGTCGTCATTGGATCCATCCTCGTCTCGTATCCCAGCGAATTCATCGTCGAAGGTGTCGCCGTTTATGATATCAGTTGCGGATATGGAAAGATCGTCGTCCTTTTTTCAGAATCAATGAATGATATTTCAAATAAAAGGGGGGGAGAGAGCGTACCTCGTCCTCTGGCATTGGCTGATCGCTTTCGGATTCAGTATCGCTGAGGTTGCGCAGGGAGCGACTTCGTTGACCGGCGGCTGTTTCGTGTGCTCGTCAATTTATGTCATTCAGCGTCAATATGAACTTTTCTCTTACCTTTTGGTCTCGACAGTCTTGCACTCGCAGTCTCTGAGACATATGATGACCCCAATACGGCTCTCATCTCCTTATCCCCTTTCAAAAGCTTCAACTCTTCTTCTCGTAGACGAGTTTGCATTCTTTTTAAGGATTCTTCCGTTTCCTAGTTTGCAGACATCTAATTAATAATGGTTCTTGCCAAATGAAGAACATTTTGAGTATACCTCAAACTTGTCTTGTTCTTGTCGGTTGTATTCGTCCAACTGTTGTTCTAGATAAGTTAGATTTCGGAAGCGCTCCATGTACGTTTCATAGAGGTTGGTGAGGTCAGCTTCAATTCGCTCGTACTCGTCCATGTACGCCGGTCTGTGTATCAAATATTATACGAGTAAATCAAATCTGTGGCCTGGAAAGCGTACCCATATTTGCATTGAGTATCAAGGTGCATACCTGACGCTCTGTAGACTCTGCAATCTCTTTTGTGCACGATCAAGCTCCACCTTCTTCTTCTCAATCTTGGACATTAGGTTCGTCTCATCAGCCCCCAAATTGTCCAACCCGCTCCTGGTCGTGCCAATTTGGTCCTGAAGTTTGGTGATTGCTTCTCTGACTGATGATTCCATTGCTCGAAGCTCAAAAGGACGGGCAATCACAGAGGATCTAATGTCCTACGATATGAAAAGATTTAACGTGATAACCAGGAGAGGAATGTGTCAGTAATTTGGCACGCACCTTGAGTTCCATCTCTTTGCCAAGCAGGTCATATAGCTTTGCACCGTGCTCCGTTATTTCGGATGCCAGCATCCGACATATTTTGAGTTGTGCAAGTTTGCTCGAGATGTCTAGTGCGGGAGTCTCGGCCGTGTCCTTAGTTATAACTTTCAGTAAATAGTGACAGCACACAGCCTGACCCAGTATAGAAATTGCACACCTCGCTCTCAGTTGCTTCAACGGTATTCGCTTCGTAGAGAATGCTCGCAATCTTCAGTAGCTCTCTCACTGCGTTTCCGTCAGCCATATATAGTTTTCGGGTGTTGAGTTTGATGTGCGCTTTAGGAGCCTGGCGAGATGCCCGTTAAGTAATTTCTCGTTGATAGTGCGAACCTAGATATCTACCATAAAAGAAGCAATAGACTTGATGAAAATTATACGATCCTGTTCGGTTGAGATATCATCTGATATGTCGATACTGGGGTCGTAACTGATCACGCAACACAAAAGAGTATTAGGATCCAGCGAAGCACTTTGAATAAACAACCAATATCAGTTCCAGACACTCACACCTTTTAACCAGCCAAAGCAGAATTTCGGCCACCATTTCGAAATTAGGTGATCGAAAAGACTCCATCGATACAAGCTTGGGATAACCCAGCGAACGCATTTTCTCTGTGAATGCTGCAAGTTTTCGTCAGTTTGTGTACAGATGCAAGTTCAACTGGATGTGGGGGACACGTACATCGAACTTCTCTGTAGGACATGCTGATGCTTTGAGGATGACGGCCGTATGGGTAAACGGAGAGGAGCTAGACTCGAAGATGGTGAACTCCGATTGATGACAAGACGCGTCGTCCGACAGGCTAACACGATAGCCAGTGACCTACTGTCTCCAGATCATTTTATAGAAAGTGCTGTCCATCGTGACCATATCTTGATGAAACGACGCCGACCCAATCACCAGTATCCTGTAATGAAATCCGCCGTCTCTCCAGAAAAAGGTGGAGTTCCCCTAATCTTCTTGTTACCGCAGGACACCCGCGAAGCCCTAACCATAACCAAAAGTCGCCGTCAGAACAATTAACCAACTCCTGACCCGAATCCGTGTCCCTATTAGCCTCACCTCCCTCGCTGACTGCGTTCCGTCATTATGGGTAGCTCTCTACGAAGGACTCTTTGAGGCTCGCATTCCAGGGATTATCCGTACCAATGCGTCAAGCCATGGTGCCCGAATTCATAACGTCACTTGCGTTCTGGACGAGCTTGCGACTACGGTTCTTGGGGTGGATTTAGGACACATAAGGGCAGAGGATGTTGTAACGGGGGAGAGAAAAGCTGTTATGAATTTGGTGGAGATATTTGGGGAACTGGGAAAAGCCATGGACAGGGTGGAAGGGGTCGAAAGCCAGAATGTGTCCAGTGAGCGGCAAGATAAAGGAAAAGGTCCAGTCAGAGAGGAACAGAGTGCGGAGATGAATTCATATTTTTTGGCAAATGAAGGTGACGACTCATTAGGACTGAACTTGGATGAAGGGTACGGAACTCAACAGATCCCGGAGCTACGTGATCTGGCAAATCCACCTGAGGGGGGCCCATCATCAGCAGGCCCATCCGGATACGGTCGTAAATCTAGACCAGAAATCTCTAGTACAACCTTGGAGATCCCTTATGAGCCAAAGACAGGTTCTCCGCTTGCATTCACCCAACCCGAGCCCCCACCAAGTCCACCAAAGAAGCGCCGACGTCGTATTCGATCGGGTAGCACAGTGTTGACAGATGTTAGGAACGATGTCGAGGAATACCTCCAACAGCAAATGCAACGCGGGCGGGCAAAGGGACGTCATGGCGCCAAAGTAGAAGACACACAGAGCACACACTCTGCGCAACCAAGACGATCCAGTACGTCGCCAGTGAAGGTAACAGGCAATTTCTTACCTTTTCTAACATTGCAGGACGCTGATGATATTCTGCAGCGCAGTCCTCTCCATCCGCTGCTGAATGTAAATGCCAAAGATACCCCATACACAAAGGCGCTGAAATTACGTCGAGCTCGCTTGTTGCGGGAACAGAAAGCGCGATCTGGAAAGTCACGACGGGATCATTTACCTCGTCACTCGATAACACCTAAACGACGAGCAACGCTTGCTAAACGACTTCAGGCCAGACCACTTGAAGGTAGCGATGGAGGTGTCGCTGAGATGGATTATTCAATGGGCATATCAGAACCAGACGATGGAGTATCTGAGCAACAAGATGAAACAGACGGGTCTACGACTGAACCTGGCACACCGGCCAAGCCTCTTCCAGAGCGAAACCTGGAAGAATACGAAAAGACTGTTCGAGCTGCTTTACCATCAGCTGAAATTCACCCTCGTACTAAAGATCGGGTGTGGAACCAGCAATTGAAAACTTGGGAAAAGGCTTTGGATGACCGGTTATGGAGTGGGACTGTGCGAAATGTACGTTCTTGTATGCTTTCACAAATTTGTCCTGCGATTGAATATGTCTTCTTGCGTCCGTATGCAGCACCGAGAAACTCAAAGTGCAATGGACAGCGTCAGGCCCCTGATACATGCTACAAAGCATTTGCAGACAGACTTGGCTGCTGTAGGTATACTCCCTCCTTGTTGAAGACTCGCTGCGTGCATCTTATATTTCTGGTCTTGCGACCGTTCCAGCAACGCAGGCGCAAGGAAAGCGAAGCTCTCCGTGTCGTCAAAGCATCAATGCGCGAACAGAAGCGCCGTATCGTCCGCATGGAGAAACGGCAACGAGATGCGGAATCTGACGTGAAACGATACAAGCAAAAGAAGGCTAGCAAAGATGAGCTTGTACGCACCCAAGTGACCTTAGCACTCATCGTCCTCATATTAACGCTGTATCGCTCATAGTTAACAGCCAAATTATTCGATACCTACGCCCGCACGGAACGTCAAGCTATCCTTGCCGAACGTCGAGCTCAAAAAGAAGTTCAAAAGGAACAAGAAAAAGCTCGAAAATTAGCACAGGAGTCTAAGGAAAACTTTTACAAATCCCAAATTGCTCTTCTCATGGAGCAATTACAAGAAGCACGGCGGGAAGAAGAGGTTGTTGTCAAGGCCCATGCGGAGGTATGTTTATGCTTCATTTGCCGTCTTATGAAATAATGTTACAATTCTGTTTTGATAGGAAATGAGACGACTGCTGCAAGACCAGAAGCAAGCAGCTAGGACGCATATTAGGAGGGTAAAAGAAAAGCTCGAGGTTGATGTTGAGGATATGGAGTTTAGGGAATTGGATGCGGAAAGGGTCGCCCGGGATCTGATGTTTGCCGTTAGACGAAGAAATTGAGCCTGTGTACATTAATACTGCATATTGCTGATGTACGTATTCTTAAATACAGGTTATGATAACTTGTATCATACGGGCATGTTCAAAAATCATCTTGCTTAAGTAAGGAGTCGCGTAATCATGCTTTTTGTTTTTTGATCTGCACCAAAACTACAAAACCAGCCTGGGTGGACCAAAAAGTATTCGTTGTTCAGTCAAAATGCCGTCAGACACGGTGTTCCATCATCGTTCGAAACTTAAGCAGCAAAACAAGCCTTTCAAGTCTCGACATGCCACGAAAGGCCAATTGAAAACAAAGACGAAAGGTAAATTCACTCTGGAATGGTGCCCAATGGGGTTTGGGAATGCACTACTGATCTACTGTTTCGTACAGGCAAAGTGGACAAAGTCGCAGCTTCAGTCAAAAATAAGCACAAGCTATCCTCTAGTAAAGCAGATCGACGCAACCAAGCCAAAGTTCTTCAGCAAAAGAAGAGACACGACATTGTTACATCGAGTCGACTGTTCTCTGGTGCTCATGGATGTCCTAAAATAGTTGCGGTGGTCCCTCTTTGCCCTGACGTGGATTCTCATGCCGTCGTAAAGGACTTGTACGCAAGTGTGGGGCAAGAATACGTGGCTGAGACGGTCAGCACGCTGTTTGTAGAACGGTTCAAACAGAAAGTACAATTCGTTGCCACACGCAGGCATTTGCTGGATATCTTGGATGCCGTAAAGGTTGCGGATTTTGTAGTGTTCGTCGTCTCAGCTGAAGTGGAGGTTGATGGGTTTGGAGAGTTATGTTTGACGACAATCAAGGCGCAAGGCGTACCCTCCACTTTGAGCGTGGTTCAGGTAGGTTGCCATGCCGATTGTCCTCTAAAGTCAACCTTCCGTGAAATCAGATGATATTAACGGTTGTATTCAGCATCTCGAGAAAATCGCATCCAAAAAGCAAGTTGACATTCGCAAGTCCCTGATCAGTTATATGGAGCATCACTTTCCCGAAGACGCAAAACTGTTTCACACCGCAGTGGAAGCAGAAGCATTGAGTGCTTTACGCTTTCTGACCCAACAGCGGCCAAAGCCTATAGTATGGAGAGATAGGCATGCCTACATGTTGGGTGAGCGAGTGGAGTTTGAGGCGAACGAGGAGGGGGAGGTTGGTTGCCACCCTGTCAACCAAAAATGACGACTCTTGTTCATATTTGCTTGTGGACGTTTCTGTAGGACATGGGCACATTGCAAGTGACGGGATATGTACGTGGGAACAACTTATCCGCAAACCGACTGATTCACCTTCCGAATCATGGCGATTTTCAAATTAAAATGATTGTATCGTGCCCGGTGGCATTCGACACTAAAGACAATACGATGGCGACAGATGCGAGGATTTTGGAGACTCCGGAGCCTGAGCTTCAGGTAGGCTGGCGTGGGTGATTTTTGGGACATGTCTCCGCCTTGGTGCTGAACTCGACCTTTAGGAATCTCTGGTGACTGAGAATGAGCCGGATCCGATGGACGGAGAGCAAACGTGGCCCACGGCGGAAGAGTTGCGGGAAGCTGATGGTACGGTCTATTTTGCATACAGATCCAAAGTAAAATACTCACGGCCGTGCATTTGGGTAGAGCGCATTGAGGGAATGGGCGGACCAGCATCCTCAGACGCCGGAACTGTAACCTCTCGAAAGAAAACCAAAAGAGTCCCAAAAGGTACATCCTCCTATCAGGCGGCTTGGATTGTGGATGAAGACGACGATTTGGAGGATGAAGAGGAGGAAGAGGAAGATGAGGATGGTGATGTGGCAATGGGGGACGCCGGTGATATGATGGGAGAACCCGTCGATTGGGCCAGTATGAATCTCGGTCATGGCGCTGGCTCAACTGAGATTGAGCATGAAGATGATGAGGAATATGAAGATGTGGACGTGGAAGAGCGAGAGATTGCCTACGAGGAAGAATTGGATGAAGATGAAGAGAACCGGCAGTATAAAGAATATCTGGATAAGCAAAAGCAAGAACGGGAGGATCTAGAATTTCCGGATGAAGTGGATACCCCACAAGAAGTCCCTGCCCGGACGCGGTTCCAACGATATCGAGGATTGAAGAGTTTTCGAACATCCGCTTGGGATCCGTACGAAAACCTGCCGATTGACTATTCCCGCATTTTTCAGTTTCACAACTTCAAAAGAACAAAGCGACGTGTGTTGGACAGTCTGGATGAAGCGGGCGTATCTCCGGGAACTTTTGTTACGGTACATCTTCAGAACGTGCCCCGAGCAGCATATGGTATGTGTGATTGCAAACTCTGTGCATATTCATTTCGCATCAGCTGAACTTTCAATCAGACGAACACAATAGCAAAACTACCCGCCCCTTCGTTCTCTTCTCCCTTCTTCCCCATGAGCAAAAATACTCTACTCTCAACTTTGTCGTCACACGTAACGCAGAGTACACCGAACCCGTCAAATCCAAAGACCCTATGCTTTTGCATTGCGGATTCCGCCGTTACGTAGTACAGCCATTGTACTCGACCAATACGCGCGGTGGTACGAACAATGTTCATAAATTTGAACGGTTTTTGCAACCGGGTAGATCGGCCGTGGCTACTGTATATGCGCCAATTCAATTTGGGCCTGCTCCAGTTCTGATGTTCAAATATGATGAGAGTGGACTGGCTTGGGATGATGGTATGTGTTTCTCAACCTGTAGGTGGTCGTGCCGTCAGCGTATCAATGATTTTTGCATTTTAGTCTCTGCACCACCATTCATTGGCCATGGCTCCATCATCGACCTCGACCCATGCCGCATCGTTGCTAAGCGGATCATCCTCACAGGCCATCCCTTCAAAGTTCACAAGCGTGGTGCTGTCATCCGATACATGTTCTGGAACCCACAGGATATCAATTATTTCAAGCCTGTCCAATTGGTTACAAAGCTGGGGCGGGTGGGACATATTCGCGAGTCTCTTGGTACACATGGGTATATGAAGTGTATATTTGATGGGCCACTTAAAGGGCAGGATACAGTGTGCATGTATTTGTATAAGCGAGTATTTCCCAAGTGGACGACGAGGTTGTATGTAGAGGATGGAGATGCAAAGGACAGTATGAAGATGGATGAATAGGCATAGCACTAGTATGATGGTCTGTAGATTTGTTGCGATATATATCTATTATTTCTTTGTATTTTTGTATGACAATAGGTGATGTGTGTTGCAGTCATTGTAATTCTCAACATTTCTGACTCGCACATGTCAATCAACAAGAAAAACTATCCAAAGATCTAATACATAAATTGTAGAACTGCCGTTTATGATCTTCAGGGTCATAGAAGGAAATGCGCGTGTCATAAGCAGCGTCGGAGAGCGCGAAGAAGCGCGCAGCAATCCAAGACGCAGAATATGATATATAAAGTCCCAGAATTGTGACATGCCCCGCGCTAGAGAGGTTTTTGTTCATCCCTTTGTTATACACCAGGTATCAAGATAACTTTCAATCTGGGAATGCAGTTGCATGTCTGCTTTGCAGCTGCTTAGACCTGTCGACACCCTCTCGCGTCAGGTATTGTAGATCCATCAAGCTTGACAGCCAGTAGACTACAGGAAAGCTGTGCGCATCATGCTTGAACAGGTTTTCTTGGTTCTCCTGCAAGGTAAGAACGAGACCGTGCACGATCTTAAGCAAGAAAATATGGTTTTTTTAAAGCAACAATGCTGATTTGGAATTTCAGTGCTTGCGCTCCGCAGTGTCCATGTAACCTGCCACCCGAACCACCCTAACATTGCCCCCCAAAACGCCCTTCATCCTCGCGCTAGTAACGAGCGATATTCAAGACAGTATGCCACTCTCGTCTTACTAAATACACCGGGGGCGACTCCCAATCCGGCGCTGCTGCCCGATGCCGCATCCCTCAGTCTTATTAACACAAAACCAGAACCAACAACCTTATCGGGCAGCGCCCAAGGGACTCCCGAAACCAGCGATTCCCAACAGAATTGTCCAGTCGGAAAATACCGCTCATCAGACTCGCGTGAATGTCTGTTATGTAAGACCGGAATCAGTGCACCAGAATGTGCGGCAACAGGAACTACCACACACAGTTCTGCCGAGCCACTTAGTCGTGGCGGTTGGGATAACTTGAATGGAGGGGCGAAAGCTGCGGTGGTTGGTGGACCTGCAATAGCACTCGCTGGACTGTGCATTATGGCCTGGTTGTGTGTTCGCCAACGGAAGAGCAAAAAGGAATACCTGCAAATAAAGGAACATGGTACTAAACCTGACGACATGGTTACTGTGAGATCTATGCAAGGTAAGACATTGGTTGAAACTATCATTTTCAAGTCTTTTGGCTAATGAAATCACAGCCGTCGAGCCAATCTTGCCGGATCTCACTGTAGTCGAGGTTAAGGAGCCCCCACATGCGCATTTAAATCCCACCGCCGACCAACCTCCAATAGTACCTCGGAAGACAAGCTTGGAGTCCAAGCGAGACGGTCAATCCGAGATGCAGGTTCAACGACCACCATCAACATGGCCTGGACAATCGAAACGACAACGGGCTCCGTTCGCCCGCTCTTTGGGTCAAGCCCTCACTCAGGGAATAGCACAGCGATGGCATAGACTCAATACCTCCAACGAAATCTGTCCTAAACCACCCATGGAAATGATCATGGCTGATCAGCGAGTTGGGCAGAGAGACTGGAAACAATCTCAGTCCGCTGCACACCAAGAAGACTCGCAGCCTCTTATGAGCACGGAATCCACGACGGCAGATTTCTTGATGGACAACGTTGGAGAACTTGAAGAACAGGAAGCGCAGCAGCAGCGACCGCAGGAGAGTCGCGAATTCGACGCATCCCCCTCATTAGTATCGCCGGTACCACCTGAAGCGAATCCCTTCGTAGACTCAGCGACATACGGTCTAGCTGCGCCGACTACTGAAACCCCGTCGTTATTATCTCCAAAGATACTGGTGACCGAATCGCCTTCCACCCGCAAGAACAACACTACGGGCAGTCCTCGGCCATCTTCAGATCGCGACCGAGATTTCAAGGGAGATGATTCCAAATATGCGCGTGCAAAGACTCCAAACCGTACCCGCTCGCCCCTTGCAAGCCTCGCAAACCGCAAGTATTTCGATGACGATGATTTGCACAACATCAAGCGCCGAAACAAAATCCGGCAGGCTGCGCTCCAGGAGTACGCCTTAAATCAGGCCAAGGGCCCAAAGAAAAGCGGTGAATCCATTCCGAGTAGCGTCGCCAGCACCAGCAAGTTGAGGCCGGTTCGCAAGAGGACCAAATCGTCGCCCCTGGACGTCATGAATGCAGGAGATGATGTTCCTCTAATCAATTTTGTTGGCCTCAAGAAGCCCGCATTGCGGCCCCAAGGTCAACCATCTCACTTTGATGGCTCTGCATCGCTCTATGGCTCATCTCGGTCGCTTGGAGCCGCCTCGAATTCTTCTGGATACCTTGCATCAGAGTCCTCTCATGGAATGTCCAATTCTTCCAGGGGCTTCCATCGAGACCCTAGGAGGCCATGGGAGAATGGATTATTCACAGCTGGGTCCATGTTGGCACCTCCTCCAGCTCACCCTCACGCGGCAGTGCCAATGTTGCGTCCGCCGCATGTTGGGATGGCACCAGGGATGTATCACCCTGGGTATCGACAAGTGCCTGCCCCAACTGTTCAATCTCCCCATGGAGGCCTCCTACATTGCGCTCCACCTAGCGCGATGTACAATCCGTACCCGCCAGCAACAGCCATGAATGGTAACTACTACCGACCTATGCCTCCGATGATGTCGACTAGGCAGGGAGAAGGTCGGGAACGGGAAGGCAGGTCACGCAGTCGAAGTCGCAACAAAAAGAATGAAGAAAGTGGCTCCATGCGCCGGGCCAAGAGTGCAGGGTCGCGATCGAGGCAAAGGGGGGATGCAAAAGGCAAAGCATCAGATTCTTCTCCCTCACGCCGGAGTCGAAGCGCTGGTGGTAGAAAGGAACAGAGGAAAGCAGGTGACAGGCAGAGTGTAATTGAAGAGTTTGAAAAACTGAGGAAAAGTAAGGGGAAGGGAAAAGCATTGGAGAGTGATGGCGATCGTACGAATACCGACGACACTAGTGAAGGATCAAGTGAATAGGGAGGTAATGGGAAAAACGGTTCGATTATGGAAATTGGTTGAATATAGTGGAAACATATCAAGGAGTTTAGTGCTTGCTGGACTATACTACGTCTTTGTATTTCAAGTCGCATAGTGTTTTGTAAAAGAAATGTACATAGGAAGATCGAGCTATTAAAGTAAAAACTTTGTTCAAAGAGCCGATGCTTACGAGCGTGTTCTGTCATGGCAACAAGCCGACATCCACGTTGATGAACACAGCGCGCTGTGCAGCAAACACAATTTCCTGCTGTGAGATGAAAGGCGAGCAATGAAGTTGATACATAAGCATATCGAAAAGGACCGGTCGGGACAAGTCACTTTACTTCCGGAAGAAGCGGAGGATATGTGGCATGCGTACAACCTGATCGCCAAAGATGATTATCTCAAGAGCACTACGATTCGGTTAGTAGTTGGTATGACTGGCAGAAGTTTTAGCAAATGGTGGCCTGCTATCGGCTTCAATATTCATTATTCTTCCCTTGACTTTATAGGAGAGTTGTATCGGAAACAGCCACCGGAAGTACGGACAAGTCGACTGTTCGTACAGTGCTCACAATACGAGTTGAGGAGGTGGACTTTGATACACAAGCATGCATGCTCAGAGTATCGGGGAGGAATGTCGTTGAGAACAAGTTTGTGAAGGTGCGCACCAGGTGGGATGGTGTGTATGTCGAGATTGGCATGAATTTGTTGCTTACGAGGTGTAACACTTTTTACAGATGGGGGCCTACCACACCATCGATCTCGAGCTCAACCGCAACTTCACCCTAGCAAAAGTTGAATGGGACGTGATCTCGCTCGAACGTATTGATGACGCCTGCAACATTGCGAACAGAGCAGACGTCGCCGCGGTAGTGCTTCAAGAGGGCCTTGCAAATCTATGCCTTGTAACGCAAAATATGACCATTGTCCGACAACGCATCGAAACCAATATACCACGAAAACGGAAGGGATCGACTACAAATCATGATAAAGGCATGACAAGATTCTTTGAACAGGTTTATCAAGCTATTTTGCGGCATGTAAATTTCGATATTGTAAAGGTCTTGATTATATCTAGCCCTGGTTTTGTCAAGGTAACAATTCACAAAACCGATGGTGACGCTTTCCGAACAGACATGAACCCTGTACTTTTATAGGACGCGCTATACCAATATATATTCGCCACAGCTATCCGAACCGACAATAAAACCATTTTGGAAAACCGTTCTAAATTCCTGCTCGTATACTGCTCCTCGGGTCAAAAGCATGCTCTGACCGAAGTCTTGCAGCAGCCTTCCGTTCAATCACAACTAAGCGACACGAAATATGCTACCGAAGTCCGGAGCCTCGATCGTTTCTACCAAATGCTTGCAAACGATCCCGATAGAGCGTTTTATGGATTCAAGCATGTGTGCTTGGCTGCTGAGCGGGGTGCGGTGGATACACTGATGGTTACCGATGAACTGTTCAGGTATGCTCGAGGCAGACCATGTCAATCTGTCGTATAATATTTTCCTAACAATGGATGCATTTTGCAGATCAGCAGATATTCCTACTCGCCGCAAATATATTGCGTTAGTGGAACAAGTGAGATCAACGGGCGGATCGGTCCTCATTTTCTCGTCATTGCACACATCTGGGGAGCAGTTGAATCAGTTGACGGGAGTAGCGGCCACATTACACTTCCCACTACCGGATATAGAAGAGATTGCAGAGGAGGAGGAGGAAGCTGCGCGGCGGGCCGCAGACGGCAATGTCGATGAAGACCTTGAGAATGATTTTGTGGATAGAGATTTAACCACTGCTGTATGACCAAGTCTCGCTCTCTTTTGGCGTGTTTCACTATTCCTGTTCCTTGAACGATGGGTTTGAGCGTTCTGTTATAACGTGCGCAGGGGAAGTCCGTGGTACCACAGCAGGAATTATACCACATTAGACTCTGCACGGATGCCACTGGGTCAAGAGTTCGCTGATAAGGCGGGTGTGCGAATTATGGTATGTGCCAGACCAGGCTGGAATGCGAGGAATGAATGCACAATGCCAGGTACTATTGAACAAAACAAAAGAGGCTCGCGCAAAACAAAAAAAAAGAAGCAAAAGTCTCATAATTTTCCTCAACGAGTCAAGCGATGAACCCCGCTGCTATCTACATAACACGTAATAATGCAACCACCAACCAGCGCTAAAGAGTTTCTCCCCATTCATAACCGTCAGCATCTGAACGACCACCCAAAGGCGACAAGCCTAATAGCTCCCCGGTGTCTTGTTGAGCATGATCCAAAGAGTTGAGGAGTTTGTCAAGGGTGTCTTGATACACTCCAGGATGTGTAGAAGAGAGATCAGATTGGGCAAATGGACGTCCGTGCTCGAAACCATAATTCCGTGATGGGGACATTGTGTTGGAAGGTCTGTGGGGGGTATGAGGAGAATAGGGAGTGTGATCGGGAGAAATCGTCATATGGTTTGCAGAGTTTTTGGGTGGCGTTGTGTTGTTGTGTTTTTGAAAAGCTCGGCGAGCTGGGGAACTCGCTGGGTTGTTGAATGACTGCGTTGTTCCGGATGGATACGTAGGTTGAACACCTGAGAAACCATAATCCCCTGACTGCTGCATAGGGGACGACGCACCATGGTGCATTATGCGTATGCCATCACTTAGAGATCGAGTCAAAGGGCTGGGCGGGATCATTCCTCTATTTTGCCCACTAGCTGTGGTTGTGGACATGGAACGAGCCAACATGTTGGGCGGGGCAGAAGATGGGAACCCTGCATAGGATGCACCGCTGGAATCAGGAAAAGGGGTGCGCGGGTAAGCGGACATGGGTTGCGCGGAGGTCATAGGAGATGAGCCTGACAAGAGCGGGTACCCGCCCATGGTAGGAGGAGCCGTGAGAAGACCGTTCTGGTCATTGTTGTTGTAGCCTCCCGTCGCGCGATGGTTGGGTATATGGATGCCTAAGCGACCGAGCTGTGGACCGTTGCCAGCAGACGGGCGTCGTCGGTTGGGCATTAACATGTTGTTGTCGTGGCTACCGTTCATATTGACTGGGTATTGGAATACGTTGCTGGATGATAGCGCCGGTGCACTGCGAGGACCATCGAACACGTACGGCTGTGGTCTGAGGCCAGCATTGCTATTGCTGGAGCGACGGCGGTTGCGCGTTCTGCCAGGTTCATTGAGAGCGCTCATATCAATCATCCAATATGAACCTTTTCCGGGCTCATTGGCAGGGCGTGGCACTCGAATGAAAGCTTTGTTGAGGGAAAGGTTATGACGTATGGAGTTCTGGGTTGATTATCAAACATGAATAACACGTTCGTATAGCAAATAGAGAGGGCACTGCGCTTACCTTCCATCCACTGCCAGCAGTCCTGAAATACGGATAGTTCTCCAAAATCCAGTTGTAAATGTCATTCAAGGTCAACCGCTTGCGTGGACTCGTTTGAATGGCATACGTGATGAGCGTCGCATAAGAGTACGGCGGTTTTCCCGTCATGTGGGTTTCTAGGTGCAGGCCAGATTCAATTGGATTGACTTTCTTTGACCTATTGGGCGATGAGACGGAGCCTGGTGTCGTGGGGGTTACAGGAGTGGCCGGTACCAACTGCTTTTGTGTGTTGACGGGTATCATGGACATGCTACCTGGTGTAATGGTGCCCGGCGTAATCGGTGAAGGGTGCACGATCGGAGCATCCGTGAGTCTGTTAAGATGAAGAGGTGCCGGAGATTTAGGGCTTGAGGTCGGCAGCGTGTCTGACTTGACTTTTTGAAGCCAATCCATTGACGCGAGATTTTGTATTTGGGACATGGACCGGGTTGCGGGTTGAAGCAATTCTAGGCAAATGGCGGGAGAAGATAGCGGAGCTTCCGACTACAGGAGCCAGATACACAAGGTTAAGGCCACGAACGATGACAAGATCTTGGGTCGGTTGTTTGTCGGATCAACAACGTACCTGGCAAATAAAGAAGGCCAAAAGATTGGAAGAAAAGGGGGAAAACAGATGTGGAGTTGTTTATATGAAAGGTGTAGACCCCAGTCTAAACTGCTCCCCAGCAAAAAGGTGATGTGACCATCGAATTCGCCTCTGATTCGCTGCTTTTTATAGCGACCTGATATTCTTAGCTTTCATCTGAAGCAAATCTCGTTACGATTGTTCTCAATAGCCGGAGTTGAATCTCGCGACAAAAATAAATTCAGGATACTTTATAAAGCCATATACTTTGCATGCACAGCTATGGACACCAGTGAATGCGGCGCTTTAGATCCATTTCTAGAATTAGGGGCTTGCAGAGTGGTCATGCGGCAGCAAGTAGAGGGAAGAAAAGTTTGGGCATACCCGACGAATTTCTTCATTCATGGCCCGCATTAAGCTGGGTTTAAAAAAACCAGTCGAGACTTAGAAGTAAAGTAGTGCTCGACAGGGCCAATTGATTTCTGAATGTATACGATCCAACGTAAGCCATACTTTATACACTTGCAAGATGCGCGCTAACCAGGTGGTCGTTCCTGACGGGGTCAACCATGGTTAAATCTCAACACAATCAGCATCAAAGGGAACCTATTCATGTATGGATCGCATCAATATCAAGAAAGAACTGAGCATAGTCGGATACTGTTGTTCTTGCCAGTGCCAGTTTGGTATCATGGAAGAATGAAGGGGCAAAAAGTGTTCATATCCAAGAAGCGCGTTCCTTCCGGACATCCAAAGTTCTCAAATTACATTTAATTCCATTTTAACCACAAACCAATTGAAAGGTTTTATAGTTTAATTAGGCTTTTTATTTTCTACTTAAACTTTTGAGAATATCAACATTTAGCATACAAAAACTGATGTTTAGAGCAAATCTGGAATACAAAAGTTGTGAAATATTCCCGGGATCACTGGACTATCCTTTGCTGAGATAGTTAACTCTGTTCTCTTTCCTGAGGGCAATTGCGCGTAATTACACTATTTGAAAACTGTTTGTCGCACCCGAGTGGGATGTCGTCACCGCGATAGTCTTATGCCTGTAAAAGATATAGCGGGCGGTGAGTACTGGATCATGTAAAACAAGCTGCACGTCTGGAACTCACCTGCCGAAATATCGAAGGCGATACGTCCCGCTGGTAAAAAGAAAAATACACAGAAGGATGAGAATGAGAGAATTCCCTAAAACTAGGATACAGACATAAAAAAAAAACAAAACATCTTACGCGAAACTGGGACGGTTGAGCCAACTCTCCATTCAATGGTACATCTGCTCTCCGCAACGCCAATACGAGCCCATCTATATTTGGTATCCCACCCGGCATCATCCAAGACGACCGTCCACTTCCCATCCGGCAACTGTCGTTCTACGGTCATGTATGTGCTTGACGCCCCGCCGGGTAACCTTCCATTGGGTATATCAACTGTCCCGCTAGCGCTCAAGGTATCCGACGTCGATGCACCATTCCGAGGATGTGCGCAGACAAATTCTGCTTTTACGGTATCAGTCCCGACTTTGAAGGGACCAGTACTTGGTTGAACCAACACATCGCCAAAGCGTTTGCCCAAGGGTGCAGTGTCAAGTACGACTCCGGTGAGGAAATTCACGTCCTTGTTGTCGGATGGTTCAGTTGTACTCGGGAAGGCCGGCGAAGGCGGTGGCATGGAACCAGTGGCAAAGGAGTGAGCCAGAGTGGTGAAGGATTGAATATGGCCGTTTAAGGTATTTGGACCAAAAGTGGTAGAGCCGCCCTCGTAGCGTTGAACTTGGTATTCTTCGAACGTGGTGACCTTGTGTATATAAGGAAGGTAAGTTTAACATAAGCGTCTAATACGACGAGGCAAAACTGCCTTGGAACAAGCGCCCTTCACAGTGAATCTATTCCTGTAACACTTACGTAGCTAGAATAAAGGTTCGATAATCCGGCAATAACAACCTCAGCATCCCCATCAACCGTACCGTCCGCAACCATTTGCGCTTTGACAGCATCACGGAGCCTTCTTCCACTCATTGTGGTAATCTCCCCAGGAAACCCGATTATCGCCAGCTTCCTGGTGATGAGAAACATCTGAACTGGGAGTTTTTGAGGCTGCCACCAATAAGGCGTCTAACCAGTGAAAAGGCGGATTATAAACCAGTTTGCTAATAAGAAAGAAACGGGGCAAAAATGGACTTACGCCCATTTCTCCAGTGGCCAGCAAAATAGGCTTTGGTTTGTGGCAATCGACCAGCTCCTGAGACGGAGTTTTTAAGAGGTTTCTTACAAAGTTCCAAAAGGGCCGGCCGTTGGGGTCATTTTCACCTTGCCACGATATTCCAGTTGCTGGGTTATCCGTCGTACCCGCAGAAAATGCGTATCCCATAGCTGGAGCACACACTTTAACGCTCGCACCAGTGGTGGTATTCGTAATTGTAATTTTTGACATTTCAATCCATGTATGGCGGTAGTCAACAACAGCGTTGGAGGACGGCTGAAGCATCTTTGTAGTGGCGGATGGAGGTTGCTTGACTAGGTCTTTGGCTTTCTGGAACTGTCTCTGACCAATAATCTCGGTGGAGAGCTGGTCACCGCCTTCTTCATACCCAGGACCGCGAGCGACGCACTTGTCGAGTTTTCCACCACATGAATTTTTGCCGCCATCACACGGTTCGCCGGTGTCAATGCATCGAGGTCCTTGGAGATTAGGCGAAACGTCACCCTAGAACAGAGAAAGCGATCAATTCCTAGCTCGTGGATTAACGATCATAAACTAGTCTGTTCAATCATACCGCATTTGTCTGCGCAAACGCTGCGACAAAGCCCAGATTCATATTGCTCCGCTCTTCCAGTTCCCACATATATGATGCATAACCTTTGTTATCTCCAGACACCAAAGAATTGCTAGCGTTCATAGAAACAGGATGAACAGCGAACCAATTCACAACGCCTCGAAGACGAGTGCCGGATTTATCTTTGATCGAAAGCAGAACCATGGTTTTATCCACGTTATCGGAATACCGAGCTCGTTCTTGTGCTGGGTTGTTGGCATAGGATTGAGGAGAGCGATTGATGGATGCATTGTCGAGGGGTCCACTGGTAACAGTTGCGATGCCCGGGGTAAAGTCTTGGTGGGCAGCAAAAATGGCATCGGCAATGCCTTGGGCAATGGCTTCGCGGGCGCCAGGAGTTACCCCTAAGCGGTATAACCATAAGAATGCGATCAAAACTTGCTCACGTATAGCATAACACCTACCGAAATTGGGTACTTGGTACATGCTATCCGTCATCCGTCATTAAAACACCGGGTCAATAAAAATGATGGTTCATGCAAAAAGAGATGGGGTACATACAAATCATCGTTATATCCCCCAGGCCCGGAATGAGTATGAGTCGATGAAATCATGACATTATCCACCGAATACAAGGCAGCCTCTGTTGGAGAGAGTTTGTTTTGAAGGTACCGTACGGCTAGCTTTCGAACTCGATGGGATGGGGAACCCGTCTCGGCGGACACAAATACTACCCGTCGTGCGGGATTGGATGAGGTTGAAAAGATGAACGCTGTGATGGACGACACCTTTCGGTTAGTGAGGGCCTATTTTATAAAAGAGCGGTCAATGCCATACGACTCTACCGACCACGAGCTTTTAGCCGTAAATGTACGCCGTTGGCTTTTTGGTTCAGTTCCGCATATCCTACATTGTTCACAACAGATACGTTAAAAGCATGGAACAAGCACTACTGACATCAAGCTATGCGCATGGTATATAACGATCGATAAAGCCATGTATATGACATCTCTTCACCACATCAGGCCGTGGCATTGCGTATATTATAACATGTCACCACTCACCCATCATGGTGATCTCTCCAATTGGCCCTGTAATGTCTGCTATACCCACACCGACCTTTTGAGGAAAACAGTCACATCAAGAACGTTTATCCTCTAAACTTATGCAGTGCGACAAACCATCAACTCGTCAGAGACTTGACGCGGTCGGAACGTCGTAGGAGCGGCAACAGCATGGTTAAGCAGAAGGCAGGCCACCGCAAGGATGATTCCTATCATAGTTGTGACGCTCATAGAATGCATTATGGCCCTTTTTACAGGTAGGCAGCCGTTTTTAAGGAATATCCAGGTCTGTCAGATGGGGAGGGGTACCAAGCTACTTAATTCTATTACGTGCTCAAATTCAACATTGGGAAACCCTTCCCTTTTCAACAATTCTGCCCATTTATTTTCTATGATAAAATGGGGTTACATGTGTGCTTATCAAGAGACCAAGCACAAAAGTCTGCCAGTTTTTTTTTCGTTGGATGACCTCCATTTGCAGACACAAGTTGGCTCACCTCCATGAACACATCGGGCGATCACAGGCACAGTCACGCAACTCTCTCGTAATCCGGAATTGCTGGTTTTTTACCCTTTGGCGAAATTGGAACACTTCCAACGACTGTCGAGCTTTTCATGGCAAAGAATGGGCCATAACATAGTTCCAGATCGTTGCGTTGTTTACCAAATAAGATAGGATTGCACTCGATTAGGAACATTCTTATTCCATTTCGTTTAGGGCCTTCCAAATGTTTACAACCATCCAAATGGATGTGATCATTATTCCGTGTAGACGATTACTCAAAACATTGTTCATTTTTACGTTTTGGTAGCTTGCTCCAAAGAGATTTCTTGTTGCGCAAATAGTTTGCAGCACATCCCCTGAAAACACAATAGCCAACAGAAATCAGAGTGTTCTACAGCAGAATGGTGACGCAACCACTGAAATCCCCGAGATTCGGAGGACAACTCGAATTTAGAGCTTTGGAACACAATAGAACGAGCGGTTATTACATTGTGGTATTTCGCCGTCAAACACTTGAAATCGAGTACAGGATAATGCTCCATAAGATTTGCCCAAAATTCCTGTGTAATTGTTACTTTGTCAAAAGGATGATATAAGCTGTTGACCGATGCTGGAGGTCTGGGAGGTTTGGAAGTAGGGAGGAACCAATCAGAATTGGTTCGATCCTCACAAAGCGCGTCCTGTCGTGTCGCGGTTACTCGCGTCTGGGGGCGAACTTTTGCTGTAACGTACCTTTTGAGGCATCTTGGTTCAAAAACGAACGCTGGAGCAGCATATCCAGAACCTTTTACGATACCGCGGGACACTCTGACGTTGGTATGTGTCGGGCCACTTCTTTTGAAGCGGCTCTGGGAGTTGGGTCATTGTGAGAAACGGAAGAGCTCAAGCCCTATTTTCTCGTGTTTAGTAGCAACGTTGAGCCATAGTCGTATCGGAGTGCAACAATGCTTAGCACCCAATTACCAGATCGAAACCTACTGGAGAACGGTCCAGAAGACGAGGACAGCAGTACAATATTAGCAAGTAAACCAGAAGATATGCTGGACGAACCACATCCGAAACCGAGGGATCCTGCTTCCGTCAACGACTACAATGAAAGTAATAGGAATGACTCCACTTTGGGGCTTCAACTTCCTTCATCGTTGGATCTATTAGCTCATGCAGCAACCGAGTCATTTACACGAAAGCGAAAGATGAGCGAAAGTGACACTGTGGATAAAGAGAAAGACGGGAGTGTCGATGACAGTAAGAGATGTCGAGCCGATCAAGTGTCTGAATTGGTAAAGAGTGCCATGGTCATTGCAACATTATTGAGCGTATTTGTAACCTTGTTGTGTAACAGCATTCCCAAGATCCGACCCTTCTTTTCAATCTACTCACACAGGAGCGTTCCAACAATGCCAGTCTCATCAAAGATTTGGAGCTCCTACATACATCACATGCCGCCAAAAACCTCCATATCACTCAACTGGAAGCGGTCAACGAAGAGCTGGTAAACCTACTAGTGGAGAGAGATCGAAGAATCGAGGACCTAGTCAGGGCTCTTGTCGGTGGCGCTGGTTCATCTTCCGCGGCAGCACCCAGATCTGAGCCTCATATAACCACCTCTATAACCCTCAAACCCAGCAAAACCATCATCGCAAACGTCCCAACCACTCCAACTGACAGCTTACCCCCAACCCCCGATACTACTATCATAAGCCCCCAACAACCACCAGCGCTCTCAACAGCAAACTGGGGTGGCATCCCAGTCTACCAGCTCCATCTCGCAAGCACAACGATCATGCGCCGAAAAACGGATTCTTGGATCAATGTGACCCACGTCCTCAAAGCTGCAAATATTCCGCGTGGATCTCGTTTGAGAATTTTGGAGAAGGAAATGCATACTGGCGAACATGAGAAGATTCAGGGTGGGTACGGAAAATATCAAGGGACCTGGTGAGTTTGCATTGTGTACCATGTACAGCTACAAGTTCAATTGTTCATCCCCTCCCCTTCATTAGGGTCCCGCTTCACCGTGCTTACAAACTGGCGGAACGGTACGGCCTGCTACAAACGCTGAGTCCCATATTCAATGTGGAATGTTTTATCAGAGAATAGCTGAAAGAAGACAACGCGGGCCGCTTCAATGGATTCAGCATAGTCGAAAGCATTTTGGATGTATTTAGGAAGAAATACAAACGTCTACTCATTGCACGCATAAATCTGGTAAACGCCGGAAGACAGTACAGCCACCAGTGCCTTGCGTCAACGGCACCACTACAATCTTTTTATGTCGAGGGATCGCACCAGAAGTGTTAGGTACGTATCCGCATTCTTTTATGCAGTCACCCACTTGAACAGCCAGTTGCATTCCATTATAACTTGAGCAATAGCTGGTCCAATGATTGGATAGACACTAGTACTGATATCCAACTCTTGAATGTGTTCACATTTGTTTAGATGTCCATACTATGTTGTGCCAGCCGCAGATCATTATACATGACAGTCCAGGATTCGGCTGAATGATCCAATAATAAGAGCATCTGCGTCATTTGAAGAGAGGCATTGCAATTTTCCAGATGCAAGCATTTGACAGCCCCATGAGCATGTCCGCGCCAAGTTCGCGCCTTGCAGCTGAGCGGTTTCAAGGGTAATCACAGGCCATGATGCGGGCGAAATAAGATCGGAGCTACATAAAAAAAAAAAAAGAAAAAAAATCCGACGGAGATACTCTATTCACCTGCCGCTATGGCGTCCGACGTGCAGATTTGATTTCACGTCCACCTGCTGTGTAAAATTAGGGAGAGGACTGTGCAGTACAGCGCGGTTTATACTATTTTCATTGGACTGAACCGTACTTTTACGCGGTTTGCTTGCACTCTGTTCGATCGTGATATGATTTGCACGCACTACGCAGTGCTTTATTGAACAGATGACACACGCAACAAGCCCGAGATATAATGCTATGGGTCATTAATAAGAAAGCAGTCAGGATCCCTTTGCGGCAGGTGCCTTCCGCGATATTATCAGAGGATGGGTAGTGGTGGTGGTGTCTAAAGACGAATATTGCTTTCAGGGCAAGATTCCTGCCATCTACGATTGGTTTCACAGTCAAAGGATATGCAACTGTGGAGCATACAATGCGGCTCAAAGGATGCCCGTCCATATGGAGTGTGCTGCGCGTTATACGATCCCAACGAAAGAACACGCGGTCCCAATTGTTCGTTGACAGCACGGGTTAAACCCACATTTTCCATGATCTCTGATCACCAACTTGTCCTCCTTTTTGTAAAACCTCCGGGGCCAAGCCGGAAAAGTTGCAAGTCGCCAACCGCCGGCCCGTTCGCCTCCCTTCTCAAGAGACTTAAAGCCCGGTGCCGAGAGGTAACTAGAAAGACGGGCTGAAACACAGCCAGACATTTTGTTTGAATCTCTGGGGGACAAGAGTCAGATTGCGGTTCCGCTTGGGTGTTCTGGATGTGTGCCATAGCCACAGGTTTCTGCCTGTTTGTTTCCTTGGATATATCGATCATGTATCGGTGATCAGGTTAAACGCCGCCAAACCCATGGCCCCATGCAACCTGCTCAAGAAAGGGTAAAACTATGGTGCCATTGTGTCCAAACAATACAATGGATGGTCGGGGGCCACTCTGCCAAGAACGGCCAAATGTAAGTTTGCCAGATCGCAAAATACTTGGTAGCTATGCAAATTCGGGAAATATATATCTGATATCCCTATGCCTCGGCAAGCGTAAAAGCCCATAGCTGCATTAAAAAAAAAAAAAAAAACATTTGGTAAAAAAACCACGGTTGCAAGTTTCATCCATTAAACAATGGCTTCCGACTGCCCATTGTTTCCTTCTTGGTGAGTCACAAGCGGCGCTATTTTCCATGGATGTGATCCACGTGATATCTTGCTATCGCTACATCTTTTTACGTCAACGTCCCCGATTATTAACACTCAATCCAAAACTCAATCCCTTGAAAGCATCATTTTGACTTTGTACCTCCGATCGGACGTTCAACGACGTTCAAGCAAGAAAACCGCAGGGGAGGAAAAAGTCGTTGAAAGACGGGAGAGGGCTCAGCAACAAAAAACAAACAATGCCGTATGGGAGAGAATTTCCATAGCACGTCTTTATGGTTGCTCGGCCGTGTTACAAAAATTCATCATTGCCTGAACGCTGGGGGAGAGAGATTGACAGATCCCTCGGACCGTAACCGTGGACAACGTACAAAAAGTTTGAGTCTATACGCCTCCGATTACCATCGGAATGTGTTTATCCGCGGAACTTCTTTTTCCGTGGCCTCCGGTTGAGAGAACCTTCTTCCCAGCCAAAAATGAACACGGTCACATTTTTTTATTTTGGACATGGGCCGGCATCCGCGGAGGATGGGAGACGTTTTTAGACATGGAAATTGGAATGGAATGCAACGACCCTGGAGAGACACTCGAATGGTGGATCCATCAGTACTGGTTGATACTATGAATAGATTGGAATGCAGTCTAGTCACAATGCAGTTGGCTATGACCAAAAGGATCCAATCTTTGAAACGGGCGGGAACCTGAACGGAGGCTCGGAGGAACTCGATATTTGTATACATAACGATATACTCTCGAGAATTCTTGTTGGGCCGATGACAAGTTGAATTAAGGCGAGTGTCTGCAAGGCTGATGATTTATGAACGCAAGTTATCAGCTGTTTCCCCCTCCTCCTCCACGTCTTGCCAAGATTTTGATTTTTTTTGAATGACGACGACGACGACATTTTGTTTTTGCTTGACACACATTTGACGTTGGCAAGGACATTGTCTTGAGAGATTTGCTTTTTTCTTGTTGTTGTTGTCGAGTCGCAAGTCTCCTCTCTATTTGTGACATTGAAGAAAACGTTCAAACAAATGGGCAGCAACACTTTAATTCTCAACCACGATATCATCTCGTCCTCACCGTCTGCCCGTCAGTCTGCACATGCCGCCAGCAACTCGGGTTCACGACAATACCAGACGGCTCAACGTCTTCGACATACCATTGGAACAAATAAAGTGTGGGCTTGCGACAGATGTAAGTTACCAGCTGTGAAAGGCCTCCCGCAACCGATCCGTGCCCCGTTTACTAATCAACTCTTATGTGACGCGTTTACCATCTACCAGGCTACCGTCTCAAAATCAAATGTGATTCTGGACGACCTTCCTGCGCTGCCTGCAAGAAACATGACCTAGGAACGGCTTGCACGTACGGAGGAGCTGAACGAACCAACAGCTCAAGTCGACGAGGTCGGAGATATGACACTGCGGGCTACGTACGCATGTTGGAGGCTCGTGTGAGAGAGGTGGAATGTCTTCTTCAGGACAAGCGACAGCAAGGCCCAGAGAGGGTTACTCCTACTCCGTCCGAGGTTCCTACAGAATCATATGCTCGTGCACATAGCGAGCACTATTCTGACGCCAGCCAGTACTCGGACGGCAGTGTGTCACCTCCACGATCAGCTTCCCAGGATCTGTTTTCATCAGAAGTGCAACGTGACTTGGTGGATACCTTTTTCCGAGAACTACTTCCATTGTAAGTAGTCTCATATATGCCCAGCCGCGTGTGGGCACTTGGCTAATGTTCATTTATTCATCTCCTTTGAAGCATGTATTGTACACCTTTCCACGAACCCACCTTTCTCTCCAAATTATGTTTCGACCGACCCGATCACTCGTACTTTTTAGTGACAGCTATATGTGCCATTGCAGCACCATATTCTCATAATCCTGTAGTAAGAAGCTTTGTGTCACAAAATGGACTACCAAACTATCGGGCAGGCGATGCATACTACCGCAGAGCCCGCTCAATAGCCAATGAAATCATTAATGATCCCTCTTTGGAACTTATTGTTGGGTTAATATGGACGGCCGCCGCGGCGACCGCTATGGGTAGAGGTAAGGATCTGAACACAAATCATTGACATGTGTGCTATCTGTTTCCTAAGCAACTACCGTTCTATTAGATGGTGGACTCAAGTCTAGCTTATTAAAGCAAGCGCTTCATGCTGCATTAGAGCTGCGGCTAAACATAGACCCTGATGTAGAGGACGTTCATGGTGTGTTACCTTGGCTAGCAAAGGAAATCCGGCGAAGAGTGTGGTGGCTGCTGTGTTCCGTGAGTATACTGTGGAATCTTGCGCTGCTGCAAGTATCGTTCGCGCTGATGTTTATATATTTTCGAACAGGTTGATGTCATCAACTCGCTGCCTAATGATGACCGGCCGCCGTCAATAGATAACCGCGATCATCCCATCACTGAACGCACGCCATGCCTTCAAGGATGGAGACAGACTCCACGTGCTCCCTCTCCTGAAGCCCTTTTTCAGTCAGTAGTGACAGAAAACGGCCTACCCAGGATGAGCGCGTTTGTCCCCGGCGTTGATTTCGACGGGGCAGAAAGCACTATCGGTCTGACCAAAATATTTGGGAGAATAAAGCAACTGCGGGGTTCCGCATGGGAAATGGCACAAAAGGCTACTCGACGTAGCTCGCCTGATTCTGACAGCTACCCTAGTGTTAATGTCAGGCGGCAGGAACGGATTGCTGAATTAGAGATGGATTTGCGTGCTTGGTTCGCGGCTTTGCCCTCTTGGGCGCAAAACATTGACCAGGCCACGGACTTTGCGCCTTCTCCTATGAGCACGAACCCACCTCCGTGGCAACTACTTGTTCTTCATCTCTTTTACAACTCTGCCCACATTGCCCTCCACCTCCCAACCATGCTCGACGCGGCAGTTCCGCATTCTCCATACGCAGGCGATACCCCCGAACACATCCTCGTAGCCAATGCATATAACATTTGCCGCCACTACGCACACCGCTCCAGCCAGCTCCTGCGCCGAGCACAGGAACTAAATCCTTCGGCTCGGTTTCATGGACCTTGGTCGGCTCTCTTTGTCTTTTACTCGGCCCTCGTGCTCGTTATCGCATCAAAGACATCAACGGATAGGCAGCATCTAGCGGATGTCAGACGAGATTTAGATGCACATTTACGTCTATTGCGGCATTTGGGTGAGAAATGGTTCTCTGCGAATCGGACGCTTAGAATCTTGATGTCCGTTATTGCTGAGGGAGAGGAAGCCGACGGGGCTGTACTGGCTTCTTGGAGCGGTAATTCATTTGCAGTGTAGATTTTGAGTTTTTTTTTTTTTTTTTTTGCGTGAGGCCTTTGGATTTGAACCGACTTTTCTACTTACTCTCTTTACCGGTAGCTTACTTGTACAAATTTTATAAGAGACATTCGATTTACAGATTGAAGGCTTACTGAACATAATATGTCACTACGACAGATGAATTGCTTTTTGTGTGCATGATGGCTAGTACAACCTGAACGATGCGTATTCAAAAACATGTTCAGCATCATCTGTAATGGGAGTCACTGCCTCTTTGGACTTTTGCTTAGGTAGCCACGTAGATCACGTGAAGACGCGCTGGGGTGGTGAGGCGCACGCTTCTGGACTTGAGGCACCTCTCCACCCCCCATCACGGCGCATCCAGTCCATCGTTCAAAGGTTCATTCTGCCTACTCATCTACTGGTCACCTTATCCAAGAATCATCCATGTCTTTTACGCGAAGTATGTATCAATAGACTGGTTTTCCTGTGAAAAAGAAAAGTTTCCTGAAGGTCTTCCTCACTCTGTTTTTATATCTATAGAGGCAACGTTTGCTGCACAACCGACCACTGAGCGTGGTCGACCCGTACATTTGGGCGGTGATCCCAAAGGAAAGAACTTTCTTTATACCAACGGTCGTGCGGTCGTGATTCGCAACTTGGCGGTAAGTCTTGCCAATAAAGTTGGGGTTTGGGCAGAACACCAAGATGGTCTACTTGTGAAGGGCAACTCATATGGCGCGTAGCCAATGGGTTCATGTCAAGCGCATAAGCATAATATTCATGTACCTTTTATTTTATTAGAACCCAGAGATTGCCACCGAATATACCCAACATACGTCTCAAGCGACTGTTGCGCGATACTCTCCCAGCGGATTCTACATTGCCTCTGCAGGTTTGCATTGCCACATTTGCCATACCGCGGCCCACGGCGTTATTTCTAATTTGGGAATCTGTAGATGTTCAAGGCAATATTCGTATTTGGGATACAGTCGGCACGGAAAACATTATCAAGACTGAAACCAAAGTGTTTTCTGGAAAAGTCAATGACCTTGCATGGGATTTTGAAAGCAAGCGTATTATTGCGGTTGGCGAAGGAAAGGATCGGTATGTCTTTGCGAGCTCAGCGCTTATCAAGGTGACATTCCTTGTCTGACGTTACTTTTTTAGATTTGGACACGCGTTCTTGTTCGATACGGCTTCTTCAGTCGGTGAGATTGGCGGTCACAGTAAAGTCATCAATTCCGTGGACATCCGTCCTGGTCGTCCCCTCCGCGCGATTACAGGATCAGATGATATGACTGTAAACTTTTACCACGGTGTACCTTTCAAATTCAACAAGTCGATCAATGACCATTCCCGATTCGTTCAATGTGTTCGATACTCTCCATCGGGTGACCACTTTGTTTCTGCTGGGTCCGATGGAAAGGTGCGATTTCTTGTCTGACGCTGTGTGTGCTGCATTAGCTCTGTCATTGATATGCCTTGTAATTTTAGTTGTTTCTGTATGACGGTAAAGAGGGAACCAAGATTGCCGAGCTTAGTGCAGCGGAAGATAGTCATAAAGGCGGTATCTATTCTGTGTCGTGGAGCCCGGACGGCAAGAATTTGCTGAGTGCCTCTGCGGATATGACGACGAAACTTTGGGACGTGGCGTCTCAGAAAGTGGTTAGGTATAATTCTCTTACAAACAAACCTCAATGTCGTTGCCTACTTTCCCACTCAACTCTATTCAATCTTTCAGCACATGGTCATTCTCAAACAACCCATCTCTTGAAGATCAGCAAGTTGGCAGCTTATGGCAGGGCGACTATCTCATTTCTCTCTCACTTTCCGGCGACATTAACTACTTGAACAAGTCTTCGGGTGGTCTCGCCAGAGTAGTGAAGGGTCATCAACGAGGCATAACGGCGCTTGCGGTAGATAGCAACAAGACTTTGTTCAGTGGTAGCTACGACGGACGAGTATGTGCATGGAGTGACGGATCTAGCGGGGCCACGATACCCACCGGAACGGGCCACTCCAACCAAGTCTCGAACTTGGCTGTGGATGGCGACAAAGTGTACTCTGTTGCAATGGATGATACGTTACGCAGTATCTCAGCATCCGCAAACCCGGTAGCTTTCGAGTAAGTCGAAGCACGCAACGTATAATTTTGGCTAATTGCTGATTGCGTCATTTGTTACCGTAGTTCCACTGCGATTGCCACTGGCGCACTTCCAAAGGGAGTGGGAGCAAAGAATGGAACAGCTATCGCCGTAACGGTCAACAACGACGTTATTGTGTCCAAGAATGGAAGCAAAGTATCCGAGTTGAAGGTTTCCTGGGTCCCCTCATCCGTTGCAATTGCTCCGAACGGAAGCGACGTGGCTATCGGCGGCGAGGTGCGTTCCAAAATCTCAACGGCAATGCATGTGTACTATACTCCATATAACCCACACTATTCTTACAGGATCATAAAGTACATCTGTACACCCTTGCCGATGGTCAACTAAAGGAAAAAACTGTACTAGAAAGCAATCGCGGCCCAGTAACCGCCTTAGCCTACTCTCCCAATGGAGCCCTTTTGGCAGCAGCCGATACCCAACGAAATGTCTTTGTCTATGATACTGCTACAAACCAACTTAAAATCCACCAATGGGTCTTCCACACCGCCCGAGTGAATTGTGTCGCTTGGGCGCCAGACTCGTTGCACGCTGCATCTGGATCGTTGGATACTAATGTAGAGGTGTGGAGTGTGGAGAAGCCTATGAAGCATATTACGATTCGAGGTACTTGTCTTTTGTTTAAAGCGCTTTTGGTGGGTGTTTGTTAACCGTCATTTCCGTGATGCTGTAGGGGCACATCTGGAGTCGGTGAATGGAGTGGCATTTTTGGATAATAATACACTAGCATCTGCTGGTGGTGATGCTACGATTAAAGTAAGGTTTTTAAAAACCATAGTCTGTCAGATATGTTTACCAGCATTGACTTTTACTTTTCTGGCATAGATATGGACATTGACATATGCGTGAGAGTAAAGAGGTACATCTTGGACGTGAATTGGAAAATTTGAGGCGTTGGCGTAGATTTAGATAGTTGCGTCTATCAATGGTTTAATCTTATCTTGTGGAGTTGTTCAATATCCTTGCTACCAATTGGTCAGATATCGCTGCATTTCGTCTCACAGTTGGTTTTGTTTGTATTTTGTATCACTCAGCACGGGCACAAATTACATGTGCTTAAGACACATATTCAAAGTTATCAATACTGGTCTTCACCTCCGGATACCATTTCGATGGCATATCCAGTTTAGCGACTATAGCAAAAGGACCAGTGGAAGATAAGCTACGGTTAAAGCACGGTTCCATCAATACCGGTGCGACCTAAGAAAAAGACGGGTACATGAACATCAGTTATAAGAAACCATGCAAACAAACTGAACAAATTGTGATGGGGCTCAAATCTTGGATCCAGTCCTGAGTAGCAACATCCAGATGGGCTTCCAGCGCTCACTATATCCTGATATCCATGTTCCCAAGTTTTCTGATCCTCTCCTGGCTCCCAGGATCCAGAATCGCTTCAAATTGGTCAAAAAAGAAAAATTCACAAGAGGCATGATCCGTAATGTCATCTTTTCAGGTTTTTCCCATTTTTCGTGATTCCATATATACTCGGACAGTCCTGATTCCAAGCTGTCAAAGGGGGTTTCCTGGTCATACAATCAAAGCCCCGACTGGAGAATATTCCTGCAGCAGTCCTTCGTACCGAAAGTTGTCCATTCGAACCCGCCACGCCCACAGTCATAAAGTCCTACCTGGGAGAGGCAGCACGATGCCGAGAATTGTAACCATCGCGATCACGTCCATTCCGATCACGACCGTAATCCCTTCTCGGAGGCGATTGGTCGTATCTACGTGGCGGAGGCGGAGACCTGTCGTCCCTGTAACGGGAAGGTGGAGAAGGGTCTGGTAGTCGACGAGATGAATGCCTGTCCCGGTCCCGGTAGCCTCCGCGCGGGGATGGAGACCGTCTCCGCGACGGCCCAGGAGAGCGGGAACGATAGTGTGCAGGCGGTGAGCGCGACCGACCTCTCCCTGACCCTCCTCTAATGCAACAAACATGCCGTTAATAATTAGCTCCTGGTAAACACTTCAAGTCACTCCATACCGGCAAAACTTTGCAAGATGCCCTACTTCGCCGCACTTGAAGCATTTGCCTGATCGAACGTCCAATCCCTTATCTACATTCTCTGGACATTCCCTATTCAAATAGTCTTGTAAATGACCGAATCTCACTGGAAGATCTAGGAAAAATATGAAACTCATCGTTACGCACCGGACCCAATGTCCAACCTGCCCACAAATAAAACAATTGGAAGTGGCATTTCCTGCCCGACGAGAAAATTCCACTACCAATCGTTGTCCCTCAAAAATATATCCGTTAAGAGCGTGCATTGCGTCTTGCGCATCGCGAGGGTCGTCTTTCGCAAGATTATAATGAGAATCAGGTATATGATTGTATGTGACCATGTCAGGCTTACCATATTCCACAAATCCATATCCAGCAGGTTTCACTTCAACATTGAGAACTCTTCCGTACTTTGCGAACATGTCTTCCAGATCCCGTGTATTAGCCCTCGAAGAGACGTGACCAATGTAGAGCTTGGCAGGACCAGCGTCGCCATCTGGGCCAGAACTGCTGTGTAATCGGGACATGATCTTTTTGGTTTTCAACGTTTGTAAACCTTGTTTTTGACGTTCTTTGTGGGGTTGATATCCAATTTGGGCGTTGCGTAACAACGGATGGCACAGTCGATATCGTAATGACCCAACCAGGCAGCGATTTGTAGTGTATTAGGTGACAGAACTGGCACTAGCTACTATACCACGGAATAAACCGGCGACAACCGGTTCGGAAAAGCTAACTAACTACTACTAGGCAATTATACACGCAATACGTAACGGTTGGTTCTAACCGGATAATTGCCCACCATCACAGGCGGTCCTTGATCCAGAACTCTTGATGGCATTGAAGCCAGACTCTTGCATCCAGGAGCGAATCGACTGGGCAGCGTCACAAGCTGGGGGATTTTCAGTGACAAGGCTTGGAGACTAAAACTGCATGTCAGCGACAGAATAACATGAAAAGAGATGATGCCATCGATACATACCAACCAAGCTCAACAAGTGTAGCAGCATAAAAGTTGGTTTTGTTATCGGATCCAATTGGTTGCCGCTGGTTCTGATCACGATTGCTGTCGGGCGGTCGAGGTCCTCGGCACCAGAGCAATATTCTCATGATGGACTTGAGACTTGAGAGTTGGGCAGATGCTTTGCAAGTCGAGGGTAAAGAACAAGAAGGGGAAAAGAGACAGAAGGTCCCCCTTTTATAGACCTTTGGCATGCGGCTCACCGCAGTTTAAAAAAAAAAACATTACATGCATGCCACACCGCTTTGAGCGATAGATGGGGGTGCTGATTATGCGATATGATTAACCGGATTAATCCGGATAATAATGAGTCCTAGTGCCATTTTCAATCACCTCCACACTATGTACAGTAGCTTGTAGATTTGCAGGATCTCTCACCTGAACATGGGCATTACCTGGTGAGTTTCAAAAGGTCAACGTACTCCTAGGCTTGCGTATTTGTTGCTCTAAACTTTATTCTTGCAAGTTAAGCCTTCTCTACTTGCCGAGCGCCCCTTCGACCGCTGTGGACCATATCAATGAGCGCTTGACGGACGACCTTGACTTTACCGAACTTGACGAACCATGGCTGGTAACCTGTCGCTCATACAGAGACCAGGTTGCAATGCGCCAACGGGCAGCTGCAAACTCTGGGCCTAAGGCGGGCTCCAATTCCTCATATGTCCCGAAAATACAGTACCTCCTTACATTTGGGCATGTAGAAAAAATGTTTTCCATGGTTGCGACAATGGGTGGACGACGAACGGGGGAGAATGCGGGAAAGGGAGAAACAGGAATAGTGGTGGAAGTGGATAGGGATTTTGAACTTATATTAACAAAGTTGAAGAATCTCTGGACAAAGCGACAGGAGGTTGTCGTGGAGGTACTGCTTCGCCCGAAACGTGAACATCCACTCAAGAGTACTGAACGTCTACGTTTTGTCGGTGGCCTCACGCTTAGGGTATTGCATACGAGCACGGTGACTATATCATACGAATAGGCTCCATGCGAATAGGCGGTGAGCTAGTGAGAGGCCTATTCGTGCAGGTACGTCCTGGCTGTCGCGTCATCCACCCATGAAGAGCTGCTCATTCTTTAAGCAAGGCAGAGAATGTGAAGTTGGAAGGATCCTCTTCGGCAGCCCTGCCGGGACTTCGGGGTGTTCTGCGGGGTGCTCTGCAAGGAATACCTGGAATCAGCGACATCGAGCTGACTTTGGCGTTACATGGACGAAGCATGAGAAAGCAGGCAAGCGCGCTGAATGCCGAAGAAAGCGCTAACAAGCTGGGAGCTCTGAAAAAAACTGAAAGGTGGTTATCGTACAGGCGGATTTAGCAATTCATCCAACTCACATCAAATTGTCATAGTATGACTATGCCGACCAAACGGCCAGCGGATGTAGCGATAAGGTAAGACTTTGCAAAGGCTGACCTTGGCAATGCATTATTAACCGCTGTTCCATCTGGTCTTCAAGAGACCCGAAACGTCCGCGTATCCAAATACCCGAGGCAGATTTAGATGGGAATGATTGGCATGAATATGCAGCGGTTCGATTACGAGAGGACGAGTTCACACGGGCGCATGAGGCGTACCAATTTTTTCGGCTGTTCAGGCAGGAGGGCTTATTATGAGAGAAAATGTTTTGTTTCTTGTGTTACCACGCTCTAGTGCGCTGCATCTTCTGCTTTATGTTTATCGAATCGCTCCGGTTCGCTAGCCAGTCACGTAGCAAACTTTACCCGGTCTTACTTGTACATTAATGTATTCTTATATGCTATTTACAAATTCAATTATAGTTACATGATACAGATATCCAAAAGGTCTATATCCCGATACGCGCCCGCATCTTCCGATTCCGCTCCATTAGAAAAACCTTGATAGCCTCACCCTCACTGGCCAATGCTTCACGACGCGCCAAACAATTATCCCATCGTTCAAACAAGGCATCTGGCTCTTTCATTTCGGGAAACATCTCACCCAATTCGTCGTACTGCAGAGCTGCATCCGATAGCATGATTTCATCCAATCTGGATTGAAATTCTTCATCCCGCGCACATAAGGTGTTCAGTTCATGTTCTACTTCATCCGCTTTTTGCTGAAGCTTTTGAGTGTATGCTTTTAGTTCTGGTATACTCATTTTCTGCCAAGGAGGTGACGAATTCGATGAGGCGGGTATTGGCTTGTGCGCACCAGAAGACGTGTTTGATGATAATTTTCGCATTTTGGGAGATGGATCAGGACTACAAGACGATGGAACAAGCTTTCCGAGTTTCTTTTCTTTGTGCCGGCTTTCGGAAGTCGCGGAAGCCTTGCGCTTGACAGCTGGGCGTTCAGAAAGCTTGACGAGTTCCAAGTTGATGACACGTTCTGGTGTCGATTCCGGCGTACCGGAAGGTGGGGCAGAGTTGACAGAAGGTCCAGATGACTTGACCCCACCAGTAAGTCTATTGGCTCGTGAATTGCTAGCGACGTTTGGAGAAACTTTGCGCTTGGTTGTCTGAGCCTCCATTGACGTGGTACGCTGAATTACAATACCAGGCACGTCCTTAATGGATTGTTTGAGACTCGACGAAGATGGAGCTGCCTTCGTTCTTGCACTTGCTTTCCGTTCTTTAGACCTACCCTCGGCATCGGATGGCACTTTACGCTTCACTACATGGCCCTCACTAGATGCAGTACGCTCTCGATGAACTTCCGGTGCCAAATTTCGGGTTTTACAGCCCTCGCTAGATACAGTCCGTTCTCGATGAATTCCCGGCGCCAAGTTTCGGGTTTTAGAGCCTTCACTAGATACAGTCCGTTGAGTTTCCGGTGCCAGGTTTCGGGTTTTAGACCCTTCACTAGACAGAGTACGCTTTCGATGAAGTTCCGGTGCCAAACTTCGGATTTTAGACCCTTCACTAGATACAGTCCGTTCTCGATGAATTTCGGGTGCCAAATTTCGGGTTTTAGAGCCCTCACTAGATACAGTCTGTTGAGTTTCCGGTGCCAAGTTTCGGGTTTTAGAGCCTTCACTAGATACAGTCCGTTGAGTTTCCGGTGCCAGGTTTCGGGTTTTAGACCCTTCACTAGACAGAGTACGCTTTCGATGAAGTTCCGGTGCCAGGTTTCGGGTTTTAGAGCCCTCACTAGATACAGTACGCTCTCGATGAATTTCCGGTGCCAATTCTCGGGTTTTAGAGCGTGCTTTCGGTCTCGATGCGACGGGAATTTCCGTGATCCCACCGGTTGTCTGAGCCGAAGAGAATTCGGTTTTGGACGATACTTTTCGCTCAACACGTTGGTCATCACTAGATGTCACACGTTCCCGCCGAAAGGTGCTTTCTAAACTCGGTTCCTTCCCTCTGTTCACAGGTGGGACACCCCCCTTGCTTGTATCCTCCTGCTCCGCAAAGTCCGACAAGGAAATTGGACCTAAAAGTGAAGATTTGAGTTGTGCTGTGTTCTCGTCATGGCTAGAGACATACGCACGGTGTTGCTTGGCTTCTTTCTTGGGTACCATCCGACAACATGTCCCGATCGTAGTCACGTGACGCGCTTGAGTGCGCGACGACGACATCACCCGATAGAGGTCCAGTGTCATTTGCTCCCATTCTGCAAGCTCCAATTCAAAGGGCTTCTTGCGGGGCGTATTGATGCGAATAACATTCTGTGGCGATGTAAGTTAGCTTCTGAGAATGATCAGTACAGTCAAGTTCTATTTACCTTGGTGCCACACCTTATCGTCATCTTGGACCCCGAGTCTATACGGCCTGCGACCGCCGAGTCGACATTCAGAATAATACCTGTTGGTCGTTTTGACGATGCCGTGGACTCTTTGAGGATAATTTCCTTCATTATTTCTACCGGTGGGTGCGGGCACCAGGGATTCGCATTCTGACCCACAACCCTCCGAGTGATAGTGAGACCCGGTACCACGTGTTTTGTGATAACGTAAGCACACTCCTGACACCCAGTTACTCGGAGAAGCTCCATCCTACGATGATACCAAAGAACAATAACGTTGGCACCGGAATGACTTGTTCCCTCCTCTTCCCACAGCGCAAAAGTTCAGGATATCCATCGACCCCCGATATGTTCCCCGCCACCTTCACTGGGCTTGATGGATGTCACATAGCAGCTGATACTCAACAGTATACGCTGGCAAAGTGCGGCTTCATGAAGATGCTCTTGTGAGAGTTTGCCAATTATGCATAGATGCATAGATTTGGTGCGTGTGTGTAAGCTTGGAATATGTTGTTCTAAAAAGCATAAAGTACAGCTATGCTGCGATGGGTTAGGTTTTTGTGGACGGCGGTTGGCAATGCCAACGTGGGCGAAGGAAAGATCCAGCATTCGATTGGACTCAACACATGTCCCGTTATCGAAGTAGTCTTTTTGATCATCTTATAAATTCTGCTAGATCCTTACCAATTCTTGACTTCACATTATAACATTGTTCCGCTTGAGACCGAAATCCTCACCATAATCTGATGCCTGATCTGCATGTCACCTAGTAAGCAGTCGCATCGAAGCAAAAAATCTAAAAACTTTAATTTCTACAAGGATGCGGATGACATAAAAAATAGGTTGCACACTTCTGTCGTAACAGCATGCCACTCAATAGTGTATTGGCAATAACAAATGTCACAACACAATACACCAGGGAATAGACTGGCGACAACCAGCCCGGAAAAGCCAAGTAATTCCCTCCTTACAAGTAACAAACTACTACTAGGCCCGATTACACATGCAATACATTACGGTTGTTCTAACCGGGTAACTAGCGCCCACCACCACGAGAGAAATCCTACTAAGCCCTTGATTCCGAAATTCTTTAGTCGGAGGATGTTCAGATACTACTAAGGTAGATCAGAATAATTAGACTGGATAATCTGCGTGGGAAAATACAAAGATAATGCATACCTGCGATCGTTGCAGTATAGTAGTAGCAGCGTTTGCAAGGCGTTATGTTGTTGTTGTCGGGAGGGCGAGGTCCTCGGCACCAGAGCAGTATTCTCATGGTGGACTTGAGAGTGCTGCGTGAGCGTTGGGCAGATGCTTCAAGAGTCGAGGATGGGTAAAGAGGGAAGAGACAGGAAAAGGCCCCCCTTTTATAGACCTTTGACATGCGCCTCACCGCAGTTTTTAAAAAAAAAAACATTACAATACATGCCACACCGTTATGAGCAATAGAGGGGGTGCTGATTATGCGATATGATTAACCGGATTAATGATTAATCTCTATTATTAAAGAAGAGCTTCGCATTCATTAGGATCGATCTGTACAAATAAACCAAAATCTCCTACATATGTGGGGAAATGCAGCATTCCATCGGCTTGTCGAGTGTTGGAATGGATAGCCACAGTGCTTACCTGCTTTTTATTTGATAAACTTCTTTCAAAATGCTTTGTTACTGCTGCATACTTGATTTTGCCAACAGGCCTGATATCCAGAATCGTTCGAACACTTCAAACTTCTATCAGATTTATAAAGATACAGATCACGTGCCACTATCGGGCATTTGTCCAGCGTGTGCTGACGGGCGCGTTGTGAAAAAAGCATTCCGTAATTAACAATCTGGAGCTGCCTGAGTTCGCTACGTGCGTTCAACCCGCAAGACATTATAGTGTCTGCAGTCGAGTTCAGGATAGTACGCAACTTCCATCTACTTTCGAGTCCCGCACTCCGACTTCAGTCGTCGGTTGTCTCCAACGAATTTGAACGATACAGGGAGTTCTTGAGGAGCGGACCCTTCGCAAGCCGCCTCACCTTACCTTTCGCAAGTGACCCACGACAGAGGCGCTTAGAGGTGAGGAGCATTACAAGAGTCCTAGTAAGGTGGACACGTTGGGAATAGTGTGGAGTATTTATTCCGTGTCGGATGTCCAGTGCCCGAAGCATGAATTCCTTTCTCCACCGGGTACATGCAATGTCCGGTAATGATGATATAAACGACGCGAAGAGAAGACTTCAGCAACAACAAGCTACTGAGACTGGTTCGCCTCCTCCAATGCAGCAAGTAAAGATTGTCCCCGAGAAGCTGAGCTATGATATACACTCATGGTCAAGCCATTCCGCCAGCTACCATCCCAAACACATCATGGTCAACAAGCCCCAAGATCAGTCTTCGCGCTGGTCCAGCGGTAGCAATAACCAGCTCCAATACATTACGATAAAACTCGACAAATTATCCATTGTGCACACGATCACATTTGGAAAGTATCACAAGGTCCATGTCTGTAATTTAAAGGAGTTTAAAGTATTTGGGGGACTTTCACCGAACAACATGATCGAACTGCTTCACTGCGGTTTACGAAATGATAGTGAACCAGAGACCTTCTCGCTAAAGCACAAGGCGAACGACGTGATATTCCCATGCCAATACATCAAGATTGTACCTCTCCTGGCGTGGGGTGCAAACTTCAATTTCAGTATATGGTACGTGGAGCTACGAGGAATTTGCCAGAGCGAGATTGTGGAGAAGGCATATTGGGACTACATTAATGTAAGTGCTGACCCGCTGGTGTAAATGCGTCTGTAATACTGAGTTGTATGTATGTTCGTCAACAGTACCGCGAAAATGAAGTTATTAGATTATGCTTAAAACACTTCCGGCAGCGAAATTATTTGGACACGTTTGGATCACTACAACAGCGGACGCAATTGCAATTAGAGGATCCCCTATTGACCGAACTACATCGGCATTTGGTTCGTACAATGGGACTTACTGCAGTATCCTGATGTTGAAAGCCACTGACACATTCATTGGTGTGTAGGTAATAAATGGCGACTTCACCACTGCGGAGGACCTCATCCGCCAAGCAGCCGAACGAAATTTGTTCCAGGATTATATCAGTGAATGCACATACCGGCCTTTGTGGAAAAAAATTGTACCGGAAGACTCTGGTTTGTATACATCATCCTTGTGTTATCTTAACGGTTATTGCGAACTTATGCCCGTTGCACTGACAGAGGAGGACAGTCCGTGCATGCGAGGTGGGCATCAAATGGCGATAGATCCTGACTCAGGGAGAGTGTATCTGTTTGGTGGATGGGACGGTTCAAAGGACCTGGCAGACTTCTGGGTATTTGATCAAGATATCAGGAAATGGATCTGCATTAGTATGGACACTAGAAGGTATATTTTCGAACATGTCCTTGTTATCGACATAGTGCTGATAAGAAGGAATTTCAGGCAAGGTGGCCCCGGCCCGCGGTCCTGCCACAAGATTTGCTTCGATCCAAAAACAAAGCAACTCTACACGTTGGGTAGATATGTCGATCCAGACAGTCGGCCCAATGTTAATCTCGAGAGCGATTTCTGGAGATTTGATGTTGCGAGCGGTACATGGACGCGCATTAGCATCAACACTGCGGTAGGGTGATCATCGACTACAAACTCAGCCGCCTAATCTCAACTTACACATGTGTTACAGGAAGAAAGTGGCCCGGAGCTGATCTACGACCACCAAATGGTGGTAGATTCCGATACTCAAGTCTTGTACGTCTTTGGAGGACGGACAATAGGCCCCGACCCCAATCAGACCGTTTACTCTGGATTATATGCGTACTCCATTTCACACAACCAGTGGAGGTTGATCCGCACTGACACCTCACAACCTGAGCACTCCATTCAGCTAAAATCGCGCATTGGTCATTCAATGCTCCTTAATCCCCGCACTCGGGAACTATACATATTCGCTGGCCAACGAAACAAGGATTATCTCTCTGATTTTTATGTGTATGAGATTGACACGGATACGGTACATGAGACCTCGCGTGACTACAGCAAACAGGGGGGGCCAGATGCTGGTTTTACCCAGCGAGCCACAATTGACTCGGATTTAGGCGAGTTCTATGTATTGAGCGGGCTCATGCGCGAGAAGAATACCACTCAAGAGACGGTCAAAAACTCCTTCTGGGTGTATAACATCCGCAAGGACCGATGGACAAAGGTGTATCAGAATGAAAATACCGGAAGTGCCTATTGGTCGTCCATGGCAGATAAAGAACCATGTCCACGATTTGCACATCAGCTCGTTTACGACCCCAAGCGAAAATGCCAGTTCTTGTTTGGAGGTAATCCCGGTGAGATGGGCAATCCAAATTTGAGGCTGGACGATTTCTGGGAGCTTTGGCTTATAAGGTATGAAGCACAAATTGCGCTAGGGACAGGATAATGTGCTCATCGTAGTCTGGCCACGTAGACCAAATCCCAACGATGTGCTCAGGCGCGCCAAGTTCCACATCCGACGCCAGAAATTCCGAGAGATGTGCAGCGTAGGAGATCCATTAGCTGCATTAAAATACTTACAAACTGAATTGGCGGAGGTGGTGGACCATTCGGATGAGCAAGAAAGTCGGGAGTTCCGGGAACTAACGCAATTTCTGTTCAATTGGCGACCAAGTGGCTCAATACCAGCAATAGGGGGTAGCGGTGGTATAGGTGCTGTACCGATGACTTTGAAAGCATGTGGAGGCGGATCTGATACCGGACGGGGAGTGGGAGGACTTGCTACTGGTGTTGGGGTTGGCCCAAGGGTGGGCGGAGTGTTAGACACTGAAACAGGAAACAATGAGGGGAGCTCTGCAGCGAACAAAATGTCCGGTGGTGAGTTCATCGCGCGCTTTCATTCGAGTCTGTCATACATGTCTGACCAGCCTGTTGCAAAAGCTGCTGAAGACCCATATCAGTCACGCACGGAACTTTATGAAACACTCCTCGAATTCTTCCCAGACAGTATGCGGGAACCGAAAGATAACTTAGTAGACTTGGTTCACATGGGATAAGCATTACATTTGTAGAAGGCTGGATCTGAATGAAAACAGTAACTAGTCAGTCATAAATTACACGGTCACCCAGATATCCCGATTTGATGTATACAATGCAATGATTCTCAGAGGACAAGGTATTGGGATGCTCTTGCGCAGGAAGGTTCATCTGCGTCTGGAAGACATTAAAAACAAACCCAGAGGTGAGTGATAGTTGACGGTGCTGATGTAATCGAACCAATGAAGGGCGGCCAGCGTATTCATTTGCTTAATATGGACTTATTGCAAGTGATGCTGCGCATAAGGACTTTCCATACCGTTCCACTCATCTTTCCAAGATTCCTGGAGTGTATCCGACGCAATCGGTTGGTAGCAATCGTTGGAACACGGTCTTTGGTTCCTCATTCACTCTTGTAACCGTATCGTCTTTGCTGATACTGCCTCAATAGCAAGAAAGATGAAGTTTACTCGCGCATTGCTCCTGGTTGGGGCGGTGTTGGGCCTCGTTCTACTGACCGTGTCTACGGTTAGCGCCAGTACATCTGCCGAGGCAGGTGCTCCTTCCGAGGCGAACACCTTGACGCCTCCACCCGGCTTCTCTGTTTTAACTCCTGAGGAAGAAGCAAAGTTGAAGAGTAGCGGAGAAAAATTCCAGTTCGAGACCGAAGTCAACCGGTTGATGAAATTGATTATTAACAGCCTGTATAAAACCAAAGGTACGGATTGATGCGGCCGTAAATTCAGCTAGTAAACAAGTCTTATAAACATCTTTCCCGCGCAGAAATCTTCCTCCGTGAGCTAATATCTGTATGTTGCTGAAATCTTTGTGTGGAGGGTTGACGCAGCCCACTTACGTACCTCTATTTGCTATAGAATGCTTCGGATGCTTTGGATAAGATTCGTTTTCGGAGCCTGACCAGCAAAGAGGCTCTGGGTGACACGACGGATCTAAAGATTACCATAGTAGCCGATAAGGAACGAAAGACTTTGACAATTACGGACACTGGGATTGGCATGACAAAGGCCGACCTGAAGACGAACTTGGGAACTATTGCTAAGGTAAGGATGACACCAGATTGATTTTAAAACTTATATCCGGGTGGATGCTGAAAATAAGTGCTTGGCGTCTAGTCGGGCACCGCCGAGTTCCTCGCAGCAATTGAGGCACAGAAGAACGATACCAACCTAATTGGCCAGTTTGGAGTCGGTTTCTATTCCGCATTTTGTGAGTGTACCGAGTACACGTCATTCCAAACGGAAACATACTTACCTACAATGTTCCGCAGTGGTCGCCGATCGCGTCACGGTAGTAAGCAAAAACAATGCGGACAAACAGTACATCTGGGAGTCAACCTCAGAGAATGGTAAAAGCAATTGTTATTGTCGAACGAAATCTTATAAGAACAACACTCTGATACCAAATTTTCAGATTTCAGAATCATGGAGGATCCCAGAGGAAACACTTTGGGGCGTGGAACTCAGATAACGCTGCATTTGAAAGATGATGAGCTGGAGTACCTCAATGACTCCAAGATTCGCGATCTCATCAAACGGTACAGCGAATTTATCAACTTCCCGATTTATCTCTGGACAACACGTACAGAAACAGAAGAGGTCCCCATTGAGGCTGAGGAAGACACATCTCCTGATCTGGACGAAGAAATCGAAGACGTGACCGAGAAGGAAGAAAAGCCCAAAACAAAGACTGTAACTAAAACTGTTAGTGACTGGGAATTGACCAACGAGCATAAACCGATTTGGACACGTCGTCCCAACGAGGTTGAGGAGAAGGAGTACAATGAATTCTATAAGTCATTTACTAAGGATTACCAAGAACCTTTGACCTATATTCACTTCCGTGGGGAGGGAGAAGTAGAGTTCAAGTCAATTTTGTTTGTCCCAAAAAGCCCGCCGCCGACCTTCCTTCAAGGTTCAGATGACTGGTTTCATAACATCAAGCTATTTGTCCGACGTGTATTCATCACAGACGAGCTTCCGAACTTCTTGCCGAGGTGGCTCAGCTTCCTAAAGGGTCTCATAGACTCGGACGACCTTCCTTTAAATGTTTCTCGCGAGACCTTGCAGCAACACGCAGCCCTCAAGGTCATGAAAAAGCGTATCATTGGCAAGGCACTGGACATGTTCAAAGCGCTCGCTGTCAGCGACGAAGAGAAATACATGGAGTTGTGGAAGAACTTTGGACATGCCATCAAGCTTGGCGTCATCGAAGACCGCGCCCACAAAAAGAAGTTGATGAAGCTGTTACGATTCCGATCCTCTCACTCGAGCAACTACACTACACTTGACGAGTATGTCTCACGTATGCGGAAAGGACAGCCTCAAATCTATTTCATAACTGGCGAGAGCATTGAGGCTTTCTCAACCTCACCATTTGTGGAGAAGCTCATCGCTCGTGGCTATGAAGTGCTGGTGAGCAGGCATCGAATACATCACCTTGATCAACTCCGTCTAATATCTTATCACGTTAGTACATGAATGATCCGATCGATGAATATCTCACTGGTAACTTGGATGATTATGAGGGCAAGAAGCTACAACACGTTGGAAAATCTGGTGTCAAATACGGTGATGAAGGTGATTGACGTTTGTCAAGGTCTTTGTTTAGGTGTTGCAGCACATGCTCAAATTTGCCCGCTTTTATAGACGAGAAAAGCGCGGAAGATTTGAAGGAGCTGGAAGATAAATTCCAACCCCTAAAGGATTACTTGAAAGAAACGCTAAAGGAGTGGGTTGACACGGTCCGAATTTCAAAACAGCTTACAAAATCCCCATGTGCCGTTCTGTCGAATGAATGGGGAGTGTCTGGAGCGATGGAAAGGATCCTACAAGCACAGGCACTGGGCCAAAAAGATGATTTCCGCACTGCGATGTATCTAAAACAGAAGAAAATCTTTGAGATCAACCCGGTAAGTCAGCGATGCGTGCAGCGTTGATCCCTCTTCACTATGCAGATACTGATACGATGGAATAGGATCACCCCATCATCGAAGCACTTCTTAAGAAGGTGAACGATGGCAAGAGTGATGACCTCAACGATTCTGTATACGTCTTGTTCGAATCAACGGCCATCGCATCAGGATTTGCCGTTCGGAATCCGACCGACTTCGCCCAGAAGGTGGAGAAGGTTGTGAGGGAACGGCTTGGCGTGGATTCTAGGAAAGAAGCCAATGTGAAAGTAGTTCCCGCTCCCCCACGAGAGGACCCTGCCGAGAAGGCAGCAAAACAGGAAGAGGATGAGGAAGACGCTCATGAGCATGACGAATTGTAGAATATGTACTTATAAGAATTTATACCAATGGTTTTGACCTTTACATCATCCATCATTACACCGTCAAATCTTCATACAACAACCCATCTCCCTACTAGTTTGCCGCCCTATTGGCATCAGAGTACAGAGTGGTTTGCGCAAAAATCCTATCTATGCCAATGATATTTACATGCCCGAGAATATGCCCGTAAAAGAAACTTCGCAATATCAAACAAAACTAAAAACTATAAAACTTCAACCCTATCCTTTATACCTACAATGTGCGAAAATGTTAAGTCACCCGAACATGAACGGGCGGAGCGAACAAACTTGGAAACACTCACTTGTCCTCCATTTGCAATCGCTTGCTCGGGTCAATTGTGTTCTGCAAACCCATTAGCGTTTTTGAAACAGCTTCCGTGGCGCCGATCATCGGCTTGAGGACAGCTACCGGCACAGCTCGTATAACAGCTCGAACAGTTCCCTATCATACACATTTCCATTTACTTTTCAGTTTTGAATAATCAATTGAAAGACTCTTGCTACTGTACCTGTGCTCCATTGTTCTCGTATACTTCCATAGGGACAGCAAATACCGTCCGTGCTGCTGTAGCCACATTTCGACTTAAGCTGCGATAAGCAAGCTCGACGCCTTCCTTAACGTCTCGCGGCTGTTCCGAGTACTTGCTCACTTGCTCCAAGGACGATGGCCAAGAAGAAGACCCGGAAACGTCATCGCCATGACGACTAGCATCATCCCCAGTAAGAATCTCATCAGCGTGCTCAAGTAACACTTGTGTTCCGACAGCCAACTTTGTCCCCAGTTTTATCGTTTCCGTAGTTGCGGCCTTTGCAAAGGAGCGTGCACCCTTTTGCAAGCCTCGAATTATTCTGCCGTCTTTTTTGTACTGCTCAATGGGAAGGAGGACGAGATCTGCCAATCCAGAACCAATGTTGACCAATGACCTCACACCAGAGACCCCCGAAACCACCCGTGGAACTTGAGTGTCGCGGATATGAGGTAGCCACTGGCTTAGAATGCCCTCCATCAATCGAGCCCATCCTTTAACCTGTCAGTGAACCGCTCTTATTAGTCCTGTGAAAATGAAGACAATTAAACAGTAGTCCACCTACCCCGGTTAGTCGCACGCCCCTCAAGGTCATCTCCGCGCCATCCAACTGGAAGAAGTTCATGATCTCAATGAAATTTCCTCCTTTTAAATTAGCATAATCGACATGCTTCGGTTTGTAATCGACCTTGACGGACACAGGCTGAATGTCACACAGTTCTGCAGGAAATGTGAGATGACATTCGCCAACTGCTATGTTAATTGGTACTTACGGAAGAACGTATTGTCAGGTTTCTTTTGCCCCACGGCAGCATCGCTAGGCGGAGCTTCAAAAGCGAAAAAGCGTAACAGGCAACTGAGTGCATCCTGATCAATATGCATTCTCAAAGGTAGGAGATCAACCTACAAGACCAAGTGTTAACGCTACGCTTCAAATCATAGCCATTTATAAATAAGAATTCTCGCCTTCAATCTGAACTCTTCGTTCCCTAACGACTCCGGTGTAGGCCTCACGCTACTGAGGTCAGCTCGGATCATATTGCTGCTGGTTTCCCTTGGCAAGGCATCCCCATCCGGACGGAGGTATGATAAAAACTTTCGCCATCGCGATGTCCTAACGTTGTCAATAATTTCGAAATCGCGAACGGTCAATAACAGACGCCAGGCAGTCTGTGCCTCGTCCGGGAACAAATCATAATCAATATTTAAAGCATAAGCCTTAAACATTAGCTGACTTGTCTGAGATCGGACAAGATCGTCCGCAGAAGTGGGGCGTTTACGCTGAGCTGTGCTCATGGAGGTAGCAGTAGTGTCCCGCGAACGTGCACTGAGATTGCTGGTGTTACTATGCACACTTCCCGTCTCTTCACGCTCTTGCTCCCGTGTGCGTTGCTCATCGGAGAGCTGGGGGACTGGCTGCTGCAGTGTTGGGAGGAAGTAGTTCCCAATCTCGAAGCCAATATTTTCGTCATTTCGGTAGCTCATTTCTGAGGAGACATCAAATTCATAGGAGGAAGGGGTAGCGGTGGTAACAGGGCTATCTCTACGGCCTGTTCGCCCTGTACCACTTTCTCTGTTTTTCCAATTCGTTGCTTTCCCCTTGGCTGCCTGCATGCTGTGTTCGAACACCGCTTCACGGGTTTTATTCCAGTCATACCCATCATAGATCTTCCATGAAACATCAAAATCACGGATCCTGATGCGCGTCAGGCACTTGTCATTCCTGGCATTCGGCGACTATTCAGTATGCTTGTCCCTTTGATGGCGCAAACTTCTGTACACTTACGAGGTTGGGTTCATCGTCGAGGTGTTTTGCATATCCGACTCTGGTAAAGGTCTAGAGAAGAAGTCATCGATAATATGAAACGCGGCAGGATCTTCAAGCAGGTAGACGGCTCCCTCTGTCGCCGCTGTGCCCGTTGACTGATTTGCTCGGGATGCTTCAGGGCTGGAAAGAGTAGGGGAGCCTGTGATGCCAAAGTCAAACTCATCGAAGCTGGTAGGAGAAAATGATCCATCTTCGTCATCAAACTGGATCAGGACGCTTTGACTAAGTGCATCGTCAACATCTTCCATTTGAAGGTCAACAGATGATGTCGCGACCTTTTTCCCTTTCTGGCCCTTGAATGCCTCCTCATCAAGACTTGCTAAAGGGACCATTAGTCAATTAATATAACAGCATGCAAGTGTCAATCGTCCCGTTACCTAGCAAATCATTATCATGCCCTTGGTCCGACGAAGGATTCTGCATTCTCTGCTCTGGCGTCCGCGGCACCGGTAAATCCTCGGTCCTAGACTAAAATTAGCTCTATATCCAAGCTGTAATTTTGGGAGGCTGCTTGCACCTACGTTTCCTTAGGTAGGTCGCCTGCCTCTGTCAAGTACTTGATCAACGCCAGCAATGTCAGATACGTGTCCGCACAAGTGTCAATCGACAGCTGATTATTGGTTATGTCCACCTGCGTAGAATGCTACATTGGTATGGTGCTCGGTACCACCGTGCATAGTAGCATACGTTACCTCAAGGTAGGGAAGAATGCTGCCACTATTGGTTCTCACAGCTATGTCAAGAAAGTCGCACCCCCCCACATTGGCAAATCCTAGGCTCTGTGATACTCAAGTATCAGAATCACGGAAGACTACAGATGGGGTAAATGTCAACTAACCGTAAAGTGTTTGCGGGTATTTATGTATCCATCTGCTCCATGTGATTCACCTTCACTATGACGTCGCTTCAGATCGCCCTCCGCAACGAGGACCGACGAATTATAAACCAATATTTTGAGTCCGATTGTTGGTGATTCTGGTATCAGATTGCAAGAAATCTGGATAGGGGACGACCATAATGGTAAGATGCATCTGTAGGATAGTGACATTTTACGTTGTCATACAACCTTCGCGCTATCGACGAGTAGCACCGAGCGAATTGGCATGTAGAGTGGTTGATAATCCACGCAGGCGTCCGTGAGATTCACGTACAGCTTTGTGAAACGGTTAGCCATATCGACAAAGACCAGCTAGATTCGAGTGACATCGCAATTTAGCATAATTGGTATGGAATGTCATCGAGTGACGAGAGATCCAACCTCTGAAGGTTCCTTAAGGAAGGCTCCAAGATCCGGTAACACAGGTGAACCCATGACATAACGAACGGTGAATGCGTTCAGAGTAATAGAAGCTGTTGTCTCCTTCATGTTCAGCTCCTCATCGTACGCCATAAGTGACGATATCGACAGCATTTGTTTGGCCTAGTATGTGGAGACAATTGGCGCTCGCCGTACCTGAAGCGCAAGCGGTCTCTGTCGTGCACTCACCTCAAAATTCTTCGGAAGCGTTCGGTAGAGGTAAGTCATGGCCGGGTTCAACGGTGAAGCAACATTGTTGAAGGACAAGTCGTCTGCGTCGATCCACAAGTAGGACGCGTGCTGTCGGAAAATATGAGCACAAGCCACTACCGCGAAAGTCACTCTCAGCGTACCTTCCCCATGTGTCCATTGATGAGGAAAAAGTGCAAGTCGTCCAGTGCACACGAATAAGATGTGTTTGCAATGTTTGTAGCTTCTGCACCGTTTTGTACCTCCAGATGAATACTTGCTCTAACTATTCCCACATGTCAGTTACATGGCAATGGTTATGCGCGCATGACGACTTCAGCTCTCACATGAGTCGCAAGTTGCCACGGCACTGAACGTCGATGGCTTTCTGACGACCTTGGAGTTGGAGTGACCCCCCCACGTCTGAGGGACTTCATTTGCACTGTTGCTATTTTGGATGTCAGGGCGTAACTTGCTCTGCGTTGGTTGAGAATCGACGTCAGGCAGTTGGCCAAACTTGAGGAGGTTGGCAGTTGCAGTTCGGGGCGGGGACGGTGAAGATGGTTGCTCTTCGGTTTTGGCTATTGATTGGAAAAGAGTAATCTCGTTTATCAACACTTGTAGTAGGTCGTAATCGGCTTTGATAAGGTTGAGATGGCAAATTGGAAAGTAACAATTTAGATGAATAAGCTGCAACAGTTAAATATAAGGATAAGATGCACCAAATCAGGTTGAATCATTTATCCTGATCCTACCGATTCCTCAATCGTCCTGTGTTTGAACCAAAGCAAATCTTCCTGTTTTTCATCTGTGCCATGTTCCGACGGAATTCTGGGACTCCTTCCAGTTGATCCAATGTCATACCAACTTTGAAAACCAAAACCTCCTGATGCGTCATCATCAACTTCTCGATTAAACGTAAGCCCGGTAGGGGTAGCAAAAACGTCGGCGGTTGGACGCTCAAGGAGAGAATCGCAGATATGAGAGCGCACCGTTACTTCGACATTTGGTCGCGTTGGCACAGGCGCTGACGTTCCAGCAGATTCTGGCGCGAAAGAGCCGCAGGAGGCAAAGGCTTTGATGGCAACTACGGGAAACGGAAAAGCACGACCGTGAGATTAATTACTACTATAGTTAGAGGACGGTAAGACTCTCACCTTTCTCTCCGTCAACTCTGCGCGCGAGGGCCACCCCAATGTTCTGGCAGTCCATGGCCCAACGACGCGTTTCTCGCTGGTCACCACTACAGCAATTGCTAGGCACGCGTTGATGAAGCGATCCCAAGCTAGATCGTCTGGTATTAGAACTGCCGGATGGTCCAGTCGATGTAACGATGCTCGGGTCAATGAAGTCCACCAATAACATGTGAGAATGCCGCCCTCTGTTGTTCCATTGAATATAATCCATGAGTCAAAAATTGGCTGATATCGGGAAGAGCCTCAGATGTACCTTAGCGGCCGTTCGTGTCCATTTCTGATGCCATCTGCAACTCGTGGTAAGGTGAGCCAGCATCTGCAGACGGCTGTTTTGATACTAATCCTGTAATCAACATGCGCCGCAGGCTGCCAGATGACAGTCAGTTGTATCGCCATAGGAGACGTACTATGTACCGCAAACATACCATGTTTGAAGCGCTTTGGGTCAGGTCGTCCATGATGAACCCAACTGCAGTGCCAGTCCTGAAATGCGACCAGTTGCACATGTTAACCGGGCCTTATTGGGTTCTCTGACAGAACACGAATTGTACGATAATAGAAGTAGGTACCTTTGAAATGGATCATCTTCGTGTGCACTCGAATTGTCGCCATAGACATCACATGTACCCGTCTTACCCGAGAAGAGCCGGCTGACACGTTCCATGATCTCGACATCGAAGAACAAATGCAAAGGGGACAACTCCACATTGACATGACGAAGCATTGCAGACTCGAAGTCAGGCCAGGTATGCGCCGTGTTCGAGCTTGTCGCGGATTCAAACGTGCATCTAATAGCAGGTGTCTTCATCTGCACATTATTTGATCTCCCAGGAAAATCGTAAACAACCTCAGCCTTGGGCGGTTGACACGTCTTTAGCTGATTGTATAGTCCCGCAACTGGGGTTACTTTTACACCAGGATCAAAAAAGACAATGCAAGAGTAGGCACCCTTTGAGGGTCGACGCCGACCAGTAGATGCTAGTAAACCGCGACAAACAGCGCATTCAGTATGCACTCATCCGGACTTGCTGAAGCTGCTAAACGTTATCATGCTTACCTGGTCTGAGGTCGTGTTCCATCCATTCCAGTATGGAAACGTTCCCCACACTGACTTCCAAAATATGATCCATATCTTGGTTTGCATTGCTCTCCAAAGTCGACATGTCGACAACGGTATTCTCAACGCCGATCTTGAGATGGTTCGCACCTAGTATCCCAGCAACCACTTCATCCAGAGCGCCATTACCGGCGTTGAGCCTAGTGTTCATCTGCGTGACAAAACTTGTCGACATATCGGAAGGAACACCTGTAGCAGAAGCAGAGCTGCGCCCCGAAAAGTATACTTTATAGAGTTGCGACTTATCGAAGTCAAGTGGCGGGATCTGATAGGGTAGATAAATGTCGCACTGGCGAAGATGGAGATGCATAGATATGGGCATTTTTGTTGAAAAGGAGTTTGGTGGCAACGACACAGGCGCTTGGGGAGAATTGGCGTTGCCAGGCCAAGCGCCCGGCCCTTGATCTGATCGTGAGGCAAAAACACCGTAATCCCCTGAAGGTGGCGGCTCACCATATCCAGATATCCTTTCGTCGGCCATTCCAACTTGCCTGCTGTAAGTCAGTATATCTTGCCCTTCACGTACAGCCGCAAAAATCTCCTTCAACAATGTCATTTGACTCGGATCAATTAGAGCGCAAATGGAGTCTAGCAAACATTCAATGCGCATGCCGGAGCTCTGCATAGCTCGGTTAACTGAGGAGTCGAGTCTAGCACTATCAGCCAGAGGCTCCTCCAAGCTTTTCTCAAAGATGATGCGAGCCCAATTTTCTTGGTCACTGGACGTGGTCGCCAGAACGTCAGTCCAAACGTACTCCGTGACAGAAGATTCTCCACCATCTTTCAGTTGACTGAGATTGATGCTAATCCCTGCAAATCTTATCACCTTCGTGATCTTCACTGTCGTTGGATGCAAAGGATCAGATTCGTCGTCGCCAAGACCCAGAGTTTCATCTCCATAGCTCAGGGTGGGTATAGTTAACTCCAGATGGTATTCCACAGGAGAATCTCCTGAACCCATAATTGTTGGGGCAATGGAAATCTGGGAGCGATGAGACAGTCTTACGACGGTGTTTTTGGCCACGACCTTCACTTTGGCCAGTATTTTATCAATAAGCCGGGCAAGGACTTGCAAGCCTTCAAGGCCCGTGTCTCTGCTTCCACTTGGTGGTGTTCCCTGGTTCGTGGAGAAAGATGTTGACGCGGGACGATCATTTGCCGATGAACGATTGGATTTGCGATCAAAAGCTAGACCTAAGTCGTCTTCATCTGATACTTCACTACGAAGAAAGTTTTCCGCAAAATGGATTGAAGAGGACATGATATGGGATTCCGACATTTGCGATGATCTAGACAATCCTTCAATAGGCAATTGAATCAGATCGGCTTGTAAAATGATGTGAAACATATTGTTTTGCTAACCATTCTCGGGATCTTCCCGCAAAGACATGAGTTCAAGATAGAGGCCGTCAAACTCAAGGATGCAATCGCTTGTTCCCAGATCCTTCCATGGCACAGAGGCCTGTATTCGTGAGATGCGTCCATCCGTGACGATAACCGGTAAATCCGCTGCTAGATCGTTTAGAACCTACGAAGAAAAAGGGTTCTGAGCGTTAAACTACAGTTTTCGCTACGCTTTTCCTCTTTATTTTTCGGGGACCCGGCAGTGTGCTTAAGCCCACCTCTAGATTTAACTCCAAATCTTTAAGGACAACTTGGCCTTTTCCCAACTCGACGTCCAAATTTTCCAGATTCAGTTCAGAGGCCAGAAACTGCCCTATGGCCCTTTTCAACAAGAACTTGAGGAGCCGCTTTTGAAGAGTTTGTGGCATAGACCAGCCGGAAAAAGGCCAGAATGCTGACATGGTAAATACGGATGCGGGCTACCTCCGGCTGTCAAAATGGGAAATGGGCAATAGGCAGAAAGCGCCACATACGCAAAGTGATGTTTTGCGTGGACTCCCTTGCCGTATATTTAAAAGGAAGGTACTGTGCTTATAGATAGCGAAGCTCTCAGCATGAAGGCCGTAGGAAAGCTCAAAACTTGTAGTAAGATTGTGAATTGAATATAACCTGGAGGGAATAGAGATATGAAGGCTTGTATCGCTCCTGCGCTTGGAACAAACCGGTGAAAAGGCGAGCAGAAATATGGGCAATGGGAGTCGGAAATGCAGCTCAGCTCAACCAAACGAGGAGACGAGACCGACAATCGCTCAAGATCATGTCACGCTCGCGTATGACTGCGCCCCGAAATCAGATGACCAACCCTCATGATGGATATTCCTTCGAGTATTGGAAATATCGAATAAAATGTCAAATAGGTCGTGCCAAAGTGAGCAGAAAGCAGGATATGTGACTTGGTACATGTGGGAACTTTGGCTGTTGGGATAGATATTGAGGCAGTAATCCTAAGCATGAAGACTCTCCTTTGTTTACAATGCTCCGCTGCACCACTAAATGGCATATAGCATTTCTTTTCCTCACATGAGTCCGATATTTCAACGGGTATGCTTACTTTCGGACATGACATAAGATACGGTTATCCTCGCTGGCCCCAAAAAAATATTCCCGTCTGCTTTTGTCGGCTCGTATTCGCTGATAAATCCATTGATGATGTTGGCTTAACGAAGGATTGTGGAGCATAAGTACAAAGACTAGTTGCGACACAATCGTGGAACACTGCCATGGTGAGGACACCATCAATAGAGTTCCGTCAGTCCAGTAATAGTTTGATAGCGTCTTCTCATAAAAATCGTACATTAGCGAACCCTTCCGACAACCCGTCACCAACCAGATGCCCCAGCCCAACTTGTCCCACCAGCGTGCTGTTCTATCCTTCTTGGCCAAACTCCTCCTGAAACCAAGGGCGGATGTGAGAAAATGCGAACTGCCAACGCCTTTGATGTAAAAGACACATACCGTCCACTTGGTATATTGCAATATGTCCGCTGCGTTCACACTCGGCCTCGCCATTGACACTGCCCGGATAAAGTCGTGCTCGGTCAAAGGTGGTTCCTCGAGCTCATGTCCCTCCAACACTGTCCATGACTTTTCGACTGCTCCGTATTCTCCTGGTGAGCATGGCATCCATTTTCCACCGCCGATTTGTTTGAAGTGGGTCGCCGTTTGCACCTTCCGCACTGGTTCCATCAACGCGTCTCGCACGACAACTGCGATATCTGACCCAGAATATCCATCAGTGCGGTCGGCCAGCTGCCTGTAATGGTTCGACTGGAGGCTGCACTTGGTGCTTCCCACATTCAACTGGAACATTTTTGCACGCGCATTGACATCAGGAAGCGGTATATAAATACGCTTTTCAAACCTATAATTTCAACATTTTTTAAATTTGTCCAGCTTTGCCCAAGGTACAATCAGATTCGACCTACCTTCTTCGGATGGCTGGATCCAAAGCCCATGGGATATTCGTTGCACCTAATACCAGCACACCCTGCATATCGTTGCCCACGCCTTGCATTTGGACTAGGAATTCAGTCTTGATTCTTCGACTTGCCTCTGATTCCCCTTCCCCCCTGTTTCCACAAAGCGAATCTACTTCATCAATGAAGATGATAGCAGGCTTATTTTCTCTCGCCAAAGTAAACAATTGTTTCACCAATCTAGTTATATGAAACGAAGAAACAATTAAATCGAGACCAGCCGGGCATTAGATCGAGACCATTTGGCACAGTGTCCATTAACCTACCGCTCACTTTCACCCATCCACTTGCTTACAAGATCCGACGAACTGACGGAGAAGAATGTAGCATTGGCTTCAGTAGCCACGGCTTTGGCGAGGTATGATTTGCCAGTTCCCGGAGGCTATCATAATAGAAATGGGCAATTCAGTAACCTCAAGAGATAAATGACCTGGAAGCATCAATTAAAATGCGCTTACCCCATACAGAAGAATACCCCTCCATGGTGTCCGTTTCCCAGTGAAGAGGTGTGGAAATTTTATGGGTAGAATAACGGCTTCTTTCAATGCTTCTTTCGCGGCGTCCAAACCAGCAATATCTTCCCATTTTACATTTGGTTTCTCCTGCAATATCGCTCCAGCCAAAGCCTCCCGTAGTCTTTTCGTCTCTGCATCTTCCTTTTTGTCCTTGTTTTCCTCATCCTCTTCATCATCTGACGCAGAGCCGTCCTTCTTCTTTTGTTGTGCTGTTGGATAGAGCCGAAATCCCTTATTAACAACGACGGCAATATAACCCCCAGCAAAACACAAAATTCAACGCATTTTTGGGCAGTTCGCGAGACCCTACCTCCATTCACCCCACCCGCTACAGCTACAGGCTTCTTCTTCTTCTCCTGTTTCTGCAGATACTCTTTCAGTCGTTCAGCTCTCTCCAAATATTCGGTGAATTTCTTTCTAATGGATTCTTTGAGACGGTCGTTCTTCTCGTCTAGCAGAAAGAAGTCAACAAGGTGCACGCGCAATCTCAGTTGGATACTCTCAACCAACACTTCATCGCCGTCATGAAATATTCCAGACTGTTTTGATACAGCTTGTAAGCTTCCGCGAAATTTCCTTTACCATCCTCGTCCGTCGCTTTCTTGACAATCTCAATGGCTTTCTAAAATAGAGATAACGACCGGGACTCTAATGTCAGCATTCTGAACAAAAAAGCCGTCCATGGCAACATACGTACACCGAGGAAGTCACAATTTGCCATAACGTCAAACAACTATCGAGTAGATTCAATAAAAAGACGGGAGACTGTTCTATGGGGTCTTACAATTGTGCCCTTGCGTGACAAGAAATGGACAAGGGACAATTGAGACGTTCTCACAAAAGTGCCAGCACGTCCAAAGGTTCTGGGTACGAAAGAGGTCTAGTCTCACACGCAATCTACCCACGAAACCGTCAACTGGAGCTTGAACGTTTCGACAGTCGGAAATTTCAGATTCGTTGTCCGAAACCCCAGAGTTCCTTCAACTCGGCGCCAAGCTTTCTAATCACGTGCATGTCATCACGTAACCACTGTCCAGCAGTTTGAACAGCAGGAATTTAGACTGCAGTGCATGCCTTTAGCGAGATTGGTTGTTCCAATTTTTGATAGATCGAGATGAACATTGCGTAGGCTTCGGGTTGAACTTGGAGTCAAGCTTTGCTCGAACGTTGGTCATTCCATGCTTGTCGCCAAGAGATAATTTCTTGCCTATCAGTCTTTATCCTCAAAAATCTCTTTATTATAACATTCTCCTCTGGGCAGGTTATCTCTCAAAGTAGCGACCTTGGCAGCGACAGCATAGCGGACACATCGCTTCAAGACATTGACTATCGCTTAATGGCTGCGATCGAGATCTGGACATGTCACGTGCCTGTGGTTGCCATGGCATTAGATGCAGTTGTAGCCTATGAGGTTGGAAATGGACGAGTGGAAGGAACTGCGCTGGACGCTGGGGGAAAGCCGATCAACGATCGAGAAGGCAACACATCCGCCATTCTCTTCTTGTCAAGTGTTTGCTGGAGTACTTTCATTTCTGTTGAGTCGCTCACACTCCCGGAAGTGAGAGCAGTTGCTTCGTTTTATTAGCCGCTGGCCTCCTGGCCTGGAGAGTAAACAAGGTCGAAGACTCGGGACCGATTCAATCGTCTTTCACATCTAACCCCACTCACCATGTCCGCACAACCACCCCCGCCATTTGGCCATCAACCACCGCTCTACGGAGCGGCTAGGCCACCCCCACCGATACCCACCCCAACCTCAGAGCTCTCTGAAGAAAAACTGCAAGAGAAGGCTCGGAAGTGGGCTCAAATGAACGCCAAGCGATACGGGGAAAAGCGGAAATTTGGTTTTGTTGAACCACAGAAGGAAAACATGCCGCCAGAACACATTCGGAAGATCATCAAGGATCATGGGGACATGTCGAGCAAGAAGTACCGCCATGACAAGCGCATTTACCTTGGCGCATTGAAGTATGTGCCTCACGCTGTGCTCAAGTTGTTGGAAAACATGCCGATGCCTTGGGAACAAGTTCGCGAAGTACCTGTACTCTACCATGTCACTGGTGCGATTACATTCGTCAACGAGGTCCCGTGGGTCATTGAGCCCGTGTACATCGCACAGTGGGGCACTATGTGGATTATGATGCGTCGTGAGAAGCGAGACCGTCGTCACTTCAAGCGGATGAGATTTCCGCCGTTCGATGACGAAGAACCGCCATTGGACTATGGTGACAACATCATTGACGTCGAGCCGTTGGAAGCCATCCAAATGGAGCTGGACGAAGAAGAGGATGCACCTGTATATGAATGGTTGTATGATCACAAACCTTTGATGGATACGAAGTTTGTCAACGGCTCAAGCTACAGGAAATGGAACCTGAATCTGCCGATCATGTCAACCTTGTACCGATTGGCGCACCAGCTCCTCTCAGACCTGACCGATAAGAATTACTTCTACTTATTTGACTTGAAATCGTTCTTCACATCAAAGGCGTTGAATATGGCTATTCCTGGTGGACCGAAATTTGAGCCGCTCTATCGTGACATGGATGCGGCGGACGAGGATTGGAATGAATTCAACGACATCAACAAGATCATTATTCGCCAGCCTATCCGAACCGAATACAAAATTGCGTTTCCTTTCTTGTACAATTCCCTTCCGCGTTCAGTGCATGTATCTTGGTATCACTATCCCACGGTAGTATATGTGAGAACGGAAGATCCCGACCTTCCCGCTTTCTACTTCGATCCCATCATCAATCCGATTTCGTCACGTACCCTCCAATCGAATGCGAAGGTGTCGCACGAAGATGAGATTTTCGGCGACAAAGAGGAAGATGAGGAGTTCCGGTTGCCTTCTAGCGTGACCCCCTTCCTACAAGAAACACCTCTATACACAGACAACACGGCAAACGGCATTGCGTTGTACTGGGCACCGCATCCATTTGATAAGAGGAGCGGACGCACTCGGCGTGCAATTGATGTTCCCTTGGTCAAGAACTGGTATCTCGAGCACGTTCCAGCGGGACAACCGGTGAAAGTGCGAGTATCTTACCAAAAACTGCTCAAATGTTACGTTCTCAATGCCCTTAAGCACCGGCCTCCGAAGGCGATGAACAAGAAATATCTGTTCAGGCAATTGAAGGCGACTAAATTCTTCCAGACAACAGAACTTGACTGGGTAGAAGCCGGTTTGCAGGTCTGCCGTCAAGGGTATAACATGCTCAACCTGCTTATCCACCGTAAAAATCTGAACTACTTGCACTTGGACTATAACTTCAATCTTAAACCAGTGAAAACGCTTACTACGAAGGAGCGCAAAAAATCCCGTTTCGGTAACGCCTTCCACCTTATGCGTGAAATCCTTCGATTGACGAAGTTGGTGGTCGACTCGCACGTTCAATATCGACTGGGTAATGTCGATGCGTTCCAGCTGGCCGATGGTCTACAGTACATCTTTGCGCACGTTGGGCAACTTACCGGAATGTATCGTTACAAGTACCGTTTGATGCGACAGATCCGTAAGTTCTGTGGATTTTCTGGTTTGCATATGAGATCAGTTTAGAATTAAGGCCGTATGATTCCTTTTTAGGCATGTGCAAAGATTTGAAACATTTAATATACTACCGCTTCAATACGGGACCGGTCGGTAAAGGTCCTGGTTGCGGTTTCTGGGCACCGGGATGGCGTGTTTGGCTGTTCTTCATGCGCGGCATTGTGCCACTACTGGAGCGCTGGTTAGGCAATCTGTTGGCTCGTCACTTCGAAGGGCGTCAGTCCAAGGGTATCGCAAAAACAGTGACTAAGCAGCGTGTAGAATCGCATTATGATTTGGAGCTCCGTGCGGCTGTCATGCATGATATCCTAGATATGATGCCTGAGGGTATCAAGGCGAACAAATCAAGGACCATTTTGCAGCACTTGAGTGAGGTAAGCGCGGTATGAAGGAACAACACTCGTTTCGACAGAAGTTAACATTTATTTTGTAAATATAGGCATGGCGTTGTTGGAAAGCGAATATTCCCTGGAAGGTTCCTGGATTACCCACCCCAATTGAGAACATGATTTTGCGCTACGTCAAATCGAAGGCAGATTGGTGGACCAGTGTCGCCCACTACAACCGCGAACGTATCCGTCGGGGTGCAACGGTTGATAAAACCGTGTGTAAGAAAAATCTTGGACGTTTGACCCGTTTGTGGCTGAAAGCCGAACAAGAGAGGCAGCACAACTACCTAAAAGATGGTCCATACATTACCGCTGAAGAAGCTGTTGCCATTTACACAACGACCGTTCACTGGCTTGAATCCCGAAAGTTCTCGCCGATTCCGTTTCCTCCTCTATCGTATAAGCACGACACAAAGCTGCTCATCTTGGCGCTTGAGCGCTTGAAGGAAGCGTACTCAGTCAAGGGTCGTCTCAACCAAAGCCAGCGTGAAGAGTTGGGTTTGATCGAACAAGCGTACGATAATCCTCACGAATCTCTCTCACGTATCAAACGTCTCCTTTTGACGCAGCGCGCTTTCAAGGAAGTTGGAATTGAGTTCATGGATCTGTATAGTCATCTGATCCCCGTTTATGACGTGGAACCACTAGAGAAGATCACCGACGCATACCTCGACCAATACCTCTGGTATGAGGCTGATAAGCGCCATTTGTTCCCGGCATGGATAAAACCGGGTGACTCGGAGCCACCACCGCTACTTGTCTACAAATGGTGTCAAGGTATTAACAACCTGACGGATATCTGGGAAACAAGTGACGGCGAATGTAATGTGATGATGGAGACCAAACTGAGCAAAGTGTACGAGAAGATCGATCTGACATTGCTCAATCGGTTGCTTCGTCTCATTGTGGACCACAATATCGCGGACTACATGACAGCTAAGAACAATATTGTTCTCAACTACAAGGACATGAACCACGTCAACGCCTATGGTCTCATTCGCGGTTTACAGTTCGGATCCTTTATTTTCCAGTACTATGGTCTTATTTTGGATCTCCTCATCTTGGGCTTGCATCGCGCCAGTGAGATGGCTGGCCCCCCGGCAGTCCCGAATGATTTCCTGCAGTTCCGAGACATTGCAACGGAAGTTCGTCATCCAATCCGACTATACTCGCGGTACATCGATAAAATCCATGTTCTATTCCGCTTCACTGCCGACGAGGCCAGGGATTTGATCCAACGGTATCTGACTGAGCATCCTGATCCTAATAACGAAAACATCGTCGGGTATAACAATAAAAAGTGCTGGCCCCGTGATTGTCGTATGCGGCTGATGAAGCACGATGTCAATCTTGGTCGCGCCGTATTCTGGGATATCAAGAATCGTTTGCCCAGGTCCCTCACGACTATTGAATGGGAGGACAGCTTCGTATCAGTATACTCTCGAGATAATCCAAATCTGCTATTCAGCATGTGTGGGTTCGAGATTCGTATTCTGCCAAAGCTCCGTTCCAGTCATGAAGAGTTCACATTGAATGAAGGAGTCTGGAATTTGATCAATGAGTCCACGAAGGAGCGAACTGCCCAGGCTTTCTTGCGAGTGGATGAGGAGAGTATGCAGAAGTTCCACAACCGTGTCCGCCAAATCCTGATGGCATCTGGTAGCACCACCTTCACGAAGATTGTGAATAAGTACGTAGCTCAGCAATGCGTCGCTCGACCTGTCGATCTGTGCTTGATCCTAACTCATGTAATTTCCTTACAGGTGGAATACTGCTCTGGTTGGGTTGATGACTTATTACCGTGAAGCGGTAGTCCATACTCGGGAGCTATTGGATCTTCTTGTAAAAGCAGAAAATAAGATTCAAACCCGTATCAAGATTGGGTTGAACTCCAAGATGCCTTCCCGTTTCCCACCTGTGGTACGTACACGCGTATACTCTGGGCAAAGCTGAACTGAAATGCCTGATCAATCAAACTCTTTTGTTCTCCAGGTCTTTTACACGCCAAAGGAACTGGGCGGACTTGGTATGTTGTCCATGGGACATGTGCTCATCCCCCAGTCCGACTTGCGGTGGTCGAAACAGACAGAGACCGGTATAACACATTTCCGGTCTGGTATGTCGCATGAGGAGGATCAAACGATTCCGAACTTGTACCGATACATTCAACCTTGGGAGTCCGAATTCATTGACTCTCAGCGGGTGTGGGCGGAGTATGCGTTGAAGAGGCAAGAAGCGAATGCGCAAAATAGACGATTGACCCTTGAAGATCTGGAGGACAGCTGGGATCGAGGTATCCCACGTATCAATACGCTATTCCAAAAAGATCGGCATACTTTGGCCTACGATAAGGGCTGGCGTGTGCGGACAGACTTCAAGCAATATCAAGTCCTGAAAAATAACCCGTTCTGGTGGACTCATCACCGGTAAGCTCTGGAAATGGCATTATCTCCTCGATGATGAAATATTTAGCTAACGACCGTGTTTCAGGCATGATGGCAAACTTTGGAACTTGAATAATTACCGGACAGATATGATCCAAGCACTCGGTGGTGTTGAAGGAATTTTGGAGCATACACTCTTCAAGGGTACATACTTCCCTACTTGGGAAGGTCTGTTCTGGGAAAAGGCATCAGGTATGTTGAATGTCTACCTCCCTCCTTGGTTTGCTGTTCATGAATGTTCTAACGTCATTTCTTGAAGGTTTCGAGGAGAGCATGAAGTATGCGTGATTTTCTTTTTCATATTCATTCGAATAAGCTCCTAACTGCATTTACTCTAATCTTCAGATACAAGAAACTGACCAATGCGCAACGGTCTGGTTTGAATCAGATTCCTAATCGTCGGTTCACACTTTGGTGGTCCCCTACGATCAACCGTGCCAATGTTTATGTTGGATTCCAAGTCCAACTTGATTTGACCGGTATTTTCATGCACGGAAAGATTCCTACCCTCAAGATCTCTCTCATCCAGATCTTCCGTGCCCATTTGTGGCAGAAGATTCACGAGTCAGTGGTCATGGATCTCTGTAAGTGTTCAGAAGCAATCCAGTTTACATGTGATTGGTCATTAATTGTATCTTATTTTATGTATACAGGTCAGGTCTTCGATCAAGAATTGGAAGCCCTTGAGATTGAGACGGTTCAAAAGGAAACTATTCACCCGCGTAAATCGTACAAGATGAACAGTAGTTGCGCGGATATTCTACTGTTTGCCGCGTATAAGTGGAACGTCTCCAAACCTTCATTGCTCAACGACACGAAGGACTCATTCGATGGAGCCACTACCCAAAAGTATTGGGTTGATGTGCAACTGCGTTGGGGTGACTTCGATTCTCACGATATCGAACGGTATTCTCGGGCCAAGTTCCTCGAGTATACGCTGGACAACATGTCAATCTATCCTTCACCCACGGGTGTCATGGTTGGCATCGACTTGGCGTACTCGCTGCACAGTGCCTACGGTAACTGGTTCCCAGGGATGAAGCCTCTGGTTCAGCAGGCGATGGCCAAGATTATGAAGGCCAACCCAGCTTTATATGTACTTCGCGAACGTATCCGAAAGGGTCTGCAGCTGTACTCTTCTGAGCCTACAGAACCGTACTTGTCGTCTCAGAACTACGGTGAATTGTTCTCGAACCAAATTATCTGGTTCGTGGATGACACCAACGTATACCGTGTCACCATTCACAAGACGTTCGAGGGTAACTTGACGACCAAGCCGATCAATGGTGCTATTTTCATCTTCAATCCGCGAACGGGACAGCTCTTCCTTAAGATCATTCACACGTCCGTATGGGCTGGTCAAAAGCGTTTAGGACAATTGGCCAAGTGGAAGACGGCTGAAGAAGTGGCTGCATTGATTCGATCCCTCCCAGTTGAAGAACAGCCAAAGCAGATCATTGTCACTCGAAAGGGTATGTTGGACCCTCTCGAGGTACATTGTCTTGCTGCAGGGACGAAGGTCATGGTCGTCCGAAACGGCTGTTTGCTCAATGTCAAAGTAGACGAACTTGTCCAAGGCGATGTATTGCTTGACGAGCGTGGAGGTGCAACTCGAATCAATACCCCCGTCGTCTCAGGCAATCGCCCACTTCTTCGTGTATCTGGCCGGACCCATGGTTTGGTCAGCCAAGAGTACACGGTCACTGAGGGACATCTACTCTCACTCCGCTGCGAGAGCGAACCTTACGTGTTCACCACCGGTTACCCCTCTGGAACAGTACGCTTCCAGTACGCAGCCTACAAAAATGATGGTAGCGTCGAATGGCAGTCAGCAGAGTTCAAGCACAACAAGGACGGACAGCTCGTGCGGATTTCGGAGATGGACCAAGAGGTCGGACTTCCAACGTCCGAGCAAAAGGACATCAAGATCCAAATCCTGGATTGGTGGAAGCAGCAAGCCGACCGGGTGGAATTGAGAGCGACTGTCAACATTACGGCTCTGGAGTACATGCATCTTGATGCGGACCATCCCCTCAAAACCAAATTTGGAGGTTATCGTGGCCGCGTCAACGACGGCTGGCCCGTTGAACTATCAAGATCATCATCTGGGGTGACTACGGTTTTGGACCCGTACTTCCTTGGTATATGGCTTGGAAACGGCAGCACCTCCGCCAACAGCGTGCGGGTCTCTATTTCTAAAGATGATGTGGACATTGTGGACAAATTGAGGTCTATCTTCTTACCTCAAGGATTTACCATAATGGTCGCGGGAGCTAGCACGACCGCCTATGATGTGGATATCTGCGATCCGATATCTCAGAGCAATCGTCTCAAAGATGCCCTGTTTGAGGCCGGCCTGATAGGAGAGGGCAGCGCCAAGCACATCCCAGTCGGGTACATGCACGCCGGGAAGGACGTGCGGCAACGTCTGCTAGCCGGCCTGATCGATGCGAATGGCGTCCAGTCAACTCGTACAGACAATGGGAGCTTAGAACACGTTATGCAAGGAATGGAACATATGCCATCCGAGCATATTGAAAGGATAATCAAAAACCACCAGCCTCTGAATGTCTGGATCTTTGGACAGAGGCAGATGGAGGAACGCTTGTTCGAGGACGTAGTCCAACTGGCGCGCTCGCTCGAGATGATGCAGACCGTCTCACCGGACAAATTGCCGAAGAGCAACAACACTGACTCTCACAAGCAGATCATCCTCAGTGGCTACGATCAAGAGGAAGTGAGCTCCCACGTCGCACTCAAACACAAACAACTCGGGCCTTATTGCCTTCTGAAAGGGTTGGATCAAAATCGTATTGCACTGACAGTTGAACGCGCCGAGGCAGGAACGTACTTCCGATTCAGCGTAGACGGCTATCAATCCCGCTTTTTGTTGGCCGATTGGACCGTGGTTCACAACTGTCTCGACTTCCCGAACATTGTAATCAAAGGTTCTGAGCTTCAACTCCCATTCCAGGCGTGTTTGAAGATTGAGAAGTTCGGTGATATGATTCTCAAGGCCACAGAGCCTCAGATGGTCCTCTTTAACCTTTATGACGACTGGTTGAAAACAATTTCCAGTTACACAGCCTTTTCCCGATTGGTGCTGATTCTTCGTGCTTTGCACGTGAACAACGAGAAGACAAAGATCGTCCTTCGTCCGGATAAGTCGGTAGTGACGGAGCCGCATCATATTTGGCCGACTCTGACCGATGAAGAATGGATTAAGGTGGAAGTTCAGTTGAAGGACTTGATCTTGGCGGACTACGGTAAAAAGAACAACGTCAACGTTGCCTCACTGACAACCTCTGAGGTCCGTGATATCATTCTCGGAATGGAAATCTCTGCGCCGTCGCTTCAACGACAACAAATCGCAGAAATTGAGAAGCAGACGAAAGACTCTTCTCAGTTGACTGCAGTCACAACTCGAACGCAAAATATTCACGGTGACGAGATGATTGTCACCACCACATCGAACTACGAGACTCAGACCTTCTCATCCAAGACGGAATGGCGTGTCAGGGCGATCGCATCTACCAATTTGCATCTGCGTACCAACCATATCTACGTGAACTCGGACGATATCCGTGAAACCGGCTTCACGTATATTTTGCCAAAGAACATCCTCAAACGGTTTATCTGCATTTCCGATTTGCGAACACAAATCGCTGGGTATATGTACGGTGTCAGTCCACCTGACAATTCGCAAGTGAAGGAGATTCGCGCGATTGTGTTGGTTCCACAATGGGGTACCCATCAGCAAGTTCACTTACCCCATATGCTACCCGATCATGAATACCTAAAGGATTACGAGCCTCTGGGATGGATTCACACGCAACCAAATGAGCTACCGCAGCTTAGCCCCCTAGATGTGACCATGCACGCCAAGATCATGGCGGATAACAAGGGGTACTGGGATGGCGACAAAACTGTAATCATCACCTGCTCGTTTACTCCAGGTTCCTGCTCGCTGACGGCGTACAAACTCACACCTGGCGGTTTTGAATGGGGTCGCAACAATAAGGACATGGGAGCTAACCCTCAAGGCTACCTTCCAAGCCACTATGAAAAGGTGCAAATGCTCCTCAGTGACCGATTCCTCGGGTTTTTCATGGTGCCAGAAGGCGAAGGAGTGTGGAACTACAACTTCATGGGAGCGAAGCACCGGGCTGATATGAAATATGCTTTGACTATCGATACCCCGAAAGAGTTCTACCACGAAGTGCATCGACCAAGTCACTTCTTGAACTTTAGTGGGTTGGAGGAGACTGGTATCACGTCTGTAGGGTCTGGAGTTGCGGGTAGTAATGAAGCGGATAGGGAGGATCAGTTTGCATGAGCAAATGATGTACCTGGATTGGTTGTGAGTGTCTGGTGCTGAGGTAGTCGGGCGAGAGGGAGTTTTACCGTGGGCTGTATGTTCAAAGTGTAGGGATACTTGAGGGATTTTCTCGTTGTTATATTTGTACAGATGGAATTAAACTTGCTTTGGGCATTGAACATTGTCTTTGATTTTGACCTTGCATGTGCCCAGTCGTTACGCTTCCTGGCCTGCCATAATTTAATCTTTTGGAGGCTAAAGCTATTTAATAACTAGTTTCTTTATCAATTAGTATATGGCCAGGACAATTATGCATTTGTATATCTCGTCATATTCTGTGCAAAGTGACATGATTTAAAATAGGTTTGACACCCACTATTTTAAGGATGAGTGATGGTGACTTTTGGCATGTAGAGGAAACGCGAAACCTACCTGGAAAATATTGCTAGGCCCTCTATCGCCCTTGGCCTTCCGCCTGTATTCTTTTTCCTCTACATCCTCTTTTCCTCTCTTCTTGGTTTTCTTTGGTTTGATTGTACCGTCTTGCACACCTTCGTCAAAGTCATGTCGAATTGGTGATGGTATTGAAGCAGACGTTGCTGTATCGGCATTGAGGGATGTGATAAGGAATGCATACTCGAACGCTAGGTTTTCGAGAAAAGAGTATTGTCCTGATGAACCGCCATGGCCTGCATCTTCTATGCGGAGGAGAAGGGAGCGCGGAGTTGGATGTGAAGGAAGGAGTGTGTCATTTGGTGTGCCTCCTGCCATTGTGGCAAGGGTGGGTGCTTTGCGGAGACCGCTGCCTGTGGGTGTGTCTGTTCCAGAGTCATCTTGCGCGAGAGGGGAAGAACGGACTGGTTTGGATAGGTATCTACGCCTTTCCCCACGCATTTTGGCAACGAATTTCAGTGGTTCAAAGAAGGCTACCCTTGGGTCATTCATACCGCCCACGACTAGGAGATGTGGGTATGCGTTTCTGGCTAGGGCTAGGCCTCGGATGTTGGTGTATGGACAGTAAGTCTTCATCACATCGTAAATTTCACGATCGTTGGGGTTACCCCATTCTTCATATTCGAAGGCTGTCCATGGTATCGTTGCATCAAACATGGTGTTGATGACATCAACAAAGGGGACTTCCGTGAGTGCCGCTGCAAAAAGGTCTGGCCGGATGTTGATCGCCGCGCCGATGAGAAGTCCGCCTGCAGAGCGGCCGTATATGGAAAGTTTAGAAGGAGTGGTATAGCCTTCTTTACAGAGATATTCTGCTGCAGAACAGAAATCTAGGAACGTGTTTGGCTTTTTGGTGAGCTTCCCTTCTTCGTACCATCCATTGCCCATGTCTGCACCTCCACGGACATGCGCTGCAGCATAAATAAACCCACGATCCAGTAACGAGAGACGCGATGCCGAAAAGATTGGATTGACAAAGGCACCGTAAGCACCGTACGCGTGAAGAAGACAGGGATTCGGCTGTGATGGAGTCTGGTTAAGCCCAAGGAGATCCCGGCGATATACAATGGAGATTGGGACGGCAGTGCCATCAACACCAGTTGCAAAGAGACGACGTGAAGTGTACATGGTTTGCTCGTAACCGCCGATATGTTCCTCGTAAACCACTGTCATGGTTCGGTCGTCCATGTTGTAGTCTACCACTTGCTTTGGTTGAATGAAAGAAGTATATGTGAAGCGAAGGACATTCGTATCAAACTGCGACGTCTTTGCTAGAGCTCGTTCTTCCTCCCGAACAGTACCAGGCCACAAAGAGTATACCATCTCCCCAAAGCTGATATAATGGTAGGTATTGAAGCCGTCGTACGATAAATCCACAATACGGACATTTTGAAGACAATTCGATCGCTCAAAGACGATTAAATGGTTACGTCGCACTTCAAAGTGTTCAATGAGAACAAAATCACGATGTTCAATGACAGTTTCCCGGAGTTCCACGAGCTCTTCATATGTTGATGGTGATTTAGAAGGCGTTGAAGGAATAGGCATTCGGAAGAGCCAGTTGTTTTTTGAGTCCTCATTCGTTAGGATGTAGAAATACCGGCCGTGGTTTTCGCATGTGTATTGGATATTTTCGCGACGTGGGAACAGGAGGGATGGTGGATCGTCTGGCTTTTCGGTCGATATGAATCTAGTTTCAGATGTAATTTGCGCAGATGAATTGAGGAGGATATATTTTCCGTTGCAGGTTTTTGTCAAAGATAAGAAAAACATCTCGTCTTCTTCGTGGTAGAGAAACTCATCGGTGGTAACATCCGTCCCAAGTTTATGTCGTCTAAGTTCATATGCTCGCTCGAAATCGTCCAGAACAGTGTAAAATACGCTGTTGTCACACGCAAATTCCAAATCCTCGTATACCCCTTCAATCCGATCATCTAGAACTTGTTTCTTGTCCATGTCCATGAAATATGTTGTATAGCGCTCGTTTCCACTGGAATCAATGCCGTACGCAATAAGTTTACAATTGGGAGAGTGCTTTAGGAATCCTACACGAAAGTACGAAGCGTCTTCGAACTCTTTAGAGTTTGCGATGACGTTTTCGTCCAAGTAAACGTCTTCTTTTCCATCTTTGCTTCGGCAATGGAGACGATATTCTTGACCGGCCACCTATTGGAGATTGTCAACATACGTGCCTGCAGGAAGCATCAAACCATGAAACATTTACATGCCTTCCTGGTATAGTACGTCCATCCGTCCTGTAGCGTGACCGTGGCGGACTGCTCACTTTCATCAATTCTGGACACAAACTCCTTGTATAGAAGTTTCTGTAAAGGCTTTGTGTCCTCTAGCATCTTTGAAGCATACTCATTCTCGTCTTCGATGTATTTCAGAACATCGGGATTTTCGCGATCCTTAAGCCAAGCATAGTCGTCTTCCCATTCCTCGCCATGCACATTGACCCATTTCTCCGGTTTACGTTCACATACAGGAGAAGGAGGACGCGGACGTTCAACTGGTTGGTCGTTTGCTTGCAACTCCATCAAAAGAGGTTTCAGCTTGCCCCTCCACAATTCCCCGCAGGTCTCTGGTTTATCCAAACAATACTGCTCAAGAAAATGCGTTAGAGCGGGTATTATCTGTACGAGATTGCTTGGTTCTTCTTGAATGTATTCATCCAGGGCATTGAGGTCCTCCAAGGGAGGATGTACTGTTGAGTGATGTGGAGATAGGAAGTCGCTAATGGAAGTAAGCCGTGGTAAACTCTCCGTTCGTGGTTGCGGGCTCAGAAGAAGCTTTTCTTGAAGCTTCAGAGTACCACGACGCATACCACTAGGACTGGATGATAGTGGGCTATCGAGGGGATAATAAGGGTCGGCTGTTTTCGACATGTCTGCTCCCTTTGTGAGCTGTTTTGTTCGTTTTCGTTTTGAGTCTGGGTGCAGCTAGATAGTTATTGTGAGCGCTTATAATATTGGGGCACTCCCATAAAATCTGTGGTGATGGTACTTTAATGTAGACTCTTTCGCCCGTACGTCCCCGTTCAATTGGGTCTAGTGGAAAACGTAAATGTGGAGATTGTCGCGGTTGCTTCAAACGCGCTGTGGTGCGTAATCGCCAGCCACGTGCGAGGGCAAACGGAACTTGATCGTCTTGCTTTCTATCAAAGGTTTTTTTTTATTCGTTGTTCATTGCGCAGAGTGTTTGAATTCCATCGTTTGCAAAGTGCACGGCATACGGACTGATGAAAAGCCAAGACTTACTCCTGGTAAATATGGATCTGTCAGAACTTGTTTAGGGCCAGCTCAAGCGCTCAAACTCTTGAGCGCAATGAACAAAGTAAGTTTATCCTCCCCAACTTTTAGACGTAAACCTTTGAGTTCAGCGCTGGCGAACATGCATCGTTGACCTATATCGCAAGGCTGCCTGCGATATGCTGCTGGCAGTTGTTGAAACCCCATCGAATGAATATAAACAAATGACAATGCATTCCAATGCGAATCACGTGATGGTGGCAGAGCGATGACAAAGAGGGGGAGGAAAGCAGCCACGAAGGAAAAGTCCATTCTAGCGAAATACTCATCACTCGCCTGTGACTTGGAAACGAAAGCACCCAACAGAAAAAAGTCCTTTGCGTCAAAGCAAACCCCGCTAAGGGAACGCACACCCAACGTCCTCTCCCAGCAACATCCGCTACGCCCTCGGACAACGTTTGACGACTGTCATGAAGACTCCAGCAGCCCCGTTCGTATACATTAACAACGCCCCCTACCCTCTCAACCCAAAGACCAACAGACCTCATGTTGGTCCCAACGTCTACATCCTGAACGAAAAAGGAACGCCAACACTAGGCCCTCTCAAACATGGCGAACGCTATAAAATGGTGGGCATGTGGGAGATTGGAAACGTGGATGAGAATAGCAAACTTGCCATGAAGGCTGAGAGGGAGAGGTGGTTTCAAAAAGAGTTTGGAAAGTCGGCGGATATGAAGAGCGCCGGAAATTTTAGTTCTTGTTTATGGCTTGGTATGGGAACTAGCTGAATTGTATTTGTTATAGTCTGTAGTCGCCTCTGTACATAATCTTTTAAATACCCATCTTGACATCTACACTGACATTTTCATCTCAATCTTGCCGTATGGTTCGTATCCGACCAGTTCCAGCCGTTCCCACTCAAATTCTTCCAACTCCTTCACCATCTCATTGACAGTTGTCGCTTTGCTCTCACCACCCTTGATATAGATCCTGGGAAACGGCCTGGGCTCCCGCTCCAATTGCACCTTGAGCGCATCAATATGATCCTTGTATACATGCGCATCACCCAGACAATGAATGAACTCGCCTGGTACCAAATTAGTGACGTGGGCAATGAGAATGGTGAGGAGGGCGTAACTGGCAATGTTGAAGGGAACGCCAAGACCCATATCGCATGACCGTTGATAAAGTTGGCAAGAGAGCGTGGCTGGTTGAGTTGGAGTGGGTGTAGAGACATAGAATTGGCAAAACATGTGGCATGGCGGAAGAGCCATTTTCGAGAGGTCTGGATTTTTGCATCATTGACAAAGCGATCAGATGCGGAAGCGTATCCATACTTTCAACGATTGATAAGATTTCTCACCTGCCGGATTCCAAGCGCTCATAATAATCCTTCGATCTGCGGGATTCTCCTTGATGAGTCGTATTACTTCTCTCAGCTGATCCACCCCTTTTCCTTTGTAATCCTCATCGGCGTTGACGTATTCAGCTCCGAAATGTCTCCACTGAAACCCATAAACAGGACCCAAATCACCAACACGCCTATCGACTAAACCTATTCTGTCTAACGCCTCCCTAGACCCATTTCCGTCCCAAATCTTGACTCCCTTTTTGGACAGTATGGTCGAGTCCGTCTGACCTCGAATAAAGAACATTAATTCTTCGAAAACAATCCGAAGAGGTACGCGTTTCGTGGTGAGCAAGGGAAAACTGTTTTCAGCAAGTGAGAATCGCAGTTGGGGTGGTGCAAACAGTGAGAGCGTGCCAGTTCCTGTGCGATCTGCGCGAGGATAGCCCTGTTGTAGAATGGTACGGATAAGGGAAAGGTACTGGTGTTCTGGGTGGACGCCGGGCCCCGGGAGATAAGGAGAAGAAAACGCAGATGTTGTTGAGCTACTCATATCTCCTTTCGTATCTGAATTATCAGGACTGCCAGCGAGCATGATGAGCCAGGTGCACGATCGTCGTTGAGCGTTGACTTGCCCATCAACTCCGACCTTTGTCCGAAATCTGGTTACCGTAAACCAGGGACTGCGGTGTGGAAGGACTCCTTCCGAAGGAGTTCAGGGTTTGGATATCACCGTTTTTGGTCAGCCGTGCTTAGCTCACATAAACCATACGGTCTTCCTTTGCCATTCAACATGAATTCTGAAGCGCTGAATTACAGTATTTTTAACATGATCTTTGGGATATCAAAAACGGTAAAGATCTTGGTGGATCTCTGCAATATATCGTTGAAAAAAGATGATATGTTTACTTTGCTTGGGCTCAACTTCCAAGAACGCATCACGTGCTTGCATTGGTGAAATGAGTCATCGATTACCATACCAACGAGTTCGGTCAAGCTACTGTTGATCTTGCTGGAGGGAACATTGTCATTCAGGAACTGCAACAAATGTCTCTCCGGGAGGCCTATACAACCCTCTTCTTGTCCATCCTTGACAAGGACGGGGAAATCAAGGACACAGCTGACTTGAAGCATGAGGGGAAATCTGTTGATCAGGAAACCGTTATCGGTGTGCTGAAGAGTTTGGAGAGTCGCGAGGTAGGCAAAACAAAACCTTTGCATTTGTCTAGAATTGCATATTGACACAATAGTACATAGGTCATCAAATACGAGACCATTTCTCGCGAACAACTAGTGCTTACAGAAGAGGGAGCGGACATTGCTGACAATGGAAGTTACGAAGCCCGAGTCTTTTATGCTGTGCCAGAAGGAGAAGAGAACGGAATCTCTGTAGCCGATTTGAAAAGTAAACTTGGGCAAGCTGCCCAGTTTGGACAGGGGCGGGCTATAAAGAACAAGTGGATCAAAAAGAGTGCCAATGGTGGCTTTACGAGAGCGGTGGGTTTTAACTACTGCGATGGAGTTGTAAGAGAACGGTTGCTGATCTACACAATGTTTTCATAGGTCGAGTCCATTGTGGATGAATCGCAGAATCTTTTGCGAGACATCAGGGAAAAGGGGGCATATCATGATGAGAAAGTGGTAAAGGATCTAAAAAAGCAAAAACACATCTCAGCATCGTGAGTTTGTCGTAATGCTCCTATTTATGCGTGAGGGGAGTGGAATACTTGATATATGACGAATCTGATTTTAGAAAGGTTACCTCTTACCGGGTGGTCAAGGGAGACAAGTTTACTACCCAGATTGTCAAGGAAGAGACGGATATTACAGAGGAAATGCTGAAGAGGTATAGTATCCAAAGCTTTTATTTTCTTCGTAAAAATGTGCAATTGCTAATGTTAGCGGCTTAAGTGGGGAATGGAAAACAGCTACTTTCAAAAAATACAACTTCAACGCAGCAGGTGTGCAACCCCGATCAGGAGCGCTGCACCCGCTCATGAAAGTTCGGGAAGAATACCGCCAAATTTTCCTGGAACTCGGTTTCTCTGAGATGCCTACTGCCCAATACGTTGAATCATCCTTCTGGAACTTTGATGCTCTCTTCCAACCCCAGCAACATCCCGCGCGTGATGCTCACGACACCTTCTTTCTTTCCGACCCTGCGACGAGCGACCGGATGCCCATGGACTACGTGGAGCGTGTAAAGCAAGTTCACTCTGTTGGTGGATATGGATCGATTGGTTACGGCTACGATTGGAAGATTGCTGAAGCTGAGAAACTTGTTTTGAGAACACATACGACAGCAGTTTCTTCAAACATGCTCTACAAGCTCGCAAAAGAGTTTCAAGAGACGGGAGAGTGGAAGCCTGTCAAGTGGTTCTCTATCGACAAGGTGTTCCGGAACGAGACTCTTGATGCTACCCACTTGGCAGAATTTCATCAAATTGAGGGTGTCGTTGCAGATCGGGGATTGACGCTGGGAGATTTGATTGGCACATTGCACGGTTTCTTCAAGAAACTTGGTAAGATTCGTTTTACTTGCCTGTTGATAATAATCCCTCGCAAACCAACTGTTTGCCGATAGGAATTCAAAAGCTCCGCTTCAAGCCTGCCTACAACCCCTACACCGAGCCTAGTATGGAAATTTTTGCTTGGCATGATGGACTCAACAAGTGGGTCGAAATTGGAAACAGTGGCATGTTCCGACCCGAGATGCTTTTGCCCATGGGTCTTCCCGAGGATGTTGCGGTGATTGCATGGGGACTGTCAACGGAAAGACCTACCATGATCAAGTACGGATATAACAACATCCGGGATTTGGTGGGACACAAATGCCGTTTAGATATGGTGAATCGGAATCCGATTGCGAGGTGAGTACGATTGTCCTGTCAAGTCTGTCGTGCACAATGATTGAGTATCTCTTGTTGGCTTTTTTGATAGGGTTGATAAATGATTTAATATAGTGTAGAGGGGCATACTCAAAGATTTGATAGAGAGCCATCTGTACAAAATCAAAAACTCTCCTGTCATAAACTACATATAACCACTACCAAACTCCCACATCTCGACATAATTGTATAACCTCCTCAAACACCTGTCTGTCTACTTGTTCAACATCAACATCCTCATCCCTTCGTGACTTTTTCAGAGCAAGACCAAGCAACAATGGCCTGGTATCATTGGGTCGGGTTGCGTGAATTTGGGAAAGAATGTGGGTTGCGTACACATGCGAAAGAGGATCCTGTGGAGGGCCTAGGAGAGCTTTGGTGCTTATAGTTGGGTTAGGCGTTGGATGTGGAGTAACGTCGAGTGTCGCTTCGAGCTAAATGATATGCAAGTAGGTGTTGGCAAGGCGCTGGTGGAGACGACAAGAGAAGTAAGACGTACCAAAGAGCCGATTTTGCCGTACTCTGAGATTGTTACAAAGTGTCGGTTTGCAAATTCCGTGTACAGAATTTGGAGGTTGGAGGTTGTAGACTTTTTATGGGCAGTTTTTATAGGGAAAGTGTTTGAGACGTCGGGCGAATCGCCCAATGCTGGGACTGTCATGGTTCGTTTACAGCGATGATCTCTGCACAAGTTTGCTGGCCGACGAGTCACGGGCATAGCCGTCTAGCTGCTTACATCAGCAATTACATAAGTTCGTCGATCATGGATTTTTGCCACGCGCGTGGGCTCTCCAGGGATGCGAATATAAAAGATATGACATGAACGATAATTGTTCATATTTCCGAAAAAGGATAAAGAGCATTGGAGTTTTCCCACACACAAGAGATGCTTTTGAGACTGTCGCCATCTCGTTCACGGCGTTTTTGCTACGACAAATGAATTGGTGGTTAGTCGAAGGAATTCTTTTCTTCATACGGGCCATCGTAGGAACTGCACTCGGCGGATGGTTCATCGCCATGACGTCTGGGAAGTGCTGCGAGACTGGGCTGCCTTTGATGTTTGGATGTCCCTCGAGACTCATCCAAACTGTCTTGCTACCTCCCTTTGTCCGAATGGTGGTTGTCAGATTTCTTTGTTCACACGGGCCATCGTGCGGACTATACTCGCTTGATCTTCCATTGCCATAATGCTTGGGGAAATGCTTTCAGGCCCCTCTGCCTTTGATTGTCGGATCTCCCTTGAGACCTCATCCAAACAGTCTTGCTACCTCCCTTTGTCCGAATGGTGGTTGTCAGAATTCTTGCTTCTCACGGGCCACCGGACGCTAATCGGTTGATTGTCCATCGCCATGACGCCTGGGGAATGCTTTCAAGCTCCGTTGCCTTTGACTGTCAGATTATCCTCCAGACACATCCAAACTGTCTTCCTACCTCCATTATCCGAATGTTCCCACGCGCAATACGTCCTCGTAGGATATCGACGAGGACAAAAGTCGCGACGACACTAACTTGGGCGCGCGCAACTCTACCCACAGATGCAACTCGTTCATACTGCTTCCAACAAGACGCTGTAAAATACACTTTATGACGGGGCCAAGCGCATTTTCACAGACCAAGACTACGATCATATTTCAGAAAATACAACCAGCTTTCCTACAATACTAGCTCTACTGCTTATACACGTACAATCCGTCTTCTTGCTAACGTCCTACACAAACTCCTTCCCTTCCACGTCCCCCAACGCGTTATCACCCACTAAAACAAAACCCTTCAACTACTACCGAGGATATGGAAATTGAATTATTAAGAAGACGCATACGGTGCTCACCCACCCCAAACCACACTAGCGACAAGAGCCCAAGCGGCAGCCCAAAAGCAGACTCAAAGAGCGCTAACAGGCCTTCTCGTTGAGTCCACGTGACATACACACTGCGAAATCGTCGCGTCTTTGGCAAGTAGGTGGTTGGGGAGAGCGTAGGAAGGTAGACACAAGACCGTGTTATGCGTGTAGGCGTGCTGAAAAACGGCGTTTTTTTTGGCTGTTGCTGTTGCTTGTCAGGGTTGCAGCGTTTCCAGCTTCCTGACACCGGTTTGGGTGTTTTTGCACAGAGAACAGGTCGAGGTTTTGTGGTTGGGTGGGCGTGGGAAAATCGGGTTGAGGTGTGCTTTTTGTGAGCAAGAGTGTCGCTTTCGCTGTTTTTCTGTCGTTGTTGGTTGTCTTGGTCGTCGTCGTCGTCGTCGTCGTCCTTGAAAGAGTCCAAAGACATGACTACTCAATGCTGGCCACTCGTTTTTTTGCGGGGGGAATTTCGTACCCCGTCTCTCCCCATCTTTTTCAGCCCAATATCCATTCTATCGATGAGATTTCACTGCAGCCAATGATTTTCGCCCGATATCCCCCTTGGGCCCTTGGTTCTGTCGTCGTCAGCCATTGCACGCATTTCCTTTTTTGGCAGGCGGATAGGTAGTGTAATCAGATACACGTCGCGTTCGGACGCGACCGTTCCAAGTTGCTTTAACGCCGTTTTCCGTACAGTTTTGACTAGGAAACCCATCCTCGCAAGTAAGAGAATGATAGAACCGACGACGGCGGTTCGAAAGAGTGTGGGGTCATCTTAGTGGATTTCGCCTGTAGGACTCGGAAAATCCGTGTAAAGTCTCGCGTTGCGGTCGTGCTGCGCGCAACTGAAAGCGCGCCCTTCGTGGCCAGGGGAAGTCTTCGGCGTCGTTTATTGCACGTACATGACCTGGCCCGTGACGTGCTCTTTTTTCTTTTCAGAACGTGCCACGGAAAAAAAAAATGGGGCGCTCTCGTCTATAAAAAGGGCCCTCTCTCGCATCTCCCCCAACCTCTTCGTGCACTGGTTTCCAGTATTGGAGTATTTTCAGTAAGGTCTCGACTGAGCTGAAGTTTCCTCTAGTTATGTGTGTGGTGGTTCTTCCCCTTCCTTTTTCACGGCGTCCGGGCCCTGCGACCACATTAGATGGTCCCTCCGCTACGGTAGACGTGGGGAACGTTGGGGGAGGGCAGGTGGATAAGTGGAAACACCATGTCCTTCCTGTCCTCGCACTTTACTTTGGCACCAGCGCTCCCAGCGTGACAACCAGATGTCGAGTGTATGCCTTCCTGTCTTCCTTCCTTTCTTCCTTTGTTCTTTTCGAGGTTCTTACTAGTCTTTTATCATTTGCGGGTGTTCGAGAGGTTGACCGGGACTGATCACTGCGAGTGGTGGCGGCAGTGACACGGCTTCGGCCGTCCTTCGGGAGGACCCGGCCGAGATGAAGGGACGCTACGTAGGGTCACGAACGAAGTGAGTATTGTTGTCGTCTTTTCCTTTTCTATTCGAATCTGATCATCTTTTCTATCATCGAGGGTTCTCAAAACCCCCCGGCCCGATAGATGAAGTAAGTATACGCATCATCTTCTTTGGTCTGCATCCGAGTTCTAACTTCAATCACACTCTCTCACTCCACAAGTGCGAAGCGACCACGGCGACCTCGGCCTTTCCTTTTTCATCATCGACCATCGGCACCTCGACCTTCATCATCATCGACCATCGGCATCTCGACGTTCACTTCAATCATCATCATCATCGACCATCGGCAACTCGACCTCGACTCTCCACCGCGACCGGCATGTTGGTCCACGTCGTCAAAGAAGTGAAACGGCCCGTAGGTTCCACGACACGGCCCGGCCTGTTGGTCCATGTCGTCAAGCAAGTTGAGAAAAGGACTCGGCTAGTTGGTCCGCGCCGTCAAAGAAGAACTGAAATGGCTCGGTTGGCCGCGTTACGGCTCGGCGCGGGTGGCCTGGTAATGCGTGTCGTCAAAGAAGTAAAGTGCAGGGTGGCTCCAGGCTGAGGTGAGTTGGCGAGCATTCGACTTTTGCTTCTACTCTTCCCATGCTTCACCCTCTTTGCCTTTCAGTCCTCGATCACGATCTCTCACTCCACACAAGTGCGAAGCGGCCACGGCGACTTCGACGTTCACTCCACAGAAGCAGGGGACGCAACGTAGAGTCACGAACAAAGTGAGTACCGTTGTCGTTTTGTTCCTTCTCTATTCGAGTCTAATCATGTTTTCTCATAAAGACCCCCGACCCCGGCCATTAGAGAGGCTGCTGACGAGCCGACTCGTACCGAGCCCAACGCGCTAGGCGGAGGCGCTGAAGGGTTGCGGATAAAGTAAGTATATGCATCATCTTCTTTGGTCTGCATCCGAGTTCTAACTTCAATCACACTCTCTCACTCCACAAGTGCGAAGCGACCACGGCGACCTCGACCTCACGAGTGCGAAGCGAAGACCCGAGCACACTAGAGAGGCTGCTGACGAGCCGACTCGTACCGAGCCCAACGCGCTAGGCGGAGGCGCTGAAGGGTTGCGGATGAAGTAAGTATATGCATCGTCTTCTTTGGTCTGCATCCGAGTTCTAACTTCAATCAAACTCTCTCAGTCCACAAGTGCGAAGCGACCACGGCGACCTCGACCTCACGAGTGCGAAGCGAAGACCCGAGCACACTAGAGAGGCTGCTGACGAGCCGACTCGTACCGAGCCCAACGCGCTAGGCGGAGGCGCTGAAGGGTTGCGGATGAAGTAAGTATATGCATCGTCTTCTTTGGTCTGCATCCGAGTTCTAACTTCAATCAAACTCTCTCAGTCCACAAGTGCGAAGCGACCACGGCGACCTCGGCCTTTCCTTTTTCATCATCGACCAGTTCGGCTCCTCGACCTTCTTCACCATCAACCTACCTTGGGCTCCTCGACGTCCGCTTCCACCGACCGGCGTTGGTCCATGTCGTCAAAGAAGTAAAAGGCTCGTAGGAACGCGTTATGGCCCGTGGTTCCCGACGTTACTGCCCGGCGGATGGCCCGTCGTCAAACAAGTCAACAGCCCGGCGCGGTGGGCCTGGTAATGCGTGTCGTCAAACAAGTAAAGTGCAGGGTGGCACCAGGCTAGCCTGAGGCGAGTTGGCGAGCATTCGACGTTTGCTTCTACTCTTCCCATGCTTCACCCTCTTTGCCTTTCAGGCATCGATCACAGCCTTTCATGAACTCCACAAGTGCGAAGCGGCCACGGCGATCTCGGCGATCTCGACCTTACAAGTGCGAAGCGAACCCCCGGCTCACTAGAGAGGCTGCTGACGACCGGCGTCGGACGTCGGCTCGTACCGAGCCCAACGCGCTAGGCGGAGGCGCTGGAGGTTGGCGGATGAAGTAAGTCCTATATGCATCATCTTCTTTGGTCTGCAACCGAGTCTAACATTTTTCTCTTTCTCTTCCTTCCCCGCCTTTGCCTCTCGTTCTCCTCGCCCATTGCCATCGTCATCGTTCGACTTTTACATCTACCCTTCCGGTGCTTCACCCTCTTCGCCTTTCAAGTGCAACGCGACCACGGCGATCTCGACTTCATCATCATCGACCATCGGCACCTCGACGTCCCACTTCATCATGATCCACCACGATTTATGTATCACCAAGACGAGCATCAAGTCCCTCCGCGAATATCAAGTTCCCACGCAAGCGTCAAGTCGCTTCAGTCATGTCAGGAAAGTATCTGCCGTCATGTTGTTACCCGTCGCTGTATACCTGTACTGACGTGAAATATCTCCCATTCGGTCACGTCTAGCAGCCGTGAAAAGCTCTCGGCTGGTAGTAGCTGCCGTTAGCTCTCGGGGACCGTCAAACCTCGTTACCTTCGGGAAACTGGCCGACGGGGGACGGGTAGGGTTCGCAGCGTCGTTAAAGAAAAGTCGGGCACGTCTAGGTAGCCGTGAAAAGCTCTCGGCTAGTAGTAGCTGCCGTTAGCTCTCGGGGACGTCATTCCTCGTTACCTTCGGGGAACTGGCCGACGGGGGTGGAAAGGTTGGACCGTCGTTAAAGAAGTGTCGGACAAAGAGCATCGGGATAAGCTCTACGGTATGTATCCAAGTTGGTTGCCTTCGCCTTGCATTACACCTTCCTTACCCTTCGTTATGCCTTCTTTATGCCTTGACCGATCAACGCTGCTACGACATTATCGCCTCACTCATCCACCAACTTGGGACTTTGCCGGTTACCACTTGACTGCCGCCACGATAAGCATCAAGTCGCACTTCACTTTATCGCACCTTGAACGTCTGGCAGCCTTCCACAAGTCGCAAGCTTCTTCAGGCTTTTCGCTCCACCGCAAGTATCAAGTCGCACTACGTTCTCCACACGGACAAGTACCACCGCCCACCTACCACCGCATGCTTTCCCTCCGTCGCCGCTACAAGTGTCATGTCAACCTCAGTGTCAAGTTCGCTTAGGCGTTTTCGCTGACCGCTCCTGGTCGCTTGGAAGCATCCGGCACGTTAGGCGGTGGACGGATAGACTCCAGTCTTTAGTGCAGGCTGTCCTCGCCTTTTCTCTTGTATTATCCCGATATTTCATGTACTTTATAATGGCGTATAAAAATAGATGTGTGATTCCTGCGCTTTGTCGTTTTCAGTCTTTTGGCCGCACTTTGCGACGTGTTTAGCGTACCACTTAATTGGGCGCGTGTTACGCGGGGCTTACCTACGCTGATTGCAAGCCCCAAGTCAGCAGGCAGCATGCAGTGGTTTTTATTTCTTTTGGGATGTAAACTCCCGCTAGTCTTTGCGTCCTTATCAACTTCCAACAGCGTTGTTTCAATCGAGTGAATGTATTGAGGTTCATGTTTAGCAACTCTGCGCAACAAGGCTATGGGCATGTATCATGAGTTTGAGATACATGAACGGTTGTGTGGGTCGTTCACTGTTTGCAGAGTGTGGCGTGCACATGTTGTGAAAGAGGGAATAGTCAGAACGGAAAGGTTGAGTAAAGAGGGTGCGAAGAGCATGGCTTTGGCCTTCGTATGTGCAATTTGTAAAAGATGTCATGCACAGATCGATTGGACGATAGCAGTGGATATGAACAATTGGATTTGGTGATTACATGAATACGGAGCAGAAGACTATCTTAAATATCCAGCCAATGCGTTTGCTACAAAGCTCGAATCTTCCCTATGTGTATCCAAAGTGTCGCTGCAGAGGTTTCAATGCAACAAAGCAACCCGTCTATGGAAAATCTAAAAATACCTAATCCCCGCTACGCCGATCAGGCACCTTGGCCCGACTCTGTCGCAACTGCATTGTGACATTCATACAATGCCCGCAGCGCATTCACACATGTTGACGGTTCAGAAGGATTATCTTCCAGACATTTCTGATAGGTTTTTATCTGGTCTGCACAGCGGCGTTTGACTTGACGGAGCGATTCCACGCTTAAGGAATACGTGGGAATTTAGTTAAGAAGCAGAATAAGAACCATCCGGCAAGACGCAGTGCATCTTAGGACATACTTTTCTTCCGCGCACTTTGTCACCGCATTCTTTTCCTTTGCGCACACTGTTTCCCAATTTGTTGGGTTCTTCTCAACGCACTGGCTGGGGGACTGTGAGTACTATACAAAAGTCCACCACTGTCAAATGAGGTTCAACATACGTGTAAAACATTAGTTGCACATGGCAGTGCTTTGCAACCTCCTCCAAAGCTGACTCCATTGCCGTCCCAACAGAAATGAATGCATACGCTGCGACATGACCTCCAGCTGCAAAATCGAGGGTTTCTCTGGTGAATGAGTCATAGTGTGGTTCGAATGATGAAATTCGACCCCCAAAACTCCGCGTTCAGACGACGCGTCGAGTGCTTTTGGAGTGAGTGTCCTGCTGCGAATTGCTGCTTGCGGCGAACGTTGTCTGTCGGTTTGGTAGGTAGATAAGGAGCACGATAGCAGCCCTTCTACAAGCACATTGAGCTGCAGCCTTTGGCCCCTTTTACAGTATTCGCTACCCTTCTCCATCGTCTCGGTTGTCAGGGCGTAACTACCAGCTTAAAACGGAGTCAGACACGAATTGCAAATTCAACGACCTCGAGGGCACTCTTTCTTTAAAGTATGGCGACACCGGTGCGGAGCCATTCACCGACCAGAAACTTGGGCAGTGCGTTTGAGCTTTCAAAGGGGGGAGATCGCGGTGGGGGTGCAAAGAGTTTGGGCGTGAGACCCGGTGCGGACGTTGAGCTGGAGAAGCAGGTGAGGACCCCAGGCAGGAAAAGGCTTTTCCATATTTGTACCGGAAAGACTTTTTGATGAGATACTTTTTGTTGTGCATCCAAGTGTATTGATTGTGGCCTTTTAGCTCAAAACCGGTCTGGACTTGATACAAGATGCATTTGATCGTCGCACCAGCGGGTTGTCCAATGAAGTGGCAAGATGGAAAGAGCTTGCATCAAATCAACGACAACAGGTAACCCGTGAAGTATTTCTATCACAGTTGTTCCCTCTCCTCAATTTGCAAACAGATAATGTCCCTTGAAGCCGAGATCTCCCAGCTTAACCGTCGTGTATCAGATTTGGAGCGAACGGTGGCAGCTCAACAAACAGAGAAAAAGTCTTTGCTGGCTTCGAAAAATGTGTTGCTGGATCGGTACACGACGTTGAAGAAAAATGCCGCACAACTAGAGTCATTTAGAAAGGTGTGTCATAGACGCATTTCGGTACCAGTTTCTGTGGAGAATGCGATACTAAGTGTTTTTTATGCAGTCCATTGTGAGTATGGTCGAATATGGACCTGCCACTAACGGAATCAATGATTTGGACCGATCATTTGTGGATAATCCTTCTACTGAGGATTCTCATATGGGCAACAATGTTACCGCGGGTTCTAGTGGAATGGGAGGTTTTTTGCCAAATTTACCGGAGGATGTGATCAAGGAGGCGGCCCTTGAGTTGCATGACTCTGAGACGGGTACCTCATTCCTCGACGATAAAACGATGAGATCCTTTGATTTGGTATGTGACGCAAGTCTTTACGTTTGACTGCAGTTGTACCTAGAGTAATGCTTTTTGATCCACAGCAGGGTAATCAATCGTTAGATTTTTCAATGTCCAGCAATCCCAATCAGTCTTTGCTATCACGCCTGCACGCCCAACCCCAAACCGCAAGACGACCTGGATCTGGCCAGTCGCAGCAATCTTCTCGTGTCCAGCTGAATGATTGGCGAAATGTGGATACTCAGCGAAAAGCATTTGAAGACAGAAAATCCATGGACAAACTGCGGGTAAGTGGTATGCGGGAGGGCATGTGTTTTCGTCAATGTGCCTGACAAAAGCTGTCTTATATAGCTGAGTTTGCGGGATGATGCCACACCGACGCCAACGTCCGCAAGGCTAAAATTGCAAGGTAACGTTACATAGATGTGCTTGTTCAAAATTGGAACAGCGGATAATGTAGTGTAATTTATAGGATCCAATGAACTCAATTCCGAAAGCTCCCCAAATCTGAGCACCAACACCCTAGACAGCAATCGAGGAGGATTTAACGCCCCTCAGGGATCACAAACTCCAACTCCACAGCAATCGTCAAATCTCACCTCTGTCTTCCCAAATGCTAATACCGCTCCCGCGACAGCATCCATTGACGCGCCGATTCTATATAAACAAATTAGGGACAGCCTTACTCCATCTGAATTCGAAGACTTTGCAGCTAATGTGGCTCTATTTAATGCTGCCCAACAAACAGCTGATCAAACAGTGCGCAATATAGGCAAAATTGTGAAAGATCGTGGGCTATTTGTGCAGATGCGATCCTTGATTTATACGGCGTTGGAAGAAAGTGGGAAAGGACAAACAGTTAGTGGTGAGGCGACCGGAAAGGACGGTGAAATAAGTAGAAAGTAAAACGATTGTGCGTATTTTTCTGTGTAATTTAAAATTGAATTATAGCGTGGTATCCTCTTGTAACTTGGTTCATGCCCTTTCAAAAACGTATCACTACAGAGTGTTCTTCTGCTCACCACTACCCACCGCCCCGCCATTCATCCGCCTTGGCTTCCTGCAACATATTTCCTTGAACCAAAGCAACGATAGCATTCACCATGCCCGCTTTCAATGCCATGTCCGCCTGGAAATCCATTGGGTTCACTGGTAGAACGAGGACATCACAAACTTAAACCCGTCAAAATTCATCCGATACACGCGCGTGGATAAAAAATAAGGTTGGAAGAACGTTCTTCATATAATTAAGGTTGTGGCACAGTCATACAAAGGCTTATCACGAAAGTTACATGCTCAACGTTCCTTGTTGGCAAGAGCTTTCTTCATCGGCTGCATGCCCCCCGCCTTCCTTCCGTCATATTCCGTTGCTACCTGATTATAGAAAGTACGATAGATTTGAACGATTGTTCCTTTATGCGGGTCATTTCTTTTTAGACACTGGTGACCGAACAACGAGAACCATCCGGCCTTTTTTTGTTTCCCCATTTCGCCCTTGTAACATTGTCCGCATGTTATGGCCGAGCACCAACTCCACTGGTTCACTGCAGGGACAAACGACGTTCATGCAGTATCGGCTCTTATTGGCGGGTTTATTTTGATATTTGGCAAGTAATGATAATGTCGTCATAGAAGTTGTGAAATTCTTTGGTTTTCCACAACGTTCATTGTATGTGCCAGGACGCTAACAGTTTTGCGTCCTTGTAGGCTTCGTCTCCCTTATTGTAAAGGAGCGACTGTATCTATCCGAATCGCTTGTTGCAACAATCGTGGGAATCATCATTGGTTTGTGGGACGGATATCTTTTCGGCGCTGGAAGCGGTCAACTTACTTGCGCTCCTTCTTAGGCCCTGTGGGAATCAATTTACTGGATCCATACCTATGGGCGGGAGAGATCCAGAATATCACCCTGGCATTCACAGAGTTTGCCATAGCTATTCAGGTAATTTCAATGCAGCGTTCTAGGAGGTATATTGGTTTTTGCTCAATCTTTACTGACAGGTTATGACGGCTGCTGTTGGACTGCCAAGGTAAAGTGTGAAACAACTAATGTTAAAAAGGAGGATAGCTTACGTGGGATTGCATGTAAAAGGAAATTTTGGAAAACACAATGGCCGAGTCTTGCGGTACTTTACGGTCCGGTCATCATTTGGATGTGGCTGGTCGTCGCCCTGTTGATCTGGTTGATATTGAGAGTAGATTGGGTAAGATCCGTGATGATAAAAAGCCTTCCAAGTTGCCCTGCTTATGAGCGGTATATTTATTTTGGTAGACACATGCGATGATCCTCGCGGCGTGTACTGCGCCAACCGATCCGGTATGTATGTCGCCGTTACTTTGCTACATTCAGATTGGCCGTTCTAATATCGGAAATTTTGTCAGATTTTGGCCAATTCGATCGTTGCTGGTCGTTTCGCTGAAAAGTACATCTCTGTTCCCATACGCGAACTTTTGTCTGGAGAGAGGTATGTCACCTGTTTGCGTTGATTCATCGTGTACATGCAAAAATTTGACTCACTTCTCATAGTGCGGCGAATGACGGTGAGTGATACGACACGACCTGTATATTATACTGCGGCTTTTGGTTTAGCCCCTATAAGTCTAACGGAATAGTCGACTGCTAACAGGGCTGGCGCTCCCGTTTTTCAAGTTGGGAATCTTGCTATTGCAGTACCCTAGAGGGAAGGCGTGGGGAACTTGGTTTTACCGAGTTTGGCTGTAAGTATCTCTCGGCAGCACATTGGTGGATACATTGCTCAACATCTTTGTACAGATACGAAGTCGGAGTCGGTGTACTATTTGGTGCGGTGGTTGGATATCTCGCTAAAGCTGCGTTACGATTCTCCGAGAAGCGTAATTATATTGACAAACGAAGTTTCCTATCTGTTGAGATCGCTCTGGCTGTGAGTTTCCATAATTTAATATTCAGAGGGGCTTTTGCGGATATGGTCATTCTTCTTATTTTCTGTCTCTTCCTGCCGTAGACCTTTATACTTGGAATGTCGGCGATGTTTGATCTCGCCAGCTTCTTGGCGGTCTTTATGGCCGGTCTTGTATTTGCATGGGACGGATGGTTTACCGAGGAAACTGAGGAAGCGCATGTGCAAGAAGTTGTGGATAATCTAATTAATCTGACTTTCTTTATCTATTTTGGTACGTTGGTATTTATCCTTGCAAACACGTCGCAGAATTCCAACTTGTTGACACTGTTCTTCTTCGCAGGGACGATTATCCCCTGGGCGACATTCACTACTTTACTCTCCCTTCCGCGCTTGATTCTTCTTGCTATTACCCTCCTCGCCCTGCGCCGACTTCCAGTTGTTTTGGCCTTACATGTATTCATGCGACCCCCATTATATACCATCCGTGATGCTCTTCTGGTTGGACACTTTGGTCCCCTTGGCGTTGGGGCTGTGTGGTATATGGCGTATGCGCATAAACAGGGAGTTTTCACGGAGCAGCATGTTAGCGTGATCATGTTTCTCGTGTTTTGTTCGGTGGTTGTATATGGTATTACGGCACCGTTGATGCATGGGATGATCAGAACCTTGAGTGTTGTGAGGGTATACAGCGGAAGAACTTTGAGTGCTGGAGGGGATAGAGGTGTAGCAGCATGGCCTTCAGGGGTACGTGATGATTTCTGCTGTTTTAGCTTGTGAGCGCATGAATTCTGTGATTAACATTCCGCATTAGGTTCCAATGTCCGTGACAGCCATCTCAGGACCCATTATCCCACCCAGTGAACAGCTGGATGTCGCAGCACACCAAGGACCAAACGACAGCGCGAATACAATCACGACTACACCAGACGATTCGCCAGCACCACCCGGAATTCTCATTGTCAAACCTACTTCCACCACTACTTCATCCACACCTTCCACCCCAACTGCAGACAAATTCACCGGCCTGACACCCAATGGAAATGGTATTCACATCCCACCACCCTCTGATCCAGCCATTGTCATACACGAGACCATTCATATCGATACTCCGGCGTCGTCGCGACCATCTACACCGGGTCCCAGGCAAGGTGAACTGGGAATACCTCCGGGTGCACCCCAAGACTTGCGAATTGCATCGGACGATGAGGGAGCTGAATTGGATGAGAGCGGACATTTAGTTGACGTGGGAGTCAGATTCAGAAGATTTGACACGCGGTAGTGCCTTTAAAGAACGTTGGCGAGGACACATCTGGACTCTTGCGATCATCTGTAATTTATCTTATTATTATGCTTCTATTCTTTTCTTTTCACAACTCTTGAACCATGTTTTTGTGTGAACCATTCCCCTGACATTTCGGCCAGAGATGTGCAGCACAATAGAGTGTGATAAAATCTCATTAATATTACAACAAAAGAAAAAAACGAGAGAGAGGGTAAACCAAAAACTATATACTTATGAAAATGAGAAACCTACTGCATCAACACCACATTATTTTTCCCAAACGCCCCTAAAAACGCGTACAAAAGCCTCGCCTCCCATCCCATCTACCAAGTTCACCAAAGAGCTTCGCATCCTCTTTCGAACTTTTCCTAGACATTTTTCCAATTCCACATCCCCGTCATTACCAACTGCCAAACCTTCCACAACCCATCGCAGAGCCAAAAACTCTCCAACATGATCCAAATAGCTTCTTTTGGTCCCTTCTGATTGGTCAAGGAGTGTCAAAAGCGCTTTAGAGAACTTCTTCATGTCGCCTTTTGTGCAGGCGGTCAGGTAGAGCATTATGGCGAGTGCAATCACCGGGGGAGTTGATTGCAAAAGTTGCGGTGGAATACGTTTGTTGTGTGCCAGGCAGTGGAGACTTAACGTGGTTGGAGACGTGTACAAGATCGGGGGTGCTGGAGAACTTTTGGTTGGAGAAGGCAAGAGCTGGTGGATACACCCGGGTAAGGCAGATGTAAGAACAGATGCATAAAATTGCTGGTATGTTGTCCATGAACCGTTGAACGAGCTCAAAAGGACTTCATTAGGAATTTGCGTGAGCCATGCTAGCCGGGGGACCGGTGTCTGATGCAGAGATTTCACGCCTTTGGTGAACAGATTCTCGGATGCACGACTGAGGAAGGGTATACGGAGTGTTCGTGAGGCGATGCGAAGCTGAAGACTGCTGAGCACCTGTAGTGCTGCGATCTGTTGCGGAGAATGGTGATGGGCTTTGGCGCGTTTCGTAAGATTCCAGGCCTGTAGTGTTATGTAAAGTTTCAGAAGCGGGCTCGTATTGGGGTTGGCTGGTTGAAAAACAGGAGTAATGTCGATGAGATTATGCCATGCTTGAAAAAATATTTAAAATAAACTTACATCCGGCAAGGTCGGTCTCCAGCACCTTTGCAGCAATCTTTGCAGCACCTGCCCAGTATCGACCCTCTTCGCCTTCTTTAGATCCCCACAACATCCCATACCCAGCATATCTCAGAGCTTCCAGTATCACACGGCCCCACAGACCCAAGCCATTTCCACTTGGGATTTCTTTGCCAACCAAACCACCCAAAAGCCCCGCGACCTCTCCATATGACACCTTCCGCTCGTCTTCCACAATTCTCACGGCCTCCGCAGCCGCGGACGCTACAGACGCATCCACACCCTTGCGTCGCTTGGGTCCAACATTCGTTACGACTTGCGTCATACACACGACAAGGAATACGAATTTGATGATGGCCCAGAGATTCAGCCACCATTCTCCGCCGGAAAGAGCCAGGGGGTGGCCGATGACTTTGCCCTGTGTATGCGAGTGATGTCCACCTTCGAAGGGGCTTGGAGCCCAGAGGACACAGGCACACATCATCATCATTGCCATCATTCGCATACCTTGCCCATTGTCCATGGGTAAGTCTGGAGAAGACGGCGGCGGTGACGGCGACCCGGAGGATGCAGAAGACTCTGAAGAGTGAGGAACAACTTCCTCCGTTGCCTGCCCAGTTTGATGGTCGATGTGAGATTTTGCCTGCTGCTGCAGTTGCTGAGCATGAGACTCGAGAGATATCTTTCGTAACAACTCGCTTCCACCCATAGACTCAATGATTGATCGTAACCGGTGATTTTCCTCCATGTAGCGCTGATTCGAAGCCTTCAAGTGCAGGATGTACTCTGTAGACTTTCTCAAGATTGTTGCCTTATTCAACTTCTTGGCGGCGGAAACGCCGTCAATAATTTCTTCCTCTCCATCACTGGAGGACGAATCGCTATCCATCGCTTCACCATTTACACGTCGTTTGCTGCCCTTGGCATCGCGAACCTTTGGCCCATTAAGCGCCGGTACCACCAGACGGAGCTCAGTTATACGGTCATTGATGTTATTACGGTATCGACGCTCGATAGCATTATGTGCGACTTTGCGTTGGTGTTTAATCATCTGCGCTGCAATCTGTTGTGAACTTGGCCGAGGCTTGACAAGACGTGTGATCGGAACTTTCAGATCACCGTTTTGGCCGATGGGGGAAGTAGTGGATGGAGGGGATTGGGTGAAATCAGGAGTCTGCATATGAGTCACTAGATAGAACAAAGAGCGGTTTGGTATGAGTAAAGGGCAACATGCTACGGGAACTACAGCGAATATACGTACCAGGTGTGACAACATTTACTGCATTCTTGATGGGTCCGCCCTCCTGTGCAAGCGGAACGCCGGTAGGTGTTGGAGGTAAGCCAAAAGGATACACTTGAGCCACAGATCCGACCTGTGGCATAAGCGGATTCACTGCAGGAGCTGGCGCGCCCATGAAAACGGCGTTCGGGCCAGGAGGAAGTGACATTCCCACCTGAACACCCGGTGACAAAACGGTGGGTGAACCCAAACCTGGGCTCTGTGCTGAAGTGGAGACCGACGGGGACGTGTTTTCCTCAATAGGGCTGGAAGCTGTAGCAACTTCAATGGGAGAAACCGCTTCCGCAGCTGGGGCAGTTGCTGTTGTCGCAGTCATCAATTGTGCAGTGGTGGCTACCGATGTTTCAGGCATTTGGACAAGAGTTGTCGGCAAATTATGTTTTGAAACGCTTTTCGATCGACTCTTTCGCTTCGATTTCGTATCGCCCTCGCCATCCGTCTTTTTGCTGCTCTTTTTCTTCTTACTCTGCTGAACTGTTGTATCCACCTGTTGCTCGGGTACATCCCCAGCTGAAGAGTCCATGGATGCCTTACGTTTCGACTTTTTCGAAGAGCGAGAAGGCTTATCAGTAACAAATCCCAGCTCATCTGACATTGCTTGTATATCCGATTTAATGTGGTCTTCCGGCGTATCCAAAATTTGATTCGTGAGCAGCGTAAAGTCTTGCTCAATGTTCAATGTGTCGAGATACGAGAAATTGGCTGTAGCATTTGTCGCATCAGACGCAGGAACAGTTGTAAAGCTGCTCATAAAGGGATCCATTTCGTTCGTTGCAGGCAGAGAACCGTAGCCATAGGTGGACAAGGTGGAAGGGATAGATGTTGTAAGGAGCGAATGAGAGTTGGGTCCTAAAGGCATCAAGTCGGCTTGGGAGGCGAACGTCCAGTGAGGAGGCTGCGAAGGATAGCGCCCAGCTGCAGCTGCTGCAGCGGCGGCAGCAGCTGCGGCAATGTGATATTCAATAGCGTTTGTAGGCCCTTGAGAGGACACGGCGGGATTATGGGTAGGTTGAGCAGGTGGTGGCGGTGGGAGCGGCATTTGGTGCGTATTGTTTCTCGCTGCTGTAGCAGCCGCACGAGCCGCGGCAGCTGCAGCAGCACCTGCTTGGAATCCGGCTAAATAGGGATCCATTTCACCTGCATCCTGCTGCTGCTGTTGCTGGTTGTGCAAGCCAAAGGAGGGGGCTGGCGGATATGGGCTCACCATTGACTCCATGTCGGACGGTCAACTTGTACGGTACCGGGACGACGATGACGACGAATCTCTTTTCAAAATGTACGAAATATAACGCTCTCAGGAGGACAGGGGAGAAGGGAAATGGCTCGTTTTACGCTTTTTGTACAGCCAGTTGGTGTAGGCGTCTTGTGCTGTGAGCGACAACGGCGGCGAACTTTTTGGACACCAATCAGCCGTGGTGGGTCGCAAAGTGTGAAAAGTGGGGCCATCGTCGGCCTTTTGTCCGCCGTGAGTCACCTCATCTCATTTACCCATTTATGGATGTTATATTTCTATATATGGCTATATGGAATTGGTGAGTCGCATCAGGCCATCCAGTCGGAGTGTTCATTTTTTGGCGTACGTCAGCGGCGTTTTGAAAGGATTGAGGCTGCAAGAGACAAGACACAGCAAAGGGCTGTGGAGTGCCAAGATATTTTTCAGCACGGGATGCATTCCTGAGACAATGTTCATGAAGCAAAGGGTTAAGATGGGAACAGGCGAGTGAGCAGGTGCAGCATGCAACCATTCAGTTAGGTAAAACTCTAGCACAAGGTGTCCACACGGCCCATGCCAGTAAAAGAGCCTACGAACTTCGATTCACGGGCATCGTGTCAAGTCATTGAGGAAGAGTGCACTCATTGTCCTAGCCTATGCAATAGTTGAGTTTGCCATGTACGCAATGCAATGCACATACCACTCTGGTGGGCGACTCACTTGAGTATTACGCAATCCACACCATAGCATCACGTGTATGCAAGCCACATGCAAGCCACGCGAATGTTTCCGTCTCCATCGACGCCAAAAGGAACCAACTCATTTTGACTTGTGTTTGCAGAACAAGGCAATTTCCCCAATCCCCACAAACCAACAATGTCCGCCATCTCCCGCGTTGCTGTGCTTTCCACCAGGGCTATCTCCCTCTCTGCCCGCAAGGCTACCCCAGCTGTTTGCTTCTCAGTGGCATCCGCTGCCCGGCAAGGTATGGATTGAACTCTGGGTGTATGAGGACTTGGTTGGATTCTGCGCGTTTTAGACAGTTAGATTCTTGAAAATGTGAATAAGATTGTTATCAAATGGATAAGTTTTGGATGGCTGGGCTGGATAGTGGACTAGACGGTGTCGGGAAGCGCGGAATGTGTCGACGAACACCTGTTACACCATGGTCTTGTGTGATTCTCAAATCATCCTACTTCAAATCACAGCTACCCCCACCAAAGAGTCCGAGCCCGTGATCCCCGGTTTCCGTGAAGAAGGTCAGATCCCCACCAACTGGGAGTTGATGGCCGGTAACGAACGTTATGAATATATGCAGCGTCTTGCCGGAAAGGAGCCTTGGGAGGACCTCAAGCCCATCGTCATGTCCACTCGTGGAACAGTTGCGAACCCTACCATCATCAAGGGCTCTGACCCTGAGCGGTACATCGCCTGTACCGGTGTGTAGGCTGCGTTGTGCTCCCCCTTAATCCTTTGATCCAAGCTTACCCACATTTTGACTTAGGATTCCCCGCCGACTCCCACGAAGCCATCTGGTTGACCATCCGCGACCACGGTCGCAATGACCGCTGCCCACACTGTGGAAATGTCTTCAAGTACCAGCGCGAGCATGCCCACCACTAAATTATAGAAAATATTCCTCTAATTTACCGAGACAGTTCGCGAGATTGAGGGCAATATATGGACGATTTTATTTGAAAAAAATTTCATTGAGTTGATTTACGGTGGACCGTAATTGTTGCCGTTGCGCTTTCGCTATGCTGCTTTTGGTTCCATTTGGGGTGTCAAATTGTATGCATTGGAATATATATGAACTGGAGGAACCACCGTGGCGCAAGAACTAGGGATATTCATCGGTTGCCGAAGCATGCAAGGGAAGGGATCGAGTGGGAAGCAACCTTTGGCACAGTATCTAGTCTTGTACTAGATTAAATCACAATGAGCAGCTTGTTGGGTCCAGGAAATCCATCATTGGAAGGATGAGAGATGGCCAGTTGTGGGTAGGCGTCATGTTGGTACCGTCTAATTTCCAATGGGCCTTTGCGAACCAAGCCTGAGACAGTAAGTACTGGAGGTAGCTACTCGATTTTATATGATACCTCGAATCGACCTCGATTTCTCAAGATTCTTCCGTCATTTAAATGAGGATGGTCGTAACTATTGAAATAGGCAGCGATTCGCAAGCCGATATTTTCGACAGAGCACATTGAGATTTGTTAATGATAGCTTTTGCACTGACCATCTTCTCGTTCCCCACTGCTCATTGATCTCATCCATAGTCCTTCAATATTTTTGCTTTGCTTTCCATTGGAATGGGATTGAATGTACAGCCAACCCAATGGTTGCTGACGCATGTCCCCGACCGCCCAAACTTGCTTCGTTTCTGTTCTTTACCATTCACTGGTGCGCCCATCTCGTTTACTACGACCGCCTCACCATGCCTGCCGTACTCTTTCCATATCCGCGAACAAGTTTGATAAGCTTTGTGGCCTGCTTGCTTGCTTTCCTAGGCTTTAACGCCTTACAAGCAACCCTCCCGCTTAACTCGACGGCACTCGACACCCACTTTTACTTTACCCCTGATCAAGCTTACAAAACAATAACCTCCCATGGTGGAGCCGGGAGGAAAATGTATCTAACTCAATTTGCGCCGCTAGATACCTTGTTCATGCCCTTCTACACCGTTCTAGCGGCCTCGTTGTTGGGCAATGCGTGGGCATGGTCAGCAGTAGGCGTCGTTATAGCAGATGCTATTGAAAATATCTGCATATCGGGTATGATTTCCGCATGGCCAGAACGGTGGGATGCGCTAGCCATGGTGGGTGGGATAGCGAATGTTGTCAAGCATGCCGGTACAGTATTTCTGGTTGGTCTTATATTGGTACGGTTGGTGGTGGTGAGTGTGAAGAAAGGGGGCGCAAGAGGCACATAAGCTTACAATAACCGCCACTGGACGTTACGAATATATTATCGAGTGTTCAACTTTGCGCATCAACCAATGCTGGCAGATGTAATCGTCCCTCTGCACGCAAAAACCTTGGCGGACATTGGGCATCTGATGTGCACACATAATGTCTAGGTTAATGTGCGCCGTGACAATGAAATTGGTTGTAGAAGACTAAATGCGTGAATGAAGCCTGTTACTCAGAGGTGTCGCAGATTTCAAGCTTATAACTTGGAATTTCAAAGGCGGTCCATGGTGGTTGACAGGCACACCAACTCGAGATCCAAGCCATGATCAAGGCGTTCTTTTTCTTGCTAACTTTTTCTTGGCATCCTTCATTCGTTCGTTACATGACTTTGAAGAGCATCGGTAATGCTGCATTGCATATTGTTGGACATAATACCATTAGCGGCAACATAAGCAGCATCAAATGCTTACTAGTTTATGAAACCAGAGTGACAGTGTGTGTGCAACCGTTTGATCTTCATCCGAGCCAAACCTTATGGTACTAGGTACTACTTCTATTTGCTTAGGGCTGCCAAGAACACCTTTCAAGATACCGCATGTGGCACTGTGACCATCCAATGTAAAACAGAGTGGAAATAGCTTGTAATCAGTAATCAAAAGGTGCCCGTAACGCACAAATACCAGGAGCGATAGGCTCATTTCCTGGAACCGAAAAAAGGAGTGCATTGGCTAAAGTGAGGAAGGACGTCTAGAGCACATTCCAAAACAGTGTTCGCAGCCTGCGATTCGTCTTCAAAATGCGGAATGCGGTATGTTGGTGGGGCGAGAGTCTGATGGACACAGCTGGTACTGACGGTAGTCGACGGAGTTTCGAAATAAGTAGCCGGTGCCCACCTAATCACAAAGGAGCGCCATAACCAGAAAACAATCGAATCGTCGCCTGACCCTCGGAAAGGAAAAGCAAAGGATTATGACCCTAATTGATCCTCAAATCCTCCAACCACAGGTTGCATCAGCTCCTCGTCTCGGAATTTTTCATCAAAAACAAAGGAAAGGAAAAGTGCCTTTCATGCTGACGCTCACTGGTCCTTGACATGCCACATTTGTCAGTCAACGGAGTGACCTCTACGATACTCCACAACTTCTACCCAAAGACTTTCGAGGTGTTTTGCACTTACGACGGAAAAGTCAGAAGGAACGATGTATGGGGCAACATCCATTGCTTCACTTTTTGTCGGCTTTTCTTTCTTTTTTGGACATCATGACCGGGGATATAAGCACCGTGGCCCAGAATGTTAACTCCCACTTCACCCTTTCCCTACATCTTATAGACCCTCATAGAACTAGAAGTCCCTCCTTATAATGATGCCTAAATTTGCCGCATATTCTACACTCATCTTCTTCCTACTTGCCGGGGCAAATGCTCATATGCGAATGGCCAATCCCCCTCCCCGGGGAAGCGTGGATCCTCCAGTGGGACCTCCCGATTATGATCTTGCGTCTCCTTTGGGCGGTGAGAGGTCATTTCCCTGTGGAGGAAAGCCCGTTGGGAATAGTGTTATGAACATTCAGGCGGGCTCCACAATCCCGGTGTCCATTGTTGGAGGTATGTCGCAAAATTCAATGCTGTGTCGCTTGCTGTATCTAGAGCCAACAGATCCATTACTAGGTGCTCCGCATAATGGAGGTCACTGCCAGTTTGCCCTCTCGACCGACGGACAGAACTTTGTTGTTATCAAGGACGTCATCCGCGAATGTCTTGCCAACGGTGCCAGCACATTCGATGTGCAGATTCCGTCCAGCTTTCCTTCAGGGAAGACCATCTTTGCCTGGGCATGGATTAACGCCGTCGGAAATCGAGAGTATTACATGAATTGCGCCGATGTTACAATCCAGGGTGGTGGCAGCGGATTTACAGGACCTCAGCTGTTTGTCGCAGATCTTCCGGGAACGCCGACCATTCCGGAAATGGTGCCTGGGGATCTAAACGATGGTAGACAATTTTTCAGCCAGCGCAAGCAGATCACTGTTGGGCCAGGAAATGGTGGTTCGTCACAACCCCAACAACCTGAACAGTCTCTACCCACTCAACCACCAACACAGACCCAGGACACACCCCGGCCGAGTCCCAGCCCATTTCAACGTCGACCAAACCCTCGGCCCATCTACCAAAAACCTTCTTCTCGACCCTCCTCATCCTTCGCCTCTGACGATCCTTGCGACGGCAACTCTCCAGACGCTCCTTTCATGGTCTGCTCTGGAACTGGATTCTACATGTGCAATCCCGGTCAACCCATTTTCAAACCTGCTTACATGGATTGCGCCCCTGGTACTGCATGCCAACCATTTGGCAAATTCATTCAATGTCTCCAAGCTTAGATATGTGCAATAATGTCTTTGGTTGTGCAAGTGAACGCTGGCTCGTCACTTTGGTAGATGCTTAGATAAAAACTGTTTGACGATCTATTTTTGTAAAAGGGTTGTTTTCCTCTAGCAATTTATTAACTTTTAAGTTACTTTATTGTGGTCGTGCTATTCGGACCCATACCATCTACACCCCACAAAAGGATCAATGTTATCAAGCACCTAAGGTTCCGGCGGCGTCCTGGCGGCCCCTTTTGAACGGGGATTTATTACATACCATTGAAGGTTGAAGGTTCAAAGCGCATGGAGTGCTTACCTGGATTTATTATCCGCTTGGGATTTGCCGGCTTGGCTCTGACTCAAATCGTCAACTACGCTCGTAAGAAATTCAAAGATGTTTTCGGATAGGAGGAAGAAAGCACAGAAAAGAATTGCGGAGCATGAATTATACGTTGCATCTTCTGTAAAAGACAACAGGAACTGTTAGCGTTTATGGTATTTCTTTCGCCTTTGTTGTCAATAAATACTTGCCAACGAGCTTTTTGCCGAGCGCGAGATTCAAGATGACGATTGCGAAAGCAAAACCCATCAGAGCATGGTTGGCTATTTCCAGAGACTTCAGCTTGCTAGTTCCAGACGACGAACCGGCTACAGCCTTGAATGTTTTTCGCAGCTGAGGGAATTACGGATTACTATTAATTCGGTGACATGCAACCGTACCGTCGGGAACATACCTCCCAGCTGAAACAGACGAAGCCGGCGATAGCGTACCACACAAGCTCCATCGTGCAGAGAACGGCGATGGTATACGAATATGCATCATTCGCACCGGGACTGAAATGTGGTTGGTAAGGAGGTTTGTGGAAGCGTTCAATTTAATGCAACTCACATCCATGCCCAGGAACGCATCTCAATTAAACCCTTGGCGATGACGGCAACACCAACAGCGATTGCGTAGGCAATGGAGACGGATATGAAGATACGTCGATATAGGTCCTGGCGCAGCGGAACCGCAAATCTGCAATGCAAGAACATCATTATCTGTTCTAATGCGTGGCATCAAGGAGGTGATCGGCTCGTACCTGAATGTCCCTGCAACGTTGACGCAAACCAATTGAATAACGAATCCAATCAATCCTGCCGCGCTTACTGGCACGGTGCGTCCATAGAATTGTAGGACACCAAAGAGAAGCGCAATCAATCCGACGATCGAACCCATCGCTCCCGCCAGTAACACATAAGCCCGAATATTTCTTTTGTTGGTGAAGATGCGCCAAAGGGAGATAAACAAATTTCCTGCGATCAGGGGTATACTGACGCCGGTAATAACTCCCGCTCCTCCAAAGGCTTCTCCTGCCTGTTGGGCAGCAGCCATGGCCACGGGTACAATCTGGGCGGTAACCTGGGCGGTAACCTGAGAGGTGACGATGCTTGTCACTTGTGCTTGCACGCCTACATCATTCAGGCAAGCGTAGATCTCGGTTGCATTCATCTTTGCTCAAGATGTGAGATGATCAGAGTCGGTGTATGGTTATTCTGTTTCGGCTCCTGGTCGCGGACGTCTCATTTTATAAAGTTTAAGAGACCTTTTATTTCTACATAGACCCTAGCGGGGGGCAGGAAGCCAAACAGATGCACATCCAATGGAGCGCCATCAAATAAAGCAATGCTTAATTTTGTTTGGTCACTAACCAGAATCCAATAGGACCTCGTGGTGTTTGTTTAGAGTAAACTGAACTACTGCCAGTTATTTTTAGAGCCAACCAACCTAATAGCTTCAACATCAATATCGTCGTAGACGGGAGTAAATTGTGCATGGGAGATGGGAGACGTTTGCGGGCTGATTCAGCTGTCCTGTTATTGTCCTTTTTTTGAATACAATTTCCAAGCATTACATTGTCTCCCATCCAAATTAATTTTAGCGGATTGAATACGAATTAGAAAACCGTTGGTCTCATATTGTTGACCTGGGAGTGGGACTCCCTTCGCATCCCTCAGAGTCATAGAGCTGGTCAACAATTAGGTTATGCTTCGTCTATTGATGAAGTAACCGTCTACATAATTAGGTTCCGAGCTCATACTTTGAGGGCATCCACAGATGATGGATGAGTCGAGAAGACATTCAGCTTATGTAGGGTAGCGCATGAGCTCATGGATGTTTGAAGCGCGCAAAGGTACCTTGGATGGCATCCTGTGTCTCGCTTGTCTACGTCGACATACTGGAGGACCGAGGAGTCCCCTGTGTTTCGAACTTGGATGGCTTTCATGCTCGATGGGCAGGCGTTCGTGTGGATGAAAGTACAAGCTCGCAGAATCTGAAAATGATGCAGGGGACGCTGCTGGGCTGGAGAGGAAAGAACTCTCCTTATCGCTTGCATGCGTCATTAACACAGGCGAGACCTGTCCCCAGCCTGTCGGCGCTGCCCTATGTGCAGTGCTGCACCCTCCCCGTGTATGCCCATTTTGTCTTTCGAAAGTCTTTAACGATTAGAGCACTCGCCTTGATACAAGAGAGCGAGATATACAGTTGCGCATATGAATGGATCTTTTCTTGAGTGTACCTGGGCTCTCTCAGATTGAGTGATTACCTTCTTGGCCTATCTAGTCATCAGTTTTGTTGCACTCGTTTATTCTTATATAATACATAGATGTCTTCTAACCAAGGAAGCTGTCGTGCATTCTCACTTGGCTAGGAATATTCGGCCTTTCGAACACCTCTTGTCGGGCGGTAGCGGGGTTGCTGACAGAGACATAACCCAATCTCCGCCTCCTGATTATGTAAGCATTAATTTGGTAAATGATGGGTCGGCTCTTCTCCATTCCTACATTGTCACCATCACCATTGCACTGCAAACTACCAACTTTAGGAAAAACATTTGCATCACACGGAAAATAATATTTGAATTGTTCTACTGATTGAATTTTTGGAACATGGGTAGGGTGAGAGCACCATGTTACAATCCTGAAGCTTACTGACGTACCAGGAACACTTTAGCACAAAAAAGAAAGCGTGAAGTGAAAGATGAGGGTAAAACTCATAACGCAAAGGGCAGGAGGAAGAGGGTTGAAAAAGATGACAAGAGTGAACTTGAAGCACATGTCAAGATGGAGGTCTTATCAGATCATGGACAAAACCACAGATCTTGGTGGCACGACCAGAGAAAGATGTTTTTGCGGGATTGGGTACGACAGGCATAATTCACTATTCTGGGCACTTCATTCTAACTACATGAGGTACAATCCAGAAATCACATAACCCGGGTCTATGTTGCATTTGCATTCGTGGAACCCGTGATCTAGATGAGATTGTGACATGCAATGGTCCAGATTGCGCAGTCTCAGTGCATAGGGCATGTTACGATGTTGAGGGACAAGATGCTAGCAAATGGATGTGCGACCGGTGTCGCACGGATGACCCAGCCCTGGCGGTAGGTGTCCCATTGCAGGCTAAGCAGAAGCGATAACCCTAATCGTATTGTCACCCAATCTACAGGCATGTGTGCTGTGTCCATGTAGAGATGGCGCTTTGAAGCAAATATCCGGGACGAACTATTGGATTCATGTTTTGTGCATGCAATGGACACTTGGATCAGTATGTAGCACTTGTCAATGTCGTTATTTGATGTGACATTGTTGCTCACGTATTTTTTTCGCAGAGGGACGATGATCGGTATGCAATTACGACACTAACTAATCTCAACTGTATCTCTGACAATGTGCCTGTTTCTGGTAGAGTTTGCGAGGAGAATCTCTACCATTTGGATCCGAAACGCTGGAACAAGGTGGGCCCTTCGACTGTCGCTTCCAGATACCCACACATCAGCTCACACCCTAGATGTAGGAGTGCTCTGTGTGTACATCACCTATGAACAAGCAATATGGCGGTAAATGCCCATGCGATGCTGCTCAATGCAAGAATCTGGTAATGCTCCAACAAGTATGTAGTGTTTGTGATTTTACTAAAAGCTGATATATATCTTGCAGGTGCACGCGACCTGTGCTGCTGACTATCGCCTGCTCGAGGAAGTTACCGATTCTCCCGATATGGCGCATCCATTTTTTGTTTATTGCAAGCAACACGGATCAAATGATCCGCGGGTGAGAATCTGTGTGCGCTGTTCAATCTTTGTGCGAAGTCTTATATCTCGAAAAATTAGTTGAATCCATGGGCCAAGTGGGTTCAAAATAAGCATCGCGGATTGGTCAAGATAGCTGAAAATGAGAGGAAGACACCCATAAGTCAAGCCCGCTTAAATGATCCCCGGGCCGTTTTAGAAAACAGCTTGGCCATTTTCAATGATGAACAGGAGCTGAATATTCTTCGAATGCAGCATGATGCTGTCCATAGTCGAGCCGAGTGTGCTGCATATGAAAAGGCCACAGTTAAACTTCAGCGGGATTTGAATAACACCGCGACGAACTTGGAGGAGGCAACCCAGGAACTTGAGCAGCTTGCAAAAGAGGACGAGGCATTGAGAGACGACTTGCTAACCATTTTCGAGTGTTTTCAACCAACCAATTCCGCCTCCCCCGTTTCCCCCGACACTGTTATCGATCGACTTTTTCAACTTGGCCCACAAATCCAAGTTCGGCCTGATTTCGAATCGGCCTTCGTATCTGCATACACAACAGCTCAGCACCAGCAGCAATTGGAAGGGGATGAGAAATGCTTGAATGAGTTGGCTAATAAGCGCAAGAGGCGAGGTCGGCGAAAGAATGCAGCACACCCATTGTCTGGCTGCGGGCTTTTCGGACTGTGTACAATCTGCAAGACTTTCGAAGGCGGTGAAGCAAGTGGAAGTGGGCTTGATGGGACCGATTCTCCAAGTAGCCCAGAAGTCAAGGCGTCTCCACCAGCGTTAGACGGTATTAACGTTCATCGACTGATTCAATGCGCTCAATGTGTGCGATGTTTTCATATGGGTTGTCTGGATCCTCCGATGACCAAAGTGCCTTCCCGAGGTTATACATGGAGGTCAGCACATTGCTTCATGCGCTCTTTATGTGGACACTGCTCATTATTAACGTCTTCTTTTCGTCTCAGGTGCGAAGATTGCGATACAAGCCCCAGTGAAGAGGATAAAACACCTTATAAGCGAAAACTGGACGATGAGCAGAGTATAGCGGATGAAGGACGCCCAAAGAGGATACGAGCTGTCCCCGCTCGCTATACCGTCTGATATACTGTTAATTTTTGAAGATTGTCCTTGTACAGTAGATGATCTTTGTTGAATCTTTTGTTTATATTTAAATATTTGCTCGTGGAAACAGCTCAGAGTGCCAAAGTCTTGCAGCTCTGCATGACCCTATCCATTTATCTTGGTAATTGACAGCAGGGAGTACATCAACGATGGCAATGCTCGTCTCAAGGCGGAGGGTACTTTCAGGTGTTCAATCGGACGGAAGTTCAATGAGTCGCTTACGTAATGACACGTTGTGATTGGCTGCATGGTGCTTAGCAGCTCTTTGCAATTATATTTCTTTTTGGACGCAGCATGCAGAATTGCTGTCCTGTTCAATGCTCCACGGCTTGGGCGTTGAGCATCACCGCAGACGTGAACTATGGTGGCTGTGAAGCGGAAAGGTGTGCCGACAGACTCTCGTGACAGCACGTCTGCGAAGAAACGCTCAACGATCCAGCATGACCCTTACATTGATCCGTCTGACGACGACGACGACTCAGACGCAGACGGCGGGGTAGAGGAGGAAGTGAATGGCGGGGACTTTGTCGAGGGTAGTGAGAGCGATGAAAGTGAAGGTGAAGCTTCCGAGTATGGGGAAGACCAAGCGGACGACAAGGAAGTAGGGCATGGACAAAGGCTTGAGAAGATTGGGAATAAGTTCTACAAAGCACCGACAAACGAGGAGATACAACAGTTGAAGGAAACTACAGATCTCTTCAAATCCAACTTGTTCAAGCTACAGGTAAGCATAGGCACCTCAATTGTCATGCGGCCGGATGAACTCTCTGTAATTTGAGTACGTCCACAGATCGATGAGCTGCTGAAGGAGGTTCGAATCGATTACTCGAAAACGACCGCATTAGAGAAAGCCCTTCGAAAGATAAAGGACATTTTGGATTCGTTGAGCGATATCCCAGAAGTTTCGGTAGCGGATGGTACTTCTGGGCTTCAATCCGAAAACATCGTTATACCATTTCCCGATCCGGCACCCCCAGCGGATGCTCAATATAAGTTTGCTTTCAAACGACCCAGCAAAGTGTTTGTTGTTGGCAGCTACCTATTGAAAACCGTAGCCAAAAATCCTTCGGGTGCGAATGTGGACTTGGCAGTACAGATGCCCGAAAGTCTGTTCCAGGAAAAAGATCATGTCAACTATCGATATTTCTACAAACGAGCCTATTATATTGCTGTGCTCGCTGCGGAACTTCGGAAGAAAACGGCTAAGCTAGGATTGACGCTGGAGTTTGAAGCATGTCAAGGAGACCGTCGAAGGCCGATATTAGTGCTTCGATCGACGGGAACCGTTCCCGAGTACGACTTCTCAAAGCTTGGGTTCTGCATCCGGCTATTTGCCACAATACCTCAAACCTTATTTTCCGCCAGCCGCCTTGCGCCAAATCGCAACAATGTGCGACCAACCTTCATATCTGCAACTACATCCGATCATACACCGACCGGCCGGTATAATGCGGCCCTATTACATGATACAACCCTGGTTGCGCACATGAACCTTCTTCATCATCATGCAACCACATGCGGCAGCTTTCGTGACGCATGTATTCTAGCCAAAGTATGGCTTACCCAGAGGGCATTCTCTAGTACAGAAGGCGGTTTCAATGGGTTTCTGTTTGCCATGATAATGGGGTACCTCTTGCGAACGAACGATAAGAACGGGAACCGGAGATTAGGAAACAACTTCAGCTCCTATCAACTCCTAAAAGTGACGATGGAATTTCTGGCAACGCATGACTTCGAAGCTGAGCCAGTTTTTATGACTCCCGATGGCAAACCTCTGGCTGAAAACGATTTTTCTGTGGAGTCGTTCACACGTAACTATGAAGTAGTGATTGTGGATCCATCGGGAAAAATAAATCTGGCGGCGGCAATATCACGGGCTACTTTGGACGAGGTTCAGTACGAAGCTCGGCGCAGTATCAGCCTGTTCAGCGACTTGCGAGACGATCACTTTGCTGCGTTATTTCTGAAGAAGGTCGATTTACTGCATTTGAGATACGATAATGTCGCTAGAATTGCTGCGACGTCTACCCGTCCTAAGTCATATGATACGGCAGTTGCCCTTGACTTCCCGAGCGTACAAGACTACCTACTGAACTTCATTCCTCGATTGTTGAAGAGGGCTCTGACGAACCGCGTCAATCTAGTGTGCGCACGATGTGATGCCCTTCCACCGTGGTCGTGTGACCAAGCCGCACCGACACATGAGTCGCTAGGAACGCCAATATATCTCGGTCTTATCCTCGATACTGAGAATGCGGTTCGTGTCGTCGAGCACGGTCCCTCAGCCGATGACATTGATGCAGCAGAGGAATTCCGACAGCTCTGGGGGGAAAAGTCAGAGCTGCGTCGTTTCAAAGATGGAAGTATTTTGGAAAGTGTGGTGTTCGACTGTGATGGGACTATAGAACAAAGATCCCTTGTGGTCGGACGCATGGTTGGACACCTCTTACATCGGCATACTGGCATTACGCCAAAAGATGAACTTACATACTGGGCCGGGCAATTTAACAAGTTCATCAGGGCACCAGGAATTCAACTGCAAGTCCGATCCTTCCAGGGCGCCATGGACGCATTCAACGAATTCTCCAAACATCTGCGACAGCTTGAGGGCCTGCCATTGACAGTTACACAGACAATTCCATGCGCGGAAGGACTGCGCTACACATCAGTGTTCATTCCACAGCCAAGGATGGATGATGAGGAGGCATCGTCTGAGGCATACCGACCTTACTACGAGCCGCTTGATGTTGTGATTGAATTCGAGAGTTCAGGGCGATGGCCTGATGACTTGGCTGCAATACAATTGACAAAACGGGCTTTCTATCTGAAGATAGCGGAATTATATATGCAGCAACATCCTGGTACACGCGGAATCGTATCCACTGGGCATAACGCGGACATACTGGATAGCGGGTGTATAGAGATCACAACAGCTGCTGGATATACATTTCGCTGTACGATTCATGTTGAGCGTGAAGCAATTCTTCTTGAACGCGGCCTTACTTCGAACGCTCTTCCTTCTACGCTGGAAACATACACAGCAGCCCAAAAGCGATACAATCATTCTTTCATAAGAGCTCCTTTCCATTCCACTCGGTTGCAAAATCTCTGCCTAAGATTCCCTTACCTTCCACAATCCATCCGTCTCACGAAACGCTGGCTTGGAGCACATCTTCTCTCTTCACAGATACCCACAGAATTGATCGAGCTCATCTGTGCAAAGGTGTTCGTGGATCCAAGCCCATGGGCTGAGCCAGGAAGCGGATGGGTTGGATTTATGAGGACGTTGGACCTGTTGGCGAAGTGGGACTGGAAGCGGGAGGTGATGATTGTAGAATTAGAGAAGGGGCTAATAACGGCCGAGATGCGGGCAAAAATTGCAGAGAGTTTCAGAACGACTCGAGGGTTGGGAGCTGACGGCACTCTTCTACAAGGCAGCGGCAAAATGATGCCAGTCTTATGGGTAGCGACAGAGCGTGATGCTGAAGGTCAATGGTGGGCCTCAGAGAAGCCGAGCATAGTGGTGGTAGAGAGAATTAAGCGACTGGCGGCAGCTGGGCTCAACTACATGGAGTCATTGGTGAAGAGCTCGGGTAGTGAAAAGGCCTTGTCGGTACGTATGCAGGAATCCTTAACAGCATCCAATGGCCATTGTATTTTACTAACTGTTTGTTTCTGACAGAAAATATTCCTTGCAGCACCAAAAGGATATGATCTGATCATCCGATTAGATCCTTCCAAACTTCCGCGCTTTCGTGAAAGTCTTTCGTATGATCCAGAGATTCTTGCGGAGACGATGCCAAAGTACAAAAATTTGATGATGGTCAAGGATCGGGAGCTCGCATTGCTTTCCGAGATAGATCCTGTACAGTGGTACTTGGACGAGTTGCAAGCCGCCTTTGGTCACGTCGCGCTCTTCTTTCACGACAAGTACGGAGGCGATGCAATTGGTGTTGTATGGAATCCCAAAACTGTCGTCCCCCATCCCTGGAGGGTCAACTTAAGCTTCAATGTTGAGCCCATACTAGATCAGTCCGCGAATGTGGGTGAAACGTTTGCTCTTGCCAGTTCATATGCAACCATTTATTAATAGGCTTTCTGCGACTTCACAGGGAGCCCCAGTTAAAGGCAAGAAACAGGGAAAGAAGCATTGGACCGTGAAACCCAATTTCCTTGCAATGATGGCGGAAATGGAAAGGCTAGGAGGAGAGTTGGTAGCTGGCGTAGACGTATTCACCCATTTGGCATAATGCTGTATGTGACAAGTATATATAGTTGGCAAAGTGCCATGTGCGCTTTTAGGAGCTAAGAAGTGGATAGACAAAGCATGTACAGAAAAGAGAATTCATCTCACCAACCACACCTAGACTAAAGACACGGAGGTGATCTTGGCGCTGTGAAACGGGTACATTTATTTAAACTCGCGGAAGAGACGTAGCTTGCGCAATGTGACGGATAAGGATCCAGATTCGTCAAAATCCAAACCCTATGATGCTGGCTGTGAGCGAACTACGTAGTGACAGGGAGACTCGTGAATCCATCTACCAACCTCATTTTTGAGAAGGATTTGCTTCTTGTTGATATTGGATCCGTTGCCCCATTGTCTAACGTGAAGAATTTGAATGTGCTAATCAATATAGTAATTGTGTATACACAATACCCACCCAAAAAAGCCTCCTATGAAATGGTTCGATGCCAAAACTCGGTGACAAGGCACTGTCTATCAGAATGTGTGAAGACCAATACATGCGAATCGCCGACATGTTGCGTGCATCCTTACTGGAGCAAAAGGATTATTTTTGAGTGCCTGCCCCACTAAAGAATACCATCAAAGTCAGTACCGGTTTGGGATTAGTCAATCAATGGAACCTAGCCTACCTGCCCGCGGGGAGCTTTTAAGATAGTCACTGATTTCCTTGTACGTGGAATAATATCCTGTATGGTGAGCATACGATAGTCAGCTTGATGCAATCAATGCTATCGACGAGGTTTGATCAATAACCTTCAGGAATCTAAGGTTTCAACAACATAGTGAGTTAACAGGCATACTGACCCAAGTAGTCACCAACGCACCCACCTGTGAGCAGAGGTCGTATACTGACGGAACCACAAGAGAAACTCAACGTTAAGCTCATTGTGCACTAAGTCATACAGTATGTAATTTGCTGAGTGGTAAACTACCTCTGTACTGAAAGGGTGTAATTGGCCGGCCGCTTTTGTGTCGGCGCAAACGTCTCTCGGCTGTCAACAGAAGCAAGGTCAAGTATTTTACGGCCAACTACCTGTCATTCACACTAATTACCAATAGTTGTGGGAAATGTGGGGACCTTTTCCGCCTTCATTTTGAATCTCTTGCTGAAATGTTGCGAGGATCTGGGCAATGCCAGTCGTCGGAAGGTTTCGTTGAAGGCTTTTGTGACTTGACCACGTTCGGAGCGAGTCCATGGTACCGGAGCTCTTGGTTCCCGGTATGTGGTATCGGACATGTTCGGACTTCAAAGGCGTCCGTTCACCCGTTCTCTTCGACCTGGACCAATTCGCGAACAGCTTTTCGTAACAACGAGAGGAAGCTAACTTGTGTGTAGGCTCTTTGTACTCCGAAAACCAATTGCGGACGCTGGGCTCTGCTTTGAGGTCTCGCGCAACCGGGCATCGTCTTTGACCGTCGCGCAATAAGCATCGGTGTCCTCTCAAGAACTTTTGACTGTTCAACACATTCCATTCCGCAAAGCATTACATTGTCTCCACACAGACATGTACATAGAAGAGTTGATTATTGAGGGGTTCAAATCATATGCAACTCGAACAATAATTAGTGGCTGGGATCGCGAGTTTAACGCTATAACTGGACTGAACGGCTCTGGAAAATCCAATATTCTGGACTCAATATGCTTTGTATTGGGAATATCTACGCTTTCTCATGTTGGTATAGCGTCTGTGGCTGCTGCTTGCATATTTTCGAACTAGTCATCTTTAATACCGACACTGTCTAGGTGCGAGCCAACAACCTGCAAGATTTGGTGTACAAACGTGGCCAGGCGGGTATCACCAAAGCCTCTGTGACGATTGTATTCAACAATGAGGATCGCGAGAGAAGTCCTCCTGGATACGAGAATCATAAACAAATATCCGTTACGCGACAGGTGTCGTTCTGATGGCCAATCTGCACTCGCGATCACGTACATGATGATCTTATATGTAATCTTGTAGATCGTGGTCAATGGGCGTAACAAATACATTGTCAATGGTCACAACAAAAACCAGCAGGACGTAGCGAATATGTTTCAATCCGTCCAACTGAATGTCAACAATCCCCACTTCCTGATTATGCAAGGACGAATCACGAAGGTGCTTAATATGAAGCCACCTGAAATTCTTGCGATGATTGAGGAAGCTGCGGGGACCAGAATGTTTGAGGATCGGAAGGAAAAGGCGTTCAAGACTATGAGCAAAAAGGATGCAAAGCTTGAAGAGATCAATACGGTTGGTGCACATGCTGTGTGAAGGGTGATATACTATCGGGAAGACTGTTGACTGAAATCTTTGTGGGTAGTTACTGGAAACGGAGATTGGGCCAAAACTGGAGAAATTGCGCGAATCGAAACGAACCTTTCTGGAGTACCAGAAAATGGCGGCTGACCTAGATCAGCTACGCCGTTTGCTTATAGCCCATGACTATGTGAAATACCAGGTAGGTCCGGCGATTACTCTTCCGCCCAATACAATCCGCCGAGTACTTATGGGTGTGGCCGACCGATTCAGACCAAGCTCGAGACATCGGGTCAAGATTTGGAAGAAAAAAAAGATCGAATTGTTACTCTAGAGCAAATGCAAGGTGTCCTGGCACAGGATATGGAAGATATTGATGATAAGATAGCTGAAATTGTGGCGGAAAGGGAGAAGGTGAGTGCATTTTACCTGTCAGTAAGTGGCTCGAATTGATATTCAAGTCCTTCCGTAATCTCTCATAATGCAAGGATTCAGCCCAGCTGACTAAACTGGAAAGCACCTTTAAAGAATACGCCAAGGAGCTCGTCAAAGTCCAAACCCAGTGTAAACTCAAAGAGGACACCATTGCCGACGAGCAGAAGAACAAAAATTCCCTGCTCAAAGAAAAAACGGAGGTACCAATCTTGTATAAAACACGGAAACCTTATCCTGAACGATGCCTTATGACACCCTTTCCACACACAGACCGAGCAAGCTTTGTTAGACGGGAAGGCAAAGTATGAAAAGCTTACGGCGGACTTTGAGTCGACCATGAAAGAGCATGAGGAAAAGGCTGAGAGCATTCGTAAGCTGGAGGATCTGATTCAGACGCTTTCTACTGGACTAGCAGCGAAGGAAGGTCAGGAGAATGGATATCAGACTCAGCTGCAAGGTGCGTTATGGGTCATTGATGCCGCATACCCCAACACGGATTTGACCTACGGACATTCAATGAACAGATGCCAATAAGGCTGTGAGCACAGCCGCGTCAGAAGCTGAGCAAGCGAAACTGAAGATCACTCATTTGAAGAAAGAGCTGCAGGAAAAACTGCCAAAGGCCAAGGCAGCGGAAAAACAGAATAGCTCCCTTTTGGCGGAAGTCAAGGCGAACAAAAATGTTACTGAGATGCTACAGGTATATGATGCTCTTAGAATCGGTTATAATAACCGACATATAACTTTAGTTTCGTGATGTAGAGCCAACTCAACGATCTTTCCTGGAACCCTGATCGAGAGATGGAACTTTTACGGCAGAAGCAAGTCAGCCAAAGTGCAGTAAACGACCTACGAGAGGTACATTCGTGCGAGGTTGCAATACCTGCTGTCCGATCAAGATTTTTAATATTCCAACGGTTTAGCGCATTGACGGGCTTGAACGGGAGCTTTCTGCATTCCAATTTGACTATACGGATCCCGCTCCCAACTTCGATCGCCGAAAAGTCAAAGGACTTGTCGCCGAACTTGTGACAATATCAAAGGAAAACTTTGATTCCGCTACAGCCTTGGAGATCTGCGCTGGAGGGAAATTGTATAATGTACGTTGGCTATGGCTGGCTTTATCAGCCGCGATATCCTTTAAATGGCTTGTTTGTATTTGTAGGTGGTGGTGGAGTCAGAAATTGTCGGTACACAACTGCTTCAAAAAGGTCGACTTAAGCGACGGGTCACCATCATCCCCTTAAATAAGATCTCTGCGTTCAAGATACAGGCTGAGGTTCGTAAGGTCGAAAATAAAAAACGTTGTTTAACAAAAGCTAATTTCCATATGGACTCTTAGCGGCTCGCCACTGCCAAAAGATTGGCCCCTGGAAAGGTTGATCTGGCACTCAACCTTGTGGGATACGATGATGAAGTTGAAGCCGCTATGAACTATGTTTTCGGATCAGCTTTGGTCTGCAAAGGTACAAATATTTCATTGTTATTTTCATGCTTCCCTTAGTTTAATCAAAAAACGCGCTTCGCAGATGCGGACACTGCCAAGCGTGTGACGTTTGATAAAGGTGTCCGTATGCGCTCGATCACCCTGGAAGGTGATACATACGACCCTTCAGGACAACTTTCAGGAGGTTCAAAACCCAACTCTGCAGGAGTATTGCTTAAACTTGGCACCCTGAAAGACCTTCGAAAGAAACTTGCGGATATGGAAAACGGGTTGAAGGAAGTCGTTCGGGAGTACGAGGGGTATCAGCGGACGGCAAGCCACTACCAAGGCCTGAAGCAAAAACTGGATTTGAAGCTACACGAGGGCCGTCTATTGGAAGAGCGTCTGAATACCAATGCTAGTGCCCAGGTACACATGGGACTTTGCACATTTGGATCTTTATCAAGATCTGACGTCCCTCTACAGATAATACAACACGTTGAAAGCTTGAGAAAACAGCTGCAAGAGCAAGAAACGCTACGACATGAGTGTTTGGAAAGGAAGGCAGCAGCCCAGGAAAGACGTACTCACATTGAGCAAGAGATGAAGGAGTTCTCTGCTCACCGCGAGGATAAGCTGAAATCATTACAGGTACTATTTCTAAAGGGCATCACAGATGCGCATAATTACTGGGATGTGCACTTATTATGTTGGCCTTTGTAGAAAGAGCTTGCCACCGGCAAGGCACAGTTAGCCAAAGCTGCTCCTGAAATCAAAAAGGTACAGCAACAGATAGATCTTTCAAAGGAAGAAGCAGGTAAGCCATTTTCTCTTGGCCGAGAATTACAAAATACTTGTCGCTGAACGAGAGTTTTAGCGCAACTTGAAAAAGAGATTGTTCAGCTGGAGCATCAAATTCGCCAAGTGGAAAAGGTTATCGACGATTATGTCAATGAGGAGCGAGTGCTGAAGGATACATTAGCAGAAATTAAGGTAAGGCTCACATTGATGCACCAGCCCAAAATCGAGAGATCGCAGGCAGCTAAAAGATTTTCAGCGCTCCTACGATACAGCAGAATATGCGCTTGAGCATGAGCGCCAGGCACTGTCCGCCTTTGATGTAGAAACCAAAGAGCTAGAAACGCAAAAAAAGGAAAAGAAGCAGCTACTGGAGGATTGTAAACTTGAAGTGCAGAAGTTGAAACATGAGCTGGAAAAGTTCCATTCTGAACGAGAGCATGCAAATCGAAGAGTTAAAGAACTCGTCCAGAATCATCCATGGATACCCGATCAACAGCAGTACGTTCGATTCGGGGGTCGCAGACGGGTTGGAAATCGTGGTACTAAGGTTGTATACTCCACAGATTATTCGGCAAACCTGGAACGGGCTATGATTTCGCAAAGCAGGATCTTGGGGAAGTCAGGAAACGTGTGAACCAACTTGAAGAACGGCACAAGATGTTGGAACGCAAGCTTGATCAGCATGTTATGGACAAATATGACCGGTAATAGTTATCCATATTCTAAGATCGGCATGAAGAGCGCTTTCTCAATCTCGGTTATACACAGCGTTGAAAAGAAGGAAACTCAATTGAAGCAAATGCTGGCCACTGTGAAAAGAGACAAGAGAAAAATTCAGGAAACAATCGGCGAGTTGGACAAGTACAAGCGGGAAGCGTTGCGCAAGACCTGGGAGAAAGTAAATGTGTAAGTAACAAAGTTCATTTGTGTGGGCAATTGCAACAGGTGGCACTCACGACTTGATCATCATATAGAGATTTCGGGGCCATCTTTGGTGATCTATTGCCTGGTAATTCGTCCAAGCTCGAGCCACCAGAAGGTCAGGATATTACCGAAGGGCTTGAAGTCAAGGTGGCATTGGGTGGGGTGTGGAAACAAAGTCTGACAGAACTCAGCGGAGGACAAAGGTCTGTGCGCATCAACATTGTACAATAACGAGCATTCCGTCTAACTGATATATCTCTTTTTAGATCGCTCATTGCGCTCTCCTTGATTCTCTCGCTTCTCCAGTACAAACCAGCGCCCATGTACATTTTGGACGAAGTCGACTCGGCGCTGGATCTATCACATACACAAAATATTGGACAACTTATTCGCACGCGATTTAATGGCTCCCAATTTATTATTGTATCTCTCAAAGATGGCATGTTCAATAACGCAAACGTGCTTTTCAAGACCAAGTTTAGGGATGGGGTATCTACAGTTGAGGTACGCAAGTAGCGTTTTGAGTAGCTGTGTGGCATTTGTCCTTTGTACTGATGCAGCTTTCTGGTAGCGTATTGCCCAAAGAGATAAGGAACGATCTGCGGCCACATCGACGGCTGGCAAAAAGGGCCGAGTGGTCGGCGTGGTTCGTGGTGGAGTTATGACACCTAGACGGATGAATTGATAGTTTTGTTAATATTTTATATGCTGTGGATACCGTCAAACAAGACAGATATTGTTCCAGGTGCTTGTTCATCACGTATAAAAGCTGCCGTGATAAACTATTTACCTGTTCGGCGCTACTTTTGCCGGCCCAAATTTTGGAATGTCCTCTATATGTTTTGCATGCAAAGTATTGTTGGAAGTATACGGTACACAAGAAAGAAACGGTCCTTGTCTGAACATGCAAGGACTGCGAAATGACATTATCGATCTATCCCGTCTAGTTGTTATTGAAAGTTGCACTGCCATCTTGTAGGGCAATTCCAAACCAGTGCCATCTTATAAACGAACAAATATGAAGAATGGCTATTTGACAATAAAATTACATGTTGCATCCCAAAACAGTCGCCGCCCCAAAGTGTAACTATCACATTGAAAAATTAGGAGAGAAACGTAATTATTCCACTTCATATTTTGTCTTTTGCTTCTTTTTTTTGGACGGCGCTTTGATCAGGAAATCTTCCGCTGATTCCGTTCTTGCGTCTTCCGCCTTCTTTCGCTTCTTTGCTGCCTGTGTTGCAGAAAGTTCTGATTATGCATGTTATATCTAGACCTTGATAGCAGTAACAAGCGTACCTGATCCTGAAATTTCTTCTTCAAGTCGTCAATCGATATCGTTTCGTTGGCTTCCTGCTTTATCTTCTTCTCTATCTTTTCAACAGGGGCCACAAAAGCTTTCTCCCGCTCCTCCCTCCTCTTTTGACTGTTTTCTGCTTGCGCTTCTTTCTTCTTTTCCATCCTTGCAGCATCTTTTTGAGATTTCGATAAGAAATATTCTCCGGACTCGATTTCCAGGTCTTCTTTTCTAGGCGCCTGTGTTGGTGGAAAGAGGGGTCTGTCGGATTTCTTAACCTTTCTGAGTGGCTTCTTTTGTTTGGGGGCTGACGGTTTGCGGAACTTGGGAAGGAAGCGGTCCCACGACTCATGGGCTAGCTTCGGGTCTTTGGCGAGCTCACGTTTGATCATTAGTTCCTAAAAACGTCCTATTATTAGCCTGCGTCGACATGTAGTGATCATTATTTGATGAATTTACCTTGATGTGATAGATCGGATGAATGTTCTTCATGCAGTCGATGACAATCCTGCGCACTTCCTTTAACCCCTTGTGTGGACCCATACATGACACAGTATTTCCCTGCACCATGACGTAGCAGTTTGTGAGGAGTTCGATGGCTTTCAGCGTATTGCCATTTGGACCAATCAGACGTTGACGTCGCTTGACGAAGCGTTCCTTGTTCCGAAGAATATTACCAATCTTGATAATGTCACAAGCGATACCGTCTTGTAAGACTTTGATGGCCTGTATGCACATGAACTATGAGCAACTAGTCGTTGGTGCGCTGCAGCCGCATATACGACATACCTGTTGGTATGGAACACTACGAGCGAGCAATTTAATCAAGTCCCGGGCCTTGAGGATAATATATGGGTCCCACGTCTTTCTCGTTGTCTTCACCGTCATGCTTCCCTCAATCAAATCCAAAACACATGCAACTCCCTGTCAGAATTAGAGTATGTGTGAGAAGGAATGTTTTCCAGTCTTCAGCTATAATCCAAAAGATGACATACCACTTGCTCCAATGCGGAAGTTACCATTGGCCATACTTCCCGAAGATACGCTTCTCTATATTTTGGGAACAATGTAGCAAACGAAGATTCCTCTAAGAACGGGGCGGTGTTGTCGGTAGGTTTAAATTCTTCAATTTTCCAGTGATCAATGTCATCAGTGTCCCAAGCTATCTCCGGCAAGAAGAAACCCCAAGGTTAATACTGCAGGTACAAGTGCCCAGTTCCAAGGTTGAACGTACGTTTGTCTCGTCGGTATTTTCCCTTTTTTCCTGGGCGCTGTACGGGTTGAGTTTCTTGAGCATCCTCCGACGGTCGTGCGTCTTCCACGTCAGACATGCTTTAATTGCTGTGGTTTGTCTTGCCAAAGCAAATGTGCGGTGATGTTTTGGGTGATCTGCTGGCAGAAATCGACGACTTTTGGTCCAAAATGCTGAGGTGAACAAAAGCAACTCAGGATCGAACCAAAAAAAATAATGGTTTGATATTGACCTCATTGGCTGAAATCAGACGGCCTTTTGGCGATTACGGGTGGAACGATTGCGCTGTTTAAATAAATGTATAATAAAATGGTACAGGAATCTTCGAAAGAAATGCTACAATGAAAAGTATGCTCATTGCCCGAACAAGTTCTGCGCAATCATCTGCATTCCTCCCTAGATTTCCATATCAAAGAGATCATCCTTATCCTCCTTCTTTGATGGTTCTGGCTTTTCTACCTTCTTTTCTACTCTTTTGGGTGCCTCCTTCGGTCGCGGAACGTTTGTTACGCCAGGGATATACGCAAGCCCCTTTGGAGGTGTCTGCGCTAGCGGAGAGCGAGACAGATTCAATAGAGCATCTTTTGTATAAATGATACGAGTTCCTGTTTTTATTCCAAAAGCGTCAGATATTTGCTTTATGACATGCACAACACAATCAACGGCATCCCATACCACCGGGCGTTGTTCCAAATATGGTTCCACCGGGGGTTGTTCCGAAATCATGAGGAGGTTTTTCACCAGGGCCGGCACGACGGACAGCAACAGGTGCAGAAGGTGACGGAGTAAGGAAATGCTTCGAGGACATTATGGCGGAGATTGGCACAATACAAAGAACAACGGGGGTATCCCAGCGACTAGTATAACGTTCACGACGACGACGACGGGAGGAGGCAAGAACGTTCGTGGCTGTCCGGCGGTCTTGTTCGGATTGGCTGCTTACTGCAAAAACACAAAGTTTGCTGCTGGGGCAAAAAGTCTGAAGTTCAGTTATTTACAAGTCACTTGACCTGCCATTTGATTGATCATCTGACATTGGAGTGCATTCGATTCCATTATCTCTGATGACTCATCAGTCGGGCAAATGCTGTAGTGGCAATTGAACAGCTTTCCTCCCCATTTACACCTTCCAAGCACCATCCATTTCATAAACATTTCAAGCATGCCAGGCATTCGTATCTGTATCGACCGCGGTGGTACGTTTACAGACTGTATTGCCTTTGTACCGTCTGCCTCGGAGTCTTTAGGATACAAGACTATCGTCGTGAAGCTGTTGAGTGTGGACCCACAAAACTATCAAGATGCCCCAAGAGAGGGCATCAGGAGAATATTGGAAATTGCAACCGGAAAGCCCCATCCTCGAAATGTACCGGTTGACACATCACAGATCGATCTCATTCGCATGGGCACAACGGTCGCAACAAATGCACTGCTTGAGCGCAAGGGCGAACCTTGTGCTCTTGTAATTACAAAAGGATTCAAAGATCTACTGCACATTGGAAACCAATCGCGTCCAAAGATCTTTGATTTGGCCATTCACGCACCAGACGTCTTGTATGAGCAAGTAGTAGAGGTTGATGAGCGAGTCACGCTTATCAATACCTCAGATTCGAAAGAAGGAAATTCATCATTTCATAAAGGCGTTACGGGGGAGTGGGTACATGTGCTAAAAGAGCCTCCACTGGATGAGGTTGAGCAGGATCTCAAACTAGTGTACGATCGCGGCATCCGTAGTGTGGCCGTCTGCCTGATGCACTCTTATACATTCCCAAAACACGAAGAGCAAATTGCCGCTCTTTGTCGCAATATTGGATTTGAGAATGTGACCCTCTCCTCCGCCATCATGCCGATGGTGAAGATCGTGCCAAGAGGAACATCTGCGACAGCGGACGCGTATCTTACTCCATGCATTCAACGATATATAGAAGGGTTCTTCTCGGGTTTCGATGAGGGAATTAGAGATCCCACTAAAGTGAAGGTAGAATTCATGCAGTCCGATGGAGGTTTGGCCGCCGTTGATGATTTTAGCGGATTCCGGGCAATTCTAAGCGGACCAGCGGGTGGCGTTGTTGGTTATGCTCTGACGAGTTTCGTTGAATCCGGAAAGCCAGTCATCGGATTTGATATGGGAGGTGAGCAGTGAAGGCTGTATTACTTTTACTTTCATATCGTATCTTATGGCTATGTGCAGGAACGAGCACAGATGTCTCCAGATTTGCTGGGCGATACGAGCATGTTTTTGAAACGACTACGGCAGGAGTTACAATCCAAGCACCGCAACTGGATATCAATACGGTATTTGTTCAAGAGAGATGTTACTGTACTGGCATTCGATGAGTCGAACTGTCTTGATCTGTAGGTCGCCGCAGGGGGCGGGTCGCGGCTTTTCTTTAGGAACGGCTTATTTGTTGTGGGGTGAGTACCTGATCACTTTGCTACGGTAGTCTCGTAGCTCCGTTCCTTAGTATCATACTATTTTAGGCCTGAGAGTGCCGGTGCGGACCCGGGTCCAACGTGCTACCGTAAAGGCGGACCACTTACAATTACTGATGCAAACCTACTCCTTGGACGTCTCATTCCCGACTTCTTCCCTAAGATCTTTGGACCCACAGAGCGCGAACCACTGGACGTCAGCGCAACCAAAAAAGCCTTTGAGAGCTTAGCAGAGGACATCAATAAGTTTTTGGGCTCTGATAAGACGATGACGACAGCCGACATCGCCTATGGGTTTGTGAAAGTAGCAAACGAAAGTATGTGTAGACCCATTAGAGCGCTCACTCAGGCCAAGGGCTACGATACGGCAGATCATATTTTGGCATGCTTTGGTGGCGCGGTACGTAATGAGGTGCGCACACAGGTGAGAGCATGCAGCTAATTATCAAAAATGTCACTAGGGTGGTCAGCACGCATGCGCCATTGCCCGTTCATTGGGCATTGAAAGAATCTTGATTCACAAGTACTCTGCCATTCTCTCGGCTTATGGATTGTCTCTGGCAGATGTTGTTCATGAGGAACAGGAGCCGAGGTACGCTCCGCTCATAACTTGATCGTACAGAATCTGTTCTGTCTCCCTAACCTAATTACGGCAATTGCCAACCCGCCTCTTTGTAGTGCCCTAACCCTCAATGCAGATGCAATACCACATATTCAATCCCGTGTTGCCGCATTAACTGAGAGCTGTGTGGCCGTCCTTGAACGACAAGGTTTCACACGATCTCGCATTCAGCCTGAGATCTTCCTCAACTTGCGATACCAGGGAACTGACACTGCTTTGATGACGCTTAAACCTCCTCAGGAGGATAACTGGGATTTCGCAACCGGATTCGTTGAACAGTATCAGCAAGAGTTTGGGTTTACGCTCCCGGATCGCGATATTATAATTGATGACGTTCGGGTTCGTGGCATTGGAAGAAGTATAGAAGGGGATGATTTCCGCACTCGTGTGCACGAGGAACTTGAGACATTGGAAAGGCGCCCTGTTGATGCCAGTAAACGGGAGATGCAGCAGCCTGTCTATTGGGAAGGGGGCTACGTTGATACACCTGTTTACGTCCTAGAAAAGCTGGCTGTGGGTGATCAAGTGACTGGCCCTGCTTTGATCATTGACAAGAATGCAACCATTGCAGTAGAACCTACCTGTAAGGCCGTTATCACCAGTGAGCATGTTGTTGTGGATGTCGGCGGTCAAAGCAAGAAAACGCGATCTACAGAACTAGATCCGATCCGGTTGAGTATTTTCGCTCATCGATTCATGAGCATCGCCGAGCAAATGGGGCGAACGTTGCAGAAAACGGCGATTTCAACCAACATCAAGGAGCGATTGGACTTCTCTTGTGCCTTATTTGGCCCCGACGGTGGGCTTGTAGCCAATGCACCGCATATTCCTGTGCACCTCGGTTCAATGCAGGAAGCTGTGCGATGGCAAATGGAGCATCTTAAAGGGGACCTGAAGGAAGGGGATGTGCTGCTGACCAACCATCCTCAGGCCGGAGGATCTCACTTACCAGACATCACTGTGATCACCCCTGTGTTCAACAAGGATAAGATTGAGTTTTTTGTCGCCAGCCGTGGACATCATGCCGACATTGGAGGTATTCGACCTGGATCCATGCCTCCAGATTCGAGGGAGCTTTATCAAGAGGGTGCAGCCGTCAAAAGCTTCAAACTGGTGCGTGATGGCAGATTTGATGAGGAAGGCATCACACGCATCCTACTAGAGGAACCAGCACAATACCCCGAATGTAGTGGCACTCGATGCCTACGGGACAACATATCTGATCTGAAAGCGCAGGTCGCTGCAAACCATAAGGGAATCACACTGGTGAAGGCGCTTATTGATGAATACGGCCTGGAAGTGGTGCAAGCTTATATGCACTATATTCGTCAAAATGCTGAGCTGTCTGTTCGAAATTTGTTGAAAACCGTTTATGAAGAGCACGGACCGCATCTGTCTGCTACCGATTGTATGGACGACGGCACGCCCATCTCGCTTTCGATTACCATTAAGCCAGATACCTACTCTGCAGTGTTTGATTTTACCGGAACTGGTCCTGAGCTCTACGGCAACACCAATGCCCCACGATCCGTGAGCTACTCAGCTATAATCTACTCGCTCAGATGTTTGGTCGCGCAGGACATGCCGTTGAATCAGGGTGCACTTAATCCTATTGAGGTTATCATACCTGAGGGGACGTTACTGTCTCCTGGGGACGGCGCGGCAGTTGTAGGAGGAAATGTGCTGACTAGTCAACGGGTTGTTGATGTGGTTTTGAAGGCATTTGGAGCCTGTGCTGCCAGTCAGGGTTGCTGCAATAACTTTACGTTTGGAAAAGGAGGGGACGACGGTTTTGGATATTATGAGACGATTGGTGAGTGACTTCTTTGCTGTGGATCTAGTCTCCGGTACTCGTCACCCCTGATTCTGACTTTGTGTTCTGAACGTGGCTAGCTGGAGGAAGCGGTGCCGGGCCAACTTGGGATGGGCGAAGTAAGTAGCTGCACCAACTGGACGTCACTGTCGGTGATTTTGATTTTTTTTTTTTTGCCTTCGTTAGGCGGTGTTCATACGCATATGACCAACACACGAATAACCGATCCCGAAATCCTCGAGCGTAGATATCCAGTCATTTTACGAGAGTTTGGGTTGCGTAAAGGTTCGGGAGGTAATGGCTTGCATAAAGGTGGAGACGGGGTTGTCAGAGATGTACGTGACGCTGCTATTTCTGTGTACAGGTAATGTATGTTAACATTCGTTTGCAGATTGAGTTTCTTGAACCACTTCATGTCTCTATGCTGTCCGAGCGGCGAGTCTTCCAGCCGTATGGGTAAGTGGCATTGTTTTCAATGTACGCATCAGCATAGTCTCTGACAGATGTTACCATGTAGCCTCAAAGGCGGGCATCCGGCTCTTACTGGTCGCAACACGTTGATAAGAGCTAATGGACGTGCACTAAACTTTGGTGGTAAGAATGCTACAAAGGTGGACAAAGGAGATCGATTGAGGATTGAAACACCCGGTGGTGGAGGTGAGGAATGAAATCATTGTTTCTTCACGTCTACGATATGTTGACATGTGTTGGCATTTTCAGGATGGGGTGAGCCAACCGACCAGCCGAAACAAACTATTAACAACATTGACAACAGTGTGCCATATAAAATGGGTGGAGGATCTTTGCAGAATTACGAAGCGGAACAGCAATCATTTTGAACCGTCAAGGAAGGTTTGTACCATCATCTCGTGTAGAGCAATGCCCTCATGCAATATAGCACGTACGATAGACGTATAGGCATAGACGCGGAATAGAAAAGATCATGTTGGTTGCAAGACTTGTCAGAGTTATTCAGATTGCTTGTTTAGGTGCATGTGCCAAAACACACTACATGACATTACCATCCGCACTAGCAATCATGAAAATAAATAAAGAGTTTTGTTTATATTGGGCCCGCGACAGTGACGTCATATGAGTAAGCCCCGACATCCACCCAAAGTGCCCGTCCGCGTTCACTCTTGTTCTTTGTCGTTTCAAACTCTACTTGCACTAATAATTCTCATTTTATCAAACAATCATGTCCAAACCAAACATTGATGAACTCGGCGGCATGGCATCTCGCAACAAAGACCACACCCACTACCCACCCCACTTGCAAAGCCATCTCACTACCGACGAACGGGGTGTCATGATTGGCAACGAGGATCCGTCCTCAAAGCCCAAGGCTACTAGCAACCCCGAAGAAGTGAACACGGCCTTCGCATCTAAACCCCTTGAACAAGCCCTTCCCCCGCAACACGCGGGAACGATTGATGAACTGGGTGGAATGGCGTCGCATAATGTGAAGCATACACATTATCCGCCGCATTTGCAGAGTCGTATTGGTGTGCCGACCATGACGGGAGCGGTGCGTCAGGAGCATCCTGTTTCGCAAGAGGTTGAAGAAGAGAGTGTTGTTGATGCTTTGTGAGGTTGTGGGATGTACTAGGTTGATAAAAGTCTTGTAAATAAAGTTGTTGAATCCAGTGTGCTTTGTGGTGGTGGTGGTGTCAATGGACATCTATGCACACCAAGATCGAAATCAAAAAGCGTTATTGTTCAATTACGTGTATAAATGCATCTATATCTACAAGAAAGGTTTCAAAATAGCCAAAACTCGCTTTGCTCTATTTACAATAATCTTTTGGGGTTCAGCCTCTTTTGCCCCTTCATCATCAGAACTCGAACTGCTGTCGCTCTCTTCATCACTTTCCCCATCTGATTCAATAAATTTGATCTTGTTGCCAATCTGCTCTCCCTTTTTTGGGATAGCGGCTTTTGGATCTGTTAGACGGATAATCTCTTTGGCTTCATCGCTCGTTTCCTAGTTTGACAAGGGTAAGAAGGTGTGCTGATGTGGGAAATGAATATACATGGCTTACTTCGCGGGCTTTGTGGCTGAGATCTTTGATATATTGGAGAGCCAGAGCGAATGCTTCGTCATTCAACTGCAAGATCATCATAAATGTTAGAACCGCTGACATCAAGTTAGGGAACGTCGCCGACCTACTTGGTGTGTGTACCACAAATTCCTCAAGATCCAAACTTGTCGGACTTTTTGAAATTTCCAGTTTTCACGGTCGGTAACGTATTGTTGCAAGTATTCTACTGCCGCCTGCCGTCGTTTACTCTCACCTGGTGCAGACGGTGGAGCCACAAGCAGGGATTTGGCTTTGACCGTAGCGGGTTCTGAGACATTTGTCTCTTCCGCCGCCCCAGGCTTCTCAGTGTTAGACTCTAGTGCACCTTCTTTTGCAAGTAGCTTTTCTCGCATTGATTGGCGCTGTTTGAGTTTTTGGACGGCGGTTGGTTTGGTTTTTGGTCTTGGTGTTCGCTTTTTTCTTCGCTTCTTTTTCTTTTCAGGAGCACCCGTCGACTCGTTGTCGGGAGTCGTTGTCACTTTTTGGTCGGAAGCGTCAGCAGGTATATCATCTTCGTCTTCTCCAGAACGTTTTCGCTTCTTGTCCGTTACTTTCTTATCTTCACCTTGCGCTCCGGTCTCGTCTTTGTTGGATATCACCTTGTTTTCATCTGTGTCCTTCTTGTCCTCCTTCTTTCGCTTTTTCTTTATTGACTCATTCGCGTCCTGTGCATCCGTACCGGTGCTCTCTTCTTTTTTTACATTGGCATTATCTGCCGCCTTTCGTTTGGACTTTCGTTTCTCCTTGCTTGAGTCAACTTCCGTCTCAGTCTCTGCTTGTTCCTCGACGCTCTTTTTCTTTTTGGTCATTTCCTTTTTAGGCTTGTCAGCCTGCTCAATGGTTGTGGTATCCTCATCGGCAGCTCCGTCCTTGCTCTTCTTTTTACTTTTCTTTACTTTATCGCCATTCCCGGATTTATCCCTTTTGGTTCGCTTCTCCTTCTTTTCTGTGTCAGCGCCATCCTCAGCTTCGCATGTGGCAGCCTTTCGTTTGGACTTGCGAGGCTTCACTTCCTCGGACGTCATGATTCCGCACCACAAAAAACCAAGTGCGACGAAGGCGAGCTACAAGCCAAAAAGAAGTCACCAATCGCAGAGGCTTAGCAATATACCCCAATATGGTTAAATTACGGGAGTGAGCGAAGTCTAACGCAAAGTCCGCTCAGCACGACATTTGTTGGTTTTGAGACATGTACACGAATAAACATGTCAGCGCTTGGCGAGGAGGATAATACCGTAAAGACATTGTCGCTGTCGTTTGGTGGCCAATATGGGCTGCCGGTAGCTAAGAGTCTTGAGCAAAGATTGGCTGAAGAGAATCCCTCGTTGCCGTCCTTTATGGTCCGACCGTCTGCACATGCTTCCCTTTCAGCTCCACGTAATAACACCTCCCTACCATCCACAACAATGTCATCTGCAACTGTACCAACGAGGTCATGCGTACGCTTTGTGGACACTTCCCACCGGGATTTCTTTGCGTCAAAAGAATATCAAGCACACTGCGACTTTGACACTCCAAATCAAGCTGAAGGAGCGCGGTGGAGTACATTAGGGGAGTTGGCGCACCAATTAAGCTTTGCCCTCGATCTGCTCGAATTTGAGGGCGGCCGAGGGTTTGAGGCAGAGATCTTGCGAGTTGCTGTGGATGACATTATTGATGCGACGCTAGAGGATCCCGAGGTGGATGTTGATTTGGAAGTCAAGGTGCAGGCATTGCTGGACCGGACAAGGACGCTCATTGATTGTGCTATGGTAGTAAATAAGAGTACTTGCTTGATGTGCGCATTTCCCTTGAAAACGATATGTTCCTATCCGCACAGGAGCATGGGACTTTGAACACTGCCAAAAAGCTCATGGACATTTACGGCATGGACTGGGCAACAGCACGCAAGTTGATAGAAAGTGGGATTCAGGTAGCTTTTTCATTAATGGCGGTACTTTATCATTCTCATGCTGATCTTTTTCCCTGAAAGGTCCGAGCCCTTTTGAATTCGTCTGATCCAATTGGCATGTTGCCCGAAAACTATCTTGACCCATTCCAAAATTTTGGTTTAAAGCATTTTAATCGCACGAAACGGATGCAAGCAATCAGTCGTCAAGGTACTTTGAAAAATTCTGCTACCGATCGTCTGTCTGCCTACTAGTAGATCACTCATCCGAGAACAAGATTGCATGTCTATTCTCGAAAAGCTTCAGGCTACCCTTGCAACGTCATACCCGGAGCTGAAGATCAATCCTTGCGGCTCTTTTGCGAGAGGGTTACCAATGCTCTCCGTTATGAACATTGTCGTACCCTTGGACGTTTCTGATGCATCCATAACCGCTGAGCGGATGATGAAATTGTTTGTTGCGGATGATCTCGTTGAGGGTATGTACCAGAGGTTTCATTGGTCACCCGGTCATTTTGCGCACAGTGTCAACAATATGGCATCCAGGTGCTTCTGTCGAGCCACTGTCAGAGAACCAATATCTTGCTCTTGTGCCGCTGCGAAATCGAGCTGTCATGTGAGGAACCTGATAACCTAGTATCTGGATGGTACCTGACTCGCTCAATCTTTATTAGCTTGGATCTAAAGGTTCTACAATTTGAAAGTCAGAACGATCACGTGCAGCGAGGATAGCTTGAACGATTTTCCAACTCGTCGCTTCCAGAGGTGTTAAAGTGCAAAATGCTGCCATCAAACATTTGTATATCTGTATTCTAGATGGCAAGTGCCAAACTTTTTAGCAGTAGCATGCACATGTGTATAGTCCACCTTGTCCTGCAAGAGCTTCCACACTACACAAATAATTTGGCAAAACGACTAGTCATTTCCCTTGTTGAATTCCCGTCGGCCGCAAACGCACACGCACGACAAACACATCTAAACTCTTACGCGAGTTGCAGGCGTTTAAAAGGAAGAAACCGGGAACGACAAAAGTCTTTTGAATCCATGGCTGTGGAACTAACAAGGAGACAGGAAACTAATTTTTGTACTCCAAAGGTTCCAAGTATAACATGTACCAGGATTGGGAAATTCGTGAAAAATTGCCAGTGACGTGGACCGGATTTTTTTTTTTTTTTTTTATTTTTGTGACGACGACGACGACGATGGCTGGAATGCCATGGCCTCCCCATCTCGTAGGATCGTTGTCGACCTGTAACGCAAGCAATTGTGTGTTGAACGCTATAGAAGAAAAAAAAACAATTGCCAGTCGTTAAAGCCGTGGTTTGACCAATTGTTGTAACACGCGGCATCCTTTGAAGCGTCACTTGTCGTCCGTGTGCACCGGACACTATTTACTGTGCTGATCATTGAACAGCATCCAAAGTGCACTTGACATGTTATCCATACCATGCGCTTTCTGGAATGGGCACAGTTGATACTTGGCTGGCCAAAACTAAATGTGCCAACTGGACAGCAAAAGTTCAAATGCTACAAGATATTTACTCTATCAAGAAAAAAAAAAACAAAATTGCTGCCATGCAAAAGTCTTTCAAAAAGACAAGGATATCCGTGCAAAAACAAAATCATACAGCAATTGTCTGATCATTTCTCTAAACGAGACAACATTCCTCTATTCCCTCTCTTCAGGCCCGCCAATCACATACTCCTCTTGCAGGATAATAGCGCCCACTAGGTCCCGGCGGATGGTGCGGTGCCGGTGGATACCCATCATACGAAGGTTTCAGGCGTTTGGGTTGCGGGTAGTCGGGTAAAGGTCGTTGATAGGTTGGAGACGAAAACTGGTATGGCTGTTGTATGGCGGGCGGGTACCGAGTGGATGGCTGTGCCTGGATGCTGTATGTTGATGTCGGTGTGTAGGGCGCATACGTTGGGTAGTTGGATGGGCGGGGCGGAGGTTGAGGGCGGGGTTGAAAGTGATGCGTGGGTGGAAGGGTGCGTGGATCGGGTTTGCGGTGCCGCTAAAAATGGGATGTGTGAGTCAAGAACAAGGATGGGACCTCTACGTTTTTTATGCATTACCCATTCTGCGGATTCATCATGGTACGGGGGGCCTTGATATGGGCTAGGATACGGCTTCTGTTGCTCGGGCGGTGGTGGTGGTTGGCGATAGTATGCAGGTTGCGAGACCCGCACCAAATTGGGAGGATGCATATGGCCGTTTAGTACATGCTTCTATGTGCAGGACGTTCTTGATTAAAAAAGGATCCATGTAAACCGCAACTGTGAACTCGTCCACAAACCTTTTTAACTGCCTCCTTTTCAAGTATCATGTAAGAAATCAGCACATTGGGAGCTTGTCGTCGCAGATGCATGTCACCTTTCTACACACAACGGCATTAGAAAACCAGGGAAAAGATGCACAACATCCACGGACAAACTATGCCAACTTACCACCCTGCTGTAAAGTGTATCGTAGCGATGCAAGGAGGCTTCGTACGCTGCCAGCCTCGTGCCCACTTGCGGACCCACTTCCCCGGTGCGGCTAACACCCGTAGGTTGGAGAGGCTTACTGGGGGCCCTTATCGGAGTTGCAGGAGTTCGGCCAGATGACCAGTGTAGGCTCTGGGAAGGCGCTGAGGTGACTGGACGCGGAGCGGATGGAGGGTATGTAGCATTGTTTCGTTGTGCATGGTGGTAAGCGTTCAAATCGTCACAATGCGTAAGGTCGATCACGTCTGGAGATTTGTACTGGCAGTTCCGTCTTTGGTCTGCTCCGGGTGAGTACTGAAAGGGCATTATTAGGATACCGAGTGACGGAGAATGGAGAGGGCGTAAAATATGACTTACATTCGACGATGGTGTGTGTATGCAGTGGGTATCGGCATTCCGATTCGGGGTCACATGGATAGGTTGTGGAGCTGGAGGTGCAGCAGCCGGGGGTGTAAGCAGTGGAGGGCCCAGCCCTACAGGCATGATTGTGAGCGTTGCGTACAGAGATATATACAAATTGTAGACGTGGCAATGTTACCTGTAGAAATTGGATGAGGTGTGCGACCGTCGACGATGGGACGGGTGCTCTGGGGATAAAAGGGTGTTTCCCTGTCGTGTAGATGAAAGGGACGATTTTCGAAATACCGATGACTACCATTGGAGATCCGATGATTGGGAGGTTTCGTTGTTGTTGTTGGAAGGTGTCCTAGCGATTAGAAAAAAAAAGATATGATTTTAACATACAGAATTTCTTGCACAGTTTAATCAAGTTGAAAAGCTACCATGTAGTCCAATCTCTGCAGCATTTGCAGCACCTTCTCCAGGTGACGTTGCCATCTTGTTGGGCACTGCTACAGGCACTTCACGGGCGATAGACTCGGGCAAGTCTCGCGGTTTGCCTTCAGCCAACGATAAGAGTGACGTTGCAACAGCGGCCAACGTCTCCAGCGGTGAGCGCGGGGCATCGTCACCAACGACTTTTTGCACTGTACGGATGTTGACGGTGGGATCGGATTGGCTCAGGAGATGCTGCACAGAGGAGCGTTTCAGAGGTGTCAAATGAGCGAGTTCGTGCTCCTGTGATGCATGGAACGAGCGTTTGCGGTTGATAAGGAATGGATCCGAGTGCAGAGGTAAAGGTTGGTACATTGGCCGGTTGGTGCTTGTCATGGTGTGGGCGGAGAATCGATGAAGATCCTTTGCAAGAGGATCCAATCCGTCCATAAGGCGTTCGTGAATATATACTCAAGGATGGCTTTTGGGGAACAGAGGAAAAGAGTTGAGCATCGTTTTGACGAAACGAATACGTGCACACGACACACACACACACGGCAGTTTTGTACCGAAAAGCCTTTAAATTGTCACATTCAATGGAATAAGCCCTTTGGTTCCTTCCCCGGCTTGCCTCCCAGCCAGAAACATATACACGAACAAAAAAAAGAAACGACCGGAGGTTTTTCTCCCTCGTCCCAAACTCCCTTTGACCTTACGACGAAAACATGTGTCGTTCCAACCCGGGGAAACGTACCTTTTTGGTTTGTCGGTCAAGATCTCGTTTTTGTTCCAGCTCAACAAGGGGGCGGAAGGAGCAAGGGAAGGAAAAGGGGGATACCAATTGACAGCAGGAACAAAAGAAGTTTACGCGCGCGTGAGCGGATTTCTAGGTGAAAAAAAAGGTCTCCCCCCGCCAAACGCACACACACACACACACACACAAGGGCTTTTTGAACCGTTGGACTTTTCTTCCTTAAAGCCCCCAAAGAAAACGCCGCCCCTCCGGCGAGAAGAATGTGTGTGTATTCAAACGAGATGAAAATGCGCGAGCAAATTACTCAGCGGAATGCGCAGGGATGCCCCAAACCCAACCAATAAAAAGGAAATGAACAAGGACAGTGTAAGGAAGAAAGCCGGTCTTGTTGAATGGATAATGCTTATCCCTTGAAACCAAAAACGCAAAGACCCTCGTTCGTCGTCGTCCTTCAATCCTTGTGCAAAACAACAAACGGGCCATTCAAAATCCAAAAATCCTACTTTTTTTGAACACTTTTGCGGGGGGTCATCCCACTGTCTCCCGGGGGACAAATTTCATGATCATATTCAGGGAAAGTGGCTTATGACATCAATACGCGATTTAAGGAGCCCCAGCGGTTCCAGAACCAGATTTGTGGGAACAATGGTCCGTTGGTTGCGCAATCCCAAACAATTGGTACAACCCGGGTTTTCGGAACTCGGCCAACTTATCGGAACGGCTAACGTAAGCAAACACAGCAACGGGGGGGTGTCGCAGGCGTGACAAAAAGTGTTGGCTTTTGTCCTTCCCCCAGGTCCGGTGCGTGTTGTTACAGAGGTGCTCGAGAGTCGAACAAGCAACAAGGCCCCATCACACGAGAAAAGGGGAAATGGGCCTGAACGCTCTGAAAGCCCGAGCAAAACGTTTACCAACCGATGAGTTTTGAACACTCGGGTGACAAACAAAGGGCTTGAATAATTGCCTCATACACATCTTGACCTCATCCAAAGGAACAAAAACAGTTTTATAACACAAAAGGAACAGGCACTGAATTCATCAAAATCTCTTGATATTGTAGTAGTAATCTTTCATCACCAGAAAGGGATCGTTTAACAAAGGAGGCGTTTATGGAAAGCATATGCCAATCACAGCTCCCAATGCATCCAAAATGGGTTTCAAAGTTTCTAAAAATAGTTGTTGCAAATGACCCAAAAAAAAACAGGCAACCGCAGAAACCCATATAGATATTCAAAATTGGGGACAAGAAGCAACAAGTTTTTCTTACTCTGATTTTTGGTGGCTCACATAACTACGCCCTGGAAACTTTAACCACGTTTCGAACCTATAGTTGTCGTTGTGTTTTTTTGTTAACAATCAGCATCAATGGCCATGCTTTTGGCTCAACGATCCGTTGGCCTTTCGGAGGGATGGCAGCAGCAGCAGCAACAAGGTAAACTTTTGTAACGCATGACAGCACAAACCGACGTGTTTGACTAACGTTTCACCAACTGTGGTCTCTCGTAAAAGATACCGAGCAGTTGGATGTCGTCGATGACGAGGGCACAGTCGATGACAGTGAGACAGAATCAGTATTAGCGATAAATGACGACGATGTAGATCAATTGAGTGAAGAGGAGCTCCGTCGGAAACTAAAAGAGTCCCTGGCGGTTTTACGGGAGAAGGAACGAGGTGGGTTATTTCAGGGTGTTTTTTAAACCCCCGCGAAATGGGCTTGTTACAAAAGGTAAAACAAAAACGATAACTAATCTCCTCGAATTGGGTGTTCTAGATTTGACGATTGCGGCGGAAGTGGGTCAGCATCTCCTTGAAGCCCATGCTGCGCTCCGCGAAGCCTACGATAATTACCTCAACGACACATCCCGTAAATCGGTAACTCGCCCCCCAACACTCAGCCGATCCAACTCGACACCTTCAGCCCTCAATTCCCGTGTACCATCCTTTGACGTCCTTACACCAGATACCAAGCGTCAAAAAATCAATGATTTTGTCAAATCGTGCGAAAACCTGTTTGCGTCCTCGGAGGTGTTGTTTGCGTCGCAGAAACTCAAGCCGCGACGAAAAAGACAAAATGACTGGGGCCCGTCACTGGATTACCTTGCTGGGTCGTCCTCCTTGGCGAAATCTATGGAGCTTCTTTCCGGGTTAAAGAATAACCTTCGGAAAGACTCTTCATTGCGCTCGGTGGGGAGCCAAGGCAATGGATCAGGCGCAGACTTGTCCGGCTATGTTTCAACCCTCGAAAAACAAGCCCAAGAGTATCAAGCGCAGATTGCAAACTTGACGGCTGAAATTAAAGATTTGACCATTGCACGGACCAAAGAAGCCGAACGGTATGCCCTTCATATGGATGAAACTCGTGCGGAACTTGGAAAGGCCAACGACAAGGTTGAATCACTCTTGTTGACGAATCGCGATCTTCGTCGACAAATTCGAGACAATAGCAAAGAGCACACATCATTGGAGTTACAAGACCAAGCGCTCATTGATACCCTTACCAAGAAGCTTCGCGAAACTGAAGAAGCATATCAAAAACTCTTGCAAGAAAAGCAAAACGCCGATAATAATCTCGACCAAATCGTCTCTGAAGCTCGACGCCTACAAACCCTCGTCAATCAACTTGAACGACAAGTTGGAGATCAAGCAGACATTAAAACCGTATGCGAACATCAACAAACCCTCATCAACGAGCTCCAAGAGCAACTGGAGGAAGTCCGAGGAACCTATACTGTAGAACGGGCTGAATGGGAAGGAAGAACCCAACCCCGCGGCATTGGATCCGAACCACAAAACCAAGTTCCCGAACAAAAGAGCCTTCACGACATTCTTCGTTCTGTCCCTAAACCCCTCCCAACCATGACAACCGAACCAACCGCTCCATCCACCCCATCCGCTCGTCGGGTCTCGGCCACAGCGGCGGCAGTCGGTGTCCTCATGCGATCAGAACCCAATCCACAACGCATTGTGCATCGTCCATCCCTAGCAGATGTTGCACAACCAAATAGTTCGGCTTTGTTGTTTAATTTAATGTGGGGATACGTTCGAGGGGTTATGGGGCGGAGAGGAGAAGAGGAAGAGGCGGTCTGGAATGCTGTTGTGGGCGGCAGTGGAGTGTTTGGGTGCATCTAAAAAATGGCTTCTACATGTGTGTGTGTGTGTATTCATATCATTCTTTTTTTGAATATTTTATTTTTTTTGGTTTTTTGTTTACCCAGATACATGCATATAATGACAATAGTTGCATCAAAAGGGATAGCGCAACTATTTCATTTTATCCTCATCATTTTGCGATAAGTTCCGCCATTGCTCCATATCTGCCATTTGCTCCATATCGATGATTCAGTGAACAATAGTTGAAAGACAAAACCCCGCTCCATAACGCGCGAAAGGGCAAACGCATTGTCCAAGGCATGTTCCAAGGGTGGACATTTTTGGGGGTTCGTTTTTCGTTTCCTTGGGTCCAACTATTTGCATTTTCGATGGGTTTCTTTTTTGGCGGGGTAGGCTTTTTGTTATTACTCCTTTAATCCTATTTAGAGAACTGATTGCTTAATCATTCCCGCTCGAGTTACCCGTTTGTGAGTTGTTTTTTGGGTCTGATGCCAAATGTTTCCCCATTATAAAACTTGTTTTGTTTTTTATTTTATCGCTGGAATTTGGTGCGTTTTGTCATCGTCTCCTTCTACCATTTGATCTTGGAGGCCCCTGCCCAAGAGGGCTGAGAAGCGGGTGTTCGATCGGTAAGTATGTCTTTTTGCAAGTACCAAAGCGTTACCATGTAAAACATGCTGGATATACAATTACACGGGCAGATGGATAGAAAAAAAGCAGGTACGGAAAGTGTCATTGTCGATCACATTCCGCCAAAGACACACCCGCCCGGAAGTGGTTCCTAGCTTCCCGCTACAGTGCCTGACACTAGCTACCCGCCCGTACCGCCCGCCAAAGGTACTGGTAGAACATGTGTATGAAGCCTAGTTCCCTGATGGATTCCTCACTACAAGAGACACTTGAGATACTGCGGGGAAGCATGCCCCCAAGATCAAGTCTCTATCGCTATGACTGATACAAGTTTTGGGACGGTTTGATCTGTTTGCGGTGAGCGTAGATTTTATGCCAAATGCATGGTATAAGCATGGTAAGGAGGGCCGTTTGTTAATATCACAAGCAATAATAATTACACGGCACCATGGTACTCGTGTAGCATAAAACTAGGTTATGCCACCTTCCTGGTTTGTTTTTTCCGTTGATATCCATGGTTCAGATAGATTTTGGCACAAATGACATGGCCGTGGTGATGGTTAACGCCAAATAACCATAATGACAAGAAAAAAGTGTGCACATCGAAAGTAAAGCCAGCGGACAAACCGTGCGTTCGATTGCATGCCCAAAGGTCGACTTAAGCCAATGACCAGGTTCAACATGGCAACCGCGCCTAGTTACCGTTAAGGATGCTCACTTGACGAGTTCGCCCTTTGGTAGATTGCGCACAAACACTTTCCTCATGGGATGCCGCTCCCAGGAACGCATCTCGCCCTCGTGGGCACAATATCACTTACCCTTCCCTCCCTCATATCCATCTACCACACCAACCTTGGCCTCTCATCCCCTCTAATACCGTTCAGCCGAATATACGACACGTTGCATTTCACCTACCAACCCCGCCCAAAATTCAAGCTCTTGTCACGAAAAGAATCGATAGTGGGGCACTTGTTTCACCATGTTGATATTGCGTGAGTGTGTTGAATGATTTTTTTTGTAATAGTCTCTTTCTAATACGCTTATGAAAAGTCACTGGTTTGGAAATACCTACGCGATACTTTCCTCTGGATACTTTCTCGACCTTGGGCTTATCAAAACCCTCGTACTGATCATTGGGGGCGGCGTGACGGGGGCGGTGACGCATATATTGGAATGGACTATCAAGACAGGACCGATACCTATCCCTCTCGTACAATCAGAGCCAGAGCCTACATCGCTCTTGTCTGATATTGTGACGGATGCTCAAAACCTATTTACGTCTATTTTTACGACGACGGCCCCAGCTCCATTACGTACTCCTGAGCGGCTCCTTCCGCCGTCCACCTACTCGCTTTGTGGTGCAAGTGCCGCAGCGTATGCGCTAACAGGAGCTGAGATTGCGGCGATATTATGGGCAGTCAAAGAAGCATGGGGACGGAAAGGGAGGTCACGGATAGGCGACCGAGATCGAGTCAGGAAACTAATTGTGGTTGCGCTTGGGAGACTGGTGGCCGTTGTTGCGCAAGTCGTGGCAAGCATGGAGCCTGGACGACGGGATGGACCGCTTATTATTGGTCATGGTGCACATTTGGGTGGATTTCTGTTTGGATTCATTGTAATGGGATTTTGGCAGGCCAGGCGATGGATTTGAAGGGACATTACATAGAGATGAGAAAGTTAGCATTTGGATAAGAAGCGACTCAACCTTACTTTGAGCTTGAACCATTGGACTAGCAGCATAGCGAGTCTAAAGTCACGGGGATTCCAAAGTCGCGGGTATGGATCACGGGATCCGCGTATGTAATCAATGTGACGTCAGAGTCATCGACCGCGTCATTCTGAGATGATTCGACTGCGACAGGATATAAAATGGGCTTTCGTTTGAGCCATTTCCTTTCAAAAACCTAAAGACATGCTTTCAGGAGCCAGACCATTGAGATCCTTGCTACGCACACCAACACATCCATTCCGAGCAGTTCGCACCATGTCATCCGCCAACGCATCTGGAGGCAAACAAGCCAGCGGAAAGCCTCAAGGTGTCTCACACAATGTAGGAGGCAACACGGACATCAATGCCGAATCGGGTGGAACGAAATCTGTCAAGGGTTCTGACCCGGCAGCTAAACAAGCGCATACCACCACGACTTCTGAAAAGCATTGGGGGACGACGCAAAAGTATCAGACAGAGGAAGAAGCGTACTCTGATCAGTATGGCAGAGCTGGAGGCAAGGGAGGGCAGAATGACAAGAACAACAAGGAAGAGCCAGACCCGACAAAACTTGTTGATGCTTGAAAATTCTTTGTAAAATGGGTGTATAATATACCAAGATGGATTTCTTTTCCAACAAGCGGGCTTTGATTCAAACGCATGCGTTTTTCCATTTACGGCTTGGAACGATCGAATGGTCTGTTACAATCTGGCCATTCCAATTCCCCTCGTGGGGGCAAAGAGTAGAATGAGCTCTTCCCTTGCTTGTTAAATGGCCCGTTTGTTGTTGGTTAACAAAACGAACAGTTGCCATGGGTCTAAAGACGCATTCTCGCAGTTTGCACGTGCTATTGAAGAAGCCCTTGAAGCCCAACACAATCAACACGTTGAGGCTTGTCTTTTAATCCCTCCGATCGCCCACACACGTGCATTCGTTATACTCATAAAGTTTCAAGATGCGCAAAAAAAAATTCATCCGTCAAAATCCTTAATTGTAAAAAACTCTGTAACCTTATTGTGGAGGGGTTCTAACAGGCACGTGCAAATATTTTAGCCAATCACGTACTTGAGAATGCAAACGTGCATTGTATGTGATTACATAAAATGTCTATAAAAGGCAAAATTGCACGAGTGTCGCCCAAGTTAATCCTCAACCGCTTCTCGCACCCTCGTAAATCGGCGGGGTTAGCGCCTTGGAAAAAAAAAAATGGAAAAGAGAAACGGGAAGGAACGGGCGGGGCGAGGGGAACATAAAAAGGAAGGGTGAGCGTTGGGTTCCCCCTCCACAGCGAGCTGCTATCTTCAAACATTCCAAAAGGCCAAACGTTTAGAGCAATCGTGCAGAAATGGACGTTCATCAGTTTACCTACCTTTTTGTCCTTGGTCTGATTTTGGCCTTTTTGGATGCCTTTGGCATTGGTAGGTGTTCTCTGCATCTTTTGTTCTAGCTTTACAAGACGCTTATTTGTTTTTCTCTTTGTTAGGTGCTAACGATGTTGCCAACTCGTTTGCTACCTCTGTCGGTTCCCGGTCCATTAGTTTGAAGCAGGCATGCATCATCGCCATCTTCACCGAGTTTGGAGGTGCTGTTCTCATGGGTGCCTCCACCACCGACACCATCAAGAACGGTATCATTGACCTAAAGAACTTTAAGGGCAACCCAGAATTGCTCATGCTCGGTTTCGTTTGCGCTTTGGCCGGATCTGCTACCTGGGTCTTGCTTGCGTCCCGAATGGGATGGCCCGTGTCAACAACTCACTCTATTGTCGGTGCCATTTGCGGTGTCGGTATCGCTGGTTTTGGTGGAGACGCTGTTCTTTGGGGTTGGGACGGTATGGGCAAGATTATCGCCTCGTGGTTCATTTCCCCTGTCGTGGCCGGGGTTGTGGCTTCCATCATCTTCCTGATCACAAAGTATGGTGTCATGCGAAGCCCCAACTCGCTGAACCGCGGTCTGAACGCCATCCCCATCTACTTTGGTATCACCATTACAATTTCCGCGCTCTACGTCGTCCTCAAGGGTGGAAAGGCTGTCAAGATCAACTCTGACAATGTTGGCGTGGTCCTTGGTGCTACCTTTGGTGCTGGTGCCGTTGTCGCCTTGTTTTGCTTCTTCTTTATCCGCGTCTGGCTTAAACGCAAGCTTGTCAACGAGGAGAAGCTCGCTTGGTACCAAGTCTTTTACATTCCTTTTGTTGGCCCTCAGCCTCGCGACGAGCACATTGCCGACCGCCTCACCAGGACCTTTGGTGACCACTCTGTCCCTGCCAAGAGCGACGTGGAAAATGGTCAAGTTGGCGTTGCAAAGGGAGAGGAGGTTGCGATTGTCGAACACGACCCTACTGTCACCGCTCACCCGTCTCTTGTAAACCTCGACAAGGAGACCTCCGCCACCGGAAAGGCCTGGAACAAAATCAAGGGTGCTCTTACCAAGGGTGTTAACATGGACGTTGCCTCTGTGCAATCCAGCCACGTCAAGGAGGTGCACTCCCACGCTGTAAAGTACGACTCAAAGACAGAGTACCTCTACTCCTTCCTTCAAGTCATTACCGCATCCTTTGCCTCCTTCGCCCACGGTTCCAACGATGTTGCCAACGCTGTCGGTCCTCTTGCTGCCATTTACCACATCTGGAGCACCGCTCAGCTTCCCGGAAAGAAGTCTGACGTGCCCATTTGGATTCTCGCCTATGGTGGTGTCGCCATTGATATTGGTTTGACCTTGTACGGTTACAATGTCATGAAGAACTTGGGTAACAACATCACCTACCACTCTCCCTCCCGCGGTTTCTCCATGGAACTTGGTGCCGCCTTGACCGTCATCACTGCCAGTTTCATTGGTCTCCCCGTCTCCACAACTCACTGCATTACTGGAGCCACCGCCATGGTTGGTCTCTGCTCTGGATCATGGCGGGCATTGAACTGGAAGGTCCTTGCCTGGTGCCTTTTCTCTTGGATCTTGACCGTTCCCGTAGCCGGGCTCATTGGTGGATTGTTGTTCGCCATCATTGCCAACGCACCCAAATTTTTGTAAGATAGAAGAAATTCGAATTTTGGGGGACAGATGGAAAGGGCGCAGGACACCTTTAGCAAGTCTTGGCATTGAGCATTTTTTCACTTAGACCTTTTTTCTTTTTGTAACATATGATGATCTAATAGTCAATACAAGATTTGATTCTATGCTGTTCTCTCATCATTTTGCTACGAATCATTGAGTTGAATGGAAAAGTGCCGTATGTAAATGGCGTAAGGTTCCGCCGTCGCACCTACTCTGGTTGCAGTTTGTGAGGCAATGTGCAGCGAGGGTTTTCCATGTACATTCCATACACGTTCAGAATGTTCACGACGGTCAAAACAGAGCGTTGCCGTGATGCAAGTCGTCGTATCCAGGTGGTAGCAGCGGCTGGCATGTGCATTTTGCATCTCGGGCTTTTCGATGTCTGATTACATAAGCAGCTCGCACAAGAATCTCCGACAAGAGTTGGCCAGCACGGCCATGCAAGCGGAGCATGCATTGTGCACAAGGCAACCTTTGAAATGCATACACACATGGGCCAGGCAAATCTCCATCGGAGCAGCCGAAAGCTGTTCTATGACGCGGCCCGATCCTTGAATATGGAATTTAGAATGTTTATTGTGAAGCGATGTAGAGTTGGCCCACGTCGAGCAGAAATGATCCCAGTCCGATAATAACAAGTAGGGTGACTGCCGAGCCACGGGATTTTTGTGTTTTTTTAAAACACTGTTGTGTAGTGACTTGTAGGTTCTACTTTGCAGTCTACGAATATGGAGGATCCAAAAAAAGTATGCTTTACTCATTGATCTACTTGGTCCTTTACCTTTGCACTAACTGTTTCCATCTAGCAACCACGTTCCTCATCCGTTCTCTTCCCACCATCCATCCCACCACCCCCGTCGCATGCCCCACCCCTCCCCCCATACCCCAGATCCTCTGCCAACATCTCGAGCCCAGAAATGCACATTACACCCTCTCAGAATGACGTCTCAGAAGGTCAAGACGCATCTACCCCTTCTCCAATTCATCGTGCACTGTCTGTGACGTCCAATGCGACTTTACGCCGTCTGGATCCCGATGACCCTATTGTGGTTTTGAGGAATATACACAAGACGTACTTGTTGGGGTTGGAAGGAGTCGCAGCGTTAAGGTTTTGGTTCATGTTGCTGTTTTTCCTGTACCGTATGCAGCAATTGCTGATCTTTTGTCACCAGAGGTGTGTCATTGAAAATCCAACGAGGGGAATGGGTGGCGGTCTATGGCACATCAGGGGGAGGCAAGACTTCCTTGTTGAATATTGTTGGGACGATTGATAAGCCGACAAAAGGGGATTTGACTATATGTAATACAGGTGAGAAATGTCGGTAGTTCTGGGACCATTCATAGAGATGTTGGCTAAAAAGTTTGTGTTGGTCCTAGTTATCACCCCAAATACTAAAGATGAGGTTTTGGCGGAACTCCGACTCAACAAGCTGTTAGTGTTTCTGCAACGAGCGCGATGTGATGGAGCGAAAATACTAAAAGATTTTCCTTTGTTTGCTATTTAGAGGCTTTGTCTTTCAAACCTTTAATCTCATCTCCTCTATGACGGCTTTGGAAAATGTGGAGTTGCCCATGGTTCTCAAGGGCACTTTGACGGCTTCGGAGCGAAGGGCCAGAGCTGTGGGTGTGTACCTAAAAAAACATGGTGTTCTCCACTCGCAAAATACTAAAACCAATCTATTTGCCAACAGCTAGTCTTGAAAAAGTTGGCCTTTCCCACCGACTCCACCACTTTCCGGCCAAACTTTCGGGGGGTGAACAACAGCGGGTTACCATCGCCCGAGCAATAGCCAATCTCCCTGAAGTCCTCTTACTCGATGAACCAACGTGAGTGTGCGTCCCGATTTGTGCCTTACTCCTACCATAGTACTTAAATCCTTCCAGAGGCGACCTAGATACATCCAACACCCATCGCATTATCGACCTCCTCCATCGTCTGAACAGCGAAGAAGACGTGACACTCATTATGGTCACTCATGATGTATACCTCAAGAACTTTGCGCATAGAGTCATTTATATGCGCGACGGAAAGATTCAGCGCGTAGAAATGGTTCGGACTGCCAGAAGGGCAGAGGCGTTGGACGATTTGAGGCGTCGAATGGAAGAGGTATGTATCATTTGTGTTGGGTTGAATGTGTGCAAAAGTACTGACAAACCGATAGGATAAACGACCTACGATGTCGAGTGACCCATCAAGCAGTCATTCACCAACGGGGGGACACATTGGTCAGTTACCTGGGGAAGCAGTACATCGTCCAGGACGTTTTGTGTCTTGCGCAACCGAGATTCGAGAACCGGGAGATTATGCCACGTACTCACCTGCATGTGGTATGAGGAACCTTATAGGCCATTCCTTTATGTTTTATCGAGATACTGAATTCTGAATATGGTAGGTATACCCTCTGTTGTCCCTGATGCACAACACCCGCAACCCGCACAGCGGCCCTCAGAAAAGAAGCTGGAGCAACCGGCAGACAGATTTGGTGGGAGGCAAGTGTTGAGGAGTGTAGAGGATATCGATCATATTGTATAGAATGCAAGGTTTTTATGCTTGTAATTCGGTTTTTTGTACAGTTTTTTTGTGAATGTTATGCATATAATGGCTAGTATACTAGACATGCGAGCAAATCAGTAGACTTGTGCTGCTTTTTCGACTTGGCAGAACCGGGGAAAAGGAGGTTATAGTGCCAATGATGTGAGATGTTACAATATACTGCATTCCTACAATGTCTAGCACGAAAAAAGAGCCTTTACCATTACTGTTTGTTGCCAACTTTTGCAAGTGTTCCAACTCGCAAGCAAACGTCGGCATCTGTTCGCTGATGCAAAGGTGCTGCTGGAGAATATGTCCCCAATCCTCAGGTTCCTCCTTTCGAGCATACTACTGTGCAATTGTCTAATTACTTTTCAAAAATGTTTATGCCTGGCAGTCTGAATCCACCGCAGCTGCCTGCCTTGAGAGCTATGCTTTCTTCAATAATATATATTCAATGAGAAAATTCGACCAGAAGCGACACCCATGGGCATACGACTTTATCATATGTGTGTGCATCCGGAAAATCAATCTATCGATATTTAACTCTCTGCTGTACGATTGTTTACCGAATGCACAAAGCTCGCCGGCAACCCAATGCAAACTACGATCCCAGCAAGAGCGCTATCTAGGCTCACATCCTAAACCCTGATCATGATTCTTTTCCAACTCTACATTGTGGGCAACCCTCTTGCGAATATCTCTCTTTTATCGTGCCGCGTTCATCTGCAGACTTTGAACATGCGGGGAATCCACACTCGTATTTCTTCTGCACATGATCTCTTCAACAGTAATACCCAACTCGGTGATAGACCATATCTCCACCGAACAATTCAAAGCCCTCAAGTAGGCATCCATGGCCGTATATGTCGTCAGAACACTGAGTAATTTGAAAACGCATTCGGCTATTTTTGTTCCAAAGCTCATCAATATTATAAACGATTGGGTATGGCTTGCCTCCAGATGTGTTTCCTTTAAAAGAGCGCGCTGCGAATTCCGGATCTTCCAAAGGAGCCATATATCGACAGTGGAAACCATCACAAGATAAAAAAAGAGTCCAACAGTCGCAGAGGTTTTGCCGACTCCATTATGGTAGTAATTTGTAGCAAAGCTCCAAAAGTTATTGATGTCGGTCACCGCAATAGATGCGTAAATCATGATATGGTCGACAAAAAAGAAGGCAGCAATGGCCCCTGAAAACACCTTGACACAATTCGTTTGCCACGGACGTCGGTTGGGCATCAGGGAAAGCAACCGTAACGCCATAAAGTAGGTAAAAAAATACTGCATAATATCACTAAAGTTGCTTGCGAGAAAGGCGATCACCGTGGTGTGTCGTCCGAGTGTACCGTTGAGGGCATCGGTGGCGATACTGCACATGAAAATGTCTAATGCGAGGGCTAGGAAAATCGGTACCAGCTGAATGAGAACTTTTTTGTTTTTCTTATATCGTCGTGACCAGTTTACTAGTGCGGATATTGTAAACGCAGCACCCATCCCGGATATAAAGATTCCATCTTGTCGTTGG